ATTCCGACGGTGCCGGAAAGGTTCGGGCGACTCTCGTCATCCGGCGCCCCCATCTCTTTACGATGAGCACGCGCGGCGCGGCTGTAGCGTCTGTCGTACTCGGCACACGCGTGGGCGGCTACCTGTACGGAAAATTTGCAATCGAATTCAGATGATATTCAGCATGTCAAATGCGATCATCTTGTTGAATCACGACGCAACTACAGACGTAATCAGACTTACACTCACATTCCTACTTTCAAAAACCGACGGAATTTAGTGCCTCGTCGTGCCCGGCTGTTGGGTTCTTGCTCTTGTACCAGACTGCTGCTCGGTACGCAAATCCGCCGTCCAGACTGTAATAGTTTTTGTTGACGGGGATTAGCATGAGAGTTCCTTTGTGCGTGTTCGCATTTAAAATTTCCAATGATGAAAAAAACAGACCGAAACAAGTACGATTTTAGTACCTTTCCTCTTCCTCGCTCGATGCTTCGGCAAAGGTCATGCGCTTCGTAGCATGCACCTTTGGTGGCTTTGTCTCTCGCTTGCACCTGTATAGGTGTTGTAGTGCAAATTCTCTCTTGTTACAAACCAGCCTCTGACCGTGTATCGATGCACGATAGCACAGCAGCAAATCACCAATGTTGGTTGATTTGAACTCGGTGGCTGGGGGTTATTTTGCTAAAAATTTGAATTCAAAATAACCAAAAATTTACTCAAAACACTACCAAAAATTCTCTCACTCTGGGTACCTTTCTGCGGCTCTTCGTGTGGCTGTAGTGTTGCGGGGGGACCAGTCTTGGTAGTTGTTGTCGTGTTGGCACTGGTCGTGTCTTGGACTTGGTGTCAGCGCAAGGCTGTGCCGTAGAATGTCGGAAGACAATCAACAACGCAAGAAACGCGGGCGATTTGAACACTGGTCATCTTTGATTCAAGGTGTTAATAGGCCCTGTTGGAAGGCGTTTCAAGTTGCAATCAATCTGAATGGTACTAACGTACAGCCTGCGGGTAAACATTCAAGATTTGGGGTACTTCAAAAACAGTCTCGAATCGCCATAGTATACGCTAAAATCAGATCAACAGTCGTTGATCGTCACCATCAAATTTACATCGTGATTTCGGTTAGACCTCATTTTGAATCATCGTCAACTCATCTTGATTTACATCGTGATTTCAATTTTGCATTGCGGAATCGGGTTGGTTGTCAAGATCGATTTGCATCGTGTTTCTTGATCATACCTACACAAAACGAAAAGCCCCGCGATCCCAACGTAAGTGCTATCAGGATCCGGACTACCTGTCGAAAAGTCTTTCCAACGACAGCTCAAGAAGAGATGAAGAAGAGCCGGACTTGGCTTCGTCCTGCCGAAAAAATGTGCATCGGTGAAAAATAATGTCCTCTGTGTCATCATGTTTCTCTTTTTTCTCTTAGTGAAAAATCATTTACCGCACAGGGATAGATCTGACCAACGAAACTCCAGTATGTGTGCCCTCATGTCATCAGAATAAAGATTTTTGTGAAGCTTGCCACCTGTCAAGCTCAATGACTTCTATGACAAAATTCTCCGAGCAATACTCCGAAAGAAGTCATAGTGGTTACAAGTAGTGCTTTTCTTTTGACGGCGGCGATTGATATCGGCTATCGAGAAGAAAAATGCCGGGAAAAGCTGTTTTTTCTCGAAGAAGTTTAACATTGCACAAACCTTTTTTTTTGCGCCGAACTGAGCTGTATGATCTTGCTAAGGTCTACCTCCGGTCCGGAGGAGCACGTAAAAAATGATTTTTGATCCAAAGGCTTGGGAACTAACAACACGAAAAGTGATACCACAACCTGCCTCTCGAGGACCACGACCGCATCTAGAGTAGAATTACAAATATCACGAAAGATCAAAGCGCTTACGCTGGTATCATCTTCACACTATAATTTCAAAAATCAAACGACTTTATTCCCCTGACCTAGCAAAAATATCAAACATTCCACACAACTATGTCGACGTTCGGCAAGTTGTACACCGTGTCCACGTTCGGGGAGTCGCACGGCGTGGGCGTGGGTGTTGTGATCGACGGCGTGCCTCCCCTTTTGCCCCTGACCGAGGCCGACATCCAGCCGCAGCTGTCCCGGCGTCGCCCTGGCGCGACGCCGAGCATCAACACCGCGCGGAACGAAACCGACCAGGTGACCATCCTGTCCGGCACGGAGTTCGGGAGGACGCTGGGCACGCCGATCGCGTGCCTGGTGAAGAACCTGGATATGCGACCGCAGGACTACGGCAGCGAGAAGAAGCCGGGGGAGAACCAGGGCGAAAAGGCGCAGAACGACGACCCGTACAAGGACACGCTGAAGCTCAACCGCATTTTCCGCCCCTCCCACGCGGACTTTACGTACTACGAAAAGTACCGCACGCACGCCTCCTCCGGCGGCGGCCGCAGCAGCGCGCGCGAGACCATCGGCCGCGTGTGTGCCGGCGCCGTGGCGGAGAAGTACCTAAAGCTGGCCTGCGGCACGGAGATCGTGGCCTTTGTGTCCGCCGTCGGACCGTTCGAGATGGACATCGGCGCCAAGATTGCGGACAACCGCGCCGGCTCCTTTCTCAAGACGCTGACGCGGGCCGACGTGGACAAGTCCATCATTCGGTGTCCGGATCTGGCGCTCGCCGCGAAGATGGAGAAGTTCGTGGCCGAGTTAAAGCAGAAGGGCGACAGCGTCGGCGGCATTTGCACCTGTGTGGTCCGTATCAAATGCAAAAATGTCTGGGTCTGGAAGAATGCAGATTTTTGTCTTGCTGTTTTTGCATGACACAAGATGTCTGTCATGAAAGCCCTAGCATCACAGACATCGAGAAGCTTCCGCATTGCTTAATCCGCATGACAAATCCCCTATTTTGGTGACAGGAAATGGGCACCTTTTGCTGCCTATGCATGAGAGACTTGTCTGTGTTGTGAAATGCGCATCACAAGTTCGCATCCTTCCAGACCCAGACATATTTGCAATGCATAGTCCGCAACTGCCCGATCGGCATCGGCGAACCGGCCTTCGACCGGTTGGAGGCCGAGCTGAGTCACGCGATGCTGAGCATTCCCGCGACCAAGGGCTTCCAGATCGGGTCCGGTTTCCAGTGCGCGAAAATGCAAGGGAGCGAGCACAACGACGCGTTTTACTTCGACGACAGTTCGCAGCGCGTGCGGACCAAGACGAACTACAGCGGGGGCGTGCAGGGGGGCATCAGCAACGGCGAGGACGTCGTGTTTCAGATCGCGTTCAAGCCGCCCGCGACCATCAGCCTCGCGCAGGAGAGCGTTACACTGGAGGGGGAAAGAGCGGTGCTGGAAGCGAAGGGGCGGCACGACCCGTGCATCGTGAATCGGGCGATTCCGATCGTGGAAACCATGGCCGCCATCGTGTTGCTGGACCAGTTTATGGTGCAGAACGCGCGGCGGAAGACCCAGGACTGCTTGCTGGATAACGAAAAGAACTACTACGTCAATTTCGCGGACAGGACGTTGCTGACCGACAAAACCCCACCATCAGGAGGAGATGTGCAGGTGATGAACAGCAGTGCAGTGAGGAAAACAAACAACGCAATTCCACCTTGTGCGGCTCCTGCGGCTTCAGTAAGCAGCACAACTGCAGGTGCAGCGGCTGAATGCAGTGGCTCGTTGGTTTTGAGCAAGAACGCTTCAGGAGGAGAGACGCAGAAAATCTCGTTCCTGGAGTACCACGAGCGGAAAACGAAATGGATCCACCCTGTCGACTTTTGCAACACGAAGAGCCTAGATATGTTCTCGTCGTCGTCGCAGCCGCAAGCGCAAGGAGTTGAGTCAACAGCAGCGACCAACAAAACTTGGAAGGAGGCAGTGCTGAGCCGCCTCCGCGCGAACCCGAAGCTCGTACACGTCATGCTCGTCACGGATGACGTGGTGGGCAAGATTCACGAGAAGGAGATCCGTGCGCTGGAAAAAATGCTGACCGACTACAAGCGAAACCTCGTTTTCAAGGCTCTCACGCTCCCCTCCCAGGAGCCCGTGAAGCACTCGATCTACAAGACCGAGATCGAGATATCCTGAGTAAAAGCGTACCCACACCAGAGTTGTCATGCAGATTTGCATGCCAAAAAAGTTTCTCATGCGAAGCCCCAGGAGAAGCTTTCTCTAGTCGTGTTTTGGGATTTGTGATGCTAGAATCAGCATGCTATGCTAGATCTGTGATGCTTCTGAACTAGCTAAACAGGATTACACTACGAGGACAAACTTGTCATGCGAAACAGCGAAAGCTGGCTGATTTGTCTAGCAGATTTTCCACGTTGACTCTGGTATGGGTATGTTTTTACTCAGGATACGAGAACCTGATGCTGCAGCACCACTTCGGGCGGTCCTCCTCCATTTTGATCGCCTTGGGAGGCGGCGTGATCGGCGACCTGATATCGAAAAGAAAAATCCCCCCTCCCCATATCAAAGCGGAAATTTGTGATGCTGGATTTGCGTACACAAATCAGATTTGTCTTGCTGAAGGGGACGGCAGGCCTACTTCAAGCCTGAGTAGAGAGGTTTTGGGCTAGGCGCTTAGCATCAGAAACGTCTGTGCTGTCGGCCAAACCGCATCACAAACCGCCTTCATAATGCGGCGGAGCCTGTGGAGTTGCCTTCTTGCAAGACAGAGATGATTTGTGGTCGCGAATCAGCATTGCAAATTTTCTGCGCCGTACCTTTTTGATATGGGGAGGGGGGATATTTCCTTTCAATACCTGACCGGGTTCACCGCGTCGACCTTTCTGCGCGGCGTGCCCTACCTGCAGGTCCCGACGACGCTGCTCTCCATGGTGGACAGCAGCCTGGGCGGCAAGGTGGGCATCGACGTCTGCGGCCACGGGAAAAACCTGGTGGGGGCCTTCCACCTCCCGGTGAGCACGGTGATCGACTGCCGGACGTTCCTGAAAACGCTGCCGAAGGCCGAGTTCGTCTCCGGCATGGGCGAGGTGCTGAAGACGGCGGTGATCACCCCGGATCCGGACCTGGAATTGTGGGAACTGCTCAAGCGGAACACGCTGGAGGACCTGCTGCTAGACTTAACTTTGCAGGAACAGATCGTCGGCCTCACCGCCAGAACGAAAATGGTCATCGCCAGCAAGGATCCGAAGGACGACTTGCTGAACCAGGAAGAGAAAAATGATGTCAATGGCTGTGCAAAAAGCACGAATTCTACGAAAAGCAAAGGACAAGAACCTTCTTTCGAGTTTTCCGCGAAATCGTACCCCCGGGAGATTTTGAATTTCGGCCACACCATCGGGCACGCGGTGGAGGCGGAATCCGGGATCGGGCACGGGCACTGCGTCAGCATCGGGATGGTGGCAGAGATGATTGACCTACCAGACGACATTCGGCTGGAGGTGGAAAACACCATGTCGCAGTACTCCATGATGACCAAGCTGCCGCACCACTTGTCCACAGACAACATGCTCAAGTACCTCCTGAACGACAAGAAAATGGGCCGTCTTGTCACGATCGAGAGGATCGGTCTGCCCCGGATTTTCACGCCGACCCCACAGGAGCTGAAACTGATGATGACGCACCAGCGCGGGCTGCTGTTGGCGGATGAACAAAAAAAAGCAACGAGCAAAAATAACGACGTGGTGGAAATCGACATACCGGCGTCCAAGTCCATTACCAATCGAGCGATCCTGCTCGCCGCTATGTGCGAGCCAGATACAACGCAGGAAGTAATAGAAGGAGTCCATGGACGAGGTGGTTTTAGCCACGCGACCTCGAAAGTAGTAGACAACTTCATCACGTTGGAAAACGTGCTCTTTGCCGAGGACACACTGCTACTGCTGCGGGCCCTGGAGCAGCTGGGTGTGGCCGTCAGCGCGGACCGCGAGAAGAGACAGGTAGTGATTGAAAAGGTCGGGCTGAAATTCGGCAGCAACTTGATGACCAAAAGCGCTGCGGCCGGGCTACTAAACATTCCAAGCGCACCAGCACCGAGTACAACCTCAACCTCCGGCACTGACGCCACTTGCTCGGTGGACGGAGCGGCCAGCAGTCTATCGTCCTCCACGGGCGGGGAAGCTCCTAGCACGAGCAGCGAAAGCAAACAGAAGGAGCTGTCCGCAGCGTCGTCCTCGTCCTCGCGGACCACCCTGTACCTCGGGAATTCCGGCACCTGCGTGCGTTTTCTGTCCGGCATCCTCGGGCTCCACGCCACGGCCGATATCGTGCTGGAGGGCGTGGCCCGGATGAAGGTGCGACCGATTCAACCGTTGGTGGACGCACTGGCGCCCTTCGTTGCCGTGGAGCGGCTGGACGCCAATCTCAACACGTTCAAAGTCGTGATCAAGGGACAGACCGGACGGAAGAAGAAGAACGACGTAAGTAGAACTAGCGCCGGCGGCAGTCGTGGCATGCAAGCAGGCGATGCAAATAACAATAAAGATGGCATAGCAGCTTTATCTTCTAAAACTACGATTACCGTAGAAGCGTCGGTGTCGTCGCAGTTCCTCTCCGGCTTGCTGATGGCGTTGCCGCTTCTAGGGCGTAACCACGAGATCGAGGTGCCCGGCAAGAGCATCGTGTCCGAGACCTTTGTCGAGATGACGATAGCCTGCATTGGCACCTTCGGGGTGGAAATCGTGACGGAAAAGAGACCCAACAGCACGGTCTACTTCGTCAACGAGAGCTGCTTCGCGAGCGCAACGAACAGTGCCGGAGTTAGTTCCACATGCACGAAAACTCAAGAACCGCATGGCGCCCGCATCTCCCCCTACAAGGCACCGAAGTCCAACCGCTATTTGGTCGAGCCGGACGCGTCGGCCGCGATGTACCCGTTGGCGCTGGGTCTCGTGTTGGGGAAGGAGGTCGTGGTGAAGAATCTGTTCAAGTCCAGTATCCAGGGAGACTACAAAATGGTTCAGAAACTGCAGCATTTTGCTCCGGGCCGGGTGAAATTCGATGTGGACGACCCCAGGGGACTCAGAATGGTGCCGCTTGAAGATGTGAGCAGAGGTCCACCAATTTTGTCGCCCCCGACCGCGCCCCTCGACCTGGATTCCAGCGACACCACGCTGACGTTCGCGTTGCTGGCCGGGCTTTGCGGCACCGCTTGTGCGACGTCGGATTCCGGGTCTTTTTCGCCTGAGGAGACACAGCTCGTGAATGTCGATAACCAAAACGTGAAAGAGTGCGACCGGATCAATGTGGCGTGCGAAATTCTGCTGCACTGCGGCATCATGGCTAGCTACGGGGAAGACAAAATCGTCCGGATTCGTGGCTGCGGAAGCTCGGGTCGGTCTGGGGCGGCGCCTGCCAGAACGTTGGGAGAAGGACCGGAAGAAAAAGCACAAGAAGGACGAGCTCCCCCACGGAAAATTGTCATCGATTGTCGCAAAGACCACCGAGTTGCAATGAGCGTCGCCTGTCTGGCGGCGGGGCTGCGATCGATCGACAAGAAGCGGCACCTCTTGCTCGTTGTCGACGACTACCGATGCGTCGACAAAACCTATCCGGCGTTCTGGAAGGACTTGGAACGACACTTCGGTTTCCAGGTGCTCGACCCCGAGTCGGCCGGCGCGGCCTTCCTGAAAACGCAGAGAACTACGGGTCAGAGCGACGAGCACTCCGCTAGCTTTAAAACTGGCCGCAGCACACAAACTTCCTCGACTGGTTCGTTTGAGCTGCGCACATTAGGGAAGGCACCTTTGATGCCGGGTTTTGGGGAACCTTCAGGGACGAAAGTACTAGGCTCTTCTTGCAGTTCTACTACGTCTCCTCTCTCTTTCCAAAGCAAGCAGATTTTCTTTCTGGTCGGACTCCCCGGGGCCGGAAAGAGCTCGCTGGCCAAGGTGTTGTCGCAGCACTTCGGCGTCGCGTGCGTCGAGGTGGACGCGGCGCTGAAGAAAAAGTTTCCGCCCGCCTTCCAGTCGCTTCCGATCCAGGAGTTTGTGGACGCGTTCGGGTGGGAAAAATTTCGTGCCCTGGAGCGCGAAACGTTGTTGGACCTGTGTGAGCACGCCGCGTCCGAGAAAGTGATTTTGGACTGCGGGGGCGGCATCGTGGAACACAACGTGGACATTCTGCGGCAACGGGGGACAACCATCTACGTCCAGCGGACGGTGGAGAACATCATGCACGCGCTGGCGAGGCGTATCCTGAGTAAAAACGTACCCACACCAGAGTCAGGATGGGGATTTTGCAACACAAACCTAGGAGTTTTGTGAGTCACGCATGACAAGTTGCAGTTCGTAGTGTAGTGCAGGTTAGCAACTGCAGCCGCATCACAGATTCATCTGCTCATCCTGTTCACAGCATCACAAATTCCAAAACACGACTGGAAATGGCTCTCATGGGGATGCGCATTACAAGTCTTCCTGTCTTTGCAAATCTGCACTACAACTCTGGTGTGGGTACGTGTTTACTCAGGATAAGGCGCGAAAAATTCTTCATCAAGGACACGGAGTCGCTGTTGGCGCTCTTGGAGAAGCGGGAAGCGCTGTACGAGAAAGCGGCGCACTTCACCTTTTTCAATCACGAAGAAGTGGGTGATCATGCGCTTGTCGAGGGGGAGACCAAACCTGCTTCGAGCGACATCTCGAGTACTAGCTGCAACCCCGTGATTTGCCAGTGGGCCTACCACGCGCTGGGACTGCAGGCGTGCGGGTTCAACCACAAGCTCCAGGCGCTCGTCCCGTACCAGCTGGCGCCCGGGTCGACGTTTGTCAGTCTCAGCTTGGAGGATTTGAAGAGCCACGGAAACAGTGTGGAAAAGTTAGTTTCCGCCTGCAAGAAACTGCTCCGGGAAAACCGCACGCACTTCATCGAGCTGCGCGCGGACTTATTTCTCGAGAAGGTACAACAACCACTTGTGGACGGAGATGAAACTGTTGCCGCGACAGCATCGACAGCAAGAAACGGAGCGGGAACTGCTGTGGCCGAGGAGGACGTTGCGTCCTCGCCGGTGCTGTTCGAACAGATTCTCGCGGAGTGCTTTCGGCAGCAGGTATTTTATCCTGAGTAAAAACGTACCCACACCAGAGTCAGGATGGGGATTTTGCAACACAAACCTAGGAGTTTTGTGAGTCACGCATGACAAGTTGCACTCTGCAGTGTAGTGCAGGTTAGCAAGTGCAGCCGCGTCACAGATTCATCTGCTCATCCTGTTCACAGCATTACAAATTCCAAAACACGACTGGAAATGGCTCTCATGGGGATGCGCATTACAAGTCTTCCTGTCATTGCAGATCTGCATTACAACTCTGGTGTGGGTACGTTTTTGCTCAGGATATGTTTCAGCTCATCTTCACGTTGCGGTCCACGGGCGAGGGGGGCAAGTTTGCGAACACCAGCGCGTCCACGGCACGGGAGAAGGCGCGGATCTACCGCGCGGCGGCGCGGCAGGGCACGGCGGTCTTCGACGTGGAGGTGGTGACGGACGCTGGTCTGCTGCCGAGCGACTTCCTCCCCACGCCCGCGGGAAGCCCCGCGGGGCAGAAGGTGGTCCTGTCCGCGCACTCGGACGACTACCCCCTGATCAAGACGGCGCTGCTGAAAAAGCGCGCGGAGTTCGGGTGCGCCCGGATTTTGGCCTACAAAATCGTGTCCGTCGCGAAGAACCGGCCGTTACTGGAGGAGTTTGTCGCCAAGGAACTGGGCGAGGACGGCGTGCCGGTCATCCTCATCTACCGCGACGATGCAGCCTCGCGCGTGTGGAACAAGTTCCTGACCCCGGTGTGTTTGACGAAACCGGTGTTCCCGGGTCAGCTCTCCCTGACGGAGCTGGAGGCCGGGCGCCAGCTGTTTTTCGGTACCACACGACCGGGAGGTAGTTCCCTAGTCAACCACTTCTATCTCGTGGGAAACCCGATCTACAAGTCCAAGAGCCCTCTGTGGCACAACTATTGGTTTGACAGAATCACAGCAGAGGAAATATTAATACAAACCACCGCGGATGCAGAAAAGCAGAAGAGTGGCTTTACCGCGGCGGAAAGTTCCGCCGTAGTTCCCCTGTCTTCATCTCAGCTTTCCGCAGGAGGCGGCCTTCAAGGGCATGCTTCAACAAAAATGTCCGCAGCGAATAACTACCACTACGCGCTGTTCCCAACTTCGAGCGCGGAAACAGTCAAGCGGGAGCTACTGGACAACAAGGCAACTACGGGCCTGTCAGTCACCATGCCGTTGAAGGAAAAGCTGTTTCCCTACCTGGACTCAGTGTCCCCGGAGGCGCAAAAGATCGGGGCCGTGAACACTGTGTACCGCCTGCTATCTGGCGGTACTTCGCAAAGCAAAAATGGTCCGACTTCTTCTAAGGAGAACAGCAATTATGCTACCACCTCCAGCATGCCAGCAGCGACCAGCGAGCTCACTGTTACTGCACCGCTCTCGTGCACCAGCCCACTGACGCGTGCTCAAAATAACCGGTTATCAAATGTAAAAATGTCTGGGTCTGGAAGAATGCAAGTTTGTCATGCTTGTCTGGCATGACTCGAGAATCTGTCGTGCACGTTACCCACGATCTGCGTTTTTCTGTGATGCAGAAGCGCAGTTTGTCATGCAGAATAGGCAACACCTAGGAGCTCAGAAACTTGTCATGCTGAGCCAGCATTTGTAGCCTCATCATGAGAGGCTACCTAGCATCACAAGTTCCCAGACCCAGACATTTTTACATTTGATACCGATGGGCCGGAGACAACACGGACTGGCTCGCTCTGCGCGACGTACTGGCGGAGAAGGTAGTGCGAAGATCTGCGAGCAGCTATTGAAAAGAAAAATCCCCCCTCCCCATATTGAAAAGGTATGTCTCCGAAAATTTGTGTTGCTGATTTGAGGTCACAAATCAGATTTGTCTTGCAAGAAGGCAACTCTACAGTCTTCGCCGCACTATGCGAGCGGTTTGTGATGCCGCTTGGGCCACAGCTTAGACATTTTTGATGCTAAGTGTCCACGTCAGAAGCTCTGCACTCAGGGACGGCATATGCCTCCAGTCCTCTACTGCAAGACAGCTCTGATTTGTGTACGGAAATCCAGCATCAGAAACTTCGTTTTGATATGGGGAGGGGGGATTTTTCCTCACAATACGAGCAGCGGACCAGGAGCATCCTTCAGCGTCGCGGTAATCGGCACTGGTGGCACCGCGCGGGCAGCGTGCTACGCGCTGCAGCATCTGCACCTCCCCTTTTCCGTCGTGGCACCGCGGGACCTGGCGAAAGCGGAAAAACTCGCGGAGGAATTCCGTCTACCAACCACGTCTGCAGCTGGAGGGTCACCGCCCGATGTGGGCGTTTCTCGTGCGAGCACGGAGGCGGGAAAGGGGAAAGCAGTGGCAGCACCGACCTCCTGCTACCTGTTGCAGGACCTGATGACCGGCGGTGTCGCCAGCAGCGAGAAAGCTGTCTTCGACGTTGCAATCAGTTGCGTGCCGCCGGAAATCGAGATTGTTGGTCCCGCGCCGTCATCGGGCGCATCAAGTGGCTGCTGGTACAACGAGCTGATCGACTTCGCGTACGGTTCCGAAAGGCGCGAAAAAACAACAGTGGACGGACTGGAACTCCTTGCGCGACAAGCAGAGCACCAGTTATCACACGCGAGTCTCGTCATGATCCAGGTCCTTCATGTCCGTTTCTCTTGTTCTCTGGTTTGAAAAGTGCCGCTGAGGAAACAAATTTTCTTGGTTCTGGTTGCATGTCGCATGAGAACTCCGGAAAGATTTGCAAGCAAGTACGTTTTCGCTTCAAGTCGTTTCAAAGCTTATCGCAGAAGTGGCATGATGAAAAGTACAACGACGTGAACAGTGTTCGCGCGTGATAGCTGCACCTGCTGTTTCGGAAAGCCGTGCCTACAGCATCAGCGTAAGACGGTGCGCGACCGGGCGAGAGGAGGCCGATATGATGGACGCAGTGCCGTGTCGGAGCCGGTGTCGCTCATCCATTGCTGGCGGTGCCCGGAATTCGCTATACGCTGCTGCTCTTTGACTCGATGACCACGGTCAGCAGACGAGCTTCTCACGACAAGAATTACCGCGAAAGACTCGAACAAATGAAGAATGCGCTGTTTATTTGTGAAGTGCTTCTTTTGCGAGATTTTCATTTGGAAAACGTCTCAGGATTCAAACGCTATCCCTAGTAGTGCTCGGTCTTCAGTTCTTTGCCTCTATGCTACACAGGAGTTGTGAAACAATCATCCAAGAAGGAGGTGCAATATATAACCGATCTCGTGGTCTGACCGGAGGAGGTGTGGCAAGAAAAGCCATTGCGACAGCACCATGGAGGTTCTTCCCTAAAACAGAATCGAACGCGTGGAGCTTGTCGCTGGACATTTACGCCACGACCTACTTCTTTGTTTTGGATTGTTTTGATGCACGAGCACAAGGAACAAGTAAACGCCGCCCGCATGTTTCTCAGGAGGAAAATGAGTCTCGCTATCATTTTTATAAGCGGGGACTTGGATCTGCTTGAGAAGCAACCCGTAGATCGTGTTCATCTGTCCACTGAGAAGACACTTTCGGTCTTTGAGATTGCGATGCTGACTCAGAACTAAAGATGATTGTCCGTGCCTCATCGAAAATAAATTTGTCTTCGTTACAGTGCGTGGCGAGGCTTTTGCAATTGTTTTGAATTTTTGTGTCGGTTGTGCTTTTGCATTTCGTGCCTTCAATCTGTGCTGCTTTGAGTTTCAGTCTCCTTTTTTGTCGGTCACGTAGTTCTTCCCGCATCTTGGAAGACATCGTATTAAACTACCTGTGCTTTTTGAACCTCCTCGCACCGACACCGTACGCTGCGATTGGCAGTCCATGGTATTTCGTCTCCGAGCTTGAAACAAGGCCTGATGGCTCGGTTTTTGTCCATAAAGACGTGCTTTTCGTTCTTTAAACATGAACAGAAGAAGTGTCGGATAGTTCGTTCATGAAGTTGTAGAAAGATGTTTAAGTGATTGCAGAGTCGGTGTAAAGCTGCGTGCGCGTACTCGGTTTCATCGTTCGTGAATGTCGTTCGCCGTGCAACAATGCAGCACTTTCGTCCGAACGAGCAGCGTCAGCCGCTTCTTTCTGGAGCGTCCGTTAATCGCGTTTAGAGAAAGACTATACATCACAATTACGGGAATCGAGTAAATCCCAGTATAATTAACAAGTAATTAAGTTTGTGCCTTCCGTCACCATTCTATTGCTTTTGCTATTTAACATTCCAGCGTCGTGGTTACAAGAGGAGTCGTGTCCATGTCCCCCATGCGTCCGGCTTTTTTCTTGTTAACTTTTGAATTCCCTAATTCAGTGTCGCTTGTCTTTTCGAAACTACATTTATTTCGGATTCTAATTTCAAATTGAATTTCCAACCGCAACCCCATTTCAAAAAATACAAATTAATTTCAATTTCAATTTCAATTTCAATTTCAAAACTCAAAAATTGTGATCATGAAGAAGATCGGACGAAGAAGCTGAGTCCGGAGTAAGCAGCCTAATTACGCACAAAAAAAAACGACCACTTCTATCAGTCTTTTGCAGAGGTGGACTCTGCATTATCTGCGCTCGTGCTCGCGAGACATTTCTTAGAGTGAGGTAAAAAATAACCTCCGAGGAGTAGTTACAGGTCAACTTCTCATCCACCCGGCCGGGTGGATGAGAAGTTGGCAGGCGTAAAGGATCCGCCTGCTACTTCTCCTGAGCGGAAATAAATGCAAAGAAACTGGTAGTGATGGTTTTTTTTCCTTGGAAAAACATCGAAGTTAGTTCGTCGTTGACCGTCGCAGTCTCAACAAGAAACAGCAGAAATAGGAGGGAAGCATTCATGCCGATGCCAGCCGAGCGGTACAAAAATCTTGATTTTTGTCAAAAGAGACTAGAGCATTCTTGCTCAATTCATTCTGGTGCTTGTATTTTAACTTTCGACAACATTCATACGTCCAACTCCCTTTCTCAGATCTGCTTGCCCGGAGCGCGGCGTCAGCGTGAGGAGGCATGATGCCGGCTGGAAATCATGTGCGTCGCAACCGAACAAATCCGAGCTGCAGCAGAAGCGGAAAACGAGGGAAACATTCGTGCCGTTGCCAGCCGAGCGGTATAAAAATGTTGATGTGCGTGTGCGTCAAACGAGACAAGAGCGTTGTTGCTGACAGCTATTCATTGTGGTGGTTCATCTACTTTAACTTTATTTGACATCCAGGCTTCTAAAAACGCCAGGAGGGAAATACATTCTCTGTCTCAGATTCGCTTACCCGGTGGAGCGTGAAGCCGGCGCTGGCCTGAGGGAGCCTACTACCGGCAGGAAATGTGCGTCGCAACCGAACAAATGTGAGCTGCTGCAGAAGCAGACTAGGGATGACTCCACCGCCGCAGGAGCTTCGACGGGAACTCGGCGAGAACATTCCTTGAAAAAAATCAGGCCTCCATCCTGGATCCTCGTCGCGATTCTCGCCGTGTCTCCATCCGGTATTTTCGGGTATTATTGGGAACATGAGGCGCAGGCGCGCCGTCACAAAGCACGGCGCGAACACGACACGGGCGGGATGCTTATCAGGCGGAAGATAACCTCCAGCCGGGCGTGTCTCCTTGGTCCCTGAAGGGAGCGCGAGTCGAGGCGAACGGGGTGTGTGCAGTTGCATGTGATCTTGAAAACAATCTGTGCGTTCGTATCCGTGGGCGTTCTTGGCAGCGACTTCGCGTTATGTACCGTTGGCCCTTTGGGTGTCGGTAATGGTATGGTATTTTCAGTGTCAATCAGCAAAGTAGGTACTTAGTGTGATGATTAGAGAACTATGAACGCGGTGGGAGGTTATTTCTTCTTGATATTTCGCTATCATGATCACTCGGACTATGAGAGCAGCTGTACGCCAAAGAAAAAGGCTAGCATAGCATATTAATTTGAAGTGCAGAAGCCGATTGCGATTACGCAGAGCACCTTTCGCCCTCGTGTATAACCCTAAACATCAGCATGGCCATGGCATGAGGAGTTTTCCCCCACCCGATATGGCTGATTTTTCTGTGCAGTTCTTTTTGCATTGCAAAATAAAATGCTAGCTTTTTTCTGTGTGACAAGTTCCATGTTCGACTTCGAAGACGACAGCGACTGGCTTTCTGCGCTCGGTGGAGAGGTGGACCAGCCGAACCGGTTCGAAACGCGCGAACAAGAAGGCCGCGAGCAGACGTTTATGGAGAAGTCAGCATCATCTAGTTCTTACCATACAAATAGTGGCAGATTTCCTCGTTCTTCACAACGTTCAGTTCCACCAACAAGGAGGGGAAACTCCTTTTCTGGCTCGGACAGCGAGGAAAGCACGGTGGTATCCATCGGCGACCCTGGTCGCTCTCGCACACCACCTCCTCTACGAGACCGTGCGCGGGTTGGGAGGACATCAGATCCGCAGTCACGGAACGCGGGGGGCGTGGTGCCTGGGGGTCCGTCTGCTTCTCGCGGGGCTCCGCAGCCATACTCGACACCTCATTCGCCTCCTCTCGAGCGGAACAATTATATGGAAGAAATCGCCTGCAGCTCGCATTGCTTTTTATCGTCTCACCTTCTACTTGAACTAGCAAATATCACACAGCTATACATAGGTACCCCTAGCCCGCCTACTAGCCCTATGTAGTTACAGTTTGAGTAGCCAGGCGGTGGTAACGAATGGTGCTGCGATGTAGGTACTGGTTGCCGATGTGGATGTAGTGACCACACTCAACAACACCGGGAGCCCGAGGACTCGACAGAAGATATGAGATAGGATCTTTTCTGGCACAAATTTCTCGAAAGTGTTTGCAGGAGAACATAGCAAGGAGTCGTGGCACCGACTTGTCGAGCGCTTTCCACCACCAGTGTCTACTTGTCACAGCAGAAGTTCGCGAAAAACAAAGTAGCAGCTCTGTGCGTTGTTGAGACTGATGTCAAATTTAGTTTGGAGCCGCATCAACACGATCTCAAGTAGATGATACTGCAGAGCTGTAGTCTTTTTCTTATGGATCGTCGACCCAGGCACCGGCACGGCAGCAGCGCAGCCACAAGACTGGCTTGCCGATGGTCCTAACCAAGGTACCTGCATTTTTAGAACCGGAACATGGGTTCAGCTTTTTCGCAACTGAGATGATGAAAAGATCAAAAAATCTACATATTGCGTGGAGAAGAAACAATGATACAGAGCCGGAATCTGACCCTGAGTCACTCTTCCGCTTAATATTGAATGATTACTCCGTGCGGCTTTCAGTTTCACATTCACTCGCTGTGCTCTTGCGTATCGCCATCTCGTTTGCTGGTGGCTTCTTGCGCTGTTGTCTGACCTTTGTCATTCGCGTGGCGATAGCCTCCGTTTGATAATCACGCATAGAACAGGAAGGACGAGCGTTCGACCTGGTGATTTGTCGGACCACTCGTTTGATGCAAGCCTCGATTTTACATGGTGAACTTTTTTTTCTATGTTACTTACCACAGATGCCGATTGGTACAGCCGACTTGTGCAGGGAACGCCGACGCCCGGGATCGCCGCGCAGAAAAGGGCGCCCGCCCCCTTGGCGCCAGCGCTCAGAGATGCGAACCCTCAAACGGGGCGTGATGAAAATTTCGCGTGGATGACGGAAGTGCTTGCGGAGGGCGGCACCAACGGGTTCAATCCGGCTTTTTTCTTGGCCCACGCCGAAGCTTTTTTTGACCTTGACTGGAGTGGATCATATCAATTTGCAGACGCAGAGAGACAGGAGCTCGTAGCTAAGTTTCGTACGCTGAATCGGCACTGGGTGATATTGTGGCGGCAGGCTGAGCAGGTCGAAGAGAAAATTCGTCTGTGGGAGATGCTCAACAAAGAGGCAAAATCAGAAGTCAAGGCAGTCCGGGAAAAAGCGCGGAAACACCTGCAGCGGTTTGAAATGGATTCGGATGCGCCAGCATTCGACAACATTGAGCTTAAGCCTTCTTTGCAAGAGTTGAAGCAAATGAAAGAAGCCGAGATCGAAAACGTTCGCGTGATGATCGAGTTGACTGCTCAGGACGTGAATGCCATTCTTCTAGAGATGGTCCGCTATCCCTCGATCGGGAAAAAGCGAGCCGTGATGGAGCCCGTCGTGGACGAAAGAGAAAAGCGAGAACTTGAAAGTGCTGTCAACTTCTCTTTGATGTGGGCAAAACCAAAAGAAGGGGAAGCTATTGGCAAGGACGAGTCGTACGATGTTTTGGAAGGTCGCTGCCTTGAAGCGTGCGTGCTGAAAAAAAGCTGTAAAGTTGCGAAAATCACGGTCGTCAAGGGTTCTCCGTCAGGCGACGGTTCAACAGTCAGTATGCGCGACGCAGCCATCGGGCCTAGCAAAAAAGACAAACAGACATTTTCTTGTCTGTCGGGTTCTAGAACAAAACAAGAAGGAACAAACCAATCAAAAAGACCGAAGTTGTCGCGCTCGAGCTCGACCACGCTTCCGGACATGCGGAAGCTTACCAGGGCCGATTTCTGGGGAGAAGGAAAAGGCGCGACGGGGTTTGAGTATCTCTTCAAGAAGGGCAGGCAAACGGAGGCGGAGCAAAAGGAAGTCGACGAGGAGATACACACGTCCTGGGAAGTGTTGGTCGAGCAAAAAGGGGAGGCGGACCGGCAAGCGCGCCGTCTTGCGGTGCTCAAGCGTACCATGTTGCTTCTCGAACTAGAGACGTGGTTCGTGGATTCTTTGATTCAGCAAGCAGATGCAGGAGACAGCGCGGACGTATTCTTCATTCCAGACGCGGGTCTTGTCCTGCGAACACTTGAATACATCAACGACCTACAAAACGAAAAAATAGCCCCTTACCCAGCTCATTCGATTCGGAACATCACAAGTATGTATTTTTTTTTTGCGATCACAGCGTGGACGTCGACGTGCACAAACGGAAAAGCTGTCGGCTGACATCCTTGCACTGCTTGCGCGGGCCGCGGATTTAGCTAGCGGGCGGAGCAAGCGGCCCCTGTTTGTATTTCACTGTTCTGGTTGACTAGACCGCTCTGGTGGCCCCCTGCCTTACCGCTCCCGTGATCAATTAAGTAGGCAGAAGCCGGCAGTACACCGCTACTCGCGCAATCGGTGGGTGGGTCGACCAGATGTACCATTACCAAGCAAAGAATTGTAAAGCCACAGTACAGCAGAAGTACACAGGTATCACGCTGGACTCGTCTTTATCGGCTCTGAAACGGACATTGATGAATAGCGTGGCAGGGCCAGACTAAATATCAAAGGAAATTATATATGCCTCGCCAAATTAAGGTCGGTGTTTGGTGTAGGGGTATTTTTTATTTTGATGCAATGTGGTGCGTGGTTTTGAAATGGCTGTGGAATGGCAGTTTCAGACGGCGATGGGCAAGACGTACGAGATCGTTGTTGAGGCGTTTTCTTCCGCGAAGGACAAACCGGTGGAATTTAAGGCTGCTTCCTTTTTGTTAGTGTCGGAATCGGAAACGCGGGAGGATGGCTGTGCAGAAAGTTCATCCAGCGGCGCCGCCGAGAATCACCGCGCCCTTCTCGGTACTACTGGGACAAATGAAGCGGGAGCAGCGGAGGCCGGCAGCGGCATGGTCTTATCGGGGGGGGGCTCCGTGGGCGAGAGCCGTGCAGGCGGGATTTTTGCACCAGAGCTTGGCGAAGGAGGGTCAGCCTCGGCGCATTCCGGCGCATTGGCGCCGGTGCCCACCGCGTCCTTTGTGGAGCTGGGACAACGAGCGTGTGCTCCGGTGCCAACAGTAGCACAAAACACGGGTGGATTCACCGCACACACAGTCGGAAGTATCTTCCAAGCAGGTTTCAGATCACTCGGACCTGTTTATCACGATCCCGTCACTCAGCAAGCCCATGGCGGGCACTACATGATCTCTGGCACTATGAAGAAGATGGCGCTGTACCAGATGAAAGGTTTTGCGCACGCGACGGGACTTTCTCACCTCGGGCCAGCAGCTACTGCGATTGGCGGTTTTTCCAAGTTTGTCTTCGGTAGCGCTGCGGGATTTGTTGCGGCAAACCCACATGCAGCCGCGGCGATCGGTGGGGCGGCGCTTGCTGTCGTGGCAGGAAAAAAAATTCAGCGCGCACACACCAAACTCAGACGACAAGCGGACGAGGCTATCCGCACGACATGGAATCAATTGAGAGGCAACATCGAGTGGAATAGTGACGAACGGAACGCCGATATTATGGGGGTACTCGCCAGGGGGGTGGCCTCGGACAAGGGTATGCTGGGCTATAGCCAGTACGATGACCCGAGAGATTTGATGTACCAAAATGAACTCTGTCTCCGGTCCAGACTCGACGGAAATAATGCGAGGTGCGAGCCACTCTGCCGCTGGATTTGAGTTCGATCATCATGGGGCCACACTGTTTCTGCATACCACTCGTTTGCCACTTAACATGCATCGGTATAGAACGTTTCGTTCTACAATCTTTTCTCAGAGTCCTGTTTGTCGCAAGTTTTTTTAGGAATCCCATTTTATTTGCTGGGCGTCGCGTCGCCCTCGTCGGATAGAGCAGTCTGTCTCAACCGCCATGTAACTGCTCAGACGGCAGGGCATCGCGGCTGCGATTCGAGAGACGTTACAGCGTTTAGGCCTAGGGTTTGTGGTCCAAGCGTTGAAATTCTAGGTTAGTTCCAAGCTCCAATTGGTATGATGCCAGCACGCGACTAGAAAGATAGGTGTAAGGAAGGACAAAGAATTGGGCGGCTACGGCTACTGCCTACGTGTACGCCAAGTCCGAAGTCGCTGCGTTCGGGCAATGAGCACGCCAGTATTGCTTATGTGCGAATCCGTTAGAAGTATGTAGAACAGCAAGACTTTCATTTGCAGAAGCGACGAAATGAACATAAAGCCGGCTGCACCGCGCGCAAAGGCCCGGGTTTGTCCTTTTTCTGAGTCAGGCAGAAGCGACTCTCTGTCTTGCGTACAAACCTGCCGAAAATTGAAACGTGTACAAGGTTTTCAGAACGTGCATCACCCTCGCATTGTTTTGTTTGGGCCGGCGCCGGGGACGAGTTTCGTCTTGGTATCGCGCAGCCACAGCCGAAACAGGATGTCCAGGAGATATCACATTTGAAAAGACCCGGCATCAACAAGACGATAAGACCTAATCTGTTGCGATAGCACAATTCAGTAGCGCGCGACCTGTGCAAAAAGAGCAGAGTCCTTCCTGGGAAGAGGTGCGGAAGGCTGAGCCAGTCTATGGTTTCTTACTTTAGCCCAGTGTAGGTATAATTCGTCGACGAGTTATTTGTACGGTTAAGGTTGCGCCAGCGTCTGGATGGAAACCCAAAAACATGCAACGAATTCGCAACTTGGAGGTTTTTCTAGCTTTCATCTATTTGGAAGAAAGTGTTCATTTTATTTACCGGTCTTATTGTTCTCATCTTGCCTTTGGGAGTGTTTTTCATAGGATAGCGGGCGCGACGGGAGATGGAGCAGCTACGTGCCGAAAACTTGAAACTCCTGACACTTGGAGCGGAACGCATGTCCCAGGAGGCACGCTTTAAGCTCGACAAGGCCAAAGACAAGCTAGAGAGTTTGAGACCTCCAAAGAGAGAAAGCTCGTCTGCGAAAGAAACCCAGGAGATAGAGGATCTGCGAAAGTTGCAGCAGGTGTATGAATCCGAGGGTACCAGGGCGACCCTCAAAGCGGCGACCATCGTCAATGTGTGGATGGAGGTGGCGCTTGCAAAGCTCGTAAGCATGAAAGAAGTGTGGCCTGAGATGAAGCAAATCACGACTGCCACGCAACCACGCCCTGCGGAAATTATCATGAGGAAAAATCCTATCGTCACATCCTCAAGCGAATGCTACTAGAAATGCCGGCTTGGCGGCTACTTTGTCATGCACAGTAGGGGAAAGCAAAAACTCGATATACTATATTCAAATTTATAGGCCAAGGCCTACCAACATTCTAATTGTAGCTGCTCAGGATTGCATATTTATATTTTTTCGGCGAATTTGAAGTGGAGATCGCTCGCAAAATAAAGTTCGCGGCTGCGGCTCCTTTCCCGGCATGCAAGAAAAATCCACATCTGGTGGCAGTGAAACGAGCATCGTTAAAAATCTTGCTTAGAGTGTGTGTGGGGGCTTTTCCTTTTGATAATAGTATTAAAGTGCGCGACTGAAATTGCAGAGAGCCTGACTGAAATTTCAAAAACATTAGAAACGACCATATCCAAGAAAAAAAGTGCTTTCATTGTGAAAATGTATTCTAGACCAATCCAAGTGCAAGACAAAAATATCCATTGTGAAAATGTATTCAAGTGCAAGACAAAAATATCCATATCCGCCGGAAGGTATATCTATTCTCACAGAGTGTTACACGTGCTAAAACGAAAACCAGCCGTATGGATCGATCTCGACCTACAAATTTGATGTGATGCAGATTCGCTTGTAAAATCAAAAAAATTACGACGGTAAGTGCACTTTTTTGCTTTGATATTCGAAAGACTGCGTCGGAGACATTGCAAAGAATCGAGGACAAAATGGAAAATTGTCCCAAACGCAGCAGGAAACGTTGAAGAAAAACCTCGAACAGTACATCGAAGGGTTCAAAAAATTAGATCCCAGGGCGGTTTCTCCAGGGTCTGGCTTGGAGAGTGGCACGAAGCTGTTTCAAGGCGAAAATAAGAGACCTCCAGAGCTGAAGTTTAGAAACGGAAACGCAGGAAATACACTGCTGGACAGCGTCAAGAGTGAGCCTTTGTTTCAGTGGACCTGCCTCGGTAATAAAGACCGCAGCATTGCTGAGCGCGAGCAGTGCACGCAGAGACGCAATGAAGCTTTTGCCGGGCGCTGCCTGAAAGACTGCGTCCAAGACAACAACTGCGTCGCCGTTGCGCTGCTCGCCGATGCGGAGGAGGAAGGTTCTCTTGAGTGTCTTCTCGGGGAGCTGTATGAGAACGGAGCCCGCCCCCAAGGAGAGCTAGTACCACCCCCGGAGCCATCGAAGGCCCCTCTGGGAACGGTGGGACCCCCGAAGGAATACGCATGGTTTGTAAAGCAACCCAGCAGTGGGCCGCTGTCATACGACGCAGGAAATATCGTTCGGGCTAAGACGCCTCTGAGCAAAGCGGCTTCGTTTGCTAGACACGGGAAAAAGGAGCAGTTTGAACAGGTCCTGCAGTGGGAAGCAGCAAAGGAGCTCAATCTGAACGGGGGGTACGTGTATTTGGGGATGAAGGGACACGCCTCCTCTTGGCCACGCGTTCTACGTGGGGACTCAAATAATGACTCCCAGTACGACGAAAAGATGGACAATCCGCCCGTCCGGTATGTCGCATTTGAGTTCGACCCGGAGTTAAAGGAGAGACTCGCTGCGTTTGTGACCGAAGCTCAAATGATTTTTCGGCATGCTTCCGAAATCGAGCGGAGAATCCCCGCGCCGCAAGACGGCTCACCTGTTACAAAAAAAGAGACTTCGGGAGAACGACGCCTCGAGGTACAAAGGACTGGCAAGGAGGAGTCCTTGAACGCCATGAAGTACCGCGCGGCCCATGTTGAAAGCGAAATTCTCCGTCTCGACCTGCTGTTGACTAAATACGTTAGGGAGTTCACTCCGCTACGTTTGCTAAAAGTGGAGGACGCCAAGCTTTTTTTTCGATCCGGTTCCGACCGAAGGCGTCTAGAAGTTATCTCATTGAAAGTATTCTCGTGCTTCCAGTCAAGAGAACCAGTGCGCATGTCCTGCAACGATATCCGACGCCCATGAGGCAGCCTTTTTGCATGAAATGGAATCACGCCTTCTTTTCTGACAGTGTCTCCCCACTGACTGCTCGGTTTCGGTTGGTTTAGCTTGGCGCAAACTCCTAGAGTGAACCAACGACTACAACGTAAAGTTTTTTTTTGCTCGCACGAGACTTGGTCTCACGTAGCGATAATGCACCATGAGACAGAAGAGCCTCTGAATTCATACGTCTTATCTTTCGCTAATAGAAGAAGCGACTGGGCCGACCAGTTTTGCTGATGCATATTTAAGTAAATCATTTCAGTTTCTTCCTTTCGTTTCTTGTATTTCTTTTCACCGCACTATGCATGTACGGCAGGAGTGCAGCGGCAGCGCAAGGAAGTGGGAACGCGTTCGATTGCTGGAGAGGCAGAGAATAGTTTCTGTATGATACTGTATGAGAAGATGGAAGATCGTAGATATGTCCTTTACCCTATGTCGGGTGAAAGTAGGGATGATGAAGACTTGAACAAGAACATCCCATATCGAAACTCAAAAAGCCAATCGCGCGGTGTGAAATTGGCCAAACGATATGGAACCAGCGCGAAAACACGGGAGCGCCAAACGATCCAAACCTTCGCCAAAGCGCTTAAGGAAGCTGACGACACGGGAGACGCTTTCGCTGATGAGAGCGAGAGGCGCGAAGCGTACCAGGACCTGGACTGGGAGTTTTTGAGAAACATACTCCGCGTTGCTATTCAAGAGTCCCTTGAATTTTCCCAGGGCACTATGAACTTTCTGGATGAATACATGGGTGAGTTCGTGCGCCAGCCTCCACCAAGTGGCGACGCTTCTGAAAACGAGACACCGGGGCCCGGTGTCGCGGGGCCCGGCGGGGAGGGGGCGGGCGGGGCCCCGATCGCGGGGGGGGGGCGGGGCGCGGCGGGGCCAGGCGGTGTAAGGCCGAGGAGCGAACCGCTACGGCGAAATCCTGGGGGTAAGTAGTACATCGACGCCTTGCGTGAGCGAAAAGGAATAGTGAGCCAAGGCATGACGAGACGCCGTGTTCTTATTTGCCTTCGTATTATGTATTTTTTTCTCTTTTTTTTGTCCCCTCGTCAGCATTTCCATTTTTTCTTTTGTGATAGGCAAGGCAGAAGCTGCGGACACGCCACTAGAACGCCTCGACTGCGTGCTCCGACTCTGGGTCTACATTCTGCTGCGGAATGCGTCGCGTTTTTGGCGGGCAGGTACTTACATCAGCATCATTATGCGTTCACTAAAGCGATTCTGTCTCCATTACCTCGTGATATTTGGATTTATTTTTGCTGCAGCAGACTGACCCGCTCTACTTGCGCGCTGGGAAAAACGGCGCTTTTTTTCTTTTTTTCCAGTTTCTGTTTGCCTTTTTTTTTTTGTTTTTTTTTCCTTTTTTTAGTTTTCTGCTGTCCTTTTTTTTTTTTGTTTTTTTTTTTGGTTTCCGTCTCTGGGCTTTTTTGTTTTTCGAGTGCTTCTCGTTCTAGTGGTCCATTAATCCCACTTGCTTTAGAAGTTCAGTTTCGATTAGCGCTTAGTCTTAGAAGTTCAGTAGCTCGCTTCTCATAGTAGTTCGAGTTCCAGCCCGCCTGCTTTTCCGTGCGCGCATGTGAGAGTGGGCGCGTGCTGTACTAGCAGGGCTACATCTTTAAGGGGACTTTTCCGTGCGGACACCCTTCCCATTCAGCAACAGCTTCACTCCAAAGCAAGAAGGCCCATCGCTTTCGCCTTTTGTGAACGATTTGCAAGCTGTTTCGTTTTTCGTTTTTCTTTTCGTGGTGAAGCACGGCGCTGCTTGGGGAATTTCGCATACCCGCGGGGCGCCAGTGCGTCGTGCTCAGGCTCTGGCCGGTTGTTTCGTAACCCAGCTCGACGCCTGCACCTGGTAGCCGCCGGGGGCGAAGGCTCTGCCGGGTGGTTGGGTCCGAGGTTAGGACTTGAGCCATGGACGCGGAGGCGCTGGCGCTTGTTCTTGAATATCAGTGGCAAGAGGTGACGCCAGCGGCAAACTCCGGTCATTGCTGAAGCGGGCGGTGAAACGCCACTGGGGGCGCAGGCGTGATCCCCGCTACTGCAGAAGCAACCCCATGTTAGGACTTGCCTAACAGGGCGCGGAGGGTTTTTTCGCTCACCTTCAGAGGCGCGCGCGCATTTTTCTTTTTTTTTATTGTTATTTTGCGCTTGCCTTTTTTTTTCTTGCTTTCTTTTCTGCTTAGTCTCTTCCTTTTTTTTCTTCGCCTCCTTTTCCCGCTTTTATTTTTTTTTTATCCTTTTGCTTTTTTGCGTTTTGGTTTTCCTTTTTGCTTTTTTTCGCCCTCGTCCTTTTTTTTTTCTTCTTTTTTTATTTTTTTTGGCTGTGAACGAGCGACGCACTGGCGTCCGACCACAGCGGAAACGGGCTGCGTTCGGACATCTGTGACTCGGCGGGAATTTTTTGTTTTCGATTTTTTTTCTTGTTGTACCCCATCCACGATCCAGGTAATCCTCATAAGTTGTAGGCTGTAGCCCAGCCTAGTAACATAGAAGAGCATCTGGATGCGCATCAGTTTCGCTATTCCATGGATTTTTTTTTTCTGATCGGGCCATGCACTCACGTAACAACCATCGGCACCCGTGCGCGCAGCTAACGTTGAAGCATTTGTTCTTATTGTCAAGTAGAGCTACAGCATCGCACTAAGAAACTACTAGAGCTGCATGATTAAAGCGCAAGTGCTCCGAGAGAAGATGAAGGAAGGCCGACGATGGATTTTCAATGAGCAGTAGCGGACTTGCTCTGTAACGAACATTCCCGATGGGCGCAAAGTACTGGAATAGAAGACTGTTTTATCCACACACGTGTACGGATCATAGAGGCGCGAAGTTTTCTCCTCTTGATAATATTCGCGAAATTGATTTTGATAGAAGGCTTCGCACTTCCGCCTTTACTTTTGAAGCCGACATCGAAGAGAGTTCTCGGTGGCGGAAAAGGTCACCGCAGCGCTTTTTTTGTATATCGAAAGATAGCAATGCTGGTGATGTGACTGGAGGGCTGCATCTATCAGTTGTGTGCCGAGGACGCAAGCTGGAACTGGAAGTTCATGAGGATCTGGGTTCCCCAAATTCACCTTGTTGAGTTGATCCAGTTTTATTGTTTTTATGGCGGGTTGATGTGCTGTTTCTCTTTTAATTTACGCCTCGAATTTCGCTCCTACAGCAACAGCTGCAAAAGAGATCGCAATTTCACCAAGTGGGTATTTTTGATCGTGAAGGTGATAGGGTCACAGTTCATCATTGTAATGAGCAAGTAGTGGTTGATCTTGATGGAGCATTACTGTTGACCAATGATCTTAAGACAAGCACAAATAATTTCGGTGGGCGTGTTCTTGTAAGTAGGCAACCTTTTCTATTGAGTACTGGTATGTGACACTGACGGACTTCCCGTCTGAGAAGGAAGTGCGAAACTTAATAGCGGTCTGGGTCGGTACGAAAATGCAGCATATCTGACAACTGCTTCTGCCGGGCCAGCGCTGGCCTTCGACATGCGGCCGGAGCTATTTCCATACTACGCGGCTCCTGCTACGCGGCGTTGGTCCTGCTGTGTAAAGCGGCCAGAATGCGTTTCGCTGGCACGCACTATGAAGACAGACGTACTGCGGAAGCCTCCCGGGGTGTATAGATATGCCGTTTCCGCAGCAAGAAACCGAATAAAGATCATTGGGTTTGGCGCTACAGCCTCTGTGGCAGGGAACGGGATTTTTAGCAGGCGCTGGAGTGGTCGTCCCGTGTCGTGGGAGACCTGTGCGCAACACCGAAGGGCATTCAGCGGCGCCGCATCGAGCGTTGCACTACAGGCAACATGCAGGACGGAGAATGCTAGTGCTAGTGATGCCAATCGAGGGACAATAACAAACCGCAGTCAGTCCCTAGGGGAGAGCCTGGCGCGTAACGCAAAGCGGGCCCTGCGGGAGGGCGTGGAGGACTGGGACTTCTGGCGCGCTTTGGCCGACAAGACGACACAGGTGCTGCCCACCCTGGCTGTTACGCAGATAGCCGACCTGCTAGCGGCATTTGCGGCTGCGGAAGCGTTGGTGGTAAACAAACCATCCCCGGCATACGCTACCGACCGCAAATAGCTGGCACCTAAGTCTGGAATACTGTAACAGTTTGTCATGCCGTTTTTGAATATTAGTTACCAAATGCATTCCACCATAGCACCGCAGGCTTTTTTTCACATTTCTTCCGTGATGTCTGTCCTCCCGCATGTTTAATAGAGCCTTCTTTGGGAAAGGAAAGTACCGGAAAGTGAGAAGCTTCTGCTTCTCATCCAAGAGACATTTTTGCGTGATCCCGAATGAGAAGTACAAATTCATGACTTTTCGACCGAGGCTTTTTGCAATGCATACACACAGCATCTTCAAGCACATGGTCTACTGCGGAGCGGTTCGCTTCCGAAGAGGACCATACATTTGGTACATCATCGTCCCGAACCGCGCAGATTATTCGGAGAAAAAAGATTGATCATCTGTATGTACCCTTTTGTATTCCTGCAATAATACAGCATTGCTTTAGAAGAAGTCTGTCAACATGCGAAAAGCAAAAAATGTATTATGGGCAAGATTCGATCGCAGGAGGTAGAGGTTTTTCCTCGGGTGCTCCTGCGACACACGTTTCTGCAAAGGGTAATAAATTACTGATGGGGCTTTTTGTCTTCATTGGGATTTGCGACTTCACACTGTTCCGGGCCTGCTCGCACGCGATTAAATGTCAACTGGAGCTTCAGGGCAGCGCCGCCGATCGATGTTCTGATGCTACGCTTACCGCTTCTGCTGTGAAGAAATTGCTGATCGTATCTTGTGTAAAAACCTCTACTTCTTAAACCCCGTATCAGAAAAACGCGGTATGTAATATGTGGCAGCTGATTCCCGTAATAAATGCTTGGCATCAACAACATGGGATCCGCGTGAAATTCTAGCTCAATGAGCAAGCAAAGAAGTGTGCCTGGGAAGAACTCGGGGGGAGGTACGTTTTCACGCAGGATAGATCGCGTTTAGTCGGTTGCGCTACGTGGACGTGGAGTTGGTTGAGACACTGGAGCAGCATTGGCTGCTGGGGCGAGGCTTGCTCGGTGCGTGGAGTGCCAAGGACGGCGTCGCGGTCTTGCAAGCTTACGTGGTGCTGCAGAGAAGCCGGCTGCTGGTGGTGCCGGGGCGAAGCCAAAAACAACCAGCACCTAGTACTCTTCAAGCAGGACTAGGCAGTGCACCGTTTCCCCCGCGAGTTTCAACGTCCGAAGGCGATTTCCGGGCAGAAACAATACATTCCTCTACGACAGCATCAACGGTGTCCATACATTCCTCGACGACAGCATCAACGGTGTCGGATAGAAATGCTTACCATTCGGACGATCTTTCGTGCGATGCTCCTGCTCTTTCCGCCCGGTACACGGTCTGGCGGTATGACACGCGAAGCCTTTCCGCTGAATAACACCGGGGGTGAGGTCGGGCAGGAACGACCTACTTGATCATTGACGGACTTAGGTATGAACTTCGTTATTTCATTGCGTGACCGTGCCGGCGGCAGGCAGCCATTTGATATTGATGTTTAGAGTTGGACTGCTTATGCACAGATGCAGATATGAGGATCGCTTCGTACGATGTCCAACATATGACAAAGCTCAAACTTTATACATCCTTTAGAGTTGAGTACTTGCGACGACGTGAGCCTTCGTCATTACTACAACCCCTGCTTTTTTAGCTACACACGACCGGAAATCACAAGTTGATAAGGAGGAAACTGCCGTCAGGACGGCTTGCATGCGATCTAGAATCTCTGAAAAACTACGCAAGCCTTGGAGAAAAGCGAAAACCGGTATAAAAGTGCTTGCTCGCCTCGCGCGTTCGCTGTTCGACTTTCCCTGACGTGTAGTTGCGGATTTCTGAGGCTGCATAATTGCGAGATCTTGGCTACGGAAGTGTCAGGTGGGACATCGGCAGGAGGGAAGAAAGAATTTGCAGTGCTTGAAGTGCTCCATTTCCAGTGCCATTGTTGCATGGAAGGCAGGGTTGCCCGATGGATGATAAGCTTCTGAAGGCATGCGCTCGCTGTAATTGTATGTAATTGAATTTTTCTGATTCTGACGATGTGCCACGTGCCGCCTCCATAGTGGCCATTCTGAGCGAGGACTGCCACGAGCTGTCGCCTCCGGAGCTCGCGCGCGCGCTGGAGTGTCTGTCGCTGCTTCGCATCCAGCACTATGAACAGCAAATATCTGTCAACGCTACAAGAAGAAACACGATGCGGAACAACTCGGGTCAGAAATCGCGTTCCTACACGTGAATCTATGTGGCGCTCATTCGCTTCATGCGTCACATATTCTCATAGATATAATCTGTATTGGGCCCCCGCCCCGGGTGCATTTTCATTTTGCATTTGTTTTCATACACAACTACACTGACCTGCAATGCGCAAGCTTCGTACTATGCCGTACCATTTGAAATTCGCAATGCAGGCCAGATGCTTGACAAATTTGCCTATGCATAAACCCGACAGTGTGGCAACCGTTATTCTTACTGAAGCGGCGACGCGATTGCACGAATTCGCCGTGCCCGATTTGCTACGCCTCTTGGAGTATCAAAATCAAACGCAAATATGCTTGCTCTGGAAGACTGCAGAAGATTGTCCTGCAGCTTGTCTATGCCACATGACCAGGAGGTCTGCAATGCATGACGTAGCATCACACTTTCTGCAAGGTAATTGCAATGGCCATCCTGGTGGTCTATGAAAAACGTCCTCCCAACTTGACACGAAGCAGGGGACACCTTATGGTAGTCATGCAAGACTACAAATCTGACGCATAATATTCATACTAGCAGACTGAGGCAGGTTTGCATTTTATATGGAGTCCCACGCCCGCACGTGCCATTACGCTGCCCACTTTCGATATCCTGTGGAAAATGGTACCCGTCTTCATCCTAGAGTTGTAATGCAGCCCGGTCATGTCCATGTGGATGCCCATGGCGTGTGTATCAACAGCAAGTCATTGTGGAATGCAACTCCCCATGAGACGAAGAAGCACTTCCATATCTTTCTATTTTGTGTACAGGATGATTATGCGGCCATGATATCCAACAACGGATCGACCGGGGCAAAACTCTGTCGCGCACAAGCTACATGGCTACTTTATATGTGTAGCAGAGGAGGTCTTCTGATGTTGACTGACAATTATGGGGCGGGTGAATTTTTACACATAGTATTTGAGCCAACGAAGCCTCGACCACATTCGACATGAGAAAGGTAACTTTTTTGGAAGAGCGACTCGACGCGGAGTGCGATCGGCCGACGGCGCCGCCGTCGACCTCCTGCGCGGATTTTCTGCGATGTGACGGCGAAGGCGAACCAGAGGCCGGGAGCCTCGGAGTTGTGCGCCGCGAAAGGCCGAATGAGAACGAGGGGACATTACGGAAGAACCCCACCAACGGGAAGAAAAACGAAAAAAGCCCAGTGACACCAGTAGCGGACGAGGAGATGAAGTCTGGCGCACCAGGGCCGTACAAAAACAAACGAGCTAACCTGGTGGCTTTCGGCGGTGCGGCGGCGGGTGACTCGCACGCGCAAGCGAAGAAGCAGAAGCTGCAAGGTGCAGCCAAACATGTTACGCCGCCGGATGCCGTACTAACTGCAAAAAATTATCCTGGGTGCGGAGAATTGCTGACATTTGTCATACTTACGGACCCTGTCCCTTTCACAAAATACTAAGAAGTTCGCACTGCATGCCAGCAGATCAATATGCACTTTTAGTAATTTGACCTTTTCTTCTTGCGGCTCGTTATTCACACGTTTCCTCAGGCGTTAGATATTTTCGTGTGAACATAATTTCATCGACTTCGTGTCCAGACCTGGAAAAATGATTTGTAGTGCATAGGCTGGGGAAAGAACTAGCGGCGGGCTCGGTGCAGAATGTTCTAGACAAATATTAGCGGGTGGGGCGCGAGAAAATTTTGCCTCACGATACGTCGGAGAAGCTGCTCTTCCATTGTCGGAGCAGCATGCCAAAGAAGACGAAAAACATCAAGATCGTCAAGCAAAGATGTCGGTGGCCGCGGCGCTGGACAAGGTTACCGCACACCTGACAACGCACGGACTCGGGCAACTACCGTTTCCGGACATGCTACGCTTGCTACGCACCCTGCAGCAGCTGGAGGCGCGGAAGTTCGACACACTACTGTTTATCCTGTGTGAAAAATACCACCGACCTGGCCCAAAAATTCTTGGCAGCGAAGAAGTCTACGTGGATAGCGATAGTTTACTGCACCTCCTGGGCAGTGCCACTTGGTGGAAGATTTTCGTGCAGATGCATCCTCGCACATTTCGACGAAGTGTGCGAGGATGCTCTGATAGACCTGGATAGGAGAGTATCATGAGGTGGTCGATTTATGATGTGGCTAGACGAGCGAAGCACCAGCGGCCCAATGGTGCATTGCGATTGCGAGCGGCGCGGGGCTACCAGGACCGCTTGATTTATTTTTGTAGCAAGTCTCTATCAGCTTGATTATCATTATGCGGCTGGGAAGCTTTTACACAGGATGCTGTTTCACAAAAAACTAGCGCCTCGGTTCCGTGCGCAGCTGAAGTCTCTGCAGCTGCTATCCTCTCGGAAAGTAGCGTCCCCACCCTGTAACTGCGTACTTAGTCCGACGGTAGGCTCTGTCAATGCATCAAACACGATAGATTCCGCCAGTTTCCTCTCGTGTCAAGTCATGGTCGTTGCACAGGCGTCCTCGGTTGTTCGAGTCACATCAATCTTCGGAGCCGCATGATTGGCACAAGAATTACGGCCTTGAATGCATTTTTTGTACCCTACTACATGTAACTTCATTATCCAATGTATGCATTCAGGGATGGTCGTTTCGATTTCCCTTCACGGGAAGACGTTCAGTCTGGTGGGGATGTTTTTACGTGGGATAAGTACAGGCACGATTCGAGCAGCTGGCAGAGCTACTGGAGCTGCTTTATCCAGGAGAAATAAAAAGAGGCAGTCCATGCCATGCAGTTGCGCGACTTTAATCTGGCATAATTTGTAGTGTCTCTTCATCTTCTCTTGCATTTCCATACGACGCGGTCCTGTGTCAACTGTGTTTATACCATGATGTGTCAAGTCTGCACGGACGTACAATCTGCGTTTCGTCTGGTGCCAACAACTCATACATAATTTGCTTTTGGTACTATCACCATCGAGAACGTCCGACGTGCATCACGACATTGTTTAATTCACATGCGCTCCTCGTCATGCATGGGTTTGGGTTTGCGTTTGTTTTGCATAGGCTTTCCCGGGTGCCTACCTTCGGCGAGCAGGCAATCGAGCTAGTCCGGGACGTCGTGGATCTTTTGGCTTCGCTTCCTTACGAAAAGCGCACGGTGCGCGGGCTCTCGTTGTCGCTGATTGCGGTGTACCACCTGGGTTGGCTGCTGGGCATATTGCGAGGAAATATCCCCCCACCCCATATCAAAACGAAGTTTCGGATGCTGGATTTGAGTACACAAATCAGGTCTTGCAGAAAGTGCTTGGCGGCAATTTCTGAGCCTGTTTGGGTATGCAGAAGGCTAGCAACTACGCATGGAAAACAGGTTTGCAGTAGCCGAAAGCGCATGACAGATTGGCTTTGGAATGCGCCACATGGCTCCTAGCGCTATAGGCAAGACAAAGATGATTTGTGACCACAAATCAGCATCATGATATGCTGAGGGGGGATTTTTCCTTTTGATAGGGCACGGACAGCCTAGAGAACTGTTTGCTGGTCGTACCCAAGCGGTGAGAGTTGCCCGAACCATTTCCGAGATGTTTGTCTTGCAAATAAAAGGTTACGTACAACATGGACGAGATGTTTTGATGTCTTGCTTGACGTGATGATGCGACGCATAGATAATAAAAAAAATTACGCAAGTGGTTTGTAGAGCCTCGCATTTTATTGTGCGGCGAAGGCCTGTTGCGACGTTGCTGATAAGGCATGTTGCTGCACGGCGTCAGGTCTGTCGGTACAGAAGTCGCACAATGAAGAACACAGACGCTGGCGCATTGGAAAAGTGAGGGCGCTTTATATGTTGATAGACCGGCGGCAGCGACCGAACTCGTGTGTACGATGACGAGCGGGTCTTTTACGACCCCCCGCCGCTTCCCGGGGGATCACAAGTGGCTGGCCACCTTGGGCTTCACACGCACGACCCTGGGAGCTGTGCTGGTCTGCTCTGCCTGCACAACGACCTTCTGAAACCGGCACCGCCACGGCAACTGGACCTCCTGGATAGAGTCCTAGCCCGCTACTACACGAGAAGTGGAGAACAGCATGCAACGAGGACCTCTGGCACCGGACCACTGGTGCAGACAAGTAATATCGAGACGTCTGGCGGGCTCCCTGACCGATTTCAAATCCAGGAGGAGAGCATTCTGGGAGCCGCACGGCGGGCGCGCACCTACCTGCGGCATTTTTTGAATAAACCCACAGGTGCTGCTAGGCGGGTTGTTTGACCCGGACGTAGAAGAATGTGGTCGTGTGGAGAACTAATATTTCCCACTACATCTAACGAAAGTCAACGACATATGTCAAACACCGTGGAATGTTATGCTAAGTAGTCGTGTCCTCCTCCTCCCGGTCCCGAGCACTAATACAGCACAACCACGGAGGTTCTTGCTCTTTGTCTTCCACTACTTGGATCTTTTTTGCCCTGGCAGCGTTAGGAGATACCTTTCCTCTCAACAATTTCAGGCGGTAGAGGCAAGCCCTGGCCTTGTGTGCTGCACAGGTGGTCAAAACTACGAGGACATCAAGTAGTGGTTCATTGTTCAATCTGTAGCGCCAACCTTCTCGTCCTAGAAGCGGCAAGCTAGAGAGTCGCAGCGCCGGCGTTGTCTGTTCTGTGCTTCCGGACTTTCAATGTTCTGCTGCTGTTTGATGCCGATCAAATCGTGGCATTTTGTCGCAGCCCCGCTCTTGCAGCTCGCTCCAATAGTCGTGGTAGGTGAAACCACTACCAAGATTCATAAAGTACCTGCATCCATGTCTTCTACCACAGCAGATGCAGAGTGCGACGCTGTGAAAAGGGGGAACGAATAGAAGTGGTAGTGGTAGAAGTGACGAAGCAATGAAAAACCGATGGAGAGGACCAGCCAGGGGGCCAAAACATGTTTTCTTGTGCTGTAGTGCTAGCAGAGCACGTGCAGGGTTGGAAATCTAGTGAAGAAAATGTTGCTGGGCGAACGAGGACCGACGGCATGTCTTAGAAGATCGAGCGATAAATTCAAAGATTCATGGTGCCCTCAAAGGGTTTTTGTCGTGTCCTCATGTGTGCGGCTTCAACTCAGTGTCAGTTTGAGACCGCCAGCGACGACGTATTCTCGAGCAACCATTGTTGAAAAGCTGAGGCAGCTTTGAAAATAAATTTTCACTTTGACGTAGTAATCAACTTCTAGTCCGGTAGTACAAGAGGACCACGAGAAGCCTCCAACAACCAGAATGACGTCACCAGATGAAGATGAGACGCTCGGGCAACCACAATCGACGGTCACCTTCCAGGTGGGCGAGCGGCATTCGCTTTGTGTGGAACTGAAGACGGCCATTGACATCGAAGCAGTGTTGAAAAAGGTCTTTACTGGCCCAGCGGTTCGTGTAGTAGAGGAAGCGGGCAAGACGGTAGTGCAATTCGCGGACGAGGTTTGGCGAAACACCGACTGGACGACCGCGGAGCTGCAGGCCTGGCTAGAGCACTGCATTTCTATCCAGACAACCACGGACGAGAAATTTTGTTCCACCTTCGCCAGAGCCCTGCAGCGATCCATTTTTGGAGCGCAGCACGAGAATCATACAGGTGGCGCTAGTACTTCTTCTAGGCTGGCCACAGTTTCAGGAGGGGGTGATGTTCTTGGTGTTGAGGCGATCTGTTTCCGAAAATTGTTGCAGCAGCTCGCCGCTTTGCACGCGGTGTTGGATGAGGATTACGTGCGGGAGAGGCTGGTGCCGAGTCTGCTGCGTTTCCCGGGCGAGGACGATGAGTCTTGCGCTGTCCGACCGGAGAGTCGCACGACGGCCGGGCGAGAAGGTAGCGAGGGAGCACCGGCAGACGGCCTCGAAGTTGCCGCGTCGTTGCCACGCGACGCCCAGGCCTACGAGTGTCTGACGAAAACCGTGCTGCCACTGGTGGAGGAGTTCGCCGAGGGAACACGTACCGGCGATCTGCGGGAAGATGGCGGGGAAGTAGCAGACCGCGGTGCTAGAAATTTCGGGAACAAGAAGTACTCTTCGTCCTGCAACAGCGGGCCTCTGTTTCTCTTGCACACGCTCGCGGCGAAACTTTTGGAGAAGGTTGCGGCACCATTCCTGCTTCTGACCGAGGAGTTGGTCTGCCGTGGCAGTCTGGAGTTCGTGTTGCTGCTCGGCCTGAGCTACCTCGAGAAGGCACACCCTGCGGTTTTGGAGAAGCACCGCACCTTTGTGGACATGTTGTTTCAGCACTTCGGTGTCGCGAAAAAGACCCGAATAAATGCTTCTTCTTGTACAACAACTTCATCCGCAGCAAACAACTCCTCGTATCCTGGATCTAGCAAGGAAAACCCGCCGACGAAAACTTCCACCGTGGCTGCACGGCTGCAGCGCGCGCTCGCCGGAGACGCAACGATGAGTTTCATCGACTGGGCCAAACTGGCGGTGGAGCACTTTCATTTCGAAAGAAACATCTGGGGCGAAAAGATAGTAGGCTCGAACCCGCGCGTATCAACAAGCGCTGCTGTGGCCGGATCCATAGCCGACCAGGTTTCGCAGAAACGATTTGCCGACGTGGACGCCGACATTGTGGCGGACTTGGTGGTCTTACGTTCCGGCCGGTCCACAAGCGCTAGCTGCAGCAGTCGAAAGCTTTCTTTCACGCCGTTGCTGCTTCCTCCGCTCTTTTTCCCGCTGTTAAAGGACGGCGGTGCAGCCGCCGAAAAACAGCTGGAGCGCGCTTATCCGCTGAAAGAAGTGTGTCAGTGTGAAACGTAAAGAAAATACTTTTACTTGTGGATCGATGGCTGCATGACAGAAATGCGAAGTCAGTAACTACATGAAATCGACCCGCTTTCATCGAAGGAGGTAGTCCTCGTAATAATGTGTAAATTTGTAGTTCATCGGCCGCATGACAAGTGTTGTACACTGTTTTGCATGAGTTAAACTCATTGCGTTTGTGGATTTCCACAACAGACACAGTTTTTTTCTGGATAGGGCATTGCAGCAGATCAATCCGGCTGCGATTGACAAGATCAAAGAGATCGACACCACACAGGGGTTGGAAAAACAGTGTTTGCTGAAGGTGTTGCAGAACAAGCCCTTGTGGCTGGCCATGGTGAACGGAATGAAGTCGCTTTCCAGTTCCAGCAAGACGGGTAGTTTACTCCTCCAGTTCTTCCTTCGCGTGGACCCGAGCCGCATTGTGAAGCAAGGCGGCGGCGAGCAATCAGAAGGACAGTTTTGCGGAACCACGCTGCCAATTCGAGTGGTGCACGAACTTGGCAAGGGGACAGTACAGCGCGCCGTCGACGGGTGCTTTACGAGCATGAGAGATCTAGTCCTATCCTGTGCAGCGGGATCTAGTGGCAGCGCACCAGCCGCAGTACAAGTAACAGCACCTGCATCTGCGGAAACCACGGACACCGCCGCACTACCTGGAGCCGCTGCAACGCGCTTTTTCGGACCGACGCTGGTCAAGTTTTTTCTGAGCGCCAAGTCGTCGTCGCCACAGCATTCCCAGACCCGAAACGCTTTCGTGGAATATTTGGCACGGCACAACTGCGCCAGCGACGCAGCGGAGTGCACCAGAACGCCCACCTTGCTGAAAAAACTCGCAAGCGAGGGCTGGAACTTTCACGACTCTGCACGGGACCTGTTTCGCGAAATCTGCGTTTTTTTGAGGACGAGCGAACAATTTCAAGTGTACTCTCCTGGTACAACTAATGTGCCAAATTCTTCTACCTCTTCCGCAGAGCACGAGGCAAACGAACTGCGTCTGTACAAAGTTTTTACCTTAGAGGAATCCGATGTCGAACACGGCGTGACTGAGCCTTTGCCGCTGGACTTTGTGTCCGTGACTTTGAACGAAGCAAATCCGGAAGCGGCGGCCAAGCTGGCTGTCGTTTTGCTACAGAGGGGAATCGTCGTTATCGGCGTGTCGCGTGGGGAGGACGAGGACGATCTTCGTCAAGATGGACCCGTGAAGGACTTTTGGGAAGCAATTTCGTGGCGCAGCTGTTCGGCGGAGACCAATTTCGCAGCGTTGAAAGCAATTTTGGACCTGAGCCAAGACGGCAGTGGAAGTGGCGCAGCCTCTGCCCCCTTCCTTCGCTGCTTGGATCTAGCGACAATCTGCGGTGCCGCGGCCTACCACAGCTACCTGCTCAGCTCCGCGACCCTTCTGCTTCCGCATTTTGTTCTGGACGAAACTAGTGGCACAGCGACCAGGTCGGATGTTAAAACGCTGTATCCCGAGCTCTGCCGCCGAATGATTTTGGAAGAGACCAAGAAACGCATGGGGGAAATGAAATCGCGGCCCTCTTCGCCGGACACACCAAAGCGGATCGAAGAGCTCTGGGCAGCCGTTCCCTGGACGGGCTTGGACGCCGCGGAAAGCGTGCAAAACGCCTACCGATTGATCCACAGCCAGGAGTTTATTTTTTTTTCCTGTGCTGAGAGTCAACTGGTCGAGAAGCTGCAGCAGCTCTTGGATGTCAGACTGCTAGACGCAGCAACGATAGCAGGCGACGAGGCTTTTCCCACCAGTGTACCACCGTCCCAGGAGACGAATCCAGCCCGTGCGCAGAATGGTGGCGCAGCGCAAGATGATTCTGTAGTTTCGCAGCTGGTGAACAACGAGGAAGATGGAGAAGCGACGGAGCCTCCCTCTGGAGCGTTTCCCGGCTCGATCTCGGCAGGAACAGCAGTCGCGAATCACGCGAGCACCTGCCGCCCAACGGCGGGAAAAACAGGCGGCGTGTCGAAACAGGAGCAGATTGCGTTGCAGACAATCAGGCTGCACCTGAAAGACGGCAACAAGCAGGAGGCGAAGACGTGCTTTCTGGAGCGCGCGAGCAAGAGTCTGCTATCGCGCCGGTCGGTCTTGGAAATCCTCCCGGAAATCGATTTTCTTGACGGAAAAACGTCGGTCACGCAGGCAGAATTGCTCTTCGGCCTTTTCGCGGACGAGGACACCAGCCACAGCACCGGTGGAAATTTCTGTACGGAAACCTCCGAGGTCTTCGACCACAGTGACCGGGCACGGGAGACGGAGAAGATTCTCCGCTTCATCCCTCTCCATTTGGTGAACGAAGAGCTGTTGCAAGCGCACTGCCCGCCGAGGATCGCGCTGGAAATGTTCTCTGATCTGAAGAAGAAGTCGGCGAAAAAATTCCGGGCGGTACTGTTCCGTTTTCTGAAAGAGGAGAAGGTGGAGCTGGCGCTCGATGATTTGCCTGCCGGATCCTCAGCATCGCTTCCAAGCACGAAAGTGCCGTCGCCTGTGTCGGACTCCGATACGAATGAGGAGGTACATGAAAACAACACTGCCGCACTGCACGCAAACACTGCCGCACTGCACAGCGGGCTTTCTAGTTCGGCAAGTCAAACGAAGATAGCACCGTCGACGAAGTTTAACGTGTTTTCCTACTTCACGAAACCCGAACTGTGGAGCGACGCCGGTGCCGAGGAGCTTCATGAAGTGGCACTGGTTTTGCAGGATTTGGACCGGAAGTTGACGCAGCTTGGAAGCCCCGGAACCGTTTTCATGGCTGGCACGACAGCACCAACCTCAAGCAATGCGACTGCAGCGCTGTTGCACAGCAGCGCCGACGTGAGTTCTGTTGTCAACACGACAGGACCATCAACGAGATGCGCCGAAGGTACTGGCACATCTATCTGCTCTGGTCCATCAAGTACAGACGACGTCGGAAGCACCGCACCTTTGAGGGTTCGGGTGGACCAAATTTTCGGCGCGCTGCCGGTGGAGAAGTTCTCCCTGCCTGATTTAGCGCAGTTGCGGATGTTTTACCTTAACGCCGTGAAGCAGATGCACAGGAAGAACAAATTGCAAGCCATGCGGCTATTGCTACAGGCGTTGGAGTACTTGCTAGCATACTTTTTTAGGCAGCTAGAGCTTTTTCATTCCGATTTTTCTCTGGCATTTATTTCACCTTGGCCAAACGAAAAAATCGCGGGTGCAAGATCGCTTTTTGCCCTATACAAATAATCCTCTTGCTTCCGCAGCTTCCGCTTGATCAAGGTCCTATAAATGCTCATGCTGATTACAGCGAGAGCGACACATAGCCTCGAATGACGCATCATCGACTTTCAGAAATTATGTCGTATAACTCTCAGGCTTCACGGTGTGAACGATATTGGCGAGATATTCGAAGCTTGGACGAGCACCGTGAACTGGAAATCTTGCACCGTGTTCCCGATCATGGAGCAGGCGTTAGCGTTTCTACACAAAATCTACCCGACGAACGACTATTCCAGTATCAGCGCCGAGTACGACGACCTGTTCCGGGTGTTAAATTGGCCACTGTTGCTGAAGCATGCCGCAGTCGGGGGGACCACGAGCAATTGCCACCTTCTTCTCAACGAACACTCGAACTTGCTGTTGAAGTTGGATCTAGTGTCGACGTTTTGCAAGGACGCTGAGGCGAAGGCCGCTTTGATGTTCGCGCTGGTGCGCCACTACTGTAGTTTATTTCTCAACACCGCCGGTGGCACGCAGGAGAACACCACAGGTGTAGCGAGCGACGAGCTTGCCAACCGGAGTGCTTTGTTCTCTGGAACAACATTTTTTGAGAACAGGTCCAGTCTCGAGTTGCTGCTCACGGCGTGGCAGCGGCTGGACTGGCAACAAATCTCTCCGGACGTCGGGACTGCTTTGGCAGAGGAGCAGTACGCTTTCGCGGCAAGGTTCTTGCAGGAAATCTGTGTTGTATCATCATCCGCTTCCGGGACCGCTTCATCGCTGGTCGAGTTCCTCAAGCCTCTGGACCTAAACCGCTTGGATTTCGAGCTCCTTGTGAACGCCGACCTGGCGCCGCTGGCAGTGTTGCTGCGGCAGGACGGCGGAAGGAGGCCCCTGCACGTCGACACCCTGCACGCAATTCTGTTACGTCGTATGGGAAATGTCGGGGCCTTGAGCACAGAGTACTTCACCCAAGAAATTAACTGGGGGCACTGTTCCGACGCAAACCTGCAAACCCTGTTTGGCCTCGTCCTGGCCGAACGACAAAAGAATCTGAACGAGAGCGGACGGTATTGTCATTTTCCCGTGTGAGTATAGTAAGCCTAGCGTTTGGGAAATTGAAAATTGACACGGAGGCGCCACATTTTTTGATTTTGTCTCAATCGACTCTTTGCGATTATTCACTTTCGTACCGAATAAAACCAGCGTATTGAGACAAGTATGCGAGACATACGCCATCTATCACTTTCACTGTCTTCATTTTCAGATCCGGCGGGTACCCAGAGCAGGCGGCAATCGAGCCGGACGATGCCACTGGCAGCGATGAAGACATCGCTGCGCGGGTAGCTAGCTCGCTGCCGTTGCACCGGCTCCCGGTGGAAATTCTGATGCACAGCCTGACGCCAATCTACGCGGTGCTCCAGAGTGCGGCCTCGGGGGAAGTGACCGTGAGCGCGTTCGAGCAGAAGTGCATTCCTCTCTTTTTCCACCACTGCGGTGTGTACTTGAAATTTTTTCAAGACGACAACCGAAGGCTCGAAAATCTGCTGCACTCACTGTTCACCGCATACCGCGAGGCGCTGTTCGGAAAGATGAATGATCAAGGCACTGGTAATTTCCAGCTGGCGCAGCAGCAAAAGGATCCAGGAACCACTACAAGGCACACCGCAGGACCTCCAGCCGTGGTGGTTTCCGGCGAGCGATGCGACCAACACCCGGTTGTTTCTGGGGCTAGTCTTGCGTCACCGGCGCCGGAGCGGAAAGAGACTGACGGCAACTCCGGTGCGGGTGCGGAGAGGTATGAAATACACTAAGTGCAGAGCAGGACAGGACGGTGGTTGATGTTTCATACCTGAATACATAGCTCGAACACACTTCCTTGTTGCAAGTACTTTTTTCCGTTTGATGCAGTTTGTGCTTGGCCCGCTGCTGAGGAAGCGAAAATTCTTCAAATCAACAGCAGCGCTACCGGGACACTGGAGCTCCTCCCTCTTGCGCAAACCAGTAGTTGCGAAGTGCAGCAGACCAGCGAGGTGAACGTCTGCACCCTGCCGTTCACGAAGGAACAGACGGCGAGGATTTTCACGCTGTTGGACGAGTGCAACCTGGAGAAGCAGCAGATCCTGCCGTTGCTCGACAGTCTGGACCTCTGCTACCTCCCGCGGGCGCTGTACAACGTGGAGTGGGTGGACGCAAGTGTGTTGCTGGAGTGCAAGCTGGAGAACAGCGAGCGGAAACTGGAGACGAAACTGGGGCACCTCGAGCGAAATTTGTTCAGCCTCTTCTTGAAGCAAGAAGCCGCCATGCACCAAATGTTCAGCAGTCTGGCGGCGCTCCGCCAGGAGCAGCAGCAACTGACGAGTACGGTGACAAGCAGTCTGCTGAGCAGTTTCGCGGAATTCGGGCAAAATTTTGCGAACGACACGAAGGCACTGAGAGACCCGAAATTCCTCGAGAAAACCATCAACAAAGTGCTGGATGAGCGCGAGCTGGCGAAGAGACAGTTAGAAGGAAATGCGGCAAGCTCGTCCGGAGCATCGTCGGACGGACAAGGAGGAGGTCTCGCAGCGTCGAAAGCGTCCTCGTCTGCGTTGGATGCCATTGCTGCCATGAATGTGATGCAGACCAAGGAAGAGGTGGCCCAAACCCGGGAGGAGGTGTTGGCGCTGAAAGAGGACTTGCGGGAATTCAAAAGCTCTCAGAAGCAAACACTGGAGATCACGCTGCCTCAAATCTTGGATTCGGTGTTACGAGATATGCAGCTACAAGCCAACAACGACCGAAGTGAAAGTAGGGATCGGGCCGCGCGCAGCGGGCCCGCGGGAGTAGGTGTATCTTCAATGAAATCTTTGCGTGGCCGCGACGGCTACGGTGGTACGGGTCAGAATGCGACCAGCAGTGCCAGTCTCGGGGACAGGCTTTCGGACTTGGTCGCCCGCAACAGCACCGGCAGCAATAACGGACGGGAGTCGGTTTCGAACGCGCACCTCGAGGCCAGTGGCTATGACCCCTTTACTGGAGGTTCTGCGGGGGCAGAAGGACAAATATCGGGAGCAAAAACAACAGGCAGCGCCGAAAGGCCACTGTTGCTCACGTCGAGGAGGAGTGGCTCGCCGGAGCAGCAGCCCGCAATATTGAACGCGACGACCCGAAATCCGTGGATGGAGGCAAATAGTACCGCGATTGGCTACCGCGAAGATCAGCAACAGAATATGAACTCCGGCACAGGTACCAGTACCGGCCAAAACAGTCATCCTTTTGCTAACCCATCTACAGTCTTTCCGGCAGCCGCAGCCAACAAAGCGGAGCAACCTGACACCACCCAAAATGGTGCGTTCCTCCCGCCGTCGCGCAACACGTTCCAGTCAAATCATTCGTCCGAGGCAGGAATGTTTGCTCCCTGGGGGTTCAGGTCCCCGCTCGGGTTTGAGTTGCCCCAGTTTCCATCGGGAAATGGGACCAGCAGTTTTGGAGCGGCTGCTGGTGGTGCTGCTACTTCTTCATCTAGCCAACAAACCTACGGGGTGAATCTTGAATATGCAGGAGCACTACCACCCGGGGCTGCGGTTCCTGCCTCGGTCGGCGGTTACCCCCCGTATACAACAAGCTCTTCGACTGGGCAACAGATGCAGCTGCAGGAAATGACACATGATCTTCACAACAGGGCGCTACAGGCGACGAATCTCCACCCTACCGGGCCTTCCATATCTTCGAACAGCGGTCTGGTTGATACTAGTAATGCCCAGAGTAGTCTAGCAGCTGGTAAAACATCTTCAACATCGCCGGGCGAGAGCAATCTCCACATGATCGCCGCAAGAGGACCATTCAATATTCAGCAGCAGCAAATGCAGATGGGCGGGTCAAGTTCCTCAACGAGTTCCCACTCTGGCGGGCCAGGTTTTCAGCAAGCCAGTGTGCCCTCCAATGTCGCGGGGGGAATCATGGCGGCAGACGGGTCGACATCTGTGTCGATGTCTCCCGGGCCGCAGGGTCCTTTTTCAAGCGGGCAAAATACTGAAAACCTTCAGCATGCGGGAGTACCACATCAACTACCGCCTGGCTCATTGAATAATCCGCACCAGCAGCACCATTCCTTTCTGCCGGCCCAGCAGGGGCATCAAATGTCGGTGACGGCCGGAGGCGGTCATCAGCACCAGCAGATGCAGCACCAGCAGATGTTTGTTTCCGCCAATAATCCTCCTGTTGCGTCGACGTCAGGTCAACATTTTCAGGGCTTTATGGCTCCGCAGCAGCACGTCTATAATAACGCGAGTACCGCTGCTGTGCACGGATCGGGGGCGCAACAACAGGGCTCCAACGTGATGCCGCCGTTCTATCAAGCCTCGTCGCAGCACCAGCAGGCTCAGCAACATCGAACCCCTCAGGGCCCGACGGAAGAAGATCGACTGGATGCGCTGAATCAACGAGTCGTCAGCGAGGGAATGCTGCAGTACAGCCGAATGCCCGCCGCGCATCACCTGGCAAGTGGGAGCAGCGGTCTGGCGACCGATCCCACGTTGCTGACGCGAGACGGACACGACCCGCCAGGAGCCGGAGACGCGACTGGCACGTCCAGCGAGCTGCTGGAACGGCCGCAGCAAGGAGCGCCGGAGACCTCCGCGAGAGGAATTCTGAAGAACACCGGTGAAGCAAATTATGGTCAGGGCAGTGGGATGTTGATGAATCAACACACGAATCATGCAGGTGTTATTGCAAACAGTTGTACTTCTTCATCCGAGGAGCAGGCCGAGGAGACTGCTATGCAGTACGCGGAATCCCTGTTCGGTAAATCGGCGGCGGGCCCGGGCCATAAAGGCCCGCCGATCTTCTGGGGTCGGGTCAGTACCGCGATTGCGGATGACATCAAGCAGTTTCTGCCCAAAGTAACCGGTGTGAAGCCGAAAATTCTAATCCGGAAAGGACCCGCGCCGGGCGGTGCAGGCGGCACGGGTGGGGAAAAGTGAGATCAGATCTTTCTTTTTGGGGCTTTTACTTACAAATCAGAGTTGACATTCAAAGTTTTTCAAGGGGTCTTGAGCAAATTTTTAGGAGGATGATCCGGATGTCAGAGAGACGCTTGCCGGCAATACTGGGGCCTTGTTTCCGGCCGGTATGAAGGTCTTGCGAAACATAGCGATATTTTTTCTAACCAAAGCTTAAGCTGTGGCAGCAACCATAGAAGAGATGCATTTTGCACCTGCAGTTTATTCGGCGGATTTGCGAATTGTTGTGCTGGAAAAGCTACTGAAGCATACTACTTAGAAAGAAACCCAAATGTGATCGCGGATTTCACGCCGGCGAAGAAGTTCTATGAAGCCTGTGATGTTGCCGTGTCGAGAATAAAGAGAGCGACGCATAGAAGCACCTACGTCTGTCGGTGTTGAAACGTCTGCACTTTAAATTTTTGGAGGTTTTGCATTTCCCTTTGCGCTGGCGCTCCCGCTCGGTGAAATGAGCATGATGCGCAGACCCACCTTCTTAGAGTGTCTCCCGGTGTTGTTCCTGTGTCCTTGTTCCTCACAGTACTAGTACAGGCACACTCAGCACAAGAATGCCCCTAGATCTCTCGGATCAAAAGCGCAACAAACACTTCTGAATTTACAGAAAAAATGGATGTGAATGTGATCCGAACTACTTCGCACGACTTCCACGCGGAGATCAACTATGGTAGCGTAGGGCGACGAATTTGTGGATTGATTAGCGAGCGGATTAGCTGTTGCCATTTTCTTCTTTTTTTTTCACAAAACCCAATCCAGGCGGACACCACTTTTCCTTGAAACACACTTGGTCTAGACATGTGTTTTTTTGCTCTCTGTTAATCTGTAAAAGGTGATTTCAGATTTTCATTTTGTGTAAAATTTCAGCCCTGCGGAGGTTACGTGTACCTCGAGACGACATTTTTCCTTCCGTTGGCTTGTTGGAAGTCGCTATCTTCAGGCGATTTGTCAGCAAAGACGCAACTCTTGCGTGCTTCTTATCTTTGTGCAGCTAGTAGTACACCTTGTCCTTCAGGAAAGATTAAGATATACTTGTTTTTTAATCAGGAAACACGAAAAGGTAGCAAAAATCATAGAAGCAGAGGCGATTGAACAAACGAAACCATTGCTAAGATGGAGGTCTTGCTGTACGGGTTTGTAGGGCTGATCATTCTCGCCATTCTTGCCATGTTCTGGTATTTTTCTAACGTCTACATGCTTCGATGCTTGCCTCCGCTTTGCTAAAATTGCGGTCTATTCCCGTTGTGATGACGTAGAGTGAGCGAGTAAGTTGATTCTGCATGTAAAAACTCTTCATCTGCAGGTACGCTTACCAAGAGAGCAAGAATGATCCGGGGAGGAAAAAGAAGCTGAAGGGGAAGGCCGGGAAGAAGGAGCGGGTCATGTGGTCTATCGGCGACGACTAAAGAGTTGGTTTGTCTTTCTCGAGGATTCCAGAAGCGTATTGCGCACGCTGTTGCGCGGACTGGCGCAAAGGACAGTGTGCTCTTCACGCATCCTAGACGGGTCGAAGTTGCAGCATGCGGCGCATACTGAGACGACGAGGTGGGAAGAAGTTTTCAATCCTCGCTCCGCTCAGCCGGAGGCTGTACTCGTGTTTTCGCGCATGATGAATTTATCATACGTGGTGATCTTTATCTTCAGTGCATCTGAGCGTCCGAGACGTGCTCAGCTGGCCACAAGACACGCTGGAGTTCTAGTTTCACCGTCCAGCAGATTTCGATTGTCTGGAGGACGTCTTGGGAGGCGAATGTAGGCGCCTTTCAGCTGAATCTGCCATGATGTGGGAAATACTTTCACTTTTTGCAGCTTCAAGAAGGTACGTATCAATGTTCAAAAAATTGCATCCAACTCTTTGAACATAGAAAAAGCTGCATTTGCGATATGGCGCTTTTGTAGTCTCGTTCTCGCATGAGGCCAAAAAATGCAAGACTTTCATCTCCACACGACAACCGATACTCCAATGCGAAAATGAAAAGTCAAAGGCAATAGATTATAGGAGAAATAAACACGACTCCTGTCATCACCGCGGACGCCCCGTGCCACAAGCTGCGGATTTGCATTCAGTAGTCGTAGTCCGGGAGGCAGCTGCTTTCTCCACTTGTGTTGCTACGTCGATCTTCTCTGTCTGGTTCTAATTCATGATCCAGCACTTCCGTCACTGTAAAGCCGATCCTGAAACTTGGAATTCTCACCACAAATAAGCAGGATAAATGGTGATACTAGATAGATCAACTATGAAATAAACAAGTTCTCTTAGTTCCGTTCCGAAAAAGTCCATGAGAGATGAAATGGCGGAAAACAGTGTGGAAGAGCACGAATTAAAAAGATCATGAACGAAAAATTGCGGATTAAAAAGATCAGACTGTGGAAGAGCACGAATTAAAAGCGACTGAGGGCTCCGGAAGTGATCATCCTTGGAATTTAGTGTGAAATGTTGCCACCACTAGCTACTTCGTTCAATTCCAGCATGAGATTGATGGCATTACTTCGGCGATATCCGTCTCTTTCACTCAGGTTAAGATACTGTAGACATCTCACCGAATCGAATATTTCTTTCGCGAAAGTTTTATTGACCGCCTCTGCTGGCGCACCGTCGGAGTAAAGAGGAGCCAACTGACTTTTATTTGCACAAAAGCTCTACATCTACTATTATCTTCAAGCATTTGTCCAAGGAGCCGCCCGCCCACTTGTTGCTTATTGTCATTTACTAATTTCAAGCGCATGTTTCTAAGACGACCCAGCGACAGAGACATAGACAATCTTAATACGATGGCGGGCGAAGACGCAATGATGACAGATAGCAATGCTCATGCTGTCCCAAACAAGCGCGGCGACGAGCCTGGCCGCACTAAGGAGCTGAAGGCTAAGCGTTGCAAAGAGGATACCAGCGGTGATGTGGATATGGGTTCTTGCGAGGAAACTACCAACGTGACGAACAGCAGTCCTTCCGCGGCCAGCGAAGGACAAGCGGCACAGCAGCTCTCGTCCTCTGCAACCGCGAAGAATAAAGCTGCAAACGAAGTAGACTCCGATGCAGAGGATGATTCCGAGCTGGATTTGGAGGAGGAGGACAGCGACGAGGAGGGGATTTTCCTCGACGAAAACGGCAACCCGATTGAGAACCCGGACAAGACCGCGGCGAGCAAGACCAAGGTGTTCCGCCCCGGGCAGGACGAACTCGCGGAGGACGAAGAACTGCAATACGACCCAAACGCGTACCAAATGCTGCACAAACTGAACACGGAGTGGCCGTGCCTCTCTTTCGACATTGTGCAGGATACGCTGGGCGGCGCGCGGCGGGAGTTTCCGCACACCTGCACCGTGGTCGCCGGGAGTCAGGCGCAGAACGAGAAGGACAACTGCATCTACGTGATGAAGTGGTCGAACCTGTGCGAACAGCAGGACGAGTCCGACAGCGACGACGATTCAGGCTCGGAAAGCGAGGACGAGGCGAAATCCGAGCCGAAATTCGCCTGCAGAAAAGTGCAGCACGTGGGGGGCACGGTCAACCGCATCAAGGCGATGCCGGGGGCCGCGCAGGGCATCGTGGCCACCTGGGCCGAGAACGGAAGGGTCAACATGTGGAACTTGGCCGAAGAATTTGTCGCGGTCGGACAGGAACAGAGCAGCAGCAGCACCTCCGAAATGGTCGTAAAAAAGGTACTAGAAAGTTGATTTTACTGGAACTCATTGGGAGCTTATCATCTTTCATAATTCAAATAGGGAGCTCGTACAACGTATTGGAAGTAGTTACGTATCTATACTTCCGACCAAAATGATGTATTGTGCTTTTTAAAGTTGCACAAAGATAGAACGACCCTGGAAACATCAACTCACCACAGCCCATCTTCCAATCCTCCCCATCGGACCACAAGACGGAGGGTTACGCTATGGCCTGGAACTGGCACAAGCCCGGCGAATTCGTTTCCGCCGACAACGACGGCGTGCTGCGGTTCTGGAAACCCCGAGAGGGCGGCTGGTCGATCGACCCCAGTAGCTTCATCGGGCACAAAAAGGGCACAGCAATCGAGGATTTGCAGTTCAAGCGAAAAGGCAACGGTTGCGAAACGGTGTTCGCCAGTTGCGGCGGGGACGGCACTGTGCAGGTACGGTTGAAGTTTAAAGGGAACGAATCGCTTCTGCATCTATACGACTTTATGATAAAATACGACAAAAAAATCCAGCGAGTAAAAAAGTTAAAGCTGAAATGAACTATCTGAGTGATTTTTCGTAGTACCCCCCCCCTCGCGGGTGCATGTACCTACCCTTCTCAAGTGATAATCGTTTCTTGACAACAATAAATCTCGTGACAAGGCTTGCTTTGATTCAACAATAACAGATTTACGATGTGCGACAAGGGAAGAAGAAGTCCGTGATTTCGCTGCAGCACAGCGAAGACGGGTCCGGGTACGACGTGAATGTGCTCGACTGGAACCCCCTCCAGGGCGACATCATCGCCTCCGGTGCCGACGATGGCTCCATAAAAGTCTTCGACATTCGACACGCGGTAGAGAATTTCATAACAGTTTTTGTGACTCACCCTCTTACGGAAGGGATGATTTGCCTTTGCTATGCAGTGTGTTTAATTTTTATCCAGCTGTATCAGTATCACCAAACAAGGAGTAGAAAGATAAAACAAGAACCAACGCGGATTGCCAATTACAGTAGATCTTTCAACAATAAACACGACAGACGCCGAACGCAGCGGCCGCGGAGAATGGGGATCAGGCACTGATGGCGGAGTTTGACTACCACCGCAACGCGATCACCGCCATCCACTGGCACCCGTTGGACGAAGCCAGTCTGTGCGTGGCGTCTTGCGACCAGACGCTGAGTCTGTGGGACATGGCGGTGGAGCTGGACGAGGAGGCCTTGAAGGAGATGCACGAGAACGTCGAGGGTGCCGAGGACTTCCCTCCGCAGCTGCTCTTCCTCCACCAAGGCCAGCAGGACGTGCGGGAGGCCATGTGGCACCCACAGATCCCGGGCATGGTAATCTCGACCGCGGTTGACGGGTTCAACTGCTTCAAAGCGAAAGATAACTTTTGAGAAGATTTATGGAAGAAAGAATGCTTCAGACGTTGAAACACCAGGTTTAGCATAATTCTGGTCCTTATTCAGCGCGAAAATGTGAAGTCTTTTCCTTTTGCTACCAGAAATCAGGATGGACGTACTAGTAGGACCTTTGTGTGAAGAATAACCGTGAAGATCTAGCACCTTGTTGCGCGTGGTGACATTCGTGGCGGTCTTGCGAATGCGAGGACGTGGGTGCCTGATTGCGCGCCCTTGCTGACGTGAAAAAGAGCATTTTCAGTTTCGATGTTCCTCCGCCACGAGCGATGTTCAGTGAGGAAGAATTTTTTTTGAGTGGTCTTGAAAAGTATCGCAGGGAAGAGTCATAGAGACAAACTTTTTCTGCTTCTACAACTTGACCGAGTGAAGATGATTATCGGTTTTTTTGCTACAGTTTTCTTCTGGGACGGCGAGCTGAGTGAGTACTAAATTACCAAGAGAGCAGATCTCCTTTGACATATTCTTGTCTCCGTCCGAAAGAGAATAAGTAAGTAAGGTAGAGAGCTCTTGACAATCTATCAAACACCCTTGTTTTCCAGTGTGTACGACAGAAGTGTAGTGAAGGTTTATCGGCCTCGCACACATTACCCACATTCCCAACATTTTTCAAAACTTATGCTTCGGCCCGAACACTAAGAATTCAAAACCAAAAAGGTCACAGAAAAATATCGGGGTCTTGTTAGTTTCAGTAGAGGGAGCTGTAGACATCGATACCTTTTGATCTCAGAGGGGGTAGAAGTACGGTGTACAAGTTTGCACACCAAGACAAATAATTGGAGTCTCGCGGCCATTTACTAGAACTTTGTTTAAGAGTTGGTTGATTGTATTTTTGGAGAGTGCGAAGCAGTAGCTTTCACTTTGTTTCAACACCGTCAGTACTGTCATATTTCGTGTCATATCTGCACAGAGCTGGTTGTAATATTTTCCATTCAGAAGCATTAAATAAACCGATACAAAAATATTCTCACACGACTGACTTTAGCGCGGAGAGGAAAATAGCTCGGCTGACAATATGTTATCGCGTGCCCGTGTCGGCGCGCAGCAGGTGCTGAAAAGGCAGCACGGTCAACAGCAGGCGGCTTTGTTCTGGAAAAATGCAAGCGGCAACGCAAACCAGCGCGGCTTTTTGAACAGCCCTATGAAATGTAAAAATGTCTGGGTCTGGAAGAATGCAACTTGTGATGCTGCATTTGGATTTCAATATAATCTGTATTGCGTGAGCAGCAATGGAAATGTAATTCTTGCTACGCGGAGAGGGCATTTGTCATGCGGATAGGTATCAAGAAGCCCTCAAAAAATCTGTTATGCTAGGGCATGCATCACAGACATCATGGCTCATGCAAAACGTGCATGACAAGTCTCAGAATCTTCCAGACCCAGACATTTTTACATTTGATAAGCCCGTTCTATTCGCAATCCAAGGCGTTCGCCACAGCAACGGCGGAGTCCGCCGGCGGCGAGGGCGCGAAGCAGCACACTATCGTAAGGAAAAATCCCCCCTCCCCATATCAAAACGGAAATCTGTGATGCTGGATTTGTGTACACAAATCGGATTTATCTTGCAGTGAGACACTACAGGCAAAGCCTAAGCCTGCGAAGGGGTGTTTCGGCGTAGGTGCTTGGCATAGCAGAGGCCTGTCATCTAGCCGTAACAGCATTACAAATCGCCTGTATAAGTCGGCGGATTCTTTTGATTTGCCCCCTTGCAAGAGAGACAGGATTTGTGGTCACAAATCAGCAGCGACCGGCCTGCGGATATCGGGAGGAAAACAGGCACAAATCAGCAGCGCAAATTTTTAGGAGCATACCTTTTCAGTGTGGGGAGGGGGGATTTTTCCTCACAATACACACGACGGGGTCCTTTCTCCGGTCGCCGCAGTTTATCGCGGGCTTCATCGGCGCGAACTGCCTCTTGCAGTACCAGTTTGGGTCCACCAACTCCACCATCATCGATGACCGGTTCACCTGCGGCAAGGATCCGGACGCGCTCGCGGAGTTCTACGAGGCTCACGACTTGCTGGAGGTGATGATGCCAGTGCCCATGCTGTTCAAGTTTGTCATGGACCAAGTCACGTGGGACGGCGTGCCGCCTTCGGACGAGAAGCCAGCGCTCCTCACCATGGACGAGAGCAGATGCTATGTAGATAATAAGATCAATTTTTACTTTTTTTAGATTTTTGACAAGAATGACAACAACATGATCTTCTAGTTCTACGATGAGAACAAAACATCTCCAGTCTACCTCCACTCTTCACCACCAGCTTTTAGTTGTGTAAAACACGACAAATGAAACATCTAAATCGAGCGCGCTCTTCACTCAGGTCGGTCTCGTGGGTATGGATGTGGGTTTTGAGATCACGCGGGAAGAGGACGAAGATGACAAGTTGTGCAACTTCGTGCGGTACGAGCGGTTTATCCACAACATCCCCTTCCTGGCGGACTACTACAAGATTCCGGTCTGCGAGTCCACGTGGAAGTTTGGGTTTCGCAAGCTCACCTCCGAGGAGAAGGGCCTGAAGGGGAAGAAGTGCCACGCGCCGATGGACGAGCCCGAGTACGAAGTCTTCCACCAGTGCGTCGGCTACGGCGGCTTCTGGCTGTTCCGCTGCCTCATGTACGTGCACCACTGCCTATCCACAGTAAATTCGCCGTACACGTCGACGGATGTAAAAATACGGTGTCCGCATGACAGACAATGACAAAACTTGCCGTCGATCCTAGCCAGCATTACAAGCGTTACAGTCGAAATTGGAGAGTAAGAAATTTGTGAAGATACATATCTTCCAATTTATATTATTTTGTACGTGCTGTACGGGAAATTTGTATTGCATATTGCTACATCATCTGGGGTTGCGACAAGATCTGCAACAACTGGTGTTTTGCGCCCGGGGAGGACGAAGCCGCGGAGGAGGAGCACCGCCGCCAGGTCGCCTGTGTACCATTGTACGAAATTAAGCGGGTCCTGGGCATGAACCCGCCCCCGTCCGCGCCGGCAGAGGAGTAAGGGACCAGAACTATTGCGGTGTACTTGTACAGAAAGCAGGACCAAAAGTAGAAAAATATCAATATGGAGTATGTTCTCGAGTCCGCTGTTAGGTGTTATTACTTTAGACATACGTCGTCGTGTAAGTGTATCCGAAAAAAAAACAACCGTGAATCACATTGCCACCTTTTTATTTTCCCTGTTTGCGTTCGGTGAGCGGAAGTAAGCGTAAGGCTAAGGACCATTTATTTTCAAACCTGTTTATAGTAACTCCGTTGCCGTTCATTACTGATGTTTTTACCCCGCCGCGTAGCTGAGATGAGCATCACTTGCACCCTGGATATGAAAGAACAGGCTGCCACTTTTTTGTATGAATTTTCAGCGACAGTCACAGTCGGCCACACCCTGACACAATTTGCAACAGCGGCGTGCAGAGAAGCACCACGCCAGTCTTCTAGATTTTCACGTGACCCCGCAGTTGCGATGGATAGAAAACCTCTACTAGTAGGCGCACCGTACATCCACACCGTCAGACCGAAACTATCGATGTTTATTTAGGGAAATTTCGTGCAGTTTTATAGTATATTTCCATTTGGTTGTAACCGTAACGTAACTTATACTTAAAAAGAACAGCAGCAGACGATGAAAAAAAGCAACAAATTACCCCCCAACAAGACCCCTGGCTGACTAGACCGACCTTGACACGGTACTCAATCAATCTAACGATCAACATCTACTCCGACTGTTTTATAAATATGATATTGAAGGAGAGCGAGATACAGTTGCAGAGAAAAAGAACGAATACGAACAGCACATTTCTCTGTCCTTCTCAGGCATCATGACATCAACATGGAATCGAAAGCATGGGTATCTGAACGTGTTGCGATATAAATGAAAATGAAACGACTACATCTACAATGGATAATATCTCAAGAACGTTGAGTGCTTCGCTCCAGTGTGGAAGTAGTGGACACTTCAATGCGCGCTTGAGCAAAAGTACTTACTTCCTTTGTTGTTTATCAAGTTTTCTGATGTTCCATTCGCTTGAGTAGGATTGATGTGCGCCGTACCGATGCGGACGACGAGGATCTTGAGTACTTCTCACAGGGCTACACGATTGGCAGGCACCGGCTAGCGTAGCGATTATGCAACCTTTCCTCGAAGTCGAACAAAATCAAAATCGCAATAGAAACTCGGCCCGATCTGTTTGTTGTGCTCGCGGTTCATGACGAGAGCGAGAGTTTTTTGCTTTTTCGATTGCCTTCTTTGTCTTTCCGAGAAACGCTGAGGAGGTCCTTATTCGACTTGCTCGATGATCGTACTTTTCTACTGACATCAACTACAACTAAACGAAGAGAGCATGATCCATAGGTTGGTAAACAGAAGCACCCCTTGTGAAACTGCAACACCGGTGATTCACACCACCCTAGAGAAGCATCAAAATGAACTTTGATTTCGCCCCCTCCGGCGGCGGGGCGGCCTCGTCCTCGAGCCGTCCGGGCAACAATACTTACTACAGCAACGACCGACCACAGGGCCTGCCTGCTCCACAATTTCCTGAAAGCACCGGCGTTGCGTTTTTGGATCGCAGAATTCGGGAAGAAGAAATGCAAAAGCAGAAAAACTTCACAATCGACGACGTGTTTGCGCCCATGGAGGGGCTGCTCGCGGAGCTCGATACAGAGGACCAACTAGCAGGTTCTGCACCACCGCAAAACGGTGCCAGTCCAGTGTTTTCCCTATTCTTTGAAAATCAACCATCCCCAGTGAAGATTGATCATGCAAAATATGGAGCAACCAAAGTCGGCTCCTACTTTTCTAGGCATGTACAGAGTGGATGGCGATGCTGGGGATGGTTGAAGATTTTCAGGGAATACTTTCCATCACAGGAGAGCGGCAAGAAGAGTGACAAGAAGAAGCAGCAGAAAAAGAGTGTCTTCGATCAGTTCCGAGAGGCGCAGAGGAAAAACGAGGAGCGCCGGCAGCAGGCAGAAAACGATCTCTTCGGCGGGTCGTTTGGAGAAACGAAGACGGACGAGCAGGACGAAAATAAAAAGAGTGCAGCCAGAACTGGCGGTTTTTTTGGGACCAACGATGTTTACATATGCATTGCAAATATGTCTGGGTCTGGAAGATTGCAACTTGTCATGCTAAATCCGAACCATGCAAATATTTGTGTTGTATGAGTGCGAAAAGCTGTCCACTTTGGACCAAGTTGGGAGGGAGTTTCTCACGCAGGATAGGCATGGCAGAGACCTCACAGAGTCTGTCATGCTAGGTCCCGCATTCCAGACCTCCTGGGTCGTGGAAAACCTGCATGACAAGTTAACACTCTTCCAGACCCAGACATATTGGCATTTGATATTACAATCAGGAGGGCGATATCGACGACGACCCGATGGACGTGGACGAGGAGGAAAAGGACGAGGAGATCGTGTCCACGCCGTTGCCCAAGAACCGCGCGCCGCCCACCTGGGGCTACAACGACGTGCCCGAGGCCGACCGCTCCACGTGGGGGCACGGCATTCCGGAAGATTACAAGAGCGGGCGGGGGCGGGCGTCCCGGTACGGCGCCACCTACGAGGCGGTGGGCCCCAGCTTCGGCAGTTTCATGCCGCGGATGCACCGGAAGAACCCGCTCGTGAAGCGGGAGGACCAGCCGAAGCCGACCTACGAGGAGCTGCTCGACCCCGCGTTCTATGGATTGCAAATATGTCTGGGTCTGGAAGATTCCGAGATTTTTCATGCAGTTTTTCCAAGCTCCACCAACACCAAGGCTGGAATGCAGGGCATAGCATCACAGGTTCTGCAGCCCCTTGGTGATGCCTATTCTGCATGAGAAATGCCCTCTTAGCACCCTTTGCAAGTCGCGCAACACACATTTTTGTATGATCCGCAACACGCATGGCAAGTTCGCATCCTTTCAGACCCAGACATTTTTGCAGTTGATACGTTCCTGCAGAGCCAGGGCTACCACCAGCAGCGCGACGAGATGATGAAGAACCTCGGGTTCAACAACATCGAGCAACACAAGAAACTCTCCCGCGCGGGCATCCGCCGCCTGGCGCGGCGGGGCGGGGTGCGGCGGCTGGCGACCAACGCCTACCCCATGATCGAAGAAACCTTCAACGAGTTGATGTCCGAGATCCTGCACGACCTGCACTGCCTCCTGGATCTGAAAGGCAAGAACACGGTCACTTGCAAGGAACTGTGCTTCATTCTCAACCGACGCGGGGCAAACATCTTCGGAATGCAGAGGTGAAGGGACGAATTTTTTCGACTCAAGCTGCTAGAAGATTACGATGAGGATTGAAGTGTTGCGTTCGAACACCATCGAGTTTTATGAATCTCAGAGAAGCAATAAAAAAACAAATTCGGATTACTTAGTCTATGACGGAACTACCTACAGAAACAGAACCTAGAAATGAAACAGAGAGATTGGCTGTTGCGAAGGGAAAATCACACCAAAAGAAAACACTTTCTTGCTAAGAATCAGATTGACACAAAGAGAAGCAAACGGATGAGTTCTTTCATGTTTCCCCACGAAAATATTTTTTCCAAAATTTCGGATTGATGTCGAGATTCTCATTTTTTGGCTGTGTAGGCGCATGCAGTGCGCTTGCGCAGCCAATGCCAACATTGTTAACAATGTTGGCATTGGCTGCGCAATTTCAAATGAAGATTAAGGGATTCGATTGGAAATGGAATGAGGATCACATTCAAAGATAAAAGTCTGAGAATTTTTTAGAGTCATCTCATCATGTAGTATGAGATTATGAAAATCAATGTATGGATCATAATGTATTGGAAATATTTCAATATTTTTCGAGGATTTTCTTGTTTTAACAAAAATTCCAAAATTTTGAAGATGTAATTTCTGATTTTTCAGGATTTCACCCGGAATGGAATCGATTATCGATTAAATCCAAAAATCATCCAGAAAGATTAATGGAATGGGGTAATAAATTAATTTCTTAAATTAATGGGAAATTGAAATTCAATAAATTCCGGTCGTACAATAGATTCTCGGATGAAAAATTATGATTATCGGGTTGCAATCGATGATATTTTCCAAATATGAGAATATAATAGATCATTCTCGGGATATCGGATTTTTCGAGGATCATATATTAATATTATTATTAATTCTCGAAATCTCGGAGATAATAAACAAAGAAATCATGGATTTTTAAAAATTTTCCTGGGAAATCCAATATTTTTTAGAATTTTCCTGATTTCTGGATCGAATTCCGAGAAAAGAAATTATGAAGAAAATGATTGAAAGAATTTTTTCTGAAATTTATTCCAGGAGAATAAATTCAGATTTTTTTTTTCTTTCTGATCATATCTGAAAATGATTCTCTCAAATTTTTCGAAGATTCAATCAGAGATTATTCATGGGTGTATCATTGATTTCCATCATCAAATCATTTTCTCTCAAAAGATAATCTAAGATTTTTATTTTCTTATTTCCAATCGAGAGAAGAACAAGATTTATCGGATCAAAAAAAACGAGATTTATTTGGCTTGATAACATCAAATTTTTCGAAGATTCAATCAGAGATTATTCATGGGCGTATCATTGATTTCCATCATCAAATCATTTTCTCTCAAAAGATAATCTAAGATTTTTATTTTCTTATTTCCAATCGAGAGAAGAATAAGATTTATCGGATCAAAAAAAATGAGATTTATTTGTCTTGATAACATCCCCAGACACACATATGAACCAAACACCGAAATGAGACCGACTTATCAATTTCAATCTTGATCTCCATTCATTGATTCCATCATTCAAATTTATCTTTTGAGAGAAAATTATACATAACTTGATGATGGATATTTATGAACAAGAAAGACAGACAATCTCGGACCGGACCTATGAGACAATTTGAGTCATGCCCTGACATGACAAGAAAGAAAGAAAGAAAGAAAGGATAATCTGGAATCGGATCTACGACAAATTTGAATCATACCCAGACACGACCAGAAAGAAAGAAGGAATGAATCCGATAATCAAAAAGAATTTTTGTCATCTTGGGAATTTGGAATTCACGATGTTGTTTGAAATTAGAAATCACAGGTGTTTTTTTTGTAGGATCGTCCCCGCGCAAGTGGTATCCATGTTCAGTGGTTTTAATACATTCAGAAAGTTTTTTTGTTGGTTGGTCTTTTTAGTTGTCTTTTCTTCCCGTATTTGATCCCTTGAGTTTCTTGGAAATCGTTTTTGATGATATAAAAATGGGGATGTCTTGTACCTAGACCCCAAAACCCATGAACCCAAATTTATTAATAAAGAGATCACAAAACAAAAGCAAAACGCGTTCAACCATCTCCATGTCGCCGTGTGCTCAGGTGAAGACAGACAAGTTGTAAGTTCCACGGAAAAAATACTAAACTTCTTAGTGCATCAACCAAAGAACTCGATGCCGAGCTCGTCTTGTAGCATTTGTGCCCAATGGTAATTATAATCATCATCCATTGAATAGTCGTCCTCATCCTCATCGGAGAAGTGATCATCCTCATGCCATTGGCCATCGAGTCCCCAGTGCCCGCGTCCGTGTCTCTCCCTCTCTTCGGCCCCGAGCGCTCTGGCATGCGCGAGAGCATTGTGCCGCAACAAGTGGGCACGCTGACCATCTAAAAACTCCGGAGGTACAACATCAGCAAGGACCTGTTGAGCATCGGGGGGCAGACCGGCTCCGTCGCGATACGGATTCCACCCGCCAGGCGGGTTCGCTTCTTGCTGTTCCACAAGGGATTGCGCATCCGCAATCGCGAGTGTGAACTGCAGCTGGTCTACGGATTTGTGTTGTTCGTGTTCCTGATTTATTTGGTCCTCGCTATAGACGTCGTCGTCTATGCCCTCTCCTGCAACATTGCCGTAGAAGTAATCACTATCGTCGTGGCGTTGTTGATTGTCGTCGTAACTTGAATTTCGGGCCCGGTTCTGGTCCTTGTTCAAAATCATTTTCTGCAGCTGGTCGGCGTAATCGTAGAAATTGCGAAAGTCGTTCAAATTGGTGCTGAGAGAAACCCCGCCTGCGCCGACACCCGATACGATTTCCGCAGGACAGAAGCGCCACAGTGGCGAGGCGCCAGAAATCGCCCGGGTGTCTTTGTGGTTTTGGAGCGCGGAAAAGTTCACCACGGGCGGAGACTCGACGTCGGTTGGGCTGTTCGTTCCCGAGCCAGTTGCGCCGTTGGTTCGGGGATCATGCGTTCTTTCGTAATTATATGACGACCACGTGCCCCACCCAGATGGTGAAGCTTCACCGCCAGAGTTGTACATCCATGGATTCCTGGTCGACTGTTCGTTCTTCTTGGGCTCCTCGTTTTTTTTGTTCTTGCCACGCCCCTTGCTACCTTTGTCCTTCGCGCCCTTCTCGCCTTTCACGTCTCGGTCCTTTAACGAGCCAGCTTTGGAATTATCGGACGCTTGCGGTGGAGCTCGATACGTCATCGCGAGTCTCTGCCACACCGTCTTTAGGCCGAGGTACCGGAAATCCAGGGTGCACCCTTGCAGGACCGTGCGCAACATGTGGAACAAGGTGTTGTTGAAAAGGGGCAGCTCCGGGAAGGTTCGCCGAAACCACTCGATCTGCTTCAGTGCCAGTTGCTTTCGGTTGCTGATCAGCTTCGCAAACCTGCAGAATTCGCGGGTGAGGGTGATTATGATTTTTTTCAGGCAGCTGTTGTCTTATTCTTGCGAGTAAGCTCCTGGCAGGTCAATATTCGCAACAAGTGTACTGATTTAGGCAAGTATCATCAAAAATATAACGGTTGGTGAAAACAACAACGTTTTTCATCAAATCACAGGAGGAAAAATCGTTTTACTCTGTCGCCGCCGTAATGCTCATCATGTTCGTCTGGATTTGTTGACCCGGGAGTCGCGCTCGAGCTCCTGCATGCGGATCATGTCGGTAATCGAGGTCGACCTCCTGCATTTTTTCTTCGCGCAGGGCGAGGATATCCATACCCGACGCCTTGCTGCGATCTTCGGCCTCGATCCACATAGCTACCGACGTCTCGTCTGGCGAAAACCACACCTGCGTCTGGCCCGGAGCGGGCTTCTTCCCGTTATATGATCCTGTTCGGTCTCCGGCAGCGATCATTTGGTCGAGACGCGGGTTCCATTTCGTGGCACTGGTGGGTAGGATCACATAGCCAACAATCTTGTAGTCCCGAGCCGCTGGTGGCGCTAGATCCGTGCTGGCCTCTAGCAAAGCGTCAAAGTCCGCAAGAGCGTCTGCAGGGTTGCAGTTATAACCCGTCGTCGTGGAAGAGGAGGCTGAAGAAGAAGAAGTCGTTATTTCCGTCGGGAGCGTGACACAAGCGTAGATGCGCAAGCTGGACTGTTTCCAGGCTGTTTGCCGGCTTTTTTTTTCGTACAGTATAGTGTCCTCGATCATTTGCCTCACCTCTTGTTCGAGCTCTTTTTGCTTCGCGGCCTTCTTCCCCTTTTTCCCTTTATTTCCTTTGCCCGGCAAAGAATTATTCGTGCCCGTCATCATCGCGGAAGTTGACTCCTTGTTCTTCTGAGTTTCCTATGAAATGCAAAAGTATCGTACTAGTATAAATTGCAATACAAATTGGCCCAGCATTACAAATTAAATTTGTAATGCGGATTTGCCTATGAGAAAGAGGTTTGTAATGCATAACTGCAATTACTACGAGTACGATACTTTTGCACAGGATATTTCCTGTGCTTCGGCTATTTTTTGTAGCACCGACGACGGCACCAAGCTTCCCGCCTCGAAGTCCTCGTCGGTCAAGTGCAGCAGCATATGGGAATGTCAGGATCGAAATCGTCAAAGTTGAAATGATTTGCCATGCATAAAATGGATGCCACTTGTAATCCAGTTTCCAAGTGGCGCATGACAAATTTGGGTAGAACCGAAATCCAGTTTGTCATGCTGTTTAGGCAAAGAAGACTGCTCCTGTCGTGCTACTCTGGCAGCACATTGCATACCCCTAGTCAGGCTTACGATCGGTCTCATTTGCCTGCTCCCCAATACAGGTCTCCAGTGCCGTACATTTTATGCATCACAAATTTTTCGATTTTGTCGATTTCGATCCTGACACATCCATACAGCAGTGCGCGGGTGTCGTTGTAGGGGAGACACCGCCAGCCGTAGGTTCGGTGAACGCTGCCAATGTATCAACTGTAAAAATGTCTGGGTCTGGAAGAATTCATGTTTGTCATGCTTGTCTGGCATGACTCTTAAATCTGTCATGCACGTTACCCACAAGCTCCGTTTTTCTGTGATGCAGAAGCGCAGTTTGTCATGCGGAATAGGCAACACCTAGGAGCTCAGAAACTTGTCATGCTGAGCCAGCATCTTTAGCCTCATCATGAGACGCCACTCAGCATCACAAGTTTCCAGACCCAGACATTTTTACTTTTGATACAATGCGGAACAAGTCACCCGTTTTCAGTTTCTTCAGATCCGGGGGAGGAACTTCCATCCGTTCGAAGGACTTGCTTTTCTTGCCATTCTTGCCGATGCCTTTGTCCTTCGACTCCTTCAATTTGATACACGGTTCTTTTCTGGCGCTCAAGCACCGAGCGGGTTGAATCATTTTCCGCACCACTGCGTCGTGCAACAAAAACAGGTGCAGCAACCCCGACGTCAGCAAGCTCGCGGTCGCGAGACCTTCTCCCCGCCGCGCAAAGTCCTTGCGACACTTTTCGGAGACTGAGAGACGACTGTTCATAGTTTGGCGGTTCAGCGCGTCAATCGTGTCGTTCACGTGGTAGTCGAGGAAGTTAGGTTTGTTGTTCTTCTTGGAGGAAGTAGCGGCCACATCGCGCTTCTGCTGCTCCAGATCGGAAAAGTAGTTTGCGACCAGGCGGATCAACACGTCATGAAACGCGGTCGTTTGCGCCACCCCAATGTCCCAGTAGTCCTCCAGCTTCAAAGACGCGTCACTGAAATTCGTTTCTTGCGCGCGGCGGTCCTCCGTGGTTGGGGTTGGCAGCATGTGGGGGAATTTTCCTCTGATTTTGACTATGCTGCCCTCGAGAGGGCTGTTATTATCTGCTTGCGAACCCGGGGTGCTGCGGGATGGAGGAGAGAAGAAGGGGCTGCGAGAGGAGGAACTCCCGGATGCGACGTCATCATTCTTGTTCCCATTCGTGATTTGCACCTGCGTGGAGGTTTGTTCGCCCGTAGTAGCTGTCATCGCGAATTCCGCCAATTCCAAAATGCCCTCACGCCCACACAGCAGGATCTCGAACAGCTTCAAAAGTTTTTCTTCGAGGCTGACGCGGGTAAAATGCTGCAGTTCCACGTCCAAGCTCATTTTGTCGGCGCGCCGCGGCGCTTTTGTGTGGGCGTGCGGTTCGACGGAGTGGTTGAAATAGTCTGCCAGCGTGATGGTTTTCACTTGCTTTGCCTTCTTCACTAGAGTTGTGCCAGTCTTGGTCGTCGTGCTGTCGCTAAAAGTTGGCGAAGATCTCCCCGCGGACGCGTGAAGATCCTCAGCACGGGATGTTGCTTTATCCTTTCTCTTGTTTCCCGCCGCGGCCGGGGTTGTGGCAGCACTATCGGTGTAGTTCTTCTCGTGGTAGACCCCATTGGTCTCCGTGAAGGCCGCCTGCTTCATGTGGAAGCACAGGTCGCCCACGAGGGTCCGCACCTCCACGCTAAGGGAGGGCAGCAGCGCGTTGACTCCCCCCTCGGTTTCATCGGACTGCTGCATCTGCTTCTCTTCCATGGCGTCCAGGCGGTCCTGCAATCGGAGGGCCTCGTTGGACAACAACTCCTCGATCCGCTTGAAGTTCAGCGCGTACGAGAACAGCCGACTCGGGTTTTTGCCATCCTCCGCGGAAGCAGGCTTCTGGCCAGGCGCTATCGGAATGCCACCTCCCATCATCGTTGCTCCGTTGTAGTAGGAATACTCGGGCCGGTCTGCTTTGCGCAACAACTCCTCGCCGTCGAGCATTCCGAGTTCCTCGAGCTCCGTCAAGGCCTTGTCGCGCGCGCGCCACATCTCTGCAAAGTTGGCCAGTTCATCTTGATGCGAGTTCTTCTCCTTCGTACTACTATGGGCAAGAACTCCCGCTTTCGAATTTTTTGTACTCTTCTTTTCCTCTCGCAACTGTTTCGCGAGGTTCTGTTTTTCTTCCACCGTCGCTACGGCCTTCCTGGCACGCTCCAGCTGCGTTATGGAAGTGTCAGAATCGAAATGGACAAAGTCGAAAAATTTGTGACGCACAAAATCGATGCCAGTTGGAGCCTCAGTTTCCAAGTGGCGCATGACAAATTCCGGGAGCACCCACATCCAGTCTGTCATGCTGTTTGGGCAAAGAAGGTTGCTCCTGTCGTGCTACTCTGGCAGCATATCGCCTCTCCCTAAACAGGCTTGCAATCGGTCTCATTTGCCTGCTCCCCAATGCAGGCCTTCAGTGTCCTACATTTTATGCATCACAAATTATTTCGATTTTGTCGATTTCGATCCTGACACATCCATATGCGTGTCCAGGAGAATATGGTCCGGCGTGACGCGGTAAAATTATCAAAAGGAAAAATCCCCCCTCCCCATATCGAAACGAAGTTTCTGATGCTGGATTTCCATACACAAATCAGATTTGTCTTGCAGTAGAGGAGTGCAGGCATATGTCAAGCCTCAGTCGAGAGGTTTTGACGTAGGCGCCTAGCATGACAAACGTGTATGCTCTAAGCCAAACAGCATGACAAACCGCCTGCAAAATGCGGAACGCTTTCTGGACTTGCCTTCTTGCAAGACAGACAGGATTTGAGGTCGCAAATGCGCATCGCAAATTTTCAGACGGATACGTTTTCGATATGGGGAGGGGGGATTTTTCCTTACGATAAAAATGTTGGCGTGTTCTTATGAAACGCACTACTATTTTTATTCGCTGCGAGTGTAACTCCGCAAAAATCGATCTGGCCCGCAGCGCCTGCTTGCTGATTTTTCTTCGCTATATTGTCCAAGATCTCTTTCACTGGCTTGCCGTTCACAGTCCTCTTTGGCTTGTTTTGGTTCTTCTTCGCCCCACGGACAAGAGTCGGCTGCGCAGCAGGGCCGCCGCCCGAAGCGTCCCGAATGGCCCGCTGGAGAGATGAATTGAGCTCATGAGGAGCAGTCACCGAAGAGAAGTCACTGCTTTTATTCTTGCTTTTCGTTTTGTTACTGTCAGCAGCTTCGTCCGACAGCTGGTTCACCTCCTGAAAGGCTTTGACGTCAAAAGCCGGGATATCATCGCTCGCCTGCGCCAACAATTCGTCAAAGTTCTTCAGAGGCTTCAGCCGGTCAAAATTGTCACGGGTGACGAGCACACCCCCCTCCTTCGCTGCGACGGGTAGTTGGCGCAGGAACGCGGTGGCTGGACCGGTGGACAACGGGGAGGTCATGGTTAAGGAAGTTTGTTCGAACTTGCTTCTACAGGTGATTCAGGAGGTAACAGTAGTAGTTTCAAAGTAATTAGAATATGGCGACAAGCGAAATTTTTATTCGGGACTAGGAAAGAGATATGATACAGTAGGTTTGTGGACACAAACTGATCGAACAAGAATGAGAGTCAGTTAGAGGAGCCATGGAGCGACGCTATTAGTGCGTTTCCAAAAAAGCAGGATCTGAAGGCATCTTGCGGCTTGTCAGATCTTAGTTGGCACCCATTTTTCTTAATGTCAACATTTATCTCATGTTTATGCCTACTTGCGCCTTGTCGTGTCATCACCAATTCTTGAATTCAACTCGTTTTGGGAAGAAAGTCCCATGACTAAGTATAATGATGGTGCTGTTCAAGTTCATGTTCTTCTTCTTCCTTGAGAAACATTTCAGCAAGTGATAGTGATCTGCACACTCAAGGCTATGTATAGAGCATTGGTCGCGGGCCTCGTGCAATAAAGGTCAACAAGGTCGTGCCTTGTCGTCGTGGGCATTTTCGTTCAGCGATACCTGCTGACAATGTACGACGTGTGTATGAAGATGGAAGCGAACATGTCACGTAGTGGTCCAAGTACGAGGCTAACATTCATCGGCTGATGCGTCTCAGGATTTTATTTTGCTTCTACTATTCAAGAAATTCGTGGTTGCGAAAGTATTCGTTCTGCAAAATCTGCGTGAATAAGAGCGCGCGAGAGTCGTGCAAGAAGTGGGTTCGCGAAAAAGCATATCGATCAGGTCGTGCACAGGAGTGCAGTGGCTGACCAAGCAAAATGAAGCGAGTTGTAAGCAGCACCCGACTAATATGGCGAGCAAGATCATCTTTAGCGATGCTGACGTGCAGATGGCAAGTTTTTGTTTTTCGGAGTCGCGGCCGGAGATCTGCAAAAAAAATACTTTGGACGAGAAACAGAAACACAACAGTGGCCGGTAAAATTACACGAAGAATATGCTTTTGTTGTCGATGTCCTCATCCTGTATTTTTTCTTTCTCATCGAGGACTTGATGCTGTCGCTCGTCGCCTCGCCTCCGATGCCCGTCAGTCGAAATTCCGCCAACGAGGGGCCGCTCGGGCTCTTTGGCAATATTGATGCTCCCATCACTAATGTCCTGCTTCTCCGCTGTACTACTACCCAGCCACATCTTCACGAGTTTTTTCTCTTGCAGTCTCACACCCACCACATCCGCCGGGTCGTTAATTTCATCGGGCAACCGCAAGTCGAGATGGTGTGCGCCATTCGGAATGATCAGGGCAACCACGGAGTCGGTTAAATTCTGTAAGTAGCCGCCCGGGTGCCACGGGTCCAGCAGCCCATTGGAATAGATGATGTTGGAGATACTGCCAGCTCCCTGCGTGTCAAAGTGGTACCTTTATTGAGGTGTTTTGAAAAAATCAAGGACAAGTTCACTTCTGCCTGAAGACAGATCAAATTTGCAAGCTGCTGGTGAGTTTCGTGCTTCATCCACTTCAACACGCGGTCCCAGCCGTCATTCTTGTCTGACACCACATTAGAGACAGAGGTGTCCTACAACATTCATACGAACGTAATCAAACAAGCACATAAACGATGAGGTTAATGTCTATTCTTACACCGAGGAGACAGTCACAAAAGCACATAAACATATATTCATAAAAAAAGCACAAAATACGCGCCAAGCCGCACCGCCATGTCGGTGGGTCGGGGCAGGACGTTGTATTTTTTCACACAGTAGTTTTCCAAATGTTTCAGCGTCCAGTCTCTCTTGGGAAACATGTCCTTCTCGCCGTCGCTCGCTACCACGATGTTCATGTCGGCGCACATTTGGTAGTCCCAAGCTTTTGCGTCGTTGTCCGTGCCACACCCGGTTTGGTCCGCACATTCGACAAATAGTTTGTACATGTCGAGGCAGGTACCTCGAAGGAGTTATAGAGTAGATGATTTGTTATCGCTTTTTTCTTCATCCTGGTTATGATAGTTATCTGCGTTGTAGTGCCTGCAGCTTTTTCTGAAGACAATAGCGACAGATGTATCAATCTGTTGCTGCCGGCCACAATTTGAGTGGGTACTATTTACCTGGCTCACTCTGGTACGGCAAGGCCACGGCATCGGCCAGGCCCTGGACGGGATCTCCACTTTTGCCCCCGGCGTCAACGAGTTCACAGGCCTTCTTGATCGGCCAGGCGGGGAGCTTTGCGAGAAAGTCGGTCGCGTAGGGGTAGTCGCACATGGCCATCTCGGTCCAGGCGTTGCGCGCGTACTGCATGAAATGACTCCACTCCGACGGCTTGAGGCTGTTTTGGCACAGTTGGAACTTTTTCCGGATCTCGTCCAGTGTAGTGGTCGTCGCGGTTTCACTTTCAGTTGGCCTCGATGAAGTACTAGTTGCCTCAACACCAGCGCTCCTGCTTGTTCGTCGCGCAGCTGCTTGGAAGGCGGTTTCCAGCTCTTGAAAGGCCTGGCGCACGAAGCCCGGACAGGTCTGGGACACCTGTTTGGCCGAGTGCGTGACGCTCTCGTAGAAGGTCATCTGGTTGTCGCTTTCCGTCTTGAGGTTAAAGGCTTGCGGGATGGGCGCGCTGGCGGCGATGGCCGCGTGGAACAGGGTGGGGTACTTCTGCCGCATCAAGGAAGCCAGAATGCCCCCGTAGCTGCCGCCCATTACCACGACCTTCTTGTTTTCTGTATTGTACTGCTCCATGAATCTCGCGTAGTCCGCAATCGCCTGTTCGACGCGCAGGTACTGCATGTGCTCCGGGCTGTCAAACGACTTGTCGCCAAAGGGCAGCGAGGAGCCGTAGTAGCGGTGCTCGGCAAACACGATGTCGGCCTGAAACTCCGCGGCCCAGGAGAAAGGTAAACCCGTGTTATTCCAGAAACCCCCGATGCTGCCCTCGTTCCCCGAGTAGAAAAAGATCGGGCCGGTCTTTGCGGCGAATTTCGAGAGGCCCAGGACCTTGATTTTGAAACTCGGGCGGTCCGCCGCGTCGTCGAAGTGGTCGACGGGCACCCCGAATGGAATTGAAATGTGTCTAGGTTTGGAATATTGTTGTACATGAAGAAAGCTTGTAAAGAGTAAGTGACGGCCACCCTGCAATATTACGCTACCAAGAGGTAGCACGACAAGTTTTTGAGCCGCTATGTGATTTGTGCTCCGCTTCCTGCCTTTTTGCATGACAGGCGAGAGGTCCTATTTACGCCTATCTATCGCAGTCGCGCCAGCACAGCAGGAGCACAAGTCTTGCAATCTTCCAGACCCAGGCATCTCTACAATGCATACCTCGAACCATTGCGTCCACTCAGGCTGCGGCGGGGTGACAGTGACCGAGGAGGACGAGAGAGCATTCTTCGCTTCTAGTCCTCGACGTGTAGGTCTCGCGGTCGTGATTAATATGGTGGACGTCGAAGCAGTAACGAGCAGCGCAATTCCTGAGAAATTCCGTAGTACTGCAATGGACGAAGAGAAACACAAGCGCGACTTTTTCGCTGCAGAAGTCCTCCTGCAGACCGCAGCTTCTGCTTCCGTCATTCTGCTTCTGTGCTTTTATTCCTACTGGACGCTTTGTGTGGCGCAAGGCCCGCTCAGAAAAGAAAAAGGCAGTAGCCAGAAACGACGACAAAAAAACGCAGACTTTGAATTTTCTTCTGTCGTGAACAAAAAAAAGATTACTTCAATGCCCAATCACACTCACCAGAACACTTCATCGCAATTCAAATATCGGCATAATGAAGCCACACTCGCGAATCGTAGAAAAGAAGAGTCTTTTGAACACAACAGTCTGCGATGTATCCGTATCCCGAGAATCTACACAAAGGTCCATCGTCATTTTCATTGTTTTTTTTTTCGTACTTGAGCTTTTAGTTCCATTCTTCTTCAGGTCTTCTCATCACTATTTTTTTTTTCAGTCCGCCGAGACGGGACCCTTGCGGGCGAATTCACTATTTTTGTTTGAGGAGATTATGATTTCGTCTTGTCTGAACTTGCGCTTGACATCCTTGCTTTGGAGAATAGGTATGCTTTTTTTGCTGATAGAAATCAAAAAGATGAATAAAAATGAATACGGTGTCAGAACGACTTGCTTTCCCTTTCTGGAGAATTAACGTGGTCGTTAATTTCTGCCTCGAGGTCGTTCTCGACGCAGACAAGCTGTTACAGCAATTAATAAATATCGCTTTGAGCAGCTGAAACTGGGAAATCGAAGGATTTTCGTGACTTCAACACGTATACACTCGGTAATGACCATGTAAATGTAAATGAGAATAGCATCGAACAATGGAAGCAATGGTTTCCTAGTGCTCGTATCAATGAAGCAAAAAAAAATAGTACCACTCCATGATAAGTAAATATGATTATGATCCTACTGCTACCGACGCAAAATAGTCAAATAGTCATCATTTTTTTTCATTTTTATAGTCGTGAAAATGAAAAAGACATTTTCCCAGGAAGTGAATATTCGGTTAGCGAGCAACGGCGCCGCCTCCGAAGTTTTCTTCTGGTTGAACAAACTGACGGGAAAAAGGTAATTCAGTTTCTACTGGCTTACCCTTGGCTAGACAAAGAAAGATTTTATATTTTTTGTTCATCAAGCATAAGCAAGTAAGTAGCTGTGTTGTCTTTAGATTTGGACGTGGAGACTTCATGAAGTGTCTTTTTTTTCATCGCTCTTCAAGATTCGGACGCGCAGGAATGTCGAGAAAAAATCACATTTAGGGAGCAGAAGATACGGGCGCTCCGTCCACTGCAGCCGCGATGTCGTGGCCTTGGTCAGTCGCCCGCTGCAACACCTCCATTCTGCGGCCCGGAAAGGTGCACCTCCACTGCCGGTGGCCAGCGAGTTTTTTGAAACTTAGCGTTGCGCCGTCGGTCATGTCTCTTACCCCCGGTGTGAAATATTCGGCGTTGAGCCACCGGTCCCAGTCTCCCTGTTCGCTGCGCGAACGCAAATAATCCCACCAGCGCTCGTATTTCTTGTCCACACGGTTCGCCCACAAAAAAGGTATCGACAGGACGTTCTTCTCGTTGCGCCATGCGTCGACCGAGTCCCGCAATTCGTTCGCAACATCAATAGGCAGTTCGTTGGGCCGCACAAAATGATCAGGTGGAAAAATGTCCTAGTCTGGACCAGTGCGGTTCTTTTTGATGCAGGTTTCGAAACACGCAGGTGGCAATGGTCATCTGTGATGCGCTCAGAAACATAGCAAAAGGCTTCGAAAACACCCTTCGTTCATGCCCACTTGCCACACACACGATCACGAGAAAATCAAAATATGAGTAATCGCTTTTTCTTATAATAAACGGAAACAAGATCAAGAAGAACATACATGGCCACTTCTTGCTGCTCATCATCATCATCGGTTGAGCGGCTGTAGTGCTCTTTGCCGACCGGGTATCCCCACGCCTATACATATTGGCGAGCCCCGATGTGGGACTATCTACGAAGGACCGAACGGATGGGCCTTTTCTAGACCGAGGCCATACCTCGCGCAGGATAAAAATCATCGATTTCCACAGCCAGCATGACAAACTTGCATCTGATCAGACCCAGACATGTCCGCAGTGCATAAACATCATCCTCCGGCGGGCTCCATGGAAATAGGAATTTCAGCACACGCTGGCATACGAAAGTTTTTCGATGAAGATGATCATCCGAAGATGGTCTGGCAGGTTGGTTAGGATACGTCGTCGGGCACTCAGCAGGAGAATTTTTTGCTGCAGGCGGTGCCCCCTCATCGTAGTAGCCTTCGACCCAAAAGTGCACGTCAAAGTACCCGCGAACCTTGACACGCATCAAACGCATTTCCACAGAGCCACTCACTACTGAGTCAGCGCCAAAGGTTCTCTCAGAGGCAGCATCATCATCATCATAATCATCATACGCAGAGACGTTACTTTGGTCGTCTCCCTCCTGCTCCGATTGTTCTTCTTCTTGGAGATGAATGCAGTGCAAATAATACGTCTGCGTCTGGAAGGCGGTGCATTTTACATCGCACGAAGATCATCTTTCATGCATCCACAGCAAAAGGAAAAGTTGCTGTTGCTGGTATCGTGTCAGCAAGAGATGAGCGTTCGTGCCGTGAGGATTTCTACTTTTAGGCATTGAGAGGCCTTCGTGAATAAACGTGCAATTTTGAATGATGGTGTACGAGCTTGCATGCCAGAAGTTTCGGGTAACCGAATACGAACAATATGACAAACGTCTGCACCACCCTTCCAGGAGACCCGGACGCATTGGCATTTGATATCCTGCTCCTCCTCGGAATCTTCATCTAGTGGTATTGTTTCATCTTCCCAAGGCCCCTCTACGAGGTCCACTGTCAGTTGGTGCAAGAACACCAGGCCGTGCGGACGGTACTGCTGGACTTTTGTCATCTGACTTTTCTCCGAGTCGCTGAGAGGCAGCAATTGCAGTCCGCTGCTGTCCCGGAAACCAAGATGAGCGAGGTCCAGCCAGTAGCCGGAACTAACGCACGGTGTGCGACTCAGGTGGTCGTCACGCATATTTTTAGGACGAGTGTCACGCATAGAATTGATTTCGGAAGGGAACCGGAAACGAGGGTCATTCTGCCACCATTCTGGTAGTTCGGCTAGTGGGTACTGGGTGCGATGGGAAGGCTTCCCGGCCAGTGCGTCGGTCGCTAGCTCGTGGGCAAACAGGTCTTTGACGAAAAACGGCTGTAGTTCTCGAGAAACAGGAACGGCTGCGGCTTCTTCCGTTGCTGCAGCAAGCCCGGCATCCACTGCGGCAACGGCTTCTTCTGGTGCGGCCAGAAGTGAAGCGAACGCTTCCCCGGTCACACGGGGTTCTTGTGCCAGGGGAAGATCGTTCCTTTGTGCAGCGCCAGTTGGAGCTGCTGCAACGACGCCGAACGCCCGAAGCGTAGAAGATGTTGCAGGATGCTGCTCTCCTCCAGGGCTGCCTCCCGGACCTGTTTCTGTGCTTGCTTGCGACACCTCTCCCGGTGCAACGCCGGCGCTCGTCGTTCTTGCGCTACTCGCTGAACTGATACTTTGGCTTTCTTCGTTTCTGGGTGTAATTCTTGTTTCGGACCTTGTTTGTTTTTGTTCCAAAAGCCAATCCACGAAGGGATCGTGCCCGGCCTGCGGAGTTTTTACGGTTTCGTCTAAGGACAGTGGCGCCGCGAGAACGCCCTCGGGGAACGCGTGCAGCACCACAAAGTCGTCGAGTGTCGGCTGCTTGTCCACAAGTAGGTGGTACTCCTCTATTTCCGTCGCTTGTTCTTCGTCTGCTGCTGCACTCGGTGGAGTACCGCCAGCTCGCTCGAACACATAGCGCGGATTTCGAAACATCGCATTTTTCGAGGCAGAAGGCGTGGCACAGCTTCGCACGAGCGGAGCATTCGTCGAGAGTTCTTGTCTTCGAGCGTCGCCAGTGTCATTCATCCCGAGAGCAGAGAAGGAACCTAGACTTCCGGCGTCCGCGCACTTGAACTTCAGGGAGAGTACGGGCGTCGGCGCTAGAAAGCCCTGGTCTAAGCGGGCAGACTCGGGTGCTGCATTCGCGGAAGCAGAATCTGAGGAAAGTTGAATTGTAGCAACCTGTGGACTCCTCCTAGTGTCACTAGCTGGACGAGGTGGATGAACATCAGCCACTGCATCGGCACCATCTATGGGGTTTCCAGCCGCGTCGCGGGGAGGAATCGTCGGTTGCGCTGCAACCAAGTCGAGCAGTTTATCCAGCTCTCGCTGGTTAGCTACTGTGACCGGATCGCCTGACAGAAGCCTAGTACGGGTAGTTGATTCTCTTGTTGTTGCACTAGTGTCGCGTTCTTGATGTTGGTGTGCGGGAGTGACTCGGAAGAGTACGTGCTTTTTATTCGGCGTAGGTGTTCCGGCTGTAGTTGCGTCGGACGCAGGAGATGATGAATCTGGTCCCCCGGCCTGCCGGGAACTTGCGGAGGAAGCTGCAGGCCACTCGGGAAACGCGACCACGTGGTACAAAGGCCGACTCGCGGTATCGTATTTCCAGTCGCGTTTTGTTCTATCCAGAATCCTGTATCTTTCCAGAACCGGGTTGGATTGACTTGAGCACAGACTGCTGACTGGCGGCTCATCGTCATCCCTAGAATCAGGGCGAAAATGGGATGCTTCTTCACCCATGAGCAGTGCCGTTCTCCGGTCCGCTTTGTGTCGCTTCAACGCGGGATGGAGATCTCGGGCCGGTGACGTTCCAAATGCATTGTGCTGACTGGAAACAAACACGGACCGTGGAGGCGGCAGATGAGCCGATTGGCCGACGACGGTAATCGCGTTTGGTCGATCAAACGCGGGCAGTACAGAAGGAGCGAACTGGCGATCATCCGCCGTCTGGGCCTCGTGTGGAGAAGACAGCTCCAGCAGCTTACTAACCCTCGGCAGCCACTGGTATGAGATCGGGAGACCGTGCGGACTGTCGTCTATTTTCTGACTGTAGAGCGGACCGTGGATCTCTTCGCTCACAAGCAATTCGCCTTTCTTCGAAAGAAACTCCAGGTGGTACAGGCCGATTTGTTGCGCTCGGAGCGCATCCGGCGACGCGCCGGGGCGAAAAACCGCGTGGAGCGGTTGGCCAACACTCTGGTCATCTGCGTTTTCAACTCTCTGGGCATCATCTGCGAAGACGAGGCGCGCCAAGCTGTCAACCGCGCCCCCGGTTCCATCGCTGTCCGGCACAAACCGAGTGTGCCTCTGAAAGAAGGTCCGCACCCACAGGGACAGAACTGGGTCAACGGGCGTGAGCCACTGTTTCGGCAGTGTGATCCAGTCCCGCATTGGACGGACTAAGTGCTTTCCGTACAGCGTGTGTACGGCATGGTGCGTCGCGTAGTTGGTGCGTTGGAAGTACTTGCGGCCCTTGCGCGGCTCGGTCTCCACGTCCTGTTTGCGGAGGGCCGGCAGACGAGGTGGTCGTGGATTCAAGGTGTGCGCGGGGAAGCTCGGGCTGTCGAGCCGCACATGCGCAGTACCAGTAGACTCGAGGTCCGATATTTTAACCAGGATGCGCTTTGCCGGAAGGGGGGACTTGAGCACGGGGGACTTTTCCGGCAGGGGGGACAGCTCGAAATATTCGTCCTTGCGCCAGGTTAAGTCGTCCACCAACGTTTCAATTTCGTCATCGATCGCCCTCCCCACTGAAGCGTCCGCTCCTCTTCCGCTGAACAGCGCTTCCTCGTACTGCGCGCGTACCACTTTTTCTACGGCGGCGCGCACGCGGATCTCAACATCGGGCGTGATTTCATGCGCGTGGCATCGGAAGGCGCGGCGACGCGGAGGATCATGCGGCGGAGCCTGCGTCGAGGACGCAGCTGTAGTTGTGCCCTGTTCATCATCAACACTCCGTGGTGCGGAGGTTTCCTGGTTGTGCGAGGACGCGGCTGCAGAACTTGTGCCGTGTTCAACACTTCGCACTGCGGAGGCGTGCAGGGGAGCAAGAGCTTCGAATTGCAGAACCTTCTCGTAGTCAAGGTAGAAGAGGTGGTGGTCGGGGCTGTAGTAGTACAAGCGCGGGTCAAGCTCCTTCGCGTTCCGAATTGTGTCAGTGTCGCTTTTGCGTCCGTCTCCGTTCAAATAGATCTCCCGAAACGACTTCAGCAGCCGTGGCCATTCGTACTCCACCAAGGCCGCGGCGGTGTACGCGTGCTCCTTGTATCTCCAAAGGAGCGGGTCTGAGGCGCAAGTTTCCCCCTCCTGCACAGGCAGCTCGTTTTTGCCGCCCTGGTCTTTTACAGGCTCATTGGCAGGAGCCGGAAAAGGAACAGTAGGTGGCGGTTCATCTTCTCGACGTCGGCTATCGTCCGCAGGTTGTTCCACTTCATTGACTAGCGTGGCAGAAGCAGGTTCTCGCGAGTCGTCGGCCACCGCTACGGCAGACCTGCGTCTCTCTGCCTCTGCGGCCGCTTCGTAAGACAGATAGCCGTCTCGACCGGCGGTGCAGGACCGCAGAGGCAGTCGGAGGTCGCGCGGATGCCAGGCCCACGAGGATGATGTTGTGCCGTCGCGCAGCCGTACCTCCTCAAGGAGGCCGAGATTTGGAACATTCCACACGCGTACTTCCTCGTACTGCTGGGACCAGGCCACGGCGGGGTCGGTCACTGTGCCTGCCGGCGTTGGCAGGACGCTGTACGTGTCGTGGAGGAAAAAGTCGGAAGCGCGATCCAGAAGCTCAGAAATGTGTGGCAGACGGGAATCCTGGTTCATAGAAGTTGCATCGGGTGGTGAGTACACCACGTGACGCAGAAATCCGAAATCGCCCGGAAGTCCGAGCGCCCCGTGCCTTTTCAGCCACTCGCCCCGCCTTTTTACATCTGCATCGGTTGTGGAGAGTTCACTGAAAAGACCGTACCCATGACTCTCGCGCTCCTCCGCCCCCCCCGCGAGCAGAGGGATGACAGCGGTCAATGCGTCGGGGGCCTCGACGAAATCCCTCTCGTCGTCGTCTAATTCTTTTTTGGCTTCGACGTCCGTACGATCTTGGCTATCGAAAAACCGATCCCGAAGACAAACGGGCAAAACCCCGCGGTCCTGCGTCCATGGAGGATTGGATTGTTGTGTGTTGAACACGACACGGATTTGTTCACCGTCTTGTTGCGAAGGGCCTTCGTGAAAATCTTCAAGCGCCACCCTTGGATCCGGGTAGAACTGCGGCGTACTGATTTTATCTTCGGGGCCGATGCTGCTCCTGCGTCCAGCTCCACGCATGTAGGTCATGTCTTCACCTTCTTCGCTATAATATTGATGCTCCCTGCGTTTACCACGGAGAGGGTACTCCTCCCGCCGTCGCCACACTGTGCGGTAGCGCGAAGAGTCGCAGGCCGCGCGCACGGTTCTTCCGTCCGCGGCATCAGCGGGCACTTGTTCTTCCCATTTCATTTTTTCGCGGCTCTTTCCGTCCAGCGTGGACGGGTCGTTCGCGGCGTTGTCGAACCGGTGGATGGACTGGAAGGGCTTTAGCAGGTGGTGCACGAAAAGGTCGCGCATGTGGTTGATCTCATCCTTCTGCTGGACCACGGTGTTCCACAAATTGTCGTAGTCACGTCCCTCGTCGACGTGCCAGTATTTCGCGTATTTTGGGCTAGCCCCTTCAGTTGTTTTAATCTGCCGAGCGCGGAAGAGAAGGAAGCGAACGAACTCGTCCCCCGGAAGCCGTTCTAGGAAGGTCTCGGGGTCACGCCGAGCCAGCAGTTTCCGAAAATACCCCGCATCCTCGGAATCGTTGTCCCACGCCCGCTTTTGTCGTGCGGCGTCCAAGTCCTTCTGCTTTGACGCGACGTAAGCTTTGTACCCGTCACTCTCCTCGAGTGTGCCGTCAATTGCTTCCTTAACACCGTACTTCGGCATGCGGAGTCCAGCCGCGGTTCGTTGCTGACGCACCGTAAAGACTTGATGAGGCTTCTTGCCGTTGCCATACCCGTATTCCTCCACCAAGCGGAGGTGCCGATAGAGCTCCGCAGAACGTTCAAGTCTATAGTCTTCGCTGGCGTCCGGCACCCATCTTTTCCACCGTATATTGGGTTCGTTCTCCGAATTCCGGCCGGGCATCCCACCGTCAGTGGCAGCGGCAGGGGACGGGTCCTGAACCGGTGCGGCGTCCGCGGACTCGCGGCCCGCGGTCTTGGCGGGGGTAGGACTTTCGTGCGCGTTCCAAAACTTGGGCCGATGAAAAAACCACATCCACAAAGACTTTCGGTAAGCCTTAGTGACCCAGCCCATCTCGTCGGAGCGCCTGTTCAACGGCTTTTTTGCATCTTTCCACTGCGCTTGTTCCTTTGGGTCCGCGAGATCGTCTTCGATGTGTAGGCGGCGTCGCATTAGGCGCCGGTATTGCACTAGCAGATTTGCTTCGAAGCTGCGCCAAGTTGGAAAGCCGCCAAAGTACCCCCCTCTGCAGGTGGGGTAGAGGCCGCCAAACCAGGAGCGCTCCCGGCGACTCTCGTCGAGCAAGACGCGCTGAATCGTGGTCGCTCGGGATAACAGCCGGCGGCTAAAAAAACTTTCTGGCCCGGCGATGTGTGTCCGCAAAAAATCGCGGAACAATTCGTCATGGTTCCGGTCTCTGTGTCCAAAGTACTTTTCTTGCCAAGTCCGCCACCAGGCCCAGACCGTCTGCACTTGTTGCCGCTTCCATTCCAGCTCCAGGTCCTGCCCGATGATCGGGCCTGAAACTTTGTTGAGGTCCATGCGCAGGTTTCCAAAGTTTATTTGGGAAGCTGTTTGTGATTGTGTCTCTCTACGACCCTCGTACGGAGACCAAACGACGAGGGAGTAGACCAAACTGGCTGCGTCTCTGGGTAGCAGCGACCTCCGGTCTCCGCAGGCAATCCGGGTGGCCAGCTTTGACCATTGTTTGTGGTACTCATCAACGGTTCGCTGGTCATCAACGGTTCGCTTGCGGCGTTCCTTGCGCGGCCATAAGGGAAACGACGCCCAATACGCAACGGGCACACTGGAAGATACCTCGCACAGATCTTCTTTAGGTTGTTCGTATGTCTGCGGCCTGTTCGGTCGCGTCACGTCTTCCAGGTCGCCTTGCTGGGCCCTCTTCTGGGTTCTTCTGGCAGTGTCTCGCCCCAGGCTGTCGCTCAACCCATATAAAACGGGAAGACTGGCGCTTTTCTCGTACTTATCCTGCGCCCACTCCAACAGCTTCTCGTACCTTCTGCGGTCCGCTGCGTCACACTTGAATGCAGCATCTCCTAAACGGGGTGCGATCACGTTCGTCAGAAACCGAGTGTTGTGATTGTCAAGAGGGATGAGAGGGTTGTTGCGGTTCGCTTTCGATTCAAGCTCATCTATGTCGTCATCCAAATTGCGATGCAACCAGGACCAGTTGCTCTGCTCCTGCTCGTTGCGCGTATCCACGGACAGGTAGGGATTTCCGTGCCGGTCCGTGTCCTGTTGCAGAGCAGGGTCCTCGAACCCAAGTCGCCCCAGTCGCACCAGCATGACCGCAGTGAATTCCTCAACCGTGAGCTCGCGTAAGATCGCCTTTTTCCTCGCGCTCTGTTCTGAGTGGTCTTCGCCTGCTCCTTGTACTTCGCCTTCTTGTTCCGCGGCAGCTGCTTCGCCTCCATGCGGCACTTCGGTGCCTGGTGGAGCCGGCGCGGCAGGGGAGACGGTACCGGTCCACGTGAGCCTGAGCACTGTTGTTTCGGCAGACAACAGAAGACTCGCGACCTCTTGAGCCCGCCGAGACAGGAGCAACCTGCGATTGTTCTTGACCTCGCGATCATTGACATTGTACGCAATATCGGGCCTCGCGCTCCACATGGACATGCGGTACGTTGTTGGCTTGGCCGATGGTCGTGCACTTGCCGTTTGCCGCGAAGAATTTCCGCCACGTGGCAAGCTGTGCTGCATGATCTTGCTCCAGAGGTATCGGAGCGGCGACATCGATTCGCTCCGTGTTTGCGCCGCATTTCGAGTCGATGAGCGGCTCGACGCCCGGGAGGCGGTCGCCGCGCTTTGATGCGCACTAGCGTCGGGATCTTCTTGCGGTCGCCAGGACGAGGACGACGCGGCTCCGTGGTTGCCCCTGCTCCCAGTCGGTGCCGATACGGAGGAAGCAGATCTGGGCGAGCAGGGCGGGCTGCTCGCGGATCCCCGGGCGCCGGCTGGTTCTGTCTGGCTCCGGGGAGACGCTGTGCGGCTGCGCGAGGGAGGATTCTGGTGTCTCAAGTGGAACTCGTCGGGAGGTTGTCCTTTCACCTGTGCGGCGTCCCCTCGCTGCGCCGGGGGGCACCCTCCGTCGTCGTCTGCATCGGCTGGGCTGGTTGGCGTCAGCGGGAGGCTATCCTCAGTTGCGACGGTACTCGGCGGCGCGCTCGGTGCGGGCGAAGATCTGGCGGACTTCGACTCGTACCAGTATGGGGTGATTTCCGCCACAATTTGCTCAATCTCTTTGTCAGACAGCTTGTCGAGCATCACATCTCGCAGAATCGTGACGCACGCCTTTTCACGCCTTCTTGCCGGACGAGCCGCAGATGCAGCTTCTTCGGGAGCAGCTTCTTCGGTGCCCCAGTCGTAGTTCTCTTTCACCAGTGGGCCTGCCTCGTGCGCCCGCTCCTGCTCCGAAACCAAATCTTGCGGCTTGCAGCGGGGCAGCCGCTCCAGCTCGGATGGAGGTCGCGGCGGAATTGCGGGGGTTGTACTTGTAGGGGGTGGCGCCACGACGGAAGGAGAGCCTGCGGAAGTTCCAGACACCGGCACAGGTGCCATGGTTCCCGCGTTCGCAGCCAACGGAGGTAAAAAGTAGTTTTCTGCGACGGTGGACGGGACAGCGGTACTATGTGGTCCTCCCGGGGCCACTCCTTGCGCTGAAGCAGCAGGAAAACTACTGGAGCCCGGCAGTGCAGGTGATAAGGGCAATATTAATGCTGTTGGTGCACCAGCAGACGTTGGCTCTGTCGTCGCGCTCCCATGCGATGTAAGAGCATCGGTTTGCGCCGAAAATCCGGGCGCCGTCCCGTGCGTCGCAGGAGGGGTAGCGGTTTGCGGCGAACCGGCGGTGGGGGCGGCGCCTCCTTGCGCTGCAGGAATGGAAATTTGCTGCGCTGGTGGCAATGATCCGGCGGTAGCGCCCTCTTGCGCCGCGGGAGCGAAAGTTTGCTGCTGAGAGCTTGTAGCGTCTCCTTGCATCGTCGGTGCTGCACTTGCTTGTGCGGAGGGAGACGCGCCTTGCTGCGGCAGTGCGCCAGCGCTAGGTGTCAGCAAAGATGTTGCTGATGGGGTCGGAGATGACGATGCTACTGGCGTCGAACTCGAAACCGGGACGGTGGGCTGCGCGGCTGCAGGTTTGGACGGTGGTGGTTGTACTTGCAGGTTTGTCGCCTTCGGGACGGGGACCACCGCGACCGCCGACGGTACGGCATGCGTTACACCCACATTGTTGGCACCTCCGGGCTGCGGCACTGGCCCCGAATGAGCATGTGGCTTGCCTTTCGGACGGGCGGGGTTACTGGGCGGCGTCCGCGAGGCGGGAGGTGTCCTGTTTTGCACTTGCACGTCCGGCGCGATTTCCAGCGCATGCAGTTGCTTCCAGGCATCACCGGCCTTCTTCAGTCCGTCGTTGCGGTACAGTTTTTTGTAGCTGTACTGCGCCGCCCCCGCTCCCGCGGCCCGCACGGCCCCCGGCTGCAGACCACTCGCGGGTGCATTGACAACGCGGCCGGCGCCTCTTGTTCGCGTATTCGCTTCGCGAATCACCACCGGAATCGTGCTTCGGTACACCTCCTCGCTGTCGAACGATCGGCCGCGGTCGTCGACGACCGGGTACCGGCACAGGACCGGCTCCGGTTGACTTTCGTCGAGGACGACTAGTCGGCGGTCCTCTCGGTGATGCTCCTCGACCACCACCCGCAGTGCCCGGCAGCGCAGCAGGATGGGGGGATTGGCGGCGTCCAGGAAGTGCGCGTCCGTGTGTTCGCGGTCGTTCCAATGTTTGAAAAGAAGATTGTAGGCGACATTGGGAAAAGAGATCGGAACGAACTTCGGCAGAGGTGGAGGTTCCACCGCTGATGCTGGCGGTGTGCTTGTGTCCGCGTTCGCGGCCTGCATGTTTCGATGATGCACAACTACATCTATTGCGGCGCGTTGCTGCCGGGGGCTAGTTGTAGTTGCACCAGCTGCTCCTCCTGTCGTCCTAGCCCCAGGCTGCTGGTGGTGAGATGCGGTCCGAGTGGTTTGCGGGGCATACTCGAGCTCAATGTGTGGATTCACCTTGTCGAAGCACTTGTCGACGTCCACGTCCGTCACGTGCTGGCAGAGTAGTCCTGCTTCCCTCTTGCTGTAGGACACTCCACTGGAGACGACCACCGGCTCGAAGAGCCGCGGCTGCGCCTGAAAGAAGGAGTTCAGGGCGCCCAATTTTGCTCTATGCCGGTTCGTCCCGGCCCCTCTGGCCGAAGGATCGGTGTTCTCAGGCGTGGGCGCGGGTGGTTGTTCGGGTTCCGCTGCGCTAAACCACCTGAAATGCAGTGCCAGGACGACGAGGAGGACTACAGAAACCAAAACGAAGGCGCCTATGATCGAGCCGAATACTATGAGTTTTCTTTTGGTCTCCGAGAGCTCTGCCGCCTTCGCGTTTTCCTCGCTCAGCATATCGCCCGATTTCGCCTCGGCCGCATCGCCGTTTGCGACAAGGGGTTCCTTTTCACTAGCATAATATTTGCAATTGCCCGCTTCTTTGTCGCCGGAGAGCAACGTCCGCTGCTCTTCGGACCATCCAGTTGCCTTGTTTAGCAAAGACAAATTTTCTCTCGTCAAGGCCATGGAACTCTTGTCCCCGCCGGGCGAGGTAGTAGGATTTTTCTCTCCACTGGCCATGTTCATCTCATCGTTAGGGACAACATCATTTCCACCTGGATTTTGTAAATCGGCAACCGCCGGCGCTGGGTCTTTTAGTGCGGCTCTCTCCTCTGCTGGAGTTGCCGGGTCGGGCTTTCCGTTCGATGAGGCTGCGTCGCGGTCTTGCTGCTCAGCTGCGGCTTCCAGGATCGCCGCAAGATCAAAGCGGTGCGTGCGAGGGAGGTTTTCATAGAACACCAGGGTGGCGTCGTTGCCCTCGATGGGGCGCCGTGGACCCTGCTTCAACGTCTTCGTCAACGGAAAGCAAAGCGTGATTTTCGCGGCGGTCGCGTGGTTGGGCTGCTCGAACTGCTCCGTAGCCTCATCCGGTCTGTTGTCTTTTCCCACTTCCCACAGCGGCCCGCCGGCGGAACGGTCCTGGCCAGCGTCCGCGAGGATCAATTTCAGTCCCTGCAGAACCTGGGCGGCCGTGAACCGCTCCTCAGGTTTGCGCTCCAGACACATCTGCAGCAGAAAGTTCAGGTGCTCAAATTTGTCGTAATCTTTCTCGACTTGCTCGATATTGATTTTGTTTTCCTCAACATCCTGAAGATCTTCGGCTCCGGATGCTCCGTCCGCGGACGACGACTGAGACGCGTCGCTTCGCTGCAACGGATCCAGACTTCCGGTGGGGTTGGAAGAACCATTCGCCTTCGAGCTCGAATCCGCAGTGCTGCCAGTGTTCACACCAGACGAGAGATTCTGTTGTTCTCTCTTCCCCGACGCTAGACCAACTCCCACTACTGGATCGCAGATCATACCGACGTCGTTCACATGATTTTCTGGATCGCCGCTCGCTCCTATTTTCGCGGCGACAAGAAGACCATCTTCTGCGGTTCCGGCAGGAGATGACTTCGCTTTTTCATCTACTTTGGACATCGCGCTGGCACAATCTTTCAGCCTGATTTCGCCATTGCCTCCGGCTCCGCTGAAAGATGAGCCGAACTTCAAGAAGGTTTGGTTCAGACGCGCTCGCGCCCTTTGCCGCTCCGCTTCCCGCGCTTTTTCCTGCAGATGTTCGTCTTTCTTTTGCTTGTAGTCCAAAGTGAACTTGTTGTCTGGGAACTGAACTTCTTGTCGCGGGTCTGTGATGGCGAATAGCAGCTTGTTGCTGCACTCCAAGTGCTCGAACGGAGTGCGAAGGTGAATCAGCCCGTACAGAATCACGCCAAGCGACCAAATGTCGGTGGAGGCTTTCAGCTTGAAGCTGCTAAACAGCTGCTCAGGTTGCCACAGCGCTTCCGGTGCGACGTATCGCCACGTACCGCACTGTAATTGTTCAAAATATCGAAAAAGTCATTCGTTTGATCCGGAGGCGTCCTCGCGGAATCATGTTGACTGTCGTTAAGTCTGTGGTCATAGGAGAAATCACGTGTCTCGAAAGCGAACCAACTCGAACGAAGACAATTTCCATTCCGCAGCACCAGCCTAATGAACTAAAATATCTATAGATTCAGCTTTTATAAATATATACCTCTTCCATTCGCGAGATGTGCGTTTTGTCTTGGTCGATGGCTTTCGCCAGGCCAAAGTCGGAGAGCTTTATGCGGATCTTGCGCGCGTTGTTGCGGTCGGGAATGAAAACGAGGAAATTCGCGGGTTTCAGGTCAAAGTGCACGACGCCAACCTTGTGGATCAGCGCCACGGCCTCCGTCATCTGTGCCCAGGCGGCGATGATTTCGTCCAACGGTAGGCCGTTCGTTTCGTTTGCAAACTGCTCCTCCAGCTCCAGAATCTTGCCCTCCGGCCCCGTGGGCTTCGTGTAGATTCCCCGTTTGCGCTGCGCTTTCTTCCACTTGTCGTACTCCTCGTCGTCCTTGCCCTTCCAGCGGGGCAGGAACATTTTCATGTACTGCTGGAAGTCCGTGTCCGCGTACTGCAGGAGAATGAACAGCTTATTGTTCTGCGGGTAGGTGCGGCAGCCGAAGTACCGGATGATGTGCTTCGACTTTTTGAACCTTCGCAGCAGTCTCACCTCGTCCAACGCGCTCTGGAAGTGCTTCTCGTGCCGCGTGGTGACCACCTTCATGGCGTAGCGCGTTTGCGTCTTTTGCTGCAGCACTTCGTACACCTCCGCGCTGCCACCCTTCCCGATTAGGTTGCAGAAGATGAATGACCCCGAGTGCAGCTTCATGGTGCGGCAGGTGTTGGTGGTGCTGTACTTGCTCACGTTGTGTTCTTTGGACTGCTCGTCGCTTTCCTGCGGGTTTCGCTCCTGTTGCGCAACTCCGTTGTGCGCATTCAAATTCACGGACGCGTGGTGATTATTGTCGTCATCACCGGAGCTGGAGGGGGCAGCGGGTGCTGGACCATTGTTCTGGTCGTGTTCTTTATTCAACAACATCTGGCCGCCTTCTTGTCCCTGCTTACAGGAAGAACCCTGTAGTTTATTACTGCTGGGGGCACCTCCAGGAGCAGGAGCTTGAGCATCCGCTTCTGGAGTCTCTTTCGCATCCGCTTCGGGAGGATTATTCTGTTGCTGGTCAACAACATGAGAAGCACGTGCCGCGCGCTTCACTTCTTCCACTTTAAGGGCACAATCTTCGAGATGCAAAATTTTTTGTTCTCCCTTTTCCTCTGGTTTTGCTGCTACCGCAGCGGCGTCATAATGAACTTTTTTTCCTTTATTGTCGGCCGCGTTTTTGTTGTCCTTTGGTCGCTGCGCGTGTTGCTTATGTTGCTCCTGTTGGTGGCGAAAGAGAGCCGGATCGAGCAGCTCCGCTGGAGTTTGAAATTCCGTACAGGCAGCAATCAGCTCGTCCCAGTCCGTGTTTGTGAGCAGGACTTCGCCCTCTTCCACGGGCCCCGCCAGGTCCGTTTGGTGGTAATCCGCCATGGGATTGATCAACTTGTTTTCCCCACTCGCTATTCCCGCCTCCTGTGGGCGTTTCGGAAGCACTTCTTGTTTCCCGAAAATGTCTTCGCCGCACTGTTTCTGTTTCACGGCGCCTGGCGTGACGCCCTCTACGGCGCCCCCGGGTAACAAACGCGCCGGAGGCGGTGCGGCTGGTCGCCCGTGGTGGCGCCCAGGCGGGGGTTGCCGTGGATGATGTCCCGGGCGGTAGTGTGGGTCGTGGTAAAAATTGTTCTGATGACGATGTCGCCCACTCAGGAGTTTTGGAGGTTTGAAAACTCGTTCTTCGGGCTCCCCGTGGTGGTTTTGGTGGAAATCATGCTGAGGAAGGAGGAGATTACTGTCGTGTTGTCCCGGAGAGACGAGGGGCTGTTGCTGGCGAGGTTGGGCAGCTGCCCCGTCGTGTTCCTCAGTCGCGCGCGAATCGAAAAAAGGCTGCGCATGTGGATTTTGATGCAACGCTGCACCGTGCATGTAACCTTCGTGCTGATGATGTTGCCCAACTACTTGCCCTTGCTGTTCCTGAACCGGCCATATCAAACCAGCAGGAGTGGCAGGAGGCCTACCGACATCGCCAGCGAACGGACCAGCTGGAGCTCCTCCGACGTGGTAACGATTGTTGTAGTCTGGTACTTCTGCCCCTGCACGATTCTCCTCATCATGGATGCCGCCCCGGTTCTGGTTTGCAGCAGGTGGTTGTTGCATTTGCTGATGGTGAGGACCAACATCTCCTGCCGCGTTGGGAAAAAAATGCGCTGGAGCTGCTCCAGCTACGCCTCGTTCGTAATTGATATTGTGCCCGTCTTGACCATGATCGGGATTTTGGTTTTGGATTTGCTGTTGCGCACCCATCTCTTCCTGTGGCAGACCGTCAAGGTGAGCATCTTGCTGGAGCGGGGCTACGTGGTGAATGGCAGCAGTTTCAAACTGGTGCACGTGGTTCTGCAGGTGGTAAGGAGCCAGGACGGCGATGTTATGCGGATGAAGCTGCTCCTCCTGCGGGAGGTCGCTGTCGTACAACTTGTTCTCCGTAGTAGCAAAGTGGTGATCATTTTCAAAAGCGACACGGTCACCGTTTACTATCTCCTCGCCATCTGCATTCGCGTTAGCAATCTTTTCCTCAGCGACCGCAGGAAGGATTTGGTTTACATCAGACCCGGAAGCAGCGCGACTGCTTCCGACGTAATTCTGTCCGCCACTTCCCCGATTGCAGCTGTTCATCCCTTCGGCGGAGCTGCCCGACGAGCTGGTGCCTCCTCGCGACCGGCCCAGCATGGCATTTGACAGCTGCTTGGCGAACATTTCATTGAAGTTCTGTTTCAAGTTCTGCTGCTGCTCCGAAGTGCCAAAATGGTTGTAAAGTTCCCGGTTGCCCGGCGATTCCGACGTTACTGCATGATTGTACAGCTGGCCTTGCGGTGGACCGCCACCTTGCGGGGGCCCGGGCTGCTCGTGCGGATTCATGTAGTTCGGGTGCTGGTTTTCCATCATCCCCCGCGCAGCCGCACCTCCGTAATTGTGCGGATGAAGATACAGGCCTTGATTTTGACCACCTTGATCCATCTGATAGTAGTGCATGGGATTAATATCGCGGTCGCCTAGTGGGTCGTGACCACAGTGGTTTAGGTCCTGCTCCCCATATCGCGGGTCGTGTAGCAAAGGGTAAACTCGCGGCCCAATGGTGTGCTCGGTGTTGTTGGGCGCCTGGTAGTTGGCGAAGGTGGGCAGATATCCAAGAAAAAAAGATTGTAGGTGTAACTTTTGTGGCGGAACAGCACTACAAATCTGTCTGGCACGACAGGAAAAGCCTGTCGTGCGTAGATAGTACGTGAAAACGCGATCTAAAAATGAACAAATTTTACAATGCATGACCAGCATGATGACAGTGACAGACGCAATCATCTTGCTGCATGTTGCGCATCACAGATTTTACACCTACCATCTTTTTTTGTTGGATAGCAGACTGCCACTGTCGCTACAGTCCCGGTCCAGCTCGCCGCCCTCGTAGTCCGCGTTTGCCGTGTTTAGCAGCCGGTTCCCGTGGCTGGTCATGCAGCTGCTGTTAATTTCCGAATACATGTGGTCTCCCCGGCGCAGGTGGTACGGGACGGCATCCTCAGGCGTACCAGAGGACTCGAGCTTTTCTCCCTCCGGAATGCTTTCCAGCACATTCCGTGGAGGAAACAAGTTGTAGTTGTTTCGGCTATTGTTGAAACCGTTTTGGTCATTACAAAAATTCCCTACTGCGGCGCCACGTTCGGGGGAGCCGCTGTCCTCGAGCTCGTTATTCTCAACAAAATCATTACTGCGGTCTTCGTAATTATAGTTATCAAGTTGTTGCTTGATTTCGTCACGATTTCTGATCAGCATGCCGTTGTTGCCATCAGCATCGTTGTGATTGCCAGCGCTGGAAGAGGCACTGGAGTGGATTTCTTTGGTCGTCGTCTTTGGCAGAGCTGAGTCCGTCGAGCCGGAAGACCTATAGCAGCTACTTGTTCCCGAGCCGGATCCGCGACCAGGGTGGAGCACGAGCTGCTGGTGGTGGGCCTGCTCAAGTGGACCTTGTTCGTGCCGTTCGTAGCGCTCCTCGTCCGCCCTATGTGCGGTAGTTCTCGCGCCGGTTTGATCATGATTCGCAGCAGCTTCTCTTTCTTCATGGAGATCGCCAGCTGGTGCGTTTTCGTCACTACTGCCGGAGGACAAAGCCGAATTTCCTGCCGGCGGCGACTTGGCAGCACCGGCGGCACTCGCACGCACATCCCTAGACGACACCGAGTGGGAGGCAGAGGAGACTTCAGGGTTATCGTCCTGGGAACCGCGGTGACCACCCAAGGCGGGCAGATGATCCGCGATCCCTTCATCGCTGCATTCGAGGTGCTGCTCGCAAACTCCTACGGCGGGGGAAGAGGCACCACGACCTCCGGAAGGCAATATACTGTAGCCCAATTCAGAATTTTGCGAAAGCGAGCCACTTGGGCACTCTGGTCGAACTACCTGGAAGTTCAGTTCCGCTGTGGAGGCGGCACTGGCCTCGCGGAAGAAAGAGGCGTCAAAGACCAGGGACGCGCTGTTCTGGTTTGTGTTCCTAGTGTTACTTTCGCCCGCACCATCATCGTTGGAGTCACCTCGGGCGTCGTTGAAGTGGGTACTGGTGTTTCGATTTGCGGGGGGACTGTCTGAGTTCTCGTTCATTTTGAACGGGGATGGAAATAAAGAGGTCCGTTAAAAAATATTCGGAATGAAGCAATGACACGACGAGACACAAAAGAACTTCATAAATCGAGTGATGTTTGTATGCACAGGGAGGAAATGCCTAACACCAACGTTTGGTCGGAGAGCACAATTATACAAATAGTACGAAGATAAACAAAGGTAATGCAGCGGTATGATCTCAACGTCTATCGAAATCGTAATCGATAGTGTCTTTTACAGCAACAATAAGAATAACGAGCTACATTCAGTTTTGGAGTACTTTTGCTATTTCTACTTGTTGTTTCTTGTGGATTGGGGGCAGAATTTCTCTTCGATATTCTTTTTTTTCTAGTACTACAACAGAAACTACTCCACTGTTTTACTAGTACTACCATATCAAGATTCACATCCTTTCACTGTCCTGTGTGGGAGAAACAAAAAGTAAAAGCCGAAAAATTGAAGCAGAAACTTTACGTTTAAGTACTAAAATACTTTTCGAAAGTAGATTTATGTGCCGCAGCTCCTGAACCAAGATCGGAATGAAATTTGCACGGCACGGCACTGGGGTTGCGACCGGCATTTGAATTTTCTGAGTTCACGCAATTTTCACGAGACACCGTATTGTCTCGGATCTTGTTCGTCTTCGGATCATCTCGCTTTGATAGATCGGTTTCTGTACAAAACTTCAGCAAGATCGATTGTTGAGTACCACGGATCTGCTCGACTGGCTCAGGATCTCCCACCGGACTGTCGCGAAATCTTCCTCATCAACTTCAATAAATCAATATGAGGACGACTGAGCGGGCCACGTGACACAGGCAACACGAACATCTCGATCTCGGTGGCAAACGAGTTCGTTGTGCACGGAAAAAAAAGTGGAACGAACGAATCATGATGACCGATTGCGGAAAAGAACGATGTCAATGCGTAAATTTCTTCTGGCAGCCGGGCACCCGTGACCGAGAACGATGAAAGAAATACCCAAACTTCGGAAGGAAAAATAGCGAGAATGCTCTCGATGCCATGGTGATGAAGACGAGTGCTGAAACGAGAACGCGAGATCAGCGTAAGGATCGTCCTATAGATTTAGGAGCAGCAAGAGCTTCGTCTCGAAGCTGAAGCTGGGACTTCGCTGTTTCAGATTCAGGATCGGTGGTCCGGCCGTTGCGCCTTTTGTCTAGCTCTACAATACAGAAGTACAGCCCGATCATTATTTTTCAATCTTGTCGAGGATGCAACGGGCGTGAGAGCTACTTACTTTTTAGTATTCTTGTGCGTGTCTGTTGAATTTTTCGCTCCACCACTGTAGAAAGACCGCGAGAGACGGCGCGTGTCCAAGTCCAAGACCTTCCTCGCGGCCATTCACAACTTCATCCAGGAATTTTTCGATGACACCTTGCTGCCTTAACGTCACAGTCACTGTGTCCGTCTCCCATAGTGGTACCGGACTGGACCGTCCGAACTTTAACAAGGTAGTGCACAGATAGCGCCCTGGTGGCGTTTGGAGCGCGGGTTCCGGGTCGGAGTGGCCGGCAATGCGAGCGTTCAAGAAGGGATGCTTCTTACACGCGATTTCATGGCTCTCCATTGTCCTGCCGTTGTCATCCTTTGGCCACGCGGCAATGAACCTGGTCGGCGGGTGTCCAGGGCAGCCGAGCACGAAGAAGGCCCAATACACCAGATTTGCTTGTTGATCAGCGGCGGAGGTGGACGGCGTTGTGGACCCGGAATCTTGTTGAGATGAAAATCGGCCCAAAAGCGTCGCAACTTGCGCTATGACGGTTCGAACGTGATCGAGAGTATCCATGGCAGCTCCAACTGCAGCAGACTTCACGTCTATCGCAATGCCACGAGGAATATGCGTTGCAAATATGTGTGGGCGTGGAAGAGTCTGAGTTTGTGATGCTACGTGTGCTGTTAGACACCAAATGTCAAAAATCTCTATTGCTGAATTGCATGAATAGCAGATGCAGAAGCCGCCCCCTTTGGGTCGTCTGGCTGGTAGTACCAGTAGTAGGTTAAGGTTCCTGCAAGAACAACCGCACGACAAACTTCGGCAGTCTTCCAAAGCCAAACATATTTTGCATTTGATAAGGAAGCGGCCTAGATCCAGTAGCCAAACTTCCTTCGGTGACTCTTCCGTCCGGATCCACTCGCAAGATGGGACCAAGAGAGACCTCGAATTCTTGCTCGTCTACTTGCTTAGGGAGTTCCCCTTTGTAGAACTTCTCCAGATTGCTCTGCACGGTCTCGAAGGAGTAGACAGGTGCTTTGAGGTAGAGGTCACTACCACGATACTCCGCCTCCTGGTTATCGAGATGAAAAGCGCCCCTTCCATCCCAGAAAGGCGACAAGAAGTATCTGTCTTCTTGCAAAACTTCCTTACGGATGAAAAATATTGAAATTTGCAGGGCAGGTGCAGAACGAGCATTCGCGTTGCAAACTTGAGGCCCAGCAAATAAAGCGGCATTTGTCCTTATCATCTCAAGGCTGCATTTTCGCAGAGCTACATTCTCGATTAAGAATGGTCCGCAGTGCTTTCATGCCAGAAAGGAAATTTCTGATTTCGCTCGGAAAGTTTGTAAAAAAATGCAAATACAGGAGCGATATGAAACTTGCTGCTGGGGCCAGGGCTCTTTTTCATTTGATATATCCAGGGCATCTCGTTGTTGTTCAATTTGTACAGATTTCTCTCGTTGGGTAGGAGCGGCGGCTCCCAGATCTCCAGCTGCCACCGATGTTTCTCTTCTGGTCCGACGTCAACCATTCTTGTTCTCAGCGCTTCTGCCCTGGCGCTCCCTGGGAAATGCGTGGCGTTAGCTAGACATTGCTGCGAGTGGCGCCCTATCAAATGTAAAAATGTCTGGGTCTGGAAGAATGCGCGATTGGGTTGGTTGGTTGGGTAGCGCCTGTCGCCGGTGCAGGTCCCGCCCTCCATCGATTGCGATCCGGAATAGCCGGAACACAAGGCCCTAGTGGCACAATCGATCGACGAAGCCCTTTTTAGCCATTTTCATCGATTTGTCATGCAGAATTTCCATGACCCATGAGGTCTGGAATACAGGACATAGCATGACAGATTCTGTGCGATCTTTCCCATGCCTATCCTGCATGAGAAACTGCCTCCCGACTTGGTCAAAACTGGACGACTTTTGGTAATCATGCAACACAGATTTTTGCATGCTTCAGATTTAGCATGACAAATTGCATTCTTCCAGACCCAGACATTTTTACATTTGATACGCCCGAGGAGGGCATGCTTTGCGATCCGCTGGTACACGTGCCGCACAAGTGTATTAAGAGGAAAAATCCCCCCTCCCCGTACTGGAACGGAGATTTGTGTAGCATGATTTGTGACCACAAATCATGTTGTCATGCTAGAAGGCAAAAGAAGCGGACTGTAGTGCTGGGTGGCGTAGGAAAGCCTTGCATCTTCAGGATGACAGGAGGCAGCTGGAAATGGGAAACAGCATGACAAATCGCCTGCAATTAATGCCGCAGCTGCGTCTTTTGGCCTTCTAGCAATATAAGTCGATTTGTGTACTGAAATACAGCATCACAAATTTCGGTTTCGATATGGTGAGGGGGGATTTTTCCTTTTGATAAAGTGTCCGGACCACCCTAACGTCGGACAGCACCTCGCGTGCGACGGCAGTGCAAAAAGGCTGCCCTATTCTAGTCTGTCGGTTGATGTATGGCGTTGTAGAAGAGGATCCTGCCGACGGCGCCTGTGACGTGGTAGGTTGCGGTCCTTCTACTACTTCCTGCTGATGATTCACCGTGGAAGTTGTTCCTCTACCAACAAAGGCCCCTCCGCGATCATTCTCGTCAACATTTTGCGTACTACTAGAATTGTTGCGTGCAGCAGAGTCCCCGTCGAGAGCTGCGCGAAGCGCTTCTGCCACTTCTGCGTCCGTCGCCAAGAGGGATGAAGGACTCACCCCCACTGCTGGAGCTGCATCTCCGCGGGCAGGAGCACTCCGTCCCGGACTATTACTTGTTGCGAGGCTGTCGCGCGCAACTTCCAAATACGCTCTCATGGCGCTTGGGGAGTGGTTGCACAGGACTCGGAAGATTGCGGGCCAGAGGCCGCGTTCGGGATTCATCGCCGGAATGATATTCGTCCGCGCCGCCATGCCGTCGGTCCACCAGTGCGCTCCCTGGTAGTGGAAGACCACCCACGACGCGAGGCTCGCCTGAAATTCCGCGGCGGTGGCCTCTCTCGTCTCATTCCCGTGACTCGTCCAGGTTGTCGTTGTCGTTGTTCCCACCTCAGCATATCTGAAGTGGTTTGCTCTACTTCCGCCACGCCGAGAACTGCCACCTCCGCCGCGATCACCATCGTCATCTGCACCACCGTCAAGGTTTAAGAAAAAAGCGTTTCCTCGGTTTTCCCTCTTCAAAACTGTACACCTTCCGTGTCGGACGACAGTCGGATGGAGGGCCGACGCTCGCTGCGTCCAATCGGGCGCATCGGGGAAATGTAATATTGAACGATGGTGCGACGGCGCATTGTAGTGGTAAAGGTCCGCGCAAGCGTGCTTGTCTTCAGAGGCGTCCTCGTCAAACTCGTTCACGGGCGGTAGTTCCCATGCTGGATGCGTGGCAGTGTCCGTTTCCATGAATTTGTTTTTGACAACTGCCACCCTGTCCGGTCGTTGCGGTTGGGAAGAATGCGTGGCATCTTCGTCCTCCTCCTCCTCCTCTCCGCTAGTGTTCTGGTCGTCGAGATATACCGGGTCTTCTATTCGCGCGAGTTCTTCTGGAATCGGGCACCCGAAAAGAAAGAATGCCAGCGCGACTGGATCCGCCTCGGCTGCTGCATATGACCGCGGTGCACTCGCTGCTGATAACAGATTTATCGGACTTACCCACCCGGCGACGATCGCGCGCACACCTGCGATAATTTGGACCATCTTGCGCACTGCTTGTCGAAGAACCCACTTCTTTGTTTCTTTGTGCCACCCTGTTCTGAAGACAGACAGATTCTCAAGAGCGGAGTCCGGTCTGGTGTAAAACTCCTCGAGGGCGGCTCTCTCTTCTGCGCGACTAGCTCGAAACCTGGTTTTGGGCAGTATCTGTCGCCCATCGAAGAGGTTCCGCGGGTTGGGCAATAGCGCAGGCTCCAGCAAAAGTGATTCCGTAGCACCTGGTCGCGTTCCATCTTCTGACGCGGCGGGCGCCCCGTTGAGCTGCGCTGCACTTCGAGGAGGAGAAGAAGAGGAACTGCTACTTGTTTCGGCATTTTGAGCTGCATGTACACTTCTTTCCCTCTCAGTTGCACTTGCATCCGAACCGGTTGCTCGCGTCGGTGTGCTAGAAGGCTTTTCTTGCAACACACTGAGGCACTCATCCACCACTCTACCACCGGCGTGCTCGCGGAAGAACGAATTTTCTTTTCGAATATTGTGGTAGATCGCTTTAACCAAACCGCGGACGGCCGAGGCACTTTTGTCCAAAAGCTTTTCCTTAAAATCGCGCCGAAACTCTTCCTGACGCTGACTATGCGGGTTGTTCCACTCATAGTCTGCCGTGGCTAACAGGCGTAGATCATGCCGATCCTCGAAGAGGTTGCTCAGCTCCGACAACTCCAAAGCGTCTCGAAGGTGCCGCTGCAGCGCTTGCAAAACTACCGGCTCTGCCGCGCCTTCCTTCAGGAGCCTGCGAAGGACTGCTGGCCAAACACCGTGCAAGGGATTCATCGCGGGAACGATCTTGGCCGTCATCCACCACGCCGGACCTAAGGGTGTCTGCGCTTCTTGTGCTGGATGAAAGGCGTTGCTAGCACCGCCTGGAGCAGGAGCTGCAGCAGAACCCGCACTCGCACTCGATGCGCCACCACCCCCGATACTGGAGGAAGCAACGCCACCTCCTCCGCCACCACCGGACGAAGCAAGAACAGTACTGCTCTCACCAAACACCGCGGAAGGAGTGACGCTTGCCGCGCCCCCGGAGCTACTTCCGGGGTTAAGTGTCGGTGAAATTATCCCGGACGGGGCGGGTGCTGCACCAAGGCTGCCGACGATGGACGGTCCTGCGTTGATAATTTCAGCGTTCACGTGTTGCGCACCAGGCTGCGATGCTTGCGCCGAATTGGTCAGAGGCTGCGGTGGAATAGGCTGCGGTGGAGGACCAGAGGTTGGCGTAGCAGCAGAGTAGTCGTTCGGCGGGGGAGTTGGACCCGCGGAAGGAGGGGGAAAATCGGGCGGTGGAGTAGAGAAAGTAGTAGCACTTGGCGGCGGTAGTTGTGCAGCTGGCGGCCCAGTTACAACAGGCGGAGCGGAGGTGGTTGCCGCATTCTCGTTTGCCGGTGCTGGTTCTTGCGCTACCACGGTTGAAGCTGTTGAACCTGAGCTAGTAGTTGGTGGCGTCACGACTTGCGTTGGGCCACCAGGTCCGGTACTGGTTTGCTGGTGAAGTAGGTTTGATGTGCCCGTCGCAGTGTTTGGCACTGCCTCTGGGTGTTGTGTGGACGTAGCACCACCTCCGGCGCTTCCGGCCTGGGGCCCCGTTTGTGGAGGCACAGATGGTGTTGGTGGCTGGGGCTGCAATGCAGGATTTCCTTGTACTGTGCTACTGCTGCCGCTGTAACTTGCCCCGACATGGTTGGGCGGTGTCGGTGCCGGAGGTCCTCCTCCGTTCGTTCCAGCATTCGCCGTCGGGCCTCCTGCTGCTGCAGGCGACAACTGCCCGAGGTTTGTCGTGCCGCCATCGTCACCTCCGTGCTGCAGGTTTTCCACTTTCTGGTTGTATTTCTGCAAAAAATCATCAACGGAGTGAATCTGGCTCTCTTGGAGGTGGAAGTCCTGCCGGAAGACCTTCCTCCTTTTGTCTGCTTCTTGGTCATACACCGTTTTCATCCGTGGCGTTCCGTTTTCCTCGTCTGGCGCCACTACGACGCTGCTCTTGCTGAGATTGCCGGGGCAGCCGAAGTAGTAGAAAAAAGACTTTAGGACGAGGGCAACACTGTTCGCACTATTCGGCTGCCCCGGGTGCCGATCGCCGACAGCATGCAGTTTCCGCACGACGGCCTCCATGTGACTGTAGCTTTCCCGCGCCAACTGCAATCTCCTCTGTCGGGGGTCAGGACTAGGCCGCCCCGGGTTGTTTCCTTGCCCTGTAGAAGATGATGTCGAGGTAGAGGAGGAATTGCCGTTTTCGTTGCGAGAAACGGTGAGAAAATCTTCGACGAATTTTTTGCGCGCCGTAAAACTGTCGTCCGGAAGCATGAAAAGATTGTCATCTCCACTTGGAAGCAACGCCGGAATCAGGAGCGTGGCTTCGTTTGGGTTGTTTTCGTCAGCCGTGTAGTCGTGATGTTTCAGCTCCTCTAGGCACCGCTCCTTCAGAGGATAAGAGGAGCTCGCAGTGTTCTCGTCCCTGCGGTAGATGTCGGCGTAGATTTGCAGCACCAACTGCTGCACTTTCTCCGGATGCGGCAGAACCTCGGTGCGCAGGTATTCCTCGTTTCCACTGGAAGTGGAGGTGGGGGCCGCAGCCGCAACCGCACCCGCAGCTGCTGCTTGCCGGCTCATGAAAAAGAGCTGCGCAGGTCGGCTGATCATGTTCATCTGCAAGTTCCGGCGCTCCGAAGATGTTGTTGCCGGAATGCTGTCCCAGTGGTCCCCCCCTTTTCGATTACGCAATACAGCAGCAGCGGCCTTTGTTGGTGAAGATCTACTTCCTGTACGACCGCCAGGAGACGCGGGCGTATTTCCAGCCTGGAGATAAAGCGCGACCAGTGCGTCGGCCGTGGCGTTCGGCGAGCCAAAATTTCTACCAGCCCTAGCACTGCCAGCCGCGCGATCGCCTAATAAAAGGGCTTCCAGCATCCACCGCCACTGTGATTCCCTTGGAAGGTCGGGATGGATCACTTTGTTCGCTTCGAAGCTTGTCATGAACCACGGAACAACTTTGTTCTGCCCGTTCGTGCCGTGATGCCCGCTAGAATTGTCTCCTCCCGAAGAATTTTGACCGCCATGCGGGTTTGTGATTGGGGGTGGGTCCTGATTTCCTTCGCTGGGTGCATTGTTTCCCCCTTCCTGTTGATTTTGCGCGAGATTTGTCTGCCACACAACGATCCACACCACTCCGCCAATGACTACAACGGCTGCTACAACACAGACGATGATCCAAATCAAGGAGCAGGAGCATGCTCCGGAACCCCCACTGGTCTCGTTTATTTCCAGATCTGGTGCCTCCAGGTCCACAAGGTCGCAGTGCTTCGACGCTCTTTCGAACGGCAGAAGCGCTCTCGTCTCTTCTCCTTCGTTGGACGACGTCGAAACGCCCTTCTTATGGGTTTCGCTCTGCTCTCGATCATGATCATGTCGGTGCTGGTTCAGTGTTTCATCTGGGAGCAGGTCTACACCGCCACCTTCGTGGAGAAGCGGCCCTGAAGAAAACCCGTCCGGATTTTCAAGATGCGCCGATGCGTTCGATTCTTCTTCCTCGTCGTCTCCGAGTGTTTCTGGAATGGGCGGAAGTCCTCTGGACAACAAGTCACAACTGTAGCTGTTGTTCGCGTGATTCGAGAAAGATAGCGTATGATCGGGATTAGAAGTGCGTGCGGCAGAAACAGAATGTTGCGCTTGCGTCCCCAGCAGACAACCTGGTTGCAGGAGTTGTTCCTCACTGGGTCGTTCTCCTTCCTCTACAACTCCTCCCGTCGTTCTCGTTCCCTGTTCATCAGCATCGGAATTTTGATTGTCAACCGTTTTATTCTTCATGATATTCTGGTCTTGCAGATCAAACAGAAGTGCGAGATCTTTTTCCCGGTGCGCCAAGCAATCACTCCAGTCCCAGTCTTTCCCCTTTTTCACCCGAAAAATCTTCGCGTAAAAGGTCTTTTTCTTGCTTGACGTAGAAGTGGTGCTCGATCCGACCCCGACGCTGCAACTTGCAGCTGTGGTCTTGTTCCCTTCTCTTCCCGATTGTTCAAGAGTCATAGAATTGTTATCAGTGCTGTTACTTGCATTTTGGCTTCTACTCTCGGACGTCGCAGATGTGCCATTTACAGTGTTTTCACTGCCGCTGGAGTTTGAGTGGTAGTTTGTCGTCAGATCGTCTTCGTCGTCGAAGGACACAAATTTGTCGCCCTGCGGGAATGGGGCCGGCTGCACAAAGATTGCAGTTCGTTCATCTGGGGAATTATGAACGCTTCTCTCCATTAACAACTGGACTTTTTGCGAGGCGGTCGCGTTTTGATGCTGTGTTGGTAGTTGTACGAGCGATTTGGGTTCTGGTTGCTCCCCGCCCGGTACTTCTGCGGGGGTCGTACTGGTACCAGTTTCCGCAACAGAACAAGTAGAACAAGACGGGCCTAACGGAATCGTCAGCAAATAGGACCAGTAGTCCAGCAACTGCCCGCAGCTGGCCCGCTCTTCCGCATCGTGCTTGAGACAGTACTGTAGCAACGCGACGACATGCAGCACCCCAACCTGAAGATAGCGGTTCGCCACGTCGAAGTTGCCGGCCTCCACCTCTTTTTTGTAGTCAAAGCCCGGGGGGAGGACGCGACTTTTCGTGCAAATGAGAAACCGGTCGGGCAACTTGGGGTACAACACCCGCATCCGCGGGTCCGCGATCGCAAACATCACCCGGTTGCCCCGCATGGACTCGAACTGCTGGAAGGGGGTCTGCGAGTAGAGCATGAGGTACAGGATGATCCCCAGGGACCAGACGTCCGTGCTAGGTTTCAGCTTCATGGACGTTTCCGCCTTGGCGTTCTCGGCCTGGTAAAAGGCCTCGGGCGACATGAAGCGGATGGTCCCGCAGTGCCCGTTCCGGCTGATGTGCGTGGCGTCGGACTCGATGCGGCGGGCCAGGCCGAAATCGGACAGCTTAATCTTGTTCTTCACGATCAGGAAATTGGCGGGCTTCAGGTCAAAGTGCACGATGTTGTGGGAGTGGATCAGTTTCACCGCCTGGAGGATTTGGTGGAAACTGTGCACCAGTTCCGGGAGCGGCATCCCCTTCTCGAAGGATTTCAGGTAGTGGTTATTAAGAGGAAAGATCCCCCTCCCCACATCGAAAAGGCATGCTTCCGAAAATTTGCGCTGCTGATTTGAGGTCACAAATCGCATTTGTCTTGCAAGAAGACAAAGCCAGAAGCTTCGCCCCCATTATGGAAGCGATTTGTCATGCTGTTGGGCCCAAAGGGGAGCCGTTTGCCATGCTGAGCAACTAGACCGATACGCCCCTACCTAGGCTGGGGATCTAGCCGGAACGCGCTCCCGCAATGCAAAGCTGATTTGTGTACACAAATCCAGCATCAGAAATTCTGTTTTGATATGGGGAGGGGGGATTTTTCCTGTCGATAGTGGTGGAAATCGCACTCCGCGTACTCGAGCAAAATGTACAACTTTTTGCTCTCGTAAAACGCTTGACTCGCAAACTGCCGAATGATGCACCGGTGGATCTCCTTCCGCTGCCGCCGGAGTTCCGCTTTCGCTTCATACTCCTCTTCGGGCGTTGGGTTTGTCATTTTCAAATCCACCGCACAATTTTTGTTCCCACCTCGACCTCCTGCCGTTGCCGCACAAGCGTTAGAAGCAGTTTTAGACGACAGGGATTCCAACAACCGGACTTCCTGCAGGAAGCCTTCCAACTGCCGGGTCGATTTGGCGGACACGACTTTCTATCAAATGCAAAAATGTCTGGGTCTGGAAGCGTGGGAGCTTGTCATGCAGATTTTCCATGACCCATGAGGTCTGGAATGCAGGACCTGGCATGACAGATTCTCTAAGATCTATATCATGCCGGTCCTGCATGAGAAACTCGCTCTCTACTTGGTCAAAAGTGGACAACTGTTGGCAGTCATGCAACACACATTTTTTCAGGGTGTAGACTTAGCATCACAAGTTACTGCCTTCCAGACCCAGACATATTTGCAATCCATACTTTCATGGCGAATTTCTCGCCCTTCCGATTCATTACTTCGTAGACTTCCGCCGAGCCGCCCTTGCCGCACAGGTGCCCGAACTCGAAAGACTCATCCTCTAGGTTCTCGAACTCGTGATTGTTGCCCTCCGACGAGGAAGAGGTCGAGCTACTTCTCGGCGATACCACACCCACTTTGGAAACTCGCGTTGTTCTTTCGTGGTCCGGTTCAATATCCTCGGGACGAACAGCAGCTGCGTCATCGTGGTCACTGGAAAAGTTGTTCAGAGGGGCCACGAGGTTTTGATTCGAGTATGTTCTTCGCGCGCGGTCTGTGATATAATTTGCCGTGGGGACAACATCCACATCCTCCCCCGTCTCCGTGGCGTGCGGTCGGTGTGAGATAGCGGTGTTTTGTCGCTTGTTCGCACCATCCTTGTATCGGTTGTCTGTGAAATCCGGCAGCGTCTTCGTCTTTCTGCCGATCGGTGTAAAACTGCCGCCTTGAAGGTCGAAATAAACCCTACTTTTCGAACTATGTAGTTGCTGACGGGGTTCCGGTTCACCTTCGTCGTTTTCGTCTCGCGTGCCGTTGTCGGCGTCTTGCAGTGCCGTACGTGTAGTTTCTTGTCCACGTGCATGATTAGAGCCGTCGTCATTTTGAGCAGCTGCATGTTGATCTTGTTCTTGTAACACTGCGGCAGAGGGCGCACCGCCTTCAAAATTTCTCGTTTCTCCAAACTCTGGAGGCTCTTGCGAAAATAAACTGCTCTCGTGGTCGAGGAATTCGGATTCATCGTCAATGTCGGCGCTGTAGCCTTTCAAAGGCTTCTTTTTTGTTTTGCTTCCTTTAATATTTTTACGACCTGGTGCCGGGGTCAAGTGGAGCGAAGGCTCAGAAAAGCAGAAAAACTTGCCTTCCATTTTGCCTGTTGTCTTCACAAGTAGAAACAATCAACTACTGCCGGAGGCCGGGGGTGAAATCGACTTTGTCGGGTGATAAAATATAACATGATTGGTACAAAGAGGTATAATGAAAGATTCTTTATCTTCATTTCGCGAGTTTCATGTAGTTCTTTTCTTTACATACCAAAGTGTGCCAAGATATTTCAGAAACAAAAAGGTGGAAACAGGAAACCAATTCATAAATAGTAGTAGTTCTGGAGCTCACGAGTGCCGATCTGCAATGAACCAAAGCAGTCCTTCCAAATATGTAAAATCTTGTTGTGATGCTGATGCTAAAGTGCGGGTCTGGCCAAAATCATACAGTGATGATTACAAGAACTCTGCTACGGCCGCTAAGTTTAAAAAGGATATTTCTACAATAGAGAAAGAAGAAAATAAGGCCTAAGAAACATATCTTGTTGCCAATAGAGATTCACAGTCATAAAATTGCTTTACAGGTAGTTCTGGTGCTAACAACACGAAAGGGGTAGAAATTTTCTAATTTCTAAATATTGTTCAAAGACTCCACACGAATTCTCCGCAGCGGCAACATCTCTGTGGGGGTGAATAGGAAATAAACCGAGCTTTGATTCCGCAATAATTTTGAAGAATTTGCGCTTTTTTTTTCGGTCGAGGAAAGTTCCGGCGACCGATCAATCGCATCCTGGTACGGAAAGATCCATGCATTTCCTAGTTCCTCTCACGGTGAGGATGGAAAAGGAAGATCAAGGTTAGCGCATTTCAGTTTATTGATCATTTGCGGGTGTTTCGATGCGATCGGATCGATTTGTCTTCCGTGAGCCGAATTTTGCACTACCGTGATTTCCTATCATCATAATTTTTGGGTAGATCCCGTGTTGATTTGCACGTATTGAAGCTTTCTAGAAACGAAGAAGCAGGACGAAATGGAGGCACACCGATGTGAAAAACGAAAAAGAGCAATTTTTTTTACCGAGGCTAGGACTCCAACACGCGAAGAGATTATGCACTTACATCGGATCAAGAAACCGAAAACATGGGTGAGGAGCCAAAGAAGCTGAAGCTTCCGACACAAATGCAAGCCCAGCCGATGGGCAACTACTTCCAACGATTTATCCAATGGCACACCACTGCTAAAAGAACATTCTTTTCGGTTATATATGCTGCATGAAGGTCGAGGTCCTTCTTCTTGCAAAATGTTGCTTATTGCTTTTTCACTCACGGTCTGGTTTTGCACCAGGATGATTGCACTTGCACTGCAGGCAGCACATCTTTCTGATTATTGTACACAACAACTGCTCGAGGGCGAGACGCGGTCCATAGCCATACCGTTGCATGCAATTATAAACTTAGCTGGCACCACTAAAATTCTTAATTTCGCTCTGCTGCGCTTCCACCACTAACATCAATTTTTGTATGCGGTCCCACAGAAGATCACTTTTTCGTCGACTCTGGCTGTCGCGCTTTTGCAGCAGTAAATTCTCTTCCTGGAGTTTCTGTAGCTCTGACCGCGCGAGCTCGTGCTGGTCTGATACCCCCTGGTGCTTGTCGTGTGCTGTGATAGAGTCATTTCTTGTGTTGCCGGAAGAAAGAACGTCGACACACCAGCTATCTTTCTCGCGGCTCTCTGGTACCTTCGATCGAGGTAGCGGCGGCGGAGAAATGTCGGCGGCGCGCTCGCGGTACGGTAAACTTGGAGTTGCTGTGGCGCAGGCTGGTGATTCTGATTGTGGGTGTAGTTTATAGCTTTTATTTGTTCCGGTATTGGAAGAGAAGCCAGCGCTCGGCTTGTGGCTTTGAGATCCCGGCCCGAAAAGGGAAGTAGACGCGGAGGTGCCGAAAGTGGGCGTCTGGTTGATTGCGGTATTTTTGTTCTGGAAAGAAGCTGTGTCGGAACCTACGGAAGGACAAGGGTTGTAGCCCTCCGCATGGGTCGCAAGAAAAGCATCTTCTTGATTTAATGCGGACAAACGTCTTTCAATTTCATTCTCTGGCGGTGGAGAAAGTTGAGGCTCGGCACCAGCGCCACCGTCTGCAAAAGCAACGGGAACTACAAAATGTTGAACGGAGCCCGCGAAAGCAAATGCTCCGTTCATCCCTGCATCGGCAAGCCCGCTCCTGGTGTCGTCGGCGTGACTGGTTAGGTGGATGACTTTGACTCTGTCGGTCTGGTGTACCTCGTCTTCGTCGCCGCTTTCAAAAAACGTGCAGTCTTCACTGTACTCAATACCTTCGTGCCTTTTGCCAACACCTTCGTGACTTTGGCAACTTTGTGGTCTCGGGAAGGACGACGATGGTGCGGCTGCAGGTTGTGTTCTTGTACTACTTGCAGGAGCATCAGACGGCTCACCTCCCGGTACGGCCGTGTGGTATTTTTTGTCTTCGTCTTTGAAAACCAACCCCAATTCCAGCCGGCTGCGTCTTCTTTCCGGGTCAAGGTTGATTCTCTCCAGCGACGCTCGGCGCTGCTGCTGCAAAACTTTGCGGTATGTGAATCCAGGCCACTCCGTCTCCGGCGCAGGCCCCCAACTTGACGCGCTCGTGTAGAAGCAGTGGTACCGGTGGCGGTCTATTTTTGAGAAAACGAGAAGAGCCGTCTACGGACGAGAAAAAAAAGACTCTCAGGGCTCTCAGGGCGCCGGCTTTAGGGCGAAGTGAAAGATGTAGCACCTGGAGGTAAAAGAAATCAGGTATAATGAAAACGTAGGAAAGGAAAACAGTCGCAGTAAGAAAGTGAAAGCAAGGGCAAGCAGCGCTGTAAAGATCTGCACTCAAAGAAGACAAACGACGGAAGACAACACAGCAACTGCCCACAGACAACAGAAATAGGGGTGGGTAGGTAGAAGTTCTTTTTCGGTGAAACACGAGCACGAGGACACGCACAACTGCGTTCTTTCTTACTATGCACATCATTCAAAGATTTCATCATAGCATATAGGTAAGTACTTTTTTACTTCTGTCATCTACTCTAGAGCCTATGCTACTATTGAAAAGAAGTGTCATGCTTTTTGTTTTAACACATTTTCTAGTCTGTCGTCTCACTTCAATATCATATCGGAGACGATTCAACACACGACAGGGCTCGATTTCTTCCTTGGATTTGATTTGTCTATGTTAATTCACCTTACCACGCGTTCCTTGGTCTTTGATATTTTGATAGTTTTGACTGTTCACTTGCAGCCAATTGCACTTGCAGCCTTATATATAGTTGCACTATTTTGGTAATCGGTTTTCTGTATTTATTTCTACGCAAAGCATCGCCATCCCTATTTGTAGAATCTACAACTCGAACTTTTGCAGTTAGAGAGGACGACGCGACGGTTACGGTGCGCGAAAACAAATTTTAAATCACGCAGCGCGAATTGATATCCTTATTCCTACTTATCCTTCTTCCTCAACAACTTCGATAATAGCCACTACAGATCTAGATCGTCATCTAATAGCCAGAGTAATTGTTATCATTACCGGCATATTCAGCTGCTCCGTTACTTGCCCCGGTTTCCTTGTTTTTTCGCCACCCCTCCCACTCGGCGTCCGTCCAGTTGCTCCATGAGGATTGATTCTTATCCCGCTTCCACTGCTCCCACTCCTGCTCACTCCACTTACCATTGCCGCGAGAACCGTCGTCACTCGTATCATTGCCACCAGTGTAGTTCAGCATCTCGTTGGGACCAATCGTTTTGTTGACCACATCGTGGTAGATGCTATCGTTGCTAGTGCCGGGGTTGTCCATGGTGAACAGCGCCGGCTGCATAGACCGCTGGTTGTTGTTGATCATTCCCATCGAAGTACTCGAAAAGTTGAGCTGATCACCAGCCGTGAACTGGAAGTTGCTGGTTGTCAGCGCGTTCATTGGCGCTGGGGGACTTGCGCCTGCAGCTGCCGCGGTACTACTACCAGGGAGTTGTTGGGTCGTGGCTCCTTGCTGGCCACTCAGTCCCGCAGCGCCGGATAACAGCATGGCTGATAGTGTTTTTCACATATTGTTCTAATAAATATGTTTGAAAAGATAGCTGCTTGTCGAGAGCAATGTGTCGACACTACTTCCTCTTTTTTGAGCTAAGTAGGACCTCCACTGCGAGATCATGGAGATGCTAGGTAAAAATTCTAGAAGTCCTAAAGTACAACCATGTGATTCTTGAGCAAGTTGTTGCATCTACGCAAAAGTATATTAGGCAGCATTGTTTTTACGTGGATTCATCATATTTGCTTTCCCTGCGCCAAAGCCGCCGCTCGTGGCCGCACTGGGTCCGATTCTGCCCACTAAACTGGAGCCACCGACGACGCTACCCCCCGCTCCGTTGTTTCCCGTCGGCGGCGCCACCCGCGGTTTGCCCCCGACTTCCTTGTTGTTTGCCTGGCTCTGTTGGCTCTCCCCGTCCAGGTTTAGCCAGGATTTCAAGTCGCCGCGGAACTTCCGGTGCACGATGCCCATGGACTTCAGCTGCTGCATCCAGTCCTTCATGATGCGCATTTCCAACCGGATGACCCGGTGCTCCATCTGCTTCTGCATTTGCTCCTCACTGCCGGCGGCGGAGTAGACGGCAATACCGAACGCGATCTTGTTCACCAGATCGCCGAGATTGTACAGTGCGTTCATGGCATTTGACCGGTCCTCCTTGCTATCGTCGTCGCCGAGGTGGTACCACGCGTAACTACGGGGTATTTGTATTTTCTGTTTCTTTCACGAGCGGTAGAGGTAGACGTACATAGCTTCAAGATGATTGGGAAATTGCACGACCAAGCATGATCCTCGGACATTTTCGTGCCCTACGTCTGCCCCTCGAGATGGCGCAAGAAGAAAAAATGAATTATATCCTACTTAGAAAAGAACTCCCAAAATGAATCATAACCTACCTCGCCGGGTAGATCGCCCAACCGAAGAGAAAGATCATCCGCAAGGCGTCAAACGCTTGCTCGGCGATGGGCTTCACAAATTCTCGCTCGTCCAGCTGATACTTGTCTCGCTTGATCACCACTGCTTTTGGTGCTGGCTTCGAGCGCTTTGGTGCGGTTATGGAAGGGGTTTTTGAGGGACGGGGGAATTTTCTGGAGAGAATGAAATACATACGTATCACTTGTGCTTTTACTTTTCGTGTCAAAGAAAAGATTATCATCTCCAATACATGAAAAGTTATTCATCGTGTCACGCTCTGACATCATTTGTAGGCAAAAAAATTCAGGCGCAACATCTCACAGACCCCGGTCCCACTTTAGGCACCATATTACCCTCAAGAGACCCGGTCGTCAAAAAAGTGTCGAGATCCTTTCCAGGTCGGGCGCCGTTTTCCCTCTCCGCTTCTGTTAATTCAGAAGAGTTTTTATTTGCTTTTTTCTTAGCTCTACTATCGCACCATAATAGCGGAGGCTACTGTACTCATATTACTGTTGCACGTTGATCATCCAATTGTAGCACGAGCACGACGGAAAAAGCCCACAAGAGCAAAAATCAAAATAAGTAAAAGCACGATTATACCGGCTTCTTCTTCCTTCCTTGACTGTTCTATCAGTACTTGCTCTGCTACGCGCAATTCCGCCTGTTCCCGCTCTTCCATCTGTTGGAGGAACTTCTTTGCTTCGTCGACAGACAATTGATTTGCCAAACCCGCTGCCTCCCCGTAGTACAGTTCCCAGACAATGTACAGCCAGCACGCGCATCCCGTGACGAAAGCCGGCCAGAGCGACATGATCTCTGTCTCGCCCATGTAACTGGATTTATTGTTTCAAAATGAATTCGCGAAGACGAAGGGTAGCCTGCTTACACTTCAGAATCATGAAACTTCTAGTAATGCTGACCGTGGCCGAGGCCGCTCCAGCATAGTAATAAGTTCGTTGGGCCTTGCAGGACACAGAAACAAACAAAAACTTCAGGACATTCTTTTTTACCCGAATGCCAGCATGGCGACGCCGGAGCCCACTAATCTTGCGCACAAAGCCAGGCTAACCGGATCTTTATCTGGAGGAGTTGCGACGCTCAAAAGGATGTAGAATTCCAGGATTTGAAGCGGCACCGTGATGATCCTGTTTTAGAATGTTGTGCGGAAAAGATAAAATCGCTATTTCTTGCATTTTTTGCTGGGGGTTCACAAAGTGATATGCTAATGCTTTGTGGTTTTCACTCGTATTTGGCGGCACCGAAGTTGTGTGTATAAACTGAAGTTCCCTATTAGTGCTGCCGCTGCAAGTACTTACTAGTACTCCTAAGTACCAGTCCATATATCTGGCCACGATAGGTGCTTCGCGGCTCTCTTGCCACACGTCCTTCTGATTTTCGTACTGGATCCAGGCATATCAAATGCAAACAAGTACGTCTGGGTCTGGAATGTCATGCACATTTTGCATGAGTCCTGATGTCTGTGATGCATGCCCAAGCATCACAGATTTTGTGAGGGCTTTCTGATGCACATACCGCATGAGAAATGCCCTCTCGCAAACAATTAGCAAAAACTGGACCTCGTTTGCTGTTCATGCAACACAGATTTTTGTAGAATCCCGACGGAGCACGAGCATCACAAGTTCGCATCCGTCCAAAACCAGACATATTTACATTTGATAAGGCAACCGCGGTGACGCTCCCGGCAATCAGCATGCTCACAGCCCACTCCCTTGGCACCAAAGCAGCCTGGACGTAGAAAAACACCGAGCACGCCGACATGCTGGATGCGACCAGCCAAAAGCTGACACCAACGTGGTCGTTCTCGTCGAGAAGCATGGCGTTGCGGTTTTGCTGGACCTGCGCCTGGGTTGCGAGACGGCGCGGCGTGGGGACAAGCTGGTTGGCTGTCGATGAGAGTGCTGCCTTCATGGTGTCTGCCAGTGACCACGAGCTGGGCAGGTTGTCAGGCGCCATGATCGGGGCAGAATCACCTGGGAGGGTGCCGTGAAGCAGCGACACGGCCGACATTTTTGAACTGAGCTGTCAGATGATGCCGGAACAAAGTTGGAGACTGGTATCTTTACCCTGCGCTGTTGAACAGTGCTTCTCGGCGCACGAGACGCGCCCACGCGGTGGTAGACAGCTACGTCTTCTACACTACAACTCTACTATGTTAAACCCGACAGCTCCATCTCTTCCGGCGCTCTAAGGAATTTATAGCACGAGCGCGTGCGTACGCGCAGAGCGGACTACTTCATCATGCCGCAACAGGGGTGGCTGAAAGAACGCAAGAACAACCAAAAAACGCTAGTGCAGCACAGTGTGTCTCTCGTCACTCATTATACCATCGCGTCACTCGAGGAAGAGATGAGCGTCGAAGAAGCACGGCAACCAAAAAATGAAATCATACTCCTTGCTACTTCTCTCCCTCCCGGGAAAATCGAGAACCTTCAGCTAGCCATGAACACACGAAAACCATGCCGAAAAGTAAAGGTAACTGCCTGGAGGTTAGAAGCAAAAGCATAAGTTAAAAAGCTAGCTCAAGAAGTTAGTTCAAGAAAGTAACAAGCGCGCACATAGCTCGCTTCAACATAGTTTTCTCTTGGAAGACAAAATTGTCCCCCTCTGCTCCTTTCCTGTGGCAATGGCCACGGCCTTGTCTCAAAGCAACGGAGGTCTATGTATCCTTATTCGCCTTTTCTACGAGGTCGGACTCGTTTGTCTTCAACAAAGATAGCTCGCATACAGTTCTGTTTTGTCTCAACATGCAAAACTGCAGCTGCAACATCGATTTCGACATTAATCTACCATCTTGGATGTTGCAGCGTTTCCACCTGAGAATCGAAAAGGAATATTGACACAGGAGGTACTAGCAAAATTAACTAGATCAGCTTTTCACGCTCGGTAGGCGTTTGCCTCAAAAAGTTAGTTCGAAGACTCGGTATTTCTAGTTTGTATAATCACAATGAGACGAGCCATGATGCGCTACACACTAATTCCAAGTAGTTTCCGAATCGTATTTATAGGACGTTTCTTCAATCTCAATCACTGTCAATCGGCGAGGGCATGATTATTGTATCCGCACCAGGTCGTTGTAGTTCTACTTGTGGGGAAACTTTGTTTTGCTAACGATCCAAACCCAAGAAATCGCTTCCCTATCATATAGAAGTCTTCGCCTAGAAAAAGTTCTGTACGTCCTCCACGCGCACTTCCGGGCTCTTCAAGACAGCTTTTCCTTCTTCTTTTCCGTCTTCCCCCTCCTTCGTCGTGTCTTCTCCGAAGAGAAACTTCGCCGCAAAGACCGCGGGGAGCATCGGTAACATGGTTTGCGCGGAAACCTTCGAGGTGTCGAAGTTATTCACGTAATTCAGCAGGTCGTCCGCGGTGCGCCCGCCGTGGTACTCGTCGACCTCTTTCCCATCCTGGAACATCTTCATGGTCGGAAACCCGCTAATTGGCGCGCACTTCTCCACGTTGGCTGAAACCGGGTTCCAATTGTCGTCGTTGCACTCATATCAAATGTAAAAATGTCTGGGTCTGGACGATTAGAACTTGTGGTCATGCTAAATCTAAATGATGCAAAAGTCTGTGTTGCGTGAGTGCCAAAAGCCGTCCGCTTTTGACCAAGTTGAGAGGGAGTTTCTCATGCAGGAAAGGCATGATAGAGACCTCAAAGAATCTGTCATGCTAGGTCTCGCATTCCAGACCTCATGGGTCATGGAAAACCTGCATCACAAATCTTGCATTCTTCCAGACTCAGACATTTTTACATTTGATAACTCAATCTGCGTCCACTTCACCGGGCCTGTGAGGAGAGGGTTTTTTTGAGCTTGTACTATGTGACGTTGGGCTAGTTAGTAGTACTAAATGGAAGAGGAATTTCATCAATGTTTTGATTGGCAAGAGCCACTCTTTCAGTTCAGTACCTTGATATTGGGATTCCGCCGTGTGCCAGGGTTGTTCCAAATGCTTGCAGTGGGGGCAAGCGGCCGCATAGTATTCCCGAAATTCCAGACTTCCGTCCTCTGTTGTGAGTTTTTTGTGCCAGTTGGTTCCCTTTGGTACTTACGTTCAAATTTTTCGACGTGCATCACAACATGAGCGAAAAGTTTCTCAATATTACGCAGCACTACCTAGGAAATTATACAAGAACGCGATTACAAGAACGGTATTATACGCGCGAATGAGGTTGCGTGGCCGGAGTTGGAGTGCAAGGCACTGGCGTGGTCGCTTAGAAGGTCGTGATGACCACCGAGACCGAGTAGATCGAAGAATGGCATGGTCTGTTTCCGCCTTACGCTACTTCACAAGAGGAGTGTAAACTCTAAATTCAAATTTTCCTGTTTTCGCTTGAACGATTGATACTTAAGTTTTCTCTGCCTACTTCGAAAGAAATTGAAAAATCACGACGCTTTATTTTCACAGTTACACAGTGCTTCTCTGTCACAGTTTGCAAGGAAATCGCTCATATGCGAAGTTTGATTGTCTTTTGCTCAGAATTCGCTCTCTACTTGCAGTGAAGTTTGAACCAAGACTCTCCATCGACGTTTCTATAGTTTTTGCATGCGAGTGCCCAATAAGTCATGACCTCGAAACGAAAGATCATATTTTCAAAAATCGAGCTATCAAGAACCCCTCGTGAGAAAAAGGCACCCCCTGCCGCGTTTGAAGTACTCACATAGATTGCTGCTTTGTCTTTATTCTTGCCTGCGTTTTTTACCTCATTTGCTTTTCGAAAGCGTGGGGGCTTTTCTGCTGCATACAGCAAACAGCGATCGCAAAAGCCAAAGCCTGCACAGTCGATACAGATAGAATAACCTGTGCCTGCAGGAGTACAATGCAGGTATAGATTTATCATTATCGATGTGCGCGCCGTGCTATAGTTCTTCCAGCACCCAACGCAGGATCAACCAGCCATGTATGACGGCGCCTGCTCCTGCTGCTGCACCATCCTGCCGCCCTGCGAGATGAAGAGTTTCACGACGTCCCCCTGTCGTAGCTGTATCTTGGTGAACCTATCGTGCAGTAGCCCGACCCGTTTCAGGGGGAGTATTATGGGCGAGTGCTTCGGCAAAATTTCTATCCTTAGCCCGAGGATCTTGTCGGCCAGAGGCACGGCGCCAACTTCTTTGGCGAGAAGAATGGAACGGCTGGTAGCAACGTCGAGGCTGGAGAAGTTTTTGGTATTTTTCTGGATTATGCAGTGAAGACCAAGTAGAGTCAAGTCATCATGGCCATGGCATACGAATGATATTCATTGTATCGGTACCAATAGTCGTAGTTTTTGTTGGGGCGCGAACAATACAAATTCAGTAAGTAAGTAAATCACAGTTGCATCTCCATAGTACCCAGCATACTCCGTGGAGCGATGCTGCAACTGGGGCCCGAAGAAGTTTGGGTTTTGCAGCCGCTCCGTTGAATTCGCGGCGAAGGAATCGAAATCCATCCAGTCGTCGTGTTCTTCTTCTACCGGGCAGGAGCTGATTTTCATAGTGAATTAATGTTTTTCTTTTGCTTTTCTGTTCATCAACTGACACCGTCACCGACAACATCAAGAACAGAATGCAACGTGGTGGATGCTTTCACTTATTTGTGCATGGCAATAGATCATACATTCGTTTATTTATTTACCGGAAGCTCGGTGCCCAGGCAGTCCTTGGCGGTTTCCACTTTATGGATTTTATCGCGGTCTTTCCATATGCATTGAACTATGAACTGCAACAGTATCGCACTCGTATTTATAAATGCATTACAAATTTCCTCAGCATGAGAAATTAATGCGGATTTACGTTAACAAAAGGATTGCAATAGGAGTACGATACTTTTGCACAGGATATGAACAGGTTCACAGCAATCTCGATGCGGTCGCCGACGGCGGTATCCACGAGAAGAAAGGATGAGTCAGTACTTTCTGTTGCCGTGTACACTTCATCACTTAAAATTGCAAAGACGCAGAGTGAGCAGCATCAGTGGATGTACCAGCTACATCGAGCAGCAAACCAACACAAATGAAATCAGTGCGTCAGATAGAAGTATTGGACCGCATTCAACATAGTACAGAAAGCAAGTACATGCACAAAAAAAAAGACTCAAGTTTCCCCGAGGATATCGAACGGGCGTGATGTTCTGCAAGGCTGCAACACGGGTCTCGTCACCGTGGAACCTGTTTTGACGTATTCATGCATTGGCATTGCATTGCATGGCATAGAGTAGAAATAAAAAAAATGGCAATTCACTTGCTATCTATCTTCTATCTTTAGCATGAAATCGAAAAAAAAGAACCTGCAAATGTCTTTGTGGATCCAAAGGTTCCTGCTTCCGCTGAAAATATCAAACTGGAAGTGGGAATCGTAAATCTGGCTCGCTTATCCTGTGCAAAAGTATTGCACTCGTAGTAATTGCAATCATGCATCACAAATTTTTATCTCAAGGTAAATCCGCACTACAAATTTTATTTCTCATGCTGAGGAAATTTGTAATGCATGTATACGAGTACGATACTTTTGCAGTGCATATCGCTAGCTCGGCTTTCCGGAGATACGGCTGCGAAGGAACGGCTGTCGTTTTGTAGAGTTCACGACATCTTTTCTGCAATCGCAAGAAAAGGGGACAAAAATCGTGAACATAGGCGGAACATGACGCTCTAATAAGAATTGATTGCGAAAGTGCGGCCCGCATGCTGACACACAAATACATGGATGCCAACAACACGCGTCAGAAGACGCTACAGAGTGTCAAAAAGTCTTCTGGTATCTATTGGTCATAAAAGAAACTACTTACTTTCATACGCGCTCTCGTACGACAGGCGGACGGTGTGGCCCGCGTAGCTGGGCAGCACTTTGGCTATGAGCACCCGGTCTATTCTGACGCCCGGTTGGCAGACGTGCAGCGGCGACCAGTCCGTCCTTGCGTACTCCAGCTGCAGTATTCCGGTGGCGTCGATCACGTTTTTGAAGGCCAGGTCGATCGGGTTTGCCAACTTGTCCAGCACGTCCAGAAAGCAGCAAAACCACAAAGGAGACACTTCCATGCACCGCAGTAGGCTGCCGCCAAACAGATATGAAATGCAAAAGTGTCTGGGTCTCGAAGATGTCATGCACATTTTGCATGACTCCTGATGTCTGTGATGCATGCCCTAGCGTCACAGATTTTGCGAGGGCTTCCTGATGCCTATACCGCATGACAAATGCCTTCTCAGCGTAGCAAAAATTGCATTCCCTTTGCTACTCATGCAATACAGATTTTTCTGGAATCCAAATGCAGCATCACAAGTTGCATCCCTCCAGACCCAGACATTTTTGCACTTGGTAACAGAAACTCCGCGACGATGGGCAGGACATTTTCGTCGAGGAAGGGCAGGTATCAAATGTAAAAATGTCTGGGTCTGGAAGGTTGGAGCTTGTGATGCTAATTCTGGATCATGCAAAAATCTGTGTTGCATGAATGCCAAAAGTTGCCCACTTTTGACGAAGTTGAGAAGAAGGTTCTCATGCAGGATAAGCATGATAGGGATTCCGCAGAATCTGTCATGCTAGGTCCTGCATTCCAGATGACAAGACATGCATCATGGAAATCTGCATGACAAGTCTCGGAATCTTCCAGACCCAGACATTTTTGCATTTGATAGCAGGAGTCTATGGTTCTTTGGCCGCACGGCCACGCGGGATTTCATCGCACTAGAATATCCTGAGGAAAAACGTACCCACACCAGAGTTGTAATGCAGATTTGCAAAGACAGGAAGACCTGTAATGCGCATCCCCATGAGAGCCATTTCCAGTCGTGTTTTGGAATTTGTGATGCTGTGAACAGGATGAGCAGATGAATCTGTGATGCGGATGCACTTGCTAACCTGCACTACACTGCATAGTGCAACTTGTCATGCGTGACTCACAAAACTCCTAGGTTTGTGTTGCAAAATCCCCATCCTGACTCTGGTGTGGGTAGGTTTTTACTCAGGATATAGAATCCGCATTGTTCAAGTCGGCGGATACCGGCGTGCCCTTCATCGGCAAGTCGGGCAGGCCCAGCTTGGACCGCGCCTCGCGCACGTTCTGCGGCCCGCCGTAGGTCATCTCGAGGAACACCTGCGCAGCGGCGGACCGCGACCAGTTTGGATCCGGAATCGTGTTGAGGGATTGAAGACGGGTTGAAGAAGAGGAGGAGGAAGAACCTCCCCCTACACCCGAAGAAGAGGAGGACCCGCTCCCGCCGCCGGTTGGATTGGCCGGTGTCCGTATCGTATCTAACGGTAACTGCGTCACCTTTCCGTTCACGATTTTCGGGCGGGAGAGCAGCCAGTCGTTCCGCTCCAGGATCCACTGGAGAACCAGAGCCTTCCGGTCCGTGACATGGATGTCGTTACGAGAGTCCGCTGAGAACGCACTGCCCATGATTTTTTGTTTCGCAGTCTTCGACGACGTAGGGCTGCGTTTACTGGTCGTTAGGGGTTTTGACTTGTTGCCACAGGCGACCAACTAGAACTACAAGATCAGGAGTGTACAGTTGGCTTCGTGAACTTCTTTTTTCAGGATGCGGGGCTGCACTAGTCTTCCTCGTATTCCTCGACGTATTTTCGGAGTGGGAGGTCTCCTGAGTCTACCTCCAAGGAGCAGGTCGGGGTCGTGACGCTGCCTGCTGGTACTTAGCCCCAGGCGCCGCGAGCGCGAATCGCCAGTGCGCGGCGCAGCACGATTGTGCGGACGAATGAATGTGCCGTAGGCAACACGGGTCACACCACCTCGGCGGGGTCGTTGTGCTGATCAGTGGTTTCTCGCGGCGTTCTTGCGTTGTATACTGTCATGGTGTAAAGAGAAAGACGCAGGTCAAGATGGTAAAACTAGAACTACCGGCACGGTGTGCCACATCTTTGTTTTTGTGAACTAGCTGGTCTCACGTTTCAAGAGGGAGTGCAAAAACTACGACTGAAGCTGGACCTCTTTTTCGACGTCTTCGACGTGTTTAGTATTTGTGACTGAGCAAGGACGCAGTGACAAAGATAGACGTGGGTCGTGTTTCATCATTCGTGCATGAGCAACTCCACGAAAACGGGTTCTCGCCTCGTCTCAGATGTACTCCTCAATTAGAATACGTACACAGTAGAAGAAAGACCGGCAACCAGCACTAGAAGTACGTGTGGTCGTGGAACATAACGACGCTGACCAAGGCCGCGCTGCATCTGCAGCAGGTGCAGCAAGCATGTCCGCTTGTGTAGTATGCTTGTTGTTTCTCATCTGCGGCGCCGTCTTCTGCAGTGCTCGAAGCTACGAGACGCATGAAAACGATGCGCAGTCGCGAGGTGTACTTGATATGACATACGTCAGGAATGAGCTTTTTCCGTGTGGCCTTAGAATTGCGAGCGCAGTAGTTATCGGGTCTTTGTGTTTCTCTTTCCATTTCATTGTTTACCAGCAGTTAGAAGATTCTTCTTGACAACAGCAAAAAGTAGCTCTCAAAAATGTAACAAGTGACTATGCGAATTTGACTTTACTTTCTCCCGCTGTGCATCGCATCCGATCGACCGCGCGGCCTTGGATAGATCTATTTCAACATCAGTTCCCTCTCCTGGCCGGTGCAGGAGATGCGAATGTTTGGTGGGCAGCCGTAAGGACAAGCGCTTACTACAACTTCCTTACGTAACAGAAGTGCAGAATCGATATAACGATTTGAAGGAAAATCTCAACAAACATTTCACTCCTTCACAACATGATGAGCCCTCGTGTCATCTGTCTCGAAGATTGATGAAATCTCCTTTCAACCTACAGCGCAGTGCCGTGGTAGAATTATGTTGTTCTTCATGATGGTATACAAGAAGAGTCCTTAAGTTCATCGCCAGATTTGCAGCTTCGTGATCGTGACTTGCCCGGAGTTTTCTTGGCGAGCAGCTCTTTCCTTGACAGATATGCGGCGCTTCACTTATCTTCTTCATTTGATTTTGATATTGATGATGTGGCTGCAGCTGCTGGTGATATTACATAAGCAAGTAGCTCGGCAATTCATTTTCTCGGAATCTACTGGTCGCAAACGCAATCGTCCTCTAATGCATGGCACTAGCTTCTCCTGGTGCTGTTGTTCGCCTTTCTCATTTTTTTCGTGTTGCTTCTGAAATCGTCGATCCGGCTTCTCCACGTGCGCACAAAGTGCGTGTCGTCCGCACCATTGACGCAGCCGCAGTAGTAAAGAGCGGAATCTGGCACACTACGCAACTTGTCTAGTCGGCTGCTTGCTCCTCGCCGGGTGCTTCGGAACACTCCTCGCCGACTGCTTGCTCCTATTCTTATGCAGACCCAGCAATGTTGACTGCGCGGCTTGGTGAAGCAGTGTGGCTGGGGTGGTCCTCTGCAGAAGGTGCACCGCAGGCTGCTGCGTCAGTTGCGGGATTTTGATTTTGTTGTTGAGTCGGCACAACATCAACAATTATTCCCTCCGTTGATTTTGGCCTAGCTTGCACGACGTTGCTCGCGAACACGGACCAGAGAAAGTTGACCAGGCAGAGGTACGGTATGTGCAGCCGCTCGGGGACGAGGTAGTACTTGCAGGTAAAAATCACGGGCGTTGACCAAAACCCGGCCCAAAAAAGCGACGACCCCTCGTCGCTAAGCTTGTCGGAGAAGGAGCGGGTGGGTACTGAAGCTGGAGAAGGCATAGTAGAAGAAGTTACTGTCGTTCCTCCCGCTCCATCACTACAACTGTCGTCAAGGCGCAAAACGGTCGTCCCCGCGAGAAAAACGAGCACGTACAGCGGGTTGAGGAAAATGGTCGTCAGACTAGTTTTCAGCAAGATGGGTTTCCACTGCGGTTTGGTCGAAGTGGGAAAGAAGTGTTCCATGGCTCTTACCCAGAGCTGCAAAAACCCTCCGACATACACCACGTTGACGACCGGCATGCCGAGGAGCCGACGGAAGTTTAGCTGGTCGAGGAAAGCAGGTGGGTAGGCTGTATGATCTGCGGTTGTTGTTGTACTGGTGGCCGTAGTAATCCCACCAGTCGGAGGACCATCGAATGAAGCAGCGGCTGCAGTGTCGAAATTTGTGATTCCCTGCAACTGGACCACACTTTCCCCGGCAAATGCGCAAAACGCACCCATGCCGCACTTCGTGAGAAAGGGTGCCTTCTGGTCCAGGATCTCGTACCGCTTGATGAGCTGCTGAAACCAGGATTCGCGGGGCTGCAAAACGAAGCCATTGACCGGACAATGGAAGATCACCCGCGGCTTGCGGTAATGTTCGAGACCTGGAGGTACGCGCTTCGTTTGCATGTACGTAGGTTAATGAGTTGCAGGAGTACTTCTTGACATCAATGCAAATGTCGTCGCGCCAGACGCGCGACACGAATCAATGCTGCTGACTAAAATGGCATCGCTGCCTGTACCGAGAAAAATGCAAAAAAAAGTATCTCGAAAAAAGACTATAATGACCCTACCTTGCAAGACGCTCTCCTGCAGTTCCGCAAAAATTTTCCGAATGTTTTCCCCGAAGCTCGCGTAGGCAACTTCTTCGCGGAGAATAATCCCCTGGAGTGGACAGACGACGGTCGTTGTAGTTGTGTTGTGAGGACTTGGACTATGGGACGCAGTACTAGAGGAGGATGACCTTGATGTTGATGAAATGCCCCTCCTTGCAAACTTTATTGCACTACTTTGCGTGGCGGTCGTGTGGAAATAGGACCGACGGACGGCAGCTGTAGTTGGAGCGACCGGTGAGCCTGGCCACAGGTGCGGACGCACGGAACGCAACAACATGTCGTTTTTGTATCTGTATATACTCGAAGTCGAGATCATGTCGAAGGAGCAACGGAGAGACTATTGGCATCTAAGTCCACGAGCAACGAGTTTTCGGAAAAATCTTCAGCTGCTGTCGCCAATACGAGACATGTTTTTCCATATTTTCCTGAACGTACTTTGGATTTTTTTTTTGTATTTTTCAACAAGAAAATGAAAAAGCCCTCTGTGTAATGAAAGTGTCTAGTCAGCAACAGCATTTCGATCTCGAGCAAAGGAATGACGAGTAGACCACAAGACCAAGCTCCAGCGGAGTGCTTCTAGAGAGACACTCACACCACGAGGCGAACACTTCAATGTTTCTTGCGCAGCTACTTTTGTTGACGCCTACACTCGCGCCGATTCTTCTGCTCGTCGAATGTGTCTTCGGAGACGGCGCGACGTCACTCAGAGGAATCATGTACTGTGAATTTATAAACGAAGGCGACAAGATCGCGACATGTTTTGCCGATAATCAACCGCATCCAACGCGATTCCTTGGACGCGCGCAGAGCTACTGCAGGAAAATCGAACCAAGTCACGCTTCATGCTCGCGGAAAAACAAAATTGCATCTGCGGAAAATGAATATCAAAAAGAATGGATAGAAGTAGTAGCCACAAGGCCTGAGTCCCTCCCGACGATGATTGAAGAGTATCAAGTTTTTAGTACAAACATGCACATTAAGCAAAATTTGTAGTCATACGCGTCTACTATACTGCAGTAGTACTTAGCAGTTTCTGCGTGACGCAACTGAAAATATACAAGCTCCACAACATCTTCAAGCGGCAGCATGCTTCTGCACCACTCGGGCGACAAACATTTCGTAGCTGGCCGGGGAATGATTCGCGAGCATTTTTCGATGCAGCAAAAAATCATCAAAAGCACGCGGATCAACGAAGGAAGCGGCGTCGTCGTCGTCATGGTCGATCCGCAATACCTTCTTCCCCGCTGGGAGCAGGATCCGCCCCGGCGCGCGACCGTCGATGTCACGTTTCTGCAGTTCAAGGGACTCCCAGAAGTCCTTATCTAAAGCGTCTTGTTCGAGCCCTCTGTAAATACTGTTTGGTGAAGGACGAGATTGTTCTCCGTTGTTGTTACTGCTCCCCGGCGGTTGCACGGAGTTCATCTGCTTTGTACTTTTAGCCTGCTGGTGGCGTTCCAAAACCTCCGTCAAGTAAATGCGGAGAAATTCCACACTGCGCACAGACAAGCGGCAAATCGCATCCACGTTCTCCGCTACGGAAACAAAATTTGCACTGTATTGAGCGGAAACATCCCCCCTCCCCATGTCGAAGCGGTATGTTTCCGAAAATTTGTCTTGCTGATTTGAGACCACAAATCACGCCTGTCTTGCAAGAAAACAACTCCACAGGCTCTGCTGCATTATGCAGGCGCTTTGTGATGCTGTTGGGCCTACAGCATAGTCGTCTCTCATGCTAAGCGCCTAGGCCAAAAGCTCTCTACTCAGGCTTGGCAGACGCCTGCAGTCCTCTACTGCAAGACAAAGCTGATTTGTGTACACAAATCCAGCATGAGAAATTCCGTTTTGATATGGGGAGGAGGGATTTTTCCTTTCGATACACTGTCTGCGAAGTACTTCTCGCTCAGATTCAAGGAGCAGACGCAAGGACAAGCGAACGCGTACGCGCGGAGCCGGGTAGCGGCCAGTATGTTTCCCTGCTGGATATTGTCTTTATTTTCAGCTGGGGTACTAGCCAAATGCTTTCCCTTTCGCTTCCCAAAGTCTAGGCTCTTGCTCTGCCCTTCACCAAATAGTGGCTTCCACAAGAGATACAGAAGCGCGGCCGTGCCGCCCCCTAGACTGTGGCCGGTCAGGACAACATCGTATGTGTTTAGCTGTGCTTGTTCTGCTGTTGCTGTTGGTCCCCCAGTTCCTTTTGTTGTGCGTGAATCTGTATCACCAGCGCCAATTTTGCCTTCTTTGTTCTGCTGGTCAAAATGATGATCGGCGCCCTGCCTACAACTCTCCTCCGCTAACCGACTGCTTGTTCTTTCCAGTGCTTCCAACACAACCGGCAGCGCCTTATCCGACAAAATTTTGGCTGCGTGAAACATCCCCTCGTGCACGTAATAGCAGTTCTCTGTGTTCGTCAACTGAAAGCCTTCGGGGCAAAAAAGCGGTTTGAAATGGTTTCCGTACTCGTGCCTCCAGTCTTTTCTTGGAAATTGGTACGCAGCTGGCGGGTCACCACAGCTGTTTTTTGATTTTGATCGGTCTGCGTCTGCTACTGGTGGCTCGCAATAGCTCTGGCCCTCGTCCACCTCGGCAGCTATTTTACATGTCTCGACGCGTTCCAATCCGTCACCCCGGAAGTAACTGAGGTATCAAGTGCAAAAATGTCTGGGTCTGGAAGAATTCACGTTTGTCATGGTTGTCTGGCATGACCCTTAAATCTGTCATGCACGTTACCCAAGAGCTCCGTTTTTCTGTGATGCAGAAGCGCAGTTTGTCATGTTGGGAAACTAAGGGCAGGGCGTCCCTTTGTAAATTACGTCGACAAACTCTTAACCTGAGGTCCTGAGGTGGGTGACGCGCCCGAGAGCACAGACACCGGCGGAATGGTGACGACCAGAAGGGTCACCCGGTAAACTCCAAAACAGAAATTTTTTTGAAGCGCAGTTTGTCATGCAGAATACGCAACACCTAGGAGCTCAGAAACTTGTCATGCTGAGCCAGCATTTGTAGCCTCATCATGAGACGCCACCCAGCATCACAAGTTTCCAGACCCAGACATTTTTACTTTTGATATGAGGTCCCGGGGGACAAACCCTTCGTCGCCTTTGAAAAACGGATTTCCGATTTCCGCATGCGGAAAAGGGCTACAACTGGCCAACCGTTCAGATGTATCGCAAGAAAAAAGTGTTACACTTACAGGCCAAGCAAGACAGACAAGCTCTGTCATGCTGAATATGCATAGGAGCCTCGTTTCATAGGTGTTTTCCCGTAGGATTTCTGCATTGCAAGTTTTCTGTCTCATGCAGAGAAATGTGTTGATGAATTGACTACAAATGTGTAACTGTAACACTTTTTTCGTGGGATAAGATAGAGGCTCCGCGAGGACCTGACCACTTCCACTGCCCAAGGAACCACATAAGAACTCGTCCTTTACGATCGGCTTTGGCAAGCAGATCAAGTCTGTACAGATGTCCATCAGCCCGACGGAACCGCGGATCGTAACCACAATTGCTTTTTTTGTGTGGTCAATACAGACTGCGAACGCGGGTTGGTACAGCTGCTGGCTCCAGTGGTCGGAATAGACGACGTCGATCGTTTCTTTGTCACTTCGGTGCTTCAAGGCGCCCTTGAGGAGCAGTTCGAACACCTCAGAAGACGGCTTGAAAAGGCGCGGGAGTTTGCTCATGATTGGGAAGCTGCTGGACAACGTTTCCGTGCTGTTCTCCTCGCACCTTGTGTCGCTTTCTTTCTCCTCGCTCCGGCTCCGCCCGCAGCTCAAGTCCAGCATGAGCGTGGCAGCGGTTTGGCACATGCAATTTGCGTACTGAAAATAGTATTCCAGGTCGGACCAGTTGAAGGTTTTCAGCGAATAGCACGAAGATGTTGCTGACCCGTCGTCGTGATCGTCATTCAGTCCAGTTTTGGTCAACACGCTTGCTGTTCTTGTTTCTTGTGGGGGACAAGAGTCGCGGCCTTCTTCCACATCTACCTCTACGTCCACCGCAGCATGATCTTCCCCTGCTTCTGTGGAACTCGGACTCGATGGAGTCGACGCGATGCACGAGCTGCTGCTGGCGGTGGTGCTCCGCGGGTAAGAGTCGTGGTCTTCTACCACAAGGTCTGCATCTATTAGATTGACTTTCCGAGTAGCTGAGATGTTGTCGTGGTCTCCTTTATTTCCCGTGCGAGGACCTGCTACGTGCACGACCCTCCTACACGGTGGCGTTGATGCGAGCGGGGAATTCTTCAGGGACGATCCGGATTCCTTCCTTCTTTGCCTCAGCGCTGTTGATGACCTGGCCGCTGGAAGGGCGGAGTCACTAGATGCCATGGCGCTGGTGCTTCCATTTGCAGGTGCTGTTTTTGTGCAAGCTTCGGCTGTTGTAGTTCTCACGGGGATCGTTGAATGTGATGGGGAAAAGGAGTGAAGGGCGCTTTCCGCCCGTCTTGCAGCCGCGCTCTCCTGCTGTGAGAGGCTACTGTTCATCCTCCGCGAAAAATCCGCGTTCGCCGAGCAGTGAAACTTCCCTTGCAGCTCCGCGAAACAAACCACAGCGTCGCGCAACTGTTTCAAGTCGATGATAGTTCTCATTGGCCCCAGAAATTCCGGGAGGTTCGCTAGTAATGTGATCAACGAGGATGCGGTTGCGTTGTTGAAGCCAATAGAGTCGCAAAACGACTTGAAATGCCGGGCGTCACGGGGAAAGAAATCGGAAGTAGATTGAAGACAGTCTTTCTTGTTGTGCAGTGCCATAACGCAATAATCTTGTGCCACAAAGTCGCTCTCCAAGCCTTTCGCTCCTAGTTCGTTTTTCAGTCTCCTCAAATAGGCACTCATCGCGGTTGCGCGGAGTTTTCGGAGGCAAAAATCCGCAAAGTCGGCCGTAGTCAGCAACAATGAGTGGGCGCATTTTTTCGGAATGCGGGACGAGAAAGGGAAATAGGGACTCGTCAATGTCCGAATTGCGAAGAATTCAGTTGTTCTTGGAAAGATTTCTTGTCCGGCCAAGGAATTATCTTTCGCACTGGTGCTTGCCGAGTCACTTTCATCCCGAGACGTGGAGACGGACGCAGCTGCGCAAGCTAGAGGAGAAGCGGAGGGTTTATGGCTTTCTTTGGTACTAGGGGACTTTTTTTTTGCACAGTTTTTAGAAGTTTTTTCTTCTGCTTTTTCAGAAGTGGTCCTCCTCGTCCAGCCATGTTTCTTATTTCCACGCAGCAGTCCGCGCGCTCCCGCCACGCAATCTGTCACAACTTCGTTTGCCTTGTCCACGCCGAAAGAAAAGCCTAGCCGGACGAGAATAAAACCCAGCCGGGTGCCGCACTCCACAAGCTGCGTCAAATCCGAGCCGAATTTCAGGGCCTGAAGTGGAAGGGATTTCTGCGGCGACGATGAGGTTTTACTTTTATTTTCGTGAGCATGATGAAGATCAGGCTTCGGCAGCTCTGCTTCGTCCGGCTTGGCAGTGCTTCGCTCGCTGCAAATTTTTCGCGGGAGTTCTCTCATGGTGGCATTTTTGGTGCTGGTTGAGGCGACGTATAATATCTCGTGCTTCGTTGATGGAAAAGGAAAACAATGTACGTTTTTTACAGAAATAAAAACATCTAGGTCAACAAGCGCGTCGCGTCAGTCAGAAAACTCAAAAACTATAAACCCCTCTAAAGAATAGAGTGAAAGAGAAAGTCACGATGCCATATTGTATTCTTCCAATTATAGCTTGCTGCGCTTTCATGCAAATGCATCCAAGACGAGTGATCTTGTCACACAAAATGCATCTGCATTTTTCCAAAACGGAGAAGGGAGCATACAACGACACGCCCTCTGCAAAAGCTTTCTGGAGTCCACGGGAAGTGCAAACCCGCAACTCTTTCTGTTTCTGATCATCTACCAACATTGTCTTGAACCGCTGCAATGAAAATGATATATGAAAATGATCGCAATGATGATGCTTCATTGGAACCGCGATTGTTGCTTTTTCTTTGAGACTCAGGAACACGGCAAACACCAGAGGCGGGGCTAACAGCCGGAAGTACACGCAAAACGCCATGCTACGGCTGCCGCTTTGAGAATACAAAGCCGAAGCCAGCACTGTTTGACTGTTATCGCTTTCGGATTCTATATCGTTGAGTGGCGGTCGCCGTGCTTGCGTTTTCTGCGTCTGCGATCGTTTGGCACCATGTGAAGTGCGACCGTTTGCCTGTTCGAGTCGAAACGTTGGCAGAATTGAAGACAATGCAGCTACACAAACAACACACGCACCGTACGTAGAAGTAACTACGATTGGCAGAGGGCTTAGTTGGCACGCACGGCAGTCTTTTGTATATTGTTATTCCAGTCTCGTCATCATGGAAGGTAAACGTAAATAAATAGATAAAGATATGTCAAATCCTATGAAGTCGCTTATTGAGCCAATGAAACATTCATTGAAGGTTTTCTTGTTGTAGTTTTTGCAACTACAAGAATAGTAGCTGAAGAATTATGCGCAGAGAAGACTACTTCGACCGCCAATGAAAAATAAAAGTATCATATCAGCGACAGGGACAGCGCATGCGCATCATAGGGCATTCTTGCCTAAAAACGTGCGTTATGACAAGGGGTGATGCTCGTGTTTGGTGCAAATGGGCAAGAAATAAACGAGAATGTGCATAAGGCCGGCTTTGCTATACGACTACAAACATCGCTTCGTCTTGCAGTTTCTAAAAAAGATGTGCATTGATTTAGGCCTAGGACTACGACCTCCTTCGGAAGTTCTCGGCTGGGCATCCGATCTTTTTTCTTTTCTGATGGGAAAAAAATTCCAATACACAAAGCGAGAAGTAGCAACAACATCAAAAGAAGAGGACAACCCACTTAAAAATTTCAAAAAACGACCAAGAAGGTGGAAAAAGCTGACTCCAGAACCGGAGGCTAAGCAGTCACTTCCGGAAAATGATGATGACGTACGTTGGTAGTGTGCCTTTTGCCGGAAAAAAAACCAAAAAAACAAGCAGCAGGACAAACGAAATACAATAAGCATGGCGTTAAGTTTCTTGGTAAGTACTATTGCTTGCAGCTACTTCTCGTCGACACGGCGGTAAGGTTATTCTGCAAACACGAACGAACGAGGTAATCTCAATGGGACATGACCTTTACCTGTGGAGAGAGAGTCTGGGTCAAGGAGGACCGGGTAAGAACGTTGCGAGAAATAACATTTTTAAGGAGAAAATTCGTACTCGGTTATTCGCTCTACAGCTAGAAAGTCTGCAATTCCTTGCCGCTCCTTCGATAATCAGTTTCCATAATGCAACTGGTACTACAATAGAAACAGAAGATGCAGACGGGAACCACACACGACAAGCGAAAATACGTTTGAAGCAGCGAAGACAGAAAGCTCAATCTGCGAGTCCAACTTTCCTCCACAAGAAATTTGAATTCAAAAAAACTGTATCTGTCAAATGCCTCTTCCAGAATATCACAGAACGAAATACGACATCATCATCATTACATTTTTGAAAAAAAATTCGGCAGCCGAAGGTGCTCTAATGTCTAATCTTTCCACCTCGCTTCTACTAGACGAGAAATAGCACGATGCTGGGAAACAGTGCGGTCCAGCTGGATGTTGGCTTGGTCGGCTTAGAGCTTGACTACCGTCCCACACCATTTTCAAGAAAAACGAATGACTCATCCTACGCAGTGGCGGAGGTAATCGGGTCTTTTTTTCCTCGCTTTAAATCGCTCTTGATTTTTGTTCATCTCTTTCTTGGATAGACTTGCTTTTTCGTCGGTGTCGCTGAGAGAATTTTACATCGCTTGTCACATGGATATAATCGCTTGATATTGATTCACTTGGACTTGCCTCGTCGCTTACATCGGCAGCAATAGAAGATGAAAAAAAGTACGTTTATTTCTCGTCTTGCGGGCTGAAATTCCGGTCAGTCAAGCGAAACTAAAAATGGCTATTACGCTGGTAGATACTACCAGCCAGAGTTAGTTCCTCGTTTGACTATCCGCGAATCACGCTCGTTGGGTGTCGATGAAGCACGACCACCCCGAGAGAGATGAATCATAATGCTGCTGCTTAATATGCTGTCGGCCCACAACATGTTGGCAAAGAGAAAGAGACTAAGCTTTGCATTATGTTACATCGAAGTTGCTGACAACCACGGAGCGCTCGCGCTATTGTTCTTGTGAGTACTTTTTATCCAGTAGGACAATTAGTATCGGGATCTGTTACTTCATTATATGGGTATAGATGCATACATGTCGTTTTAGTTTTTCTTTTTCTTGCCCGCACATTCTTCAACTTTTCAAATACAAATACTACAGTACTCTAAATAAAAACTCTAGGAGCATCCGTCTCTAGGAGCATCTGCTTCACACAGAAGCAAGGTCGCTGGTTGATGAAGAGTCAATCACTATATTTTTATGCTTATTGGCCCAAAGGGTGAGACCACTGTATTCGAACTAAGAAGGGGGTGAAGCCGGTGCCAGAAAAGCAAAAGCGTCCGTTAGGTAATACACGTAAGAGCCGTTATTTGCCACTGCCACGACGTTGCGCTAGGGCTAGTATCATCTTACTAGCTTCCCTACGTGTCATCGGACGACGCCGCATTGTTTCTGCCTTTCACTTTCATACCTCCAATCACGACGGAGCCTCATCTTTCACGTGTACCACCTGCTCGGTGGATAACGATGAAGATAAAAACCGCATCTACATACTATTTGAAATCTTCTAGGAGTGCGACTGACTTGCGGAATTGACACACTTCCACTTGACTGTTCCGGTCGTCTCTCTTTCTGTCACCGCAGGATCATCTGAGTTTTCCACTAAAACTGCATACAAGAACTGCACCCTTCTCAATATTCTTTAGCGTCGAAATGAGCAGTCTTCTTTTTCAGAGGACCTTTGAAGTTGCTTCTTCGACCTGAAGCCTTGCATGTGTTGCGTTAAAAACCAGAAACAGAAACAGAAACGGCAACAGAACTACAACTTTAGTCAACCCAGCGCCGCCATTAGCGTCTGAACGAGCGCCGCCATTAGCGTCTGAAGGACGCGGTTGCCCGAGGCTTGGGCAACCGCGTCGCAGAGTAGACTTAGTCAATGATCGATCCACTACGACCAGCCTAATCGACTTTTGGTGCTACTAGTAGAGCCTCTAGTGCTATTCGGATGAATAGTTCCGATTTACTAACAACTAGCCACCGGGTGGGGTGTCCGCGACCTGTCCCTTTTCGAAGCACACATGGAGGAACGTCTCGAAGTTGATCTTGGTCTTGCCCGCCCCGAGTATTTCTTGCAGTTCCGCGCTGGCGAAATCTGATTCCTGGATCGTGCGCCGGGTATCGCCACGACGGTGCGCTTTAATCGATTTTTTGATGGAGTCGCAGGTAATGTAACCTGGGTCGTCGGGGTCCTCGAATCGCTTGAAGATCTCGAGTATCAAGTGTAAAAATTTCTGGGTCTGGAAGATTGCCAGACTTGTCATGCAGGTTTTCCAGATACCATGGCTGATGGCACTTAGGACTGCAGGTTTTCCATGACCCATGAGGTCTGGCATGTAGGACATAGCATGACAGATTCTGTGCGAGTTCCATCATGCCTATCCTGCATGAGAAACTGCCTCTCGAGTAGGTCAAAAGTGGACAGCGTTTGGTAAGCATGCAACACAGATTTTTGCATGCTTCAGATTTAGCGTGACAAGTTGCATTCTTCCAGACCCAGACACTTTTACATTTGATATCGAGTAGGTGGTTCTTCTCGATCACGACCTGAAAATGGGGTTATCGTGTACGACTTTCATAATTTTTTCGCACAATACTATATATTACAATTCGTACACCATTCATCGCACAACTACAACATCCAAGCCGCACAACAAAAGAACCCTTCAAATTTGATTCAATACTTTTCTCTCCACTAGTGCGGAGACAAAATCGCGGTAGTTGAGCCCCAATTCCAAATTCGCCTCGCCAAGGCCCGGACCGTGGAGCGTGAACATCATACGTTCAATCTCCCGGTTGGGGACGGAAATCCCCACGTTCCGTGCGGCCTCCACCACGTTATGCACTGCAAAAGTACTCCTGCACTCGTGCTAATCCCAATGAATATAATTGCATGACAGATCTCCCTTCTTTAGGTGCACCAGCATTACAAATTCAAGCTTTTCCTAGGAAAAACTTGTAATGCAGTTTGTACTAGTACGATGCTTTTGCAATGCATACACCTCCTGCAGCTGCAAAATTCCGTCGTCTGACGTGTCCATCGCGGTGAATTAGTCTATCGCAGGAAAAAACTGCTTCTAATGCAGAAAATGTAATCTTAGAAGTGTTTGTTTTGCTACACATGCACGACAGTCGACTTTTAGCTGTGTTTTCCCTTAGGAAACTCGCATGGCAAATTTGCTCTGTCATGTAGAGCAATCTTGTGATGCAAAACTTGCAAAATCCTTACAGTGAAACACTTTTTTCTCGCGATATGGTCCCGCAGCTCAAGAATCTTCTCTTCGTCCACCTCCTTTGCGAGCAAGCGTAACACCGCTTGCTTCAGTTTATTGTGCTGCTGGAACTGGAGCAAGGAGTCGACGATCGAATTCCGAATGGGGGCCGTCACCTTCTTGCTGCTGTTGAACCAGGGGTGCCGCAGCGCTTCCACGCAATCAAACCGGTTGATCGGCTTTTCCTCGAGCATTTTGGCCGTGATCTCCTTCGCTAGGGGGGTGAGGTTGTTCCACAAGTCCGCAGGCCAGTCGACCTTGCACAGAATGATTTTCTGCTTCGCCGTTTCCGCGTTGTCCTTTCCCGGAATGAAAAACGGGTGGACGCCCGTCAGCATCTGGTACAGCATAATGCCGCACGCGAATACGTCAGCCTTGGCGTCGTACCTGAAAAATTCAAATAATTTTCTTGGAACAAGGCGGTGAACAAACACTTAAATGGACAAAAATCGTGATAGCGATAGCCATGGAGATGAAATAATTTCATGTGAAGCTTCTTCTTTTGCGTGCGCAATTTGGCTGCCTGTGCATATGCCTCTTTATGTGAATGAAGATCGTCAGCATTGTGGGCTACTATCGACACGCCCACGACGTGATCATCTTCTTCGGGTATCAAAAATAACTTTCTCGTGGTGAGTACCAGGACTTGTGGTGCATTTCTGGGGGCATGTAGTGGGGCGTGCCCGCTTTCGGCATCACCTTCCGAACGAGGGGGTCGGGTATCTCCGGAACCGGAATGCCTAACGACCGGCGAATCCCGTCGGCTAAAACTTCCTTGTCCGCATTGATCTTGACGGTTTTCGCTGCCGCCTCGATTTTTCGCATGAAATCACTCAGGCCAAAGTCGATCACCTTCACCGCCGAGTCGGCCTTGCGGGTGACAAAAAGCACGTTGTCGGGCTTCACATCGCGGTGCACGATCCCCATGCTGTGACAGTATGCCAAGGCCTGCAAGTATGCAAGAAAAAAACTGTGTAAGTGTAACTCTGTATATGCAGAACATGCAACAGAGTCACGCCTGTCATGCCAGACAACCATGAAGTCCTCTTTTCATGTGTGTTTTCCCTTACAAGACGCGCATCACAGGTTTTCTCTGTCATGTAGAGCAAATTTGTGATGCTGTCAACCAAAGAAAGTTACTCTAACACAGTTTTTTTCTTGGATAGCAAGATCTGCTGGACGTACCGCCCGGACTGGCGCTCGCTTTATCGTATTTAAAAACATCCCCAGCCCGTAGTTGTAATGCAAATCTGCATGCTGAGAATGTTTCTCATGCGGAGCCCCATGAGAAACATTTTATGTTCGCGCTTTGAAATTTGTCATGCTCCAATCAGCATGGTATATTGGATCTGTGATGCTGCTGAACTACCTCAAACACCACTACACTACAAGTTCAAATTTGTCATGCAAAACAGCCAAAACTTGTGGATTTGTCTAGCCGATTCCCCATCTTGACTATGGGGTGGGGACGGTTTCACATAGGATACGCTCATCGGTTTCTTCAGATTGCGGGTGTGAAAGATCAAACGGTCGAACAGCGACCCACCGTTGCACAGCTCCGTGACGAGATAGATGGTCGTGTCCTCATCATAGTAGACCTCGTAGAGCCGGATATCAAAGTGAAAAAAGCCCCCACCCCATATCGAAAACGAAATTTGTGATGCTGTATTTCAGTACACAAATCAAGTTTGTGTCGCAGTAGAGCACTGCACGCAGCTCGTAAGCCTAGGTAGGGGCCTTGTGGCGTAGGCGCCTAGCATGGTGGGCGGCTGCACTGTACGCCCTACAGCATTACAAATCGCCTGCATAACATGCTGGGCAGCCTGGATATGCATTATTGCAAGACAGACGCGATTTGTGGTCACAAATCTGCATCACAAATTTTCAGATGGATGCGCTTTCAATATGGGGAGGGGGGATTTTTCCTTTTGATACCGGAGAATGTTCGGGTGGTCCAGCTCCTTCATCAGTTCGATCTCCGTTTCCACCAGTTTCGCCTATCCTGTGTAAAAACGTCCCCACCCCAGAGTTCTCATGCAAATTTGCATGCCCAAATTGTGTCTCATGCGCAGGCACCACGAGGACCATTTCCTCATGCTGTCTGAGGCTTTGTCATGCTCTAATCAGGATGAGGGGCTAGATTTGTGATGTAGCTTTGCTAGCCAAGCGCGACTATGCTACAGACGCAAACTTGTCATGCGCAACAGCCAAACTTTGTTGATTTGTGTTGCAAAGACTCCATCTCGACTCTGGGGTGGGGACTTTTTTCCTCACAATATCGCTTGGTCCTTGTTTTTCAGCGTGATCGACTTGCACGCTCGCAAAACGCCGGTGCGCAGGTGCTTCACGGTGCAGACCTGATGTTCTTGTGTGCTGGTTTTTCTAAAAAATAAAGCAGGTGAAGTTGTGGAGTAGAACTTTAATATTCCAGTGTACAACAGTAGTGCAAAGGCAGCACCACCATCACGCCGAAGATGAAGTGTTTGAAACTAAATGAAACATATGATTTGAAAAACGCAACATACCTTTCCGAACGCGCCCTCGCCTTTCTTTTCCATGAAAGTGTAGTCCTGCAGCACTTTGGCCTTCTCCGTAAACACGGGGATGATGACGTGACCCAGGAAATGCACCGCGTCCATGCCCTCCCCAGGCTTCAGGCCCTCGCCGCCGGACCCCAGGGTTATATTTTCCAGATTCGCGCCGTTGAGGACCCCTTTGTGGTCAAACCCCTTGGGGTACATCCCGACCTTCTGCGCGGCGTACTGCCGCACGATTTCGCAGAAGGACTCGATGGAGATGGAACCCTGCTTCTTCCGGTCAAAGTTTTTGAACGCCTCCTTACACCACCGGGTGCTGGGCTGCCGACCCATCTGCGGCACGAAGCGCCACACACGCTTGATCATTTCCACGCATTGGTCCGAGTCAATCCTGGTGACAAAAATTGGGTCGAGCTTTTTCTACGATAGATTCTGCTTCATGATGTGCTGGCAGCACTTCTTGGGGCTTCGGATCATGCACGACAGAAAGAAAAGAAGACAGCACGCGCATGCCGTTCCATCCTCCATACTTCGTCAGATCAACAGCATACTTATTATCGTGATGGAAAGAATGAAAATTCAAATTTCTCATATTACGCCAAGATATTTGAAAATAAGTACTTCTACTTACCTGCCCGTGTGTTTGGGGTCGACGTCCTGTAATGCGAGATAGGTCGCTTTGCACAATTTCATGTCCAGCGTTTGCGCCGTTGTGCCCATTTGTCCCTTTCTGACCGGGTTTATGTTCCGCTTCTTCAGCGCCTTGATGTACTGTCGCATGATTTCGTAGTAGTCGTCGTACTTCAGATATCACGAGAAAAAAGTGTTACAGTTACACATTTGTTGGATTTTCTGCATCACAAATTTTCTCTGTGTGGCAGGGAAAACTTGTAATGCGAAAATCAAAACGGAAAACAGGAAGGAAACGAGGCTCCCAAGCATTTCCTGCATGAGAAAGGTTATCTGTGTTGCCGGTCTTGCAACACAATGTGTAACTGTAACACTTTTTTCTTGCGATATCAGATATCCGTCGCTGTCTGTGTCGAAGTTTTTGAAGGCTTGCTGAAACCACTCGTCCTTCGGCATGGAGACGTTCCCAATCTTATCAAAGTGAAAAAAGCCCCGACCCCATATCGGAAACGGAAGATGCGCGAATTTGTGATGCTGTATTTGAGTACACAAATCGACTTGTCTTGCTAGAAGGCCAAGAGACGAAGCTGCGGCCTAAATTGCAGGCAGTCTGTCATGCTGTTTCCCACTTCCAGTTGCCTCCTGTCATCCTGGAGCTGCAAGGCTTTCCCACGCTAGGCAGCACTACAGTCCGCATCTTTTGCCTTCTAGCATCACAAAGCTGATTTGCGACCACAAATCTGCATCACAGATTTCTGTTTTGATATGGGGAGGGGGCACTTTTCATGGTAATAAATCTGGTCGAACACCGACTGCGCGGCGACGCGCATCTTCGCAAAATTGATCTTTCCCACCGAATCCGAGTCCACGAAACAGAAGGACTGCCAGCACACGTCCTTTAGCCACTGGTTGAAAGGGCGGTGGTCGCCCCCCGTCGCGCCGTTGTTGCCCGCGGCCTGCGACTTCGCGGACGTGAAACTGTTCCCGAGAGCGGTGCCCTGTTGCGAGCTACTGCTGGTCGACGCGGTTCGGTTCATCCGTGAACTGTTCAGCTGCAAATACGCATTCACGTACTGCACCGTGATATCGACCACGTCCCCCTGGGTGATCTGGCCCGTGTTGCCCTGGTCGAAGTTGCGGAACGCCGCCTGGTACCAGTCCTGCGAGGGGGGCGCCACCTGGAGCTTTTTCAGGGTGTCGCACAAAACCAGGATAAAGGTCGCGAGGGGGATCTTCTGGAGGGACGGGGGGACCACGCGTTTCGCCCAGATCACCCGGACCGCATCCTCGATGCTCTCGTGGTCGCGAATGATTTTCACCATTTTGTAGTTCAGTGATGTTGGGATGAAACGACAATGTGGCAAAATGACACGACGACTGGGGTCTCCGCGGAAATTGTCGGTAGTTCTGAAGACTGTGGTCGTAGTCGTTGATGAGCAAGAACTTCCGGTCGCTCTTTTACTACCTATTCTACATCGTGTAGAAGTCGTACAAGATGGAGAATATTAAAAAAGGCGGAACGGAAGGGCAGACGATGGTGTCGACTGCGACGAACTACTCGCACCACTTCTTTTTCAAACGGCGATGCTAGTTGCACTAGCTAGACTCATCATCTTCTGCCGTGCATCCTGGAGGTCGCTAAAAATAATCGCGTGCTCCTGCTGGTACGCGCTACAACAAGATGTGTCTGCTCCTTGGTTTTATTCTCCTTGTTACGACGACCGAGCCGAAATCCAAAAGACAAAGAGAGGAAGAATCGTGAACTGGAGGTTGGGCGTGTTGCGGTTTCGGCGATTAAGAGCGTTTGCTATAAGTCGTTTCCGATTGTACAAGCTTCAGGCTGCATCATGATCTTCGAATGTCCTTGTCCACGACCAGATGAACGAAGTAAGAACGAAAAAACTTCTTGTTCTATGTTTTGATTTGGTGCTGCTGAGAAAATGACGGTGAGATTGTTGATCTGGTTTCGTGCTCTTCCGAAAATTGAATCGCGTTCCGACCAAGTGCTCCCGTCAAACGGCTCGGGATTTTCAAGTAGCAGCTTGCCTCTGTTTCTGCTCCCGTTCTCCGCAGCCGCGTCTCCTAGAAGCCTCGGGTCGGAGGCGGGGCGTCCTTGATCCTGATTCAGGATCAGGAAGTTCTTCTCCGCGGTAACATATATAATTTCTGGTATAGATTTACATTTACTGGCTTGTGCTTCTAGTTCTATCCGGCGTTGGTCTGCTTCGATTTATTACTTATTACTCTACTTCTTGGAAAAGACGAACAAAGGGACCCTCAAGCCGGTTCAAGCAGGAGCTTCGTCGTCGTGCGCCAGTCAAAATGTTGAACAGCCGTGCCGCGTCAGGTAGCTGTAGATCATGACCCGTCGTGCTGAAAGTGAAACAGGAATTGGTGCTGCAGACTCGGACACTTCTGAGTCTGATCAATGTCAGAATGTGCTCTTGTGAATATTTCGTGCAGCAGCAGCTGCTAAGAAAGTTGCTGTCAAAGAAAATTCAGGTGGTTCTTGCCTTTCTACTCCACTTCTTTACCCCGCGAGGAGTAGGTTCTGACTTGTGTAGTTCCGTTTACGCGTGATTCCTTACCTCGCACAGGTTAGATTCACAAAAATTGCCCATGTCCTCCGTTTTCCTCGAGGCAAAGTGCTGGAATTCGACTGGGGTCGCAGTTAGGGTGATTGTTCTTGGACTGAACAACTGGTCGACTTCAAACAGATCATCCGCAGGTGCGCAAGACAAAGTTGGAGAGGACACGTGTGAAGATAGCTGTTCTTCCGGCGTCATTCGACTGAGACTGACCCTATAGTTCCGCGGCGCCTCCACCTCCTGCTGCGCAGTGCGTTCAGTCATCGGAACCGCTGCTGCTCTTGCAGCCTCGCCCATAACTTTTGGGGATAAGTTGCAGGCTGCCTCGTAGCTTTACTAGATTGATAAAGGATTTATTCATTTTGCATCTGTCCAAGAACAAGCACGAGGACAAGCCAGCGAGCAAGAGCATTAGCTCAAAACTGTATAAATAGACTCTTTTACTAGTAAGAATTATCTCGGTAAATCTAAATGTCACCTCCGTCGCAGTGCAGTGCAAAAATGCCGTGACTCGTTGACTTACAACGTTCTCTGGAAGAACCTCTCGCGAGTCGGTGATTTGACAATTTGCAACGGCTCGATGTCGTCTACTCGTTTTCGCTGCTGGTGTCTCCCCCAACCAACGCCAAACACCTTTGCTCCTGTAGTCTTCGTTTTTGTGCTCTTAGCTTGCAATAGCTGTCGATAGGCACTGCTGGAGCAGCAATGCTCGAAGCCGCTAGGAGTAAAAGTGTAGTGTTTTGGTCGGCTTCAGTTGGAAAACCTAACAAATAATATCCATGTAGAGTAAGTGTGAGTGCTATTGCTTTGAGTATTGAGACTCGGAAGAAAGAAATAAACCATTTCAATTTGACTGCAATTTTTTGCCCCGTGTGGCCTAGCAACAATTTTCGAATAAATTTTGTAGCACCGATTGCTATTTCGTCTTCCTACAAGCTACGAAAAGCAACACTTGTGGAGCAAATATCTTTCTACAACTAAACTTTCTTCGTAGGGCTATTTTCCATAGGCAAGAAGTCGCCTTGACTTTTATTATTCGACGAGATAGGAGTGACTAAACGTCGTGCCAAAACAAGTAGAGTCTTTTTTTTTCTTGTACTTCTTTTCCATTAAAGACTGAGCCACACACAAAATGAAAATTGCTTCTCCTGCTTGCTGAAATAAACGCGAATTTCAGGTGGAAAGTTGATGAAGACAAAAGCTCTTCAGATCATATTTCCCTAAACACATGTGTAGTACGCAAATCACAAAACATGTGTGCTACGACTTTAGTGAAGACACGGACACAATGTCGACCTTTTTGCGTATAAAAGGTAGTCATGGAATGATACTTCCTGCTGCTTTGTCCTTGTCACAAGACAAAAAAAGAAAAACTAAAACTCCTACCCTAGTAATAAAACTTCGGATGGGTACACGGTTAGAATACAAGTCAGTGTATACTAAAACCCATACAATGGTACCAATACCTCATCTCCGAAGGTCTCACTGATAGTCGCCTGCTGTGTTTTGGATTTTCGGATGAAAATTGAATGTAATCGATGATGAAGATGCGGACCACAGAAAGTTGCTATGTCACCTCATGCGAGTAGAGTTAGTTGATGCAATCTTGTACTATCGACCAGAAAGAGATCGTAAGTGCGTCGCGGCATCATCATGCAGCATCAACCATGCATATCAATCGCTTTAGCAATGCTTCTTCATTGTGCCGATGCGAAATACTAAATTGAAAGTATTATGATCAAACGCGCAGTATCGATTTTGATCCCCGCCTGTTGATAGTGAGATCTCTGGGTTCTCTCTGCGGCCACTAGCGCCGCCTGCGTAAAAGCTCGAGAAGTAGTTCCACTGGGCGACAATATTAACAGATCGTGTCGCAGAAGGTTGCTGCGGCCGAGTAGAGTAACAGATCATACCTGAACGAAAGAAACGGGAACCAAAATGCGTTCCTTGCCGCAGGGCACAGAAACGGATGTTAAAGCTGGTTCTTCGTCGATCATTGTGCTGCAAGGATGCACTTCTATGAAGTAGTGGTCAACAAAAACTGCGCTGCAACAGATTTGTGCAGTCTGCCTCTGCCCGTGCCCGTTAGGAGGATGAAACAGCAACGAAGCCGCCAGCTGGTGTATAGCAGCTCGTCGTTGTTCTTTGCAAATAAACGCCGCAATACACTATCGGTCGCATCTTTGTTTGATTGTTTTATTTCCTTTCGAAAAAATACGCTCGCATTTCCGCGTAGCATGACACCGCTTTTTTGATGCAATTTCAATTCTTACTTTCTTTTCGAAAAAAAAAGGAAATCTCTACGACCCATCTTGGATGATTTTTGCCTGACGAAGTGCAACTTCGTCTGGGAGCTTATTTGATGTCGAAACGATAGTGTAAACAGTATCTTGAATCGAAACGTGATTTAACAATCTAAAGAGAGAAACTCAACTCTGGCTCGAGCGCCCAAGTTATTTTTATTGATTTTGGTTTAAACTACTTATTTACAAAGCTCAACAAAGAGGACACGCACGCCGATGCAACACGCAGCCTCATCATTTTCCCTTTTGCGCGTCCGAGATTTGCCCACCATAGCACAACTGGAGGAAGGTGGAGAAGTTGAGTTTGGTGTCCCGTCCCAGCACCTCTTGCAAGTCCTCCGCACTGAACTCGCTTTCGGTGATGGAGCGCCGCCCGTCTGCCCGCTTGTGGGTTTTCATGGAGTCCTTGATACTTTTTGTCGTGATGTACCCTGGCTCCTTCGGGTCCTCAAACCGCTTAAATATCTCCATCAAGTGCCCACGCTCGATTGTCACCTGTAGATGGAGAATTAGTGATGTCAATGTCAGCATCTTCATCTTTTTTTCCGGGGTGCAATTTCTTGATAAAAACATGTACTGAGTGCACGACTTTCACTGTGTGTAAAAACACACTCAACATTTGTAGCAGCTGCCCGAAGATGAATGGTGTAGACCGGACGTACCCAAAGAAACAGTTGTACCTTCTTCTCCAGCAGACTGGCTATGAAATCTCGGTAGTTCAGTCCGATCTCCAGTGCCGCTTCCCCAAGCTGCGGGCCGTGTAAGGCGAAGAGCGTTTGCTCGAGCTCTTTCTTCGAGATGTGCAGCTTGCACTGCTCGGCTGCGTGGAGCACTTCCTCGAGCTGCAGGATGCCGTCGCCTATCAACTGTAAAATTGTCTGGGTCTGGAAGAATCCAACTTGTCATGCTGATTTTCTATTCTAAAAAAATCTGTATTGCATGAGCAGCAAAGAGAGTCCAAGTTTTGCTACACGGAAAGAGCATTTGTCATGCGGTACAGGCATCAGGAAGCCCTCACAAAATCTGTGACGCTAGGGCATGCATCACAGACATCAGGAGTCATGCAAAATGTGCATGACAAACCTGGCAATCTTCCAGACCCAGACATTTTTACATTTGATATCGCCATCCGTGTCCATGGCGACGAACTGCTCCCGCAACTCCGCAATCCCCTCCTCGTCTACCTCCTTCGCGAGCAATCGCAAAACCGCTTGCTTCAATTTGTTGTGCTGCTGGAAGTGCGTCAACCCTTCCACGACGGACCCGCGGAGTTCGGTGGTGACCTTCTTAGAACTGCCAAACCACTTATGCTTCAGCGCTTCAAAGGAAGAAAGCCGCTCCTTTGGGTCCTGGGCAAGCATCGCTGATATGTCGTTCTTGAGAAGCAAATATTTTGAAACTGCATGCGTGCCGCCGTACAACCCCAACAGACAAAGTGATGCTATGGCTGAAGAAACTCATCGCGCTACGCCAATTGCAAATCGAGGTAAATAACGATTAACTATCGCATATCAAGAACAGCAATAGAATGAACGAATTTTATTCACAACCAGCGCACCAGTGTTCTTTTCCTACCTTGCGTAAGCTGTTTTGCCAGCGGTGAGATTGCGTTCCACGCTTCTGATGGGTAGTCGACCTTGCAGATGACGATTTTCTGTTTCGCCGTCTCGGCGTTGTCTTTCCCTGGGATAAAAAACGGGTGGATGCCAGTCAACATCTGGTACAACATCACGCCGCAGGCGAACACGTCCGCTTTCTCGTCGTACCAGGCCTTGTGGTGCATCTCTGGGGGCATGTAGTGGGGCGTCCCGGCCTTCGGCATCACTTTTCGCAAAAGCGGGTCGGTCGCGCCCGGGACGGCAATACCGAGGGACCGCCGGATGCCGTCCGCGATCTTCTCTTTGTCTTTGTTGATTTTCACCTTCAATTTTCGTTTCAGTTGATGTCTGACTTGTTGTATCTGTACGTAGTACCTACTATGCGGGCGTCAACGGAGCTTGGTCAATGCTTTGTGTAGTTTTTTTTTCGCGGTGCAAAGGAGAAACGGAATATTTCATATTTGCGGTAATTCTGGACAAACACAAAAAGAAAAAGCGCTTTCGCAGATGAAAAAGATAAGAATGCGAACCCAAAATGGTACCGTCTTCGCCGCCTGTTCAATTTTTTTCATAAAGTCTGAGAGACCATATTACAGTGAAAAATGCCCCCACCCCCAAAGTTGCAAAAATTTGTGATGCGAAGTTTCCAAATGAAAACTTTCTGTCATGCATGAAAGGAGTATGAATCTTTCTGATGCAGAGTCTAGGCGTGTATCGCATCGTTTGCATGACAAGCGCCGCCATTGCTGGGGTCTTTTGCAATACAGATTTTTGCTATTCACGATTGGAAACCTGTGATGCTGATAGATGCAAGAGGGCGAATGTTTCATTTAGAAAGTTTTGCAATACAAATGCTCCCAGGTTCGGGCGTGGGGGCATTTTTCATTGCAATAGACCAAAGTCGATCACTTTGACGGCGCTGTCTGCTTTTCGGTTGACGAAGAGAACGTTATCCGGCTTGACATCGCGATGGATTATCCCCATGCTGTGGCAGTAGGCCAGAGCCTGCATGATTTGCTGAATATACCTCCCGGACTGTCGCTCGGACATCGGTCGCTTTAGCGTCTTCATGTGGTAGATCAACCTGGAATGAATGGTTTTCGGCATGTGCACGTGCCGAAACAACAAATTCGTAGTAACTACTTGCAACTGATATAATCTTGAGAGGCGCTTTATCGCAAGAATCACGACCACCAGCTAGCCTGGCAGTTCAGCCTGTACTTCTAGTTATACCGATCGAACAAACTGCCTCCGTTACAAAGCTCTGTGACGAGGTAGATGCTCGTGTCACCGTCGTAGTAGGTTTCGTACAGGCGTAGAATGTATCAAGTGTAAAAGTGTCTGGGTCTGGAAAGTTGGAACTTGTGATGCTAACTTTGGACTCTAAAAAAATCTGTATTGCATGACCAGCAAGAGGAGCCACATTTGTGCTACGCGAGGAGGGCACTTGTCATGCGGAAATGGCATCAGGAAGCTTTCCAAAAATCTGTGATGCTGGGTCATGCATTACAAGCATCATGGGTCATGCCAGACAAGCATGACAAGCCTTCCATTCTTCCAGACCCAGACATTTTTACAGTTGATAGAATATTGGGGTGGTCCAACTGTTTCATGAGTTCGATCTCGGTTTCTACCAGCTTTGTCTGGTCCTTGCTCTTCAACGCGATGGACTTGCACGCGCGCATAATCCCGGTGCGGTTGTGGCGCACAGTCATGACCTAAAATAATCAGATTTTGTATCATGCGCAGTTCTTGCTTTCGCTTCTACAACAGGATTAGGATCACCAGCAAATCAACAAAATACAACAACTTTTGTCGTGGTTATTCTCTGTCTTGGCGTATGTCGCACGTAGGTCTTACTTGTTGCGTACCTTCCCGAACGCACCCTCACCCTTTTTCTCCAGAAACTCGTAGTCGTCGAACACTTTCAATTTCCCACTGTAGGTTGGCACAACGATGTGCCCCACCATGTGTACGGCTTCCATGATCCCACCGCCGGCGCTACTCGTTCCCGGACCTACTGGCTTGTTGGCACCAGGTTTCTTGTTGCTAGTAGGTTTGGGCTTAGGGTGCGGCTTCGGGCCCGAGGTCAGATTCAGACTGCCCTGTGCCTCCTGGATATTCTTGTAGTTGAAGCCCTCCGGCCAGGTTTTCAGCTTCCACCAGGCATACTGCCGCACGATTTCGCACCAGGATTCGACGGAGATGTAGCCGGCCTTCTTCACGTCGAAGTTCGTAAACGCTTCCTATCAAAATGAAAAGTCCCCCCTCCCCATATTGAAAAGCTATGTTTGCGAAAATTTGTGTCGCTGATTTGAGGTCACAAATCACATGTGTCTTGCAAGACGACAAGGGCAGAAGCGTCCGGCCCATTATGGAAGCGGTTTGTCATGCTGTCCGGCTTAAAGGGGAGCCGTTTGCCATGCTGAACAACTAGACCAATACGGCCCTACCTAGCCTGGGGATCTGGCCGCAATGCCTTCCTGCAATACGAAGCTGATTTGTGTACACAAATCCAGCATCAGAAATTTCGTTTTGATATGGGGAGGGGGGATTTTTCCTTGCAATACTTCCCGACACCACCGGGTCGAGGGCTGCCGCCCCATGTCCGGGACGGCCTTCCAAAGCTTCTTGATCAGCTCCACATTCTGTTCCACAGAAACCCTGAGGAGCGTTTGGAAAGAATTCATTCATATAGTACATTCTTTTTCTGGTACAGCCGCTCCTGCAATACTTGATGAATAAGTCCGAGTTGTAGAAGCACAAGAATCTATCACTACCACAGAAAAAACATTTCAACGCAGCCATACATCCGTTGTACCTTCCAGTGTTATTCGGGTCCGTCTGCGCCAGTAGCGCTTTCGCCGCTACGCACAGTTTGTTGTCGATCGAGTTTTTGTCCTTGGCCCCGCCCTTGCCACCGCCGTCCGGCTTCCGTTGTACCTTCACACCCCCCTTGCGCAGCGCCTCACAGTACTGGTCCAGGATTTCCACTAGTTCGTCAAACGTCAAATATCCGTCGCGGTCGGTGTCAAAATTCGTGAACGCATCGGTGAACCAATTGTCCGGCGGCATGGTGACGTTCTGGAGCTGCTCGAACACCATGGTCATCGCCGTTTTCATCTGCGAGCGATTTATCTTCCCCGTGCTCTCCGAGTCCACAAAGCAAAACGATTTCCAGCACATGTCCTTCAGCCACGTTTGGAAGGGGCGGAAGTCCCCGCCAGCGTCCTTGTTGTTTCTGGAAGTGTATCAAATGCAAAACTGTCTGGGTCTGGAAGAATGCGAGACTTGTCATGTATCTTGCGGACCACACACATGGTCTGGAATGCTCGCAGAAGCATCACAGATTGCGCTAGACCTTCGCCTTCCTCATGCCCATCCTGCATGAGAAATTCGCTTTTTGCCTGGCAAGAAGTGGGTGGTTTTTGGCTTTCATGCAACACAAATTTTTTGGTGATCGAGATTTCGCATGACAAGTTGCAACCTTCCAGACCCAGACATATTTGCAATCCCTAAAGTGCCCGAGGTGGACGCGAACTGGGCAAGTCACCGTAAAAAAATCAAAATTTTTTTTCATTTAAGAAATGGCCACCTAAATAATCACGAAAACGACCTCGATTCGCCACCTACTTCGCTGCTCCGGAACCGACGTCGTCAGGTGAGCTACGCTGAAGAGTATCCAAATGAGAACTAGCTAGAAGCTCCAACTTGAGCTAGCTAGTTTAAGGATGTGAAATGCATTCAAAAGGTGCTGGCTTAACGCAATAAAAGCAGCTGGCTTGCATGGTGATTGGTAGGCATTTGGCGGCCCGGCTGTCGCGTCGGGCGGTGTAGAGGTCCCTGCACCACCTGGCACCAACCGAGGAAGCAAGCGAAATGCCTAAAAGTGGCGCACTTTTTGGTTTGTCCTGCAACATGTGGAAGCTCTCAAAACAGATGTTTTTTTTGCGGATCGTTCAACTCGTCGAAAAATGAGGTGCGGCGAGACCTCATTTTGCACCTCAAATGAAATCCATCGCACCATCGTGAATAGCTTGCAAAAGTGAGGTCCTAAACGAGGTCACGAAATGACCTCCGAGAGGAAGCCTGCCACGCGGGTTAGTAAAAACTCACCATACCATCGCGAGTCGCCATTTTTTCAAAAAATCAAATATGTTCCTTCGGCATCTTCTTGATTCCGCCGGTTCCACCGTTCTCCAGATACTCCGGAACGGGGTCACCCCGCGACAGCCGGGCCGCGAGTTGCCCTGCAGTCGCCTCCTATTTGGCCTTCGATTTGAGGCTGTTTGCAGACATCTTATCTATGCCTAGAATAGGCCTTAGCTACCTAGCTCAAGCTCGAGCTTCTAGCTAGTTTGGAATTCCATATTTATCACCATCGACAGGTGGTTCCGGAGACGCCCACGCCACCTGTTAGTTTTGGAAACGCGAAACCGCACGGCATGGTGGTGGTTTTAGATACGATTATTTCATAAATGCAAAAAAATTTTGATTTTTTTACGGTGACTTGCCCAGTCGCCCCCATACCGGAGGTGGACGCGAACTGGGACTGGTTTGCCTGGTATTTGTATCAAATGTAAAAATGTCTGGGTCTGGAAGAATGCAACTTGTAATGCGTATTTCAGAACACAGAAAAGTCTCTCATGCATACGTAGCAAAAGCTCCCACTTTTTGCCAGCAAAATAGGCAACTTGTCATGCGGATTCGGCATTGCGGAAGGTTCTCAAAACCTGTGATGCTAGAGCTTCCATGCCAGACCTTCTGTGTCATGCAAAAACAGCATGACTCTTCCAGACCCAGACATTTTTACATTTGATAATTTGGACCCCGCGCCGGAAACCGCCTTCGAGGTGGTCTTGGAGGATTGGTTCAGTTGCAGGTACGCATTCACGTACTGCACCGCGATGTCCACCACGTCCTCCTGAATGATCCACCCGTCCTTATCCAGATCGAAGTTCCGAAACGCCTGCGCGTACCACTCCTGGTTCGGCGGGGCCACCTGCAGCTTTTTCAGCGTGTCGGCGAGCACCTCGGCGAACTGCTTTGCGTTTACTGCGTTGGGGTTTTCCTCGCTCACCCTTTTGGTCCAGCAGACGCGCAAGGCATCCTCGATGCTTTCTGCGTCGCGGTTGATTTTGATCGGCATCCTGTAGTTGACTCCGCACTAGTAGTTGTCGCCGGCGTAGAAGTTCTTGTACTCGACCGCCTCGTGTTGACGTTGACCCAAATGAGGTTCTTCTAGTTCTTCCGAAGTAGGAAGAAGATGATATTTTTGACTTCCCTGATGAAAAAGGCGTGGAAGTGGTACTTGCGAAGAGCGTCGTGCTTGATTTGCAGCTGCAACACGACGAGAAATTGAAATTCTTCTCCTCGCGTAGAAGTCGGACACGTGGAACAACTGCCAGTGTCTGTGCTTGTTTCGACTGATGTCTCCGCTCTTTGCGATTCGCACGATCCAGCACCCACGGCCGGCGGTGCTGCAGCTGCTGTGCCGCCTCGTCCCGGTCAGCCTGCGCGGACACCTGCAAGAACAATCCAACCACCGGGAGTTGTACAGATGGTGGTCTACTTTCCGCGATCCGTGTTGTTGAGCCCTCTCCTTCGAGGAGCTGTTGCCCAGCTACAACGATGCTGGTTTTCTGGGTTTTCTCTGACGAGCTGCAGGGGCGGGGGCTACGACTGGAAGTAGACGAACTGCTTCGCGACGGTGTTGTAGAACGTGACGAGAAGTCCTCTTCTAGGAACTTATCTGAAGAGGATGAAGAGGAAGAAGGAGACCAAGAAGTAGACACGCGGCCGGAACTTCTTGTTACACTTATGTCCCCAACAGATAAGCGGGGCCTGTTGTTCACGGCGACCAATCGCGGAGTTTTGCTTTCGTTGAGGAGGACGAACGAGAAAGCAGGACGGCTCGCCATCCTTTTTTCATGACCAAGTCGTGCCCCTTGTAAGTATGTTGTCTGGCAGATAGGAAAAAAATCGAATATGCAGAAGTGCAACCAGATATGTTGAGAGCTGCAGGGGTTACAACTAACTAAGAAAATACTGCTTTGGTGTTTTCGGACACGACGACAACTTATCGCGAAGCTTCAATATTAAGGGCATGCGGTCGATCTTTTAGTCGCCATTCAGGTCCAGACCCGTAGCTACTAACGCGCGTTGATCAATTCATTTTGGTACATATGCCCACGAAATGAAAAGCCCAAACCGTGCCTGGTTCTTCAGGAGTATTTGCGGACTGTTCATTCAAGTTTTACATTAGTTCTTTCATTTTGATAAAACTTTCTTCGGATGATATCTCTCATCCTTGCGTGTGATGTTAGTTTCGACAATACTGCCGTCTGTCGTCTTTGCCACTCGAAAGAAAGAGAAACTACAGAAACGCACCAAGGGAACTTCAACGAACGCGACGTACATGAGGAGCAGGGACATTGGCTTGTGCCCCTTTTTCTGCGACAATCAACATCAAGCAGAGAAAAAATGCTGCAGCTACTGTTTCCCATTGGTGGGCGGGCCGCGGAGCTTGTGATGCGTTATTCTACAACGTCATCCCTCATGTTCAGTCATTAGATTTGGACCGTCAGGTATGCTTTAAGATTTTATCCTCCATAATGTAAAATACATGCCTTCTGTTCTTTGCGTTGATGAAGTATTGTACCAAACAGAGCTCCTCCTGCTGCTGTTGAAATCAATTCAAATCTTTGTATCAAAGAAGTCTGAGAGACCAGACACTCCGCTTCGGTTACAGGCAACGCGTCGTGTCGGACTGGACACGCAACAAACAAGTTCGGAAATAGATTAAATAGGCCACCAGACAAAAAATGATCAAAAGAGCCCTGAAGACCCGAAAGGCTTTTATTTGCCTTCAACTTGTCCTCCGGCTTCTGCGCCGGAGCCTATTCCTATCGATTTCGATACTGTCGTTTCAATAATATCATAAGCGCAAGCGTAGTGTAATGTCGTGATGTCGCTGTGTTTACGTGAAAAATATATGCTAAAATAAACAGGCTTTGTTCATTGTACATCCGCAGAAGTAACAAGCAAGTTTCTATCATGATCTAGTACACCAGATTGATAGAAACTGAAGTAGTACAAATTTCAGTTTTTCATTCTTATAGCAATCGCTCGCAAGCCTGGTCGATACGACCCGGACAATCGCGCGGTTGGAAGGAAAGCCCCGCAACAGGACCTCTGTCTGCATCTTCGCCGTAAAATGACTCTGATAAAGATGCTGTCTCTGTGCGTGGTGTGTCACTATTTCGTCAAGACTCGACGAGAAAACGACCTAAAATCAAAATAAGATCAATATGAGGCTGTGCGGGACGGTGGAGCGGCCTTCTAGCAGACAGCATGACTTTTTTTATCCAATATGGTACAATCCGGAACGACCGGAGGGCAACAGAGGCTGCTGGCCGCGAAAAAGACCAGCCGACCCGATAGTTTCGCTTGTTCCTCCAGCATTGAAGCTGGGAAAATCGAACTCGGTCTCGCCTTTGCAGTTTTGTAGATAATCCAAAAATTGCCAGAAGTCCATTCCGAGGTTGTCCTGCTCGTGCAGAAACTGCTTCGAAAAATGGACGTGCTCAAACCCGGCCTTCTGTAAACTCTGCTTCGTGATCCGCCGCCGCCCCGGAAGCGGCTTTCTAGCGCGAGCTTGGTAGTTTTGTTTCAGCGATGAAGATGATGCTCCAGCAGCTCCCAGCATGCCGGTGCCGTGTTTTTGCAGCGGTCGCTTGTGAAAAGTAGTAGAAGTTGTAGCTGCGTTCCTGTTTTGATAGTAGTGCTGTTGTTCGTGTTCCCGACTCTGTTGCAGCTGATGTTCCAACGGGATTTTAGCAGTGCCGTGTTTATTCTTCAGCGTCGCTCCTGGTTTGGCGGTTCTGTGTTGCTTGAAATTTTTTTCGAGAAAAGCCGCGTCGGGAAGATGCCGCATGTTGTGGTCTACTTCTATCATGCCTCTAGCAGCAGGACCACGAGGACCCGCGTCGCCGCCCGCTGCTCCGTCGTCCGCGTCTTCCATAGTGAGATCGCCTTCGAATTCCAAACCCGCTGAGATGAAGCCAGCCCCGCCCACCTCAGGATTACTATCCTCCATATGCTGCTGCTGCTGCTGATAATCTTGTTGGTCTTCAATGTGACCACCTCTATGATGAAGATGCTTTTGCTGCTGCTGCCATCTGACATTACCGTGAGCCTCTCGCTCCTCCACGGGGAAATAGAGACAGTCCTCCTGCGCCCCTGCACCATACGCACCGTACTGGTAGTACTGCGCGGATGACATCAGTGGGAAGTTATTTTCCAAGTAGGTCGACGCCATCTGCGTACTGTCTCCGCCGCCGCTGCCAATCGTAGAATACCCAACCGGTACGTCCATTCGCACGTCAGCGGAGAAGGTTTCGTCTGTAGGCAAGGCGGAAAACCGTAAAAAGATTTCGTACAGGATTTTCTGGATTTTCTTCGGCTCATAATTCCCGGGATTTTTCTGTTTCTCGTTCTTCTTGATAGATGACACCATATTACCAGTAGCTTTATATGGATTGAGGATGTTGCTCGATGCAGTTGCTGCGGCTCCAGTTGTGGTACTACTATGTGCGATTTGTCCGTGCAGCATTGCATTATGGTGCAACATGTGCTCGTGGTGGAGCTGCTGCTGTAGGAAAGAACTACAAGCTGCGCCGGCTGTTGGAGTATTCATCGTCTCAGCTGCCGGTGGATGCTCTGGTCCTTTCCGCTGGCCCGAAGAAGACCCGACACCTGAGGACGCAGTGGCCCCGCCCGCGCCAAGCAAGTCCGACGGTGCGCCCGAGCTGCTGCTCAAGGCAGTGCCAGGATGTGGCCCCGCCCCCGACGAGCAGGAGGCCGCTGCGGTGGCGCTGTTCAGCACCCCCGTGGCGACCTGCAGTTTCTTGAAAAATGTGAAGAAGTGGGTGCTCGACAGCTCGAACGTCTGAAAGTTTACCTCCAGCATACTAGCCAAAAAGTCACGATAGCACACGCCGTCGATAATCGGATCGAGGAAATAATCATCGTAGTCTTCAAACGAGGGAATCCTCAACTTCGCTTTGGCGATTAACTCCCCGAGCTTCCGCACAGAAAGAAAGCCATCCTGATCCGTGTCAAATTCCGCAAACAGGTCGCGCATGGTCACCCATTGGAACTCGACGGACGGAAACTTTGCATGAGCAGTAGAGCGGGAGGCGGATGTGCTACTCCTCACATGGGCGGGATGAAGTTGTTCTCCTCGAGAACGAGACGGAGCTTCTGCTGCCGGATGGTTCTGCCCGTGTCCTGCACCTGCTGCAATTGATGGCGCAGCTCCAACACAAGCAGTGTGATTCATTTTGCCAGTTTTACTACTCTCTGCTCCACCGGGCGGCGTGGTGTTATAGCAGTGTCTTGACGTCGTACTACTCGAGTTGCTAGAACTTTTCTTCATGGGTTCAGTCACCTTGGCGAGGCTGCGCATGGGAAAGTAGACCTCAAAGTCGTCGACTTCGGTGATCTCGTGCGCGAGCTATCAAATGCAAAAGTGTCTGGGTCTGGAAGATTGAAACTTGTCATGCTAAATCTGCAGCATGCAAAAATCTGTGTTGCATGATTACCAAAAGTCGTCCAGTTTTGACCAAGTCGGGAGGGAGTTTCTCATGCAGGATAGGCATGAGAAAGGTCCCGCAGAGTCTGTCATGCTAGGTCCTGCATTCCAGACCTCATGGGTCATGGAAAGCAGCATGACAAATCGCGCATTCTTCCAGACCCAGACACTTTTGCATTTCATACGAGCATGCGGAGCACGATCTGCTTGAAGGTCGGGAGGCGCGGGAAGTTGAAGAGATGGGAGAGAATCGGGATAATGCGCAGATATTCCGCTTGCCTGTTTTGCAGCTTGACGAATTCCGCGTACATCTGCTCGGCGAGCGAATTGAGCATCATGCTGTGATGTGCAGCTGCAGTCTCTGGTTGTTGAGCAAGATGATAATTCTGGGCGCCAGCTCCTATCGCGCCCGCCGGAGCCGCAGCGCAGCCGACAACGGTGTTTGCAAAAGCGTGCTGATACTGCAACTGTTGTTGAGTAGAAGTTCCCGGAAGATCCGCGAAAGTGGCCCCGGTTGGTGCCGCACCCATCGCCATCGTGTGACCTACCTGGTGCCCCTGTTGCTGCTGCTCGCAAGAGTTTGCAGTTCCGAGAGCCAGTGTTTGGTGCGTCGTCCCGGCGAAGGCTCCCATTTCTGCGCCCGCGCCGGGCCCCGTGGGAAACGGAAATAGCCCATTGTTGGACAAGGCGCCTACCGGTGCGAGCGCGCCGGGGTAGTTGCTGTAAAACGGAGGAGGTGCCGCTCCTGCCGCCATATTGTTCATCACGAATGGTGGGCCGTTCGGCGGAAATGCCAGGTTGAACTGCTGGTTGATGAAAGTGCCATCTGTCATCATCTGCATGTACGGATTTGAAAGATTGTAATTGTTCCAGCCTTGTGCATTCTGTGCATTCACGCCAACTGCACCTGCAGCACCAGCAGTAGGAACACCGGCTCTCGGTAATACAAGGTGTTGCTGGTTTAGTGGAGGCGTCACGCTTAGTTGGCGGCTCAGAAGTAGCTGCTGCTGTCCCTGTGTTGTTGTGCGCGCCAGCGTGTTGTAGGTGTAGCTCCTCGTATTTTGCAAGCTTGTTGAGCTAGAACTCGAATCAGCCTGAAGATCCTTTTTGGTCCTTTTGCTCTGTTTGTCATCTGAGCCAGCATTTTTGCCTGCACTGTTGGCTTTTCTTTGCTCACTGGCAGAATCGTCCCGAGTAAATTGGATCTCGCTGGGACGATAGCTGAAGACCTGCACGTCTCCATTATTCTTCCATTCCACAGCAAGATTGCCAAAGCCACCATTGGGGCCATTTCTCTGCGGACCTGCCAGTACACCCCCAGAGATCTCGTACGGATCAGCGGCAGGTCCACCTGGCAGCGAGGGCAGGGTCAGCAACGTTGTTCGTGCGCTTGGACTTGTGTCAAGGGCGGCAAACGCGGCTTCCGCAGCCGCTCGCTCTTGCGCATTCGCTGAGCTAGTGGGCGTATCAAGTGTAAAAATGTCTGGGTCTGGAAGAATGCGCGATTTTTCATGCAGATTTTCCATGCCCCATGAGGTCTGGAATGCAGGACCTAGCATGACAGATTCTGTGCGATCTCTCTCATGCCTATCCTGCATGAGAAACTCCCTCCCGACTCGGTCAAAAATGGACGACTTTTGGTAATCATGCAACACATCGTTCGTGTGGATCGGCTCTGCCGACCGGGTAACCCATCGCCTCGCATACAAATGACCGACATAGGCGAACCCCGTTGCGGGACATTCTCCTGGTAATCATGCAACACAGATTTTATACATGCTTCAGATTTAGCATGACAAATTGCATTCTTCCAGACCCAGACATTTTTACATTTGATAGGGCGTTACGTCCACCTCTGGGCGTGCGTTCACAGGTCGGAGACGCGCGGCACCGGAAAGACTCGAGTCATTGGCTGCACCGAACTGAGGTGCAATTCCTCCGGCTCTTGCTGCCCACTGGGCAGCAGCTGCCTGCTGGTTTATGACTTCTCCGTAGTCCGAATCTACTTCCCAGATCGGTGTTCCCGGCCATTGTTGCCTAATCACATTTGGTGGAACAAGATAGCAGCCATGGTTCATCGGTGGGTTCGGAACTAACATCGCGTTTTTATTTTCGGCGCCGGGCGCCGGCCAAATAGCACCCTGCATAATTCCAGGGTTCATTTTGTCAGCAGAACCCTCTCCAGCATTAGTTTTCGCGACCCCAACTGTTTCTGCAGCGTTGTTTCTGTCTCGGTAGTACTTCTTTGCAGCTGCGCCAGCCGACGTCGTGTCTTTGATCACAACTCCGGGATGTTGGTGCGCTGCAACAGCTCCACCCGCCACCGCTCCTTTTGCGTGCGCCCCATTCATCAACGTCGAACTACCGCTCGTCGTTTTATTATTGTTTGCCGATGAGGACGACGTGCTGCTGGTGGTTTTCGCCAAAATATCCGCGTTCTGTCGGTCAATTTCCGCAAACCAAGGGTGCTTCAAAGCTTCTTTGGCCGACAACCTTCTGTCTGGGTTTTTCTCGAGCAGCTTCTTGACCAAGTCCAGCGCTTTTTTCGAAATGTTTTTCCAAATCTTCTCCTCTAGCACGGGCGCGGACGACAAAATCCGTTGCTTCGACGACTTCGCCGTGTCGCGGCCCGGGGTAAAAAACGGGTGTTCGCCCGACAGCATCTGGCAGAGGATCACCCCGCAGGTATTCAGAGGAAAAATCCCCCCTCCCCATATTGAAAGCGCATCCTACTTCTGAAAATCTGTAATGCGGATTTGTGGCCACAAATCCTGCCTGTCTTGCATGCAGGCAAACCCAGGGAATCCGCCGCATTATGCAGGCGGTTTGTGATGCTGTTGGGCCTACACCATCGACGTTTTTCATGCTAGGAGCCTACGCCAAAGCATCGCGGCTCAGGCTTGGGATATGCCTGCAGTACTCTACTGCAAGACAAATCTGATTTGTGTACTGAAGTCCAGCATCAGAAACTTCTTTTTGATAGGGGGTGGGGGGATTTTTCCTTTTGATAGCAGGCAAACAGGTCCGCCTTCGTGTCATACCAGTTGTTGCCATGCACCTCCTATCCTGTGCAAAAGCATCGTACTCGTGTTGTAATCATGCATTACAAATTCTGTTCTTAAGGCAAATTAGCATTACAAATTTTATTTCTCATTCTGAGGAAGTTTGTAATGCATTTATACGAGTACGATACTTTTGCAGTTCATACCTCCGGAGCCATGTAGTGCGGCGTACCGGCCTTCGGGAACTGCCGCCGCCTGGTCGTGCTGGAGGAAGACTTGGAACTGCTGGATTTATTGTTGTTGTTGAAACCGTCCCGATAGTGAAGATCTCCCCCGCCGCCCTTAGGCACGTGCACAAACTTGACGCTGGCGTGGATGTTGGTGACATAATCTGCGAGGCCAAAGTCGATGATCTTCAACACCGAATCTGACTTCCGCGTCATGAACAGCAGATTATCGGGCTTCAAGTCCCGGTGCACGATGTTGAACTTGTGCAAATAGGCGCACGCGTTCAGCAGCTGCTTGCAGTACCCCGCACTCTGCCGCTCCGACATGGGGCGCTGTAGCGTTTTCTTGTGGTATACCAAACGCTCGAAAATGCTCCCCCCGTTGCACAGTTCCAGAATCAGGTAGATTGCCGGCTTCTTCTCCGCCTTTGCCGATTCGTCCGAGTCCGCGCGTTTGTTATTATTTTGCGGATTGTTGTTCATCATTCCTGGCGCACCACCTACTTGCAGCTCGCGGCCGCCCGCCCCGCCTCGCTGTTGCTGCTTTTTCTTCTCGCGGTCGTTCATCTTTTTGATCTCCTCGAACAGCTTCTCCTTGGGAAGGGTGAAAACCTCATAGATCTTCAGGATGTTTGGGTGGTCCAGTTGCTTCATCAAATTGATTTCCATTTCCACCAATTTCAGCTGCTCCTTCGTCCGCAACGTGATCGACTTCGCCGCGCGCGACTGCTTCGTTCGCCGGTGGTGCATATCAAATGTAAAAATGTCTGGGTCTGGAAGAATCCGAACTTGTGATGCTGCATTTGGATTCCAAAAAAATCTGTATTGCATAAGCAGCAAAGGGAATGCAATGTTGGCTACGCGGAGGGAGCATTTGCCATGCGGAATAGGCATCACAGAGCCCTCAAAAAGTCTGTGATGCTAGGGCATGCATCACAGACATCATGGCCCATGCAAAACGTGCATGACAAGTCTCAGAATCTTCCAGACCCAGACATTTTTACACTTGATAGTGCACGGTCATCACCTTGCCGAACGCGCCCTCGCCGCGCTTCTCCAGGCACTCGTACGCATCGAAGATCAGGTCGTTGGTGTAGTACACCGGATGCAGCAGGTCGTGCAGGAAGCTGAGCGCGGGTCCCTTCGGGATTTCTCGCTCCCGGGCGATGCGGTCCTGAATTTTCTGCTCTTCCAACACATCCGTGACCATCCACTCCGGGTCGGTTCGATACCGATTCGGGTTGCTGTTCATGAACGCCGAGGCAGCCAACTGCTCCTGCGAGAGAATCTGGGGGTAGCCGACCCGGAAGGGGGCACGGTAGGCTGGCTCTTTGTTGTAGAAGTACTCCTGGTGGCCGCCAGAAGGTGGAACTGAAGCGGTAGAGACGTCAACGAAAGCAGGATCGCGAGCTGTAGTTAATATACTCTGGTGGTATTGGTGCGGCCGTGCCGAACTCGAAGCGGCCGCGTCGAGTGAAGTGTTCATCTTTTGTGCATAGAGCATCGAATGCTCTGGCTCCCGCACGACAGTAGAAGACGCAGAAGTTGTATTATGATGTTGTTGATGAGGAGCCGCATGATCATGAAATATTTGATGGCTTTCTTGTTCATGGGTCAGGTCCATGCGCCGCTGCTGTGTTCTTTGAGTCTGATGGTATAAGAACTCACGCTGGGTGGAACAATTGTAGTTTTCGACCACCTTCATACCACCATCTCCGCCTTTGCCCGACTGCCCATCGGCGCGCCCTACGACACAAGCGGAGCGCGCCCGGCCTCGCTGCTCGTTCTGCGCAGAAGAAGTCGGGCGTTGCTCCTGGTGACCTGCTCCTGCTCGAAAGGCGGCAGGAGTGACGTGGAGAGTTGGTGCATTATTCGGATCATTTCCAACCGCCATCGCTGCGGGTGGGGAGCTTCTCGCCGGAGCGGTTTTATTGGGGAGACCGCAGCCGCCACCTCCATGGAGATGCACGTTCTGCGTCTGGTCTTGCACAACTTGCTCGTGGCCACATCGCGACTGCACGGTGATGTTCCTGCCGTCGTCCGGCACGACCGCAGCATGACCGCCCGTCGTCGCAGAGCTACTGCTGCTGCCTGAACTGCCAGTGCTATTGGCCTTCCGCTGCGTGGGGCCTCGCGCCATACTGGTTGTGCTTGTTCCAGTTGTACCTGCCTGAGATATAGTTGCTCTATTTTCCGCCCCTTGACAATTAGTATTTCTTGAAGTCTTTGCTAGGCTGAGAGAGGAACTATGCGAATTGTTGATCTTTTCCAGCTGCTTTGTGGTCAAGGTCGAGGATCGCGTTGACCTACCGTCGGAGGCGTGCGTGCAAGAATTTGCATGCAACTTGTTCTGCTGTTCTTGCACTTGCTCGTGCACCAGAGGCTGCTGGGCGAGGGGAAGCGCGTTTTGATGCTGCTTGAGATTGTTAGTAGAACGGGGAAGCATGCCTGCATGATGATACTGGGTCGATGACGTGTGGGGGTGCCCCGAAGCTGTACAATTGTTGGCGTGGTGTGCGACATGGTGTTGTACTACACCCCCGGCTGGGGTTCGATGCGGAAAATTTTGTTCGTGAAATTCGGCATCCTGCCGCTCCGACTCGAGAATTTCATGCACGATTCGCTCCACAAACGGGAGGTCTTGGTCGTAGGAGAACAGCTCTGGGCGCTTGCCATGCTTTTGCAAACAAAACTGCCCCAAAATCTCCCACAGCGAGTCGAGTTGAATCAGTTCGACCACGCTTGGGGGCCCCGGAGGCTGGTGTCGAAGATGTTGATGTAGTCGTTGCCCTTGTTGCCCCGGACCGCCGGGAGCGCTTCTTTGCGATTGATGTGTCGCAGCAGTAGTACCATTACCAGTCTCTTCGAACACTACTTCGAAGGGCAATTTTGGCAGGGCATCCCGAAAATTGTTGAAGGCCGACTTCTGCCAGTGCTTCCGCGGAATGGTCCCTAACGCGGGAAGGGCTTGAAACACCTCCGACAGCGCATGCAGCAATCCATACTCCGTCAGAAACAGCCCGTTCACGACTTCTTGCACGTGTTGATTGGTGCTCATCTTGTTTTGCTGGTCGTTTTGTCGTTTCATCGCTTTATTACTGTCACCAGGAAAAAATGGCGCTGCTGTGTCTACTTCTACCTCACGTGGTCCCATGTTGATATCATCTCCAGCGTAGTCGTCCGCCCGATTGTTCAGATTCCCCTCTGCGCCATGATCTGGAGGTAAAACCCCTACAATCTGTTCCTCCAGCACCAGGCACAAATGCAAGTCCCGTTTGTGTTCTCCGTAGAGGGACACGGTATCCATTGCATGGCCTTGCTGCATTTCGATGCTGATCCGAACGATCTGAGCTCGGTTTTCTGTCACCATGGCGGAGACGATTTTGTGGACGCATTTCGAAAGCTGCAGGTTTAAATCCAAGTAGCGATGGAGCTCCTGGCAAAAGATCAGACAAGGGAAGAAGTTGTGGACGTTGCTTTGCTGCTGCTGTTGGACGAGCTGCATCAGGGTACTGTGATTTTGGGCGAAGCGGGGAAGGCCGCCAAGTGAAGATGAACCGCTTTGCTGTTGTACTAGTAGGTGACCTTGCAGCGCATGCGCAGAAAAAGGAGCATCAGTAGCGCTACTGTGCAGAACCGAGTCGACGTAGCAATACGCCTGATCCCGAACTTGCATCTTCTCCTGGAACCGGTACACCGCTCTCCACTTTGGCTTCACCGACGACGGCGTAGTTCCTTTAGAAAAACTCTCGGGAGCAGGTGGAATCTGAAATCTCAACAGCGTTTCTTGCCGGACCGCCTTCAGGTACTGCCTGCAGATGTCGAAGATGTCCTCCCAGGAGAGGAATCCACGCTTTTCCTGGTCGAAATTCACAAACGTCTGCAGGTACCAATTGAGCGACGGTTGCCGGAAGAACGAATGCAGCAGCTTCCATGCGTCCTTCTCCTCTTTTTCCTGCCTCTCCCGTTCGCGCTTCAGCTTGCTTCCACTCCAGGTCGTAGACTGTGGCAATTGACCGCCGGAAAACTCATCACAGACACCAGCAGCAGCTCCGAGGTTGTTTTGGTTTTCCTTTTGCGACGTGTCTTGAGCAAGAAGATCATCCACGACTTTAAACCTCTTTTCAATCTCGCCCGGCAGCATAGTGACCACGCGCTCGATTGTCTTACGGACGCTCTCTTGCGTCATGCTGTACCGGGTTTGCTTGTGGTGGCTGGGCACCATGGTGAGGAAGCGCTTGTTGCAGTTGTCGCGGTTCCAGATGCGCTCGCAGAACGCATCGAAACACAGCTCCTGCAGCAAAAATTCACAATCCGTGAGCGGATCCTTGTCCGGGTGGGCGAGGGGGGGCGGGAAAGCAGAGGTCGAGATGGTGGAGCCATAATTCCTGGCGCTGGTGGAAGTAGTAGATACCATCCCACCCTTGCTGCGGCTACTAGTATCAGGATGATGCAACTGTTGGTTCAGCTGCAGGTCGGCGTTGCCGCCGCGCATGGAGGAACGAGCGTGCAAGCGGCCTCTAAGCGCAGCAGGCGAGTTGTACAAATCGAAGCCCGGATGATCCGCTTCCTCTTCTGCAAATTCACTCGAACCGACACTGGCTTGCTGCTGCAGCAAAGGGCGGTGGTAGTGATCGTCGTTGTAGTTATGACCACCGTGGTATATCAGCTCGTCGTAGTGAGGCTGCCCCTGCATCATGATCGGCATATGATCCATTTCATTTTGATGTTGACAAAAATTGTTGTACTGAGGTTGACCAGCACCGCGCGCCAGTTGGGTTCCTTGGTGTCGCTGTTGGTATTCATCAAACTCTCGCGCATCAAGACCTAGACTGTCCTCGCCACGGTGAACAACAAAATCGCCGGGCGAGTCGAGCATATCGTGGCCTCTCCTGCCTCTAATATCTCCGCCTCCTGCCAAACCCCGACGGCCGCCACGAAGATCTTCTTCGTCCTCCCCAGAAGCGTCAAAATCGGACACTAGTTCGTCCAGAATTTCTTCTTCCTCATCTTCCTCGCCCGATCGCAGGTGCGATTGGCAGTAGTCCTCCAGATACTGCTTGCCAATCTCGTACACGTCATTCTTGCTCACTTTCAGCCGGTCTTCAGAAGACGTCCGTGATGTTCTGGACTTGCTCTTGCTCGTACGCTGTTTTTCACCTTGTTCAACTCGGTGATCTGCTCTACCACCTGCACGGGTGTTCTTGGTCCGCCCATCGAAATTTCCATCAAACGCATTTTCGTCTCCCATGTCCTGCCCAAAATTGCGAAAAGCGGACTTCCGCCACTGGTAGCTGGGAAAAGGGACGCCCAGAGCGGCAAGCAAGCTGATGAAAACCCGCTCGAACTGGTGAAAATTCGTTTGCGGGTACGTGTCGTCGAATTGTTGCGCATTGTAGAAATTGTTACGAACTTGTTGCAGCTGCTGGGGCGAGCAGGATGTTGTCGAAGAATTTCCCGAACTGGATTGGTAGTTCTCCACGTACTTCATCTCAAATATTTCGTCATACTCGTTCAAAATCTCCAGGGCGTCGTGGTAGGTGTACTCGGGACTCTGCAGGAGCTTTGTTGTGTTTTGAAGTTGTGCAGCACCACCGACAGTGGCCAAAGGGAGCGGTTGCTGTCGTGTCTCCTGGCCTGCTGGCACGGGTCCTCTAGAAAAGGCATCCTCCGGCTGGTGCACAGCGTCTATTGATTTTTTGCTTGATTTTTGCGCTACAGAATTATTCACCTCATCGTTTATTTGCACATGCTGCACCCTTTCGTTACGCTTGTTCACGCCTCCCGCACTGCTCGGGTCTGCTTTTTGCTTTCGTCTACTGGGGTGTTGTATATGCTCATCCTGTTGCGCCGTACCAGGTGCGTTCTGGGTCGTTATGGTGTGCTCTGCTACGAGTCCCTGCCGTTGCTTCGTTTTCGAGGACGTCCGGCTTCGGAGTGAGGACTTTTTGCCACTCCGGCTGGGCGTCGCGATGTTCGCAAGGAGTTGTGTGCTTGGACTCTTGTGTTTTGGTCTCAATGGCGTCTGGTACAACGGCCCATGATCCCGCTGTTCATCCTCTCCATCTGCGCGCTGCTTGTTCAATTGAAGCACACAAAAATCTTCATCCTCTTCTTTTTCTTGATCTTGACGTCGCCCCGCCATCGGCCGCCCATCACGATTCTGCGAAGCGTCTGAGCAGGCGTTACTCGCATTCTGCTCGGGCAGCACAATGGGACTTGTTCGATTTTTTACTCCGCCCCTGTGCTTGTCCTGACTCGTCGTGTCTACCTCCCTGGCACTACGTGCTGCTCTATCGCTCCGCCGTGGTGTCGACAACGAACAAATCGCACCCGGACCTCCAAGCAGGTGGCTTTCGGTGGCGGAGCCACGACCCGTCTGTGTATAATTTCGGTCGAAAGTTGGCGAAGCGAAATAATACTCGCCTTGCTGCCGCTGCCGGTCCGGGTCGAGAAAGGAGAGCAGCGTCGGCTGATTCGCTTCTTTATTTTCATCGTCCAACGGCTTATTTATTCCCTCTCCTCGGCCACCGCCTGTTGTGGGCGAAAAAGCCACGCCCGTTCGGAATGGGGGAGGCGGCGAGTCGATGGAAACTTTTTTCGTAGAGGATCGCGGCCCTGACAGCCGGGTGATTCTGCTGCTATTCGCACCATCTTCCACCAACGCAGAAGCAAGCTGCGAAGTGGAGGTACTCTCCTCTTTCGCCCGCGGCGAGCGAGTGCTGGGCTTGCGTGAGACCAACTGGGCGGGATCACTGCGCGGAATCATGTTGACACTTGTCAGCCGGTTCGGCAGTTGCTGAAGATTGCCGCTAGGGCGGCTGCTGGTCGTACTAGGTGCAAGAAGATGAAAATCATCTGCCGACGGCGCGTTCTCTATCTGCAGAGCTAGTGGCTCATCACGCTGTTCTCGTACTACCGTTTCTGGACGCTTCTCCGGACTTTCTTCTAGAAGGTACGCAGAGTGTGGGATCTGGACTTTATGCTTGTTGTTCTCTAGGAGCAGATCATCAACATCACCTGAGCCGTGAAAAGACGTCGTTCCAACTGTTTCCGTTCGTGCGAGAAGATGGCTCTCCAACTCAAAGCAAGGCTGCCGAGGAACGTGGTGCGCCTCTGCTCGCGTCGGTTTGGTTACGGTGGCGCTTTCGTCTTCTGCCCTGTTTCGCTTTGGCGAACCCTCCGCAGGTTGCAAATCTGGACTGAGCCCCGACCGTTCATCCCTTCGTCTTCTTCTCTGCCCAGAGGCCACCTTGGGCTCAGTAGGTGCACGCTTTTCCTGATATTGCTTCCCCTGCGTCTCGTCGTCTTCAAGGGAAGCGCACTGCTCAACATTCTTCGCGCTAGTGCCGTGTACTTGTTCTACCGATTTGCTCCGCAGTTGTGACGGCGATTGCGATTGCAGGCATGGTCGTTCGCCGTCTTGCCCAAAGAAACCCAGTCGCTCAGCACCACTGTCTTCTTGGCGCCCCAGCGGGTTGATCAAAATCTCTCTGTCTTTCAGCCCAAAGCTGCTAGTGTGATGCATCTGCAAATATGCGCCGGATTCTCCTGAGATGATCGGCTTGTTTTGAGCCGCACTCAGACTCACGATCCCCGGCGTGTTTCTTCTTGCGCTGTCGCTACTTGGACCATCGAAAACACCGGTTTGCTCGTCCGCAGTAGTGCTGTCGCCTCGTCTTGATACTACTGTTTTTTTCGCCGTCGGCGCAATACAATCCAACCCGCCTCCAACTCCAAGGGCGTCATTTGCCGCGGGACTGGAGGCAGAACCAGAGGACGAAGCGGTTATTTGCCTCGTTTTGTGTTGCTTTCGGGTTCTGAACTCGACCGTCGGCTCCGCTGACGACGTTTCGTACGACGTATTTTCCTCGGTGATCTTACTCAACGTCACCGGCGGCGGTGGCAGAGGCTGGAGGGCAGTGATTTCGTGTTGAGAAGAACTATCCGTATCCTGCTGCTGTTCCCCTCCTGTGCTCGATGTGGCGTCAACGTGTAATATTTCCATCCCTGGAGGACGACCCGCTGTATTACCACTAGCCTCACCGTCAAACAAAGGCACTGCACAACCCGGAGCATGATGTGTCACAAAGGTAGCATCAAGACCACATGAAGATGCGCTTTTCTGCCCTACTCGACCTGCCTCGTTCACGGCCGCGGCGTCCTCAACATCTGGTCCAGCACCACTAAGCACAAGCGGCGCAGCTGCTGTTGCGTCTGGTTGATGTCCCGCCTGATCTAGTTGCTGCTGCACCTGCACGTGCTGTGTGAGCATGCCAGCATGATGGTCGTGGTCTTCCCCCTCCTGTATGTAGTTCATAGAATTGTACACGCAATTTGTCTGATAGTATTCGGGCAGGTTCCAGGAGTGGTGGTCCTTCAGATTGATGCACTCTTCCATAACCGGGTAGTCGTAGTCATCCCCATGAGGATCGTGATGAAGCACGTTGTGGTCCTCGTCCAGAATCTCTTCGTGGTGGGAAGCTGGCGTAGCGTCGCCGATCGACGGCGCAAAGTTGGTAGCACCGTGTGGCGCTGCTTCGAGGACGTCGTAGTTCTTTGCTGGAAGCAGCAGCGCGGCGTGGTCGTTTTTCTCCATTATCCTTTGGTTATGCGGTGCAGCAGCATGAAAATTGCCGTGTTCTGGTCCTCGTGGAAGCTGAATATTATGCGGCCTAGGTGCTGGTGGACCTGGATGAAGAAGGTGAGAAGGGCCGTCAGGGCCATCTCCAGCAACGACAGGACCTGGAGGCACAAATGGATGAAAGCACAGCGGCCCATTATTTCCAACGGCAATCGACGTGGTACCACCAAAGGCGGGCGAGTTCGAATTATTCGTCGTGGCCGCCATCCCTGAACTTGTTATGTCGTCCAGAACTTCGGCCCGCTGATTTGTTTCATGCTCCGAAGCGGCTGCCAATTGCGGCAAAAGCGGGGGCGTGCCCGTGGCGGTGGTCGTTTCGTGCGAAGGGCCACCAGTTCCGGCACTTGGGAACAGAAAAGCTGGCTGTCGTACCCCATCCTCTTCTACCGGAGACGCGGGTGGGCGATCTCGTTCTATTGCCTCGGGTTGCAGCTCTTCAGTGACCGGCAAGGGGAGGTGGTCCGCCACTGCGGACGTAGTTGAGAGCGGTATAGGGAGATGGAAGAACGGCGCCGCTGGCACAGCGGGAGTCGGAGCAGGGTCTTGTTCCAGCACTGGCGAAGTTCTCCCAGTTCTGCTTCCTCGTGCCGGTGAAGCGTGTCCTGAGACCCTCGCTGACATCGCGTCAACTTTTGTAGTTTCCGGCATCCTTGCTTTTCGGTGCGCCGCCAGCTGTGCCAAAAACTAAAGTGGTTTCTCAACCACGACCGCGGCAGTGACTTCTCATTTTCACTGACATCATACAATGACTGTGCTCTTGAGAGCGTGCGCGCACTGATGAAAATCGTAAACTTGATATATCGAAATCGCATGTGTTGGTGCTCGTTTGCGTAAAATGCGGATGGAGGGACGCATCAAGCTTGGAGGATAAGTAGAGTCTTACTCTGGCAATACTCTTTTTACTTGTACATGAAGACATGTTGCTCAAAAATAATTTTGCCTGCCTGATGCTGAAATATTAACAGATTGCCGACCGGTTACATTGGTGTCGCCTGGTTGAAAAATAACATGCTCACTATGTGAGAGCGAAGTAGTTTACATCCTCGCTAGCACAGTATTGATACTCACGAGGACGACGAAAGAAATTACTTACCCTCATGGTTATGCGATCGCGTTGGACTTTGAACACACCTGCCACACCGAGCGACTAAAGCTTCTACCTAAGCAGGTCTTTCAATCAGTTCCAGCACTTCAATCTCTCAGCAGACAGGGCGAAAGCCTCTGGCTGCGTTGCATCCTGTGGGTTCAATGTCATCAAATTCATCACATGGAATGACCCTGATCCTGGTCAGAGTCAAGTGGCTAAACAGCATGGGAGTACCTCCCTCAATGCTGTCAGTTAGGTGCCCGATCCTGATGACGGGAGTCAACCCCCTCAGGATGGTCATTCTGAACGTCTAACACGAGCGGAGTCCCTTCATTTCATTCCGATCGTGATGGCTTTGCCTTCGTAGTATTTGGGGGATTCGGGCCAAATGGTGAAGAGATTCCTTTAGGATCTAGCTAGTTCAGGTCATTCAGGTCTTGTCATTTCATTGGGAACAGGCATTTCAGATCATCTTGAGAAGCTTCAGACATGGTTGCGTTAGGGTTCTGATCACATGACCAACAGATCGGGAAGTCACCACAATTTTTTTTGGCGTATTATCAATCCACCACATAGATCTAGGTGGTGCATCGCTCTGCGTGCACCAAATACGACGTGGCACCTACGCCTTCAATCAATAAAGAAAAAATAAAGTTGCACAGCTTCGCATTTTAAATCCTATTGCGTCAAAAATCTTTGGAAAACTAGATCCAACCCGTGGCACTTTTGGAGATATCATCTGCAATCAGGGCAATGAAGGAATTGAACTGAAAGGCGTAGATCTAGATCCTTGCAACCTGGCATTGTCACGCACGGCCAATGAAATTACACCGAAATCATCTTTCAGAAAATGAGTGGTCTGTAAACCATGTAAACAGATAGAATGAGGGTAAAACACGACCCACGCAAAACCAAAAGGAAAAGCGCTAAGACAATATAGAAAGACAAGAGAGCATTAAACACACACGAAAAACACGGAGCAACAGCAAGAATAAATTTCTTGCCAAGAAACAAATGCACACGCAGCGGCTGTAATAAACATAAGACAGGAACAATTAAGTTTCTATGTACTAGCCCCTGGGGGCCTCCCGTTACTTAGTCGGCCTCATCCTGCATGTCTGCTACGCATACACCTGCACTAGGCTTGCAATGGCGACCTCTTGCGCTACTCGGCTGGCAGCCGAGGGAGAGGCTTCCCCGGCTTGCCGACCCGCCACCCAGGCCGGCCGCCGGCAAACCGCGGCGGGCATGGTCCGCGCGCCCCGCCGGCCCCCGAACCGCCCCGCCGGGGAGCCGAACCGGACACAAAACGGCACGCGGGCCCGCCCAATAAATTCCGCAAAGCGTGGCGCGCGCTGTGTCACCTCCCGGCCCGGCGCGCCAAAGAAAGCGCTTGCCGGCCGCCAAAGGCGGGCGCCCGCCCGGCGGGCCGCGAGGGGCGCCACGGTCCACAACGGGTAAAACCACGCCGGGGGCCAATGCGTGCCCCGGCCCCCCCTGCGTGCCTGCGGCTCCGGCCGGATGGCCCGCCGGGTCGCGCCCTGAGCCGGCTCCGAAGCTGCGCGCCCCACACCTGGAACAGCCCCGCGGGCCCGTTCTCGCCCGGGCGGCCCGCTTCTCGGTAGATGGCCCGGGAATAGGCTCCACGTCTTTCGGCAACCGCTTCGGGGGCGGCGGCTCCGGGCGAATGTGCTCCGCTGCGGGGCTTTTGGCCACGTGATTCGGCATGCCCGCCGCCCGCTTCCGGCCGTCCATGAGGCGCCCCCCCTAGCTCGAGGTCACCAGTCCCGCATAGTTTGCTCATTGAGTAAACTAACTGGCACTCCCTCCGACTGGCGAAGCTGGCCCAAACGTCCTCGCTCTGTTCAGTTGGACACCAAGCAACTGGCCAAGTCTGTAGACTGTCGCTCGGAAAAGTCCCGGCGCATCTGCATAACATCTGCCAGCGGGTGCCACTTTTTTTGGAGACTCGCCTTTCCCTCGACGGCCGCCCGGCGCCAGCACGGCGGCCCGCGCTTCCGCCACCCTGTACGTCGTCGGCGCTGCGGCAGGAGCTTCAAACGGGTCCCGCTGCGCCGCCACACATTTCCGCGCGCACCACTTCACGCACCTCAACCGCGTCGCCGGCGCGGCCGGGCTCGCGTCGCGCCTGGCTTTGCCCTCCGCGGTTCTCCTCGCCCGCCGGCTCTTGAACTTGCACAAGTGGCGCAGCGCGAACCTGTACCGGGCCCGCGTCAAGTTCGTGACCCAAGAGAACCCACCCAATTTGGACCACAAGTGCGCGGCGGCCTGCGTGTTTGATCATGGAGGTCAGCGGCAGGGCCTCGAAGGACCCAGCCCATTGCATCCCCGACATCTCCGCCGCTGCGCTTGCTGGGCCCTTGCGGCGCGCTTTTTGTCGTGAGGCCATCGACCCAGGAACCAACCCCGCCAGTGCTGCGCGCGCCACTGCCACCCACCAAGGCGCGCGCAATCGTGGAGCATGGGGGCGAAAGAGGCGCGCCCGCCCGCCCGTGGTGCTGCGCCTGGATAGACTCCGAGGATGAAGCACAGGAATTCATCTCAAGACGCCGGCGGCTCACGGCAAGGTTCTCAACCGGAACAGAGGAAAGGCAAAACTCGAATAATACAAATCGTGTTTCGAACAAACTGCAGCCCCTGGTCAAATTCCTCTTCCTTTTGTCTTTTGGTGCGCGACAACGGTTTTTTTTTTCAAACCATGCGAAGACTTTGGTTTCGTAGAGATTTGGACAGGTTCTTTCACTGTCACTTGCAACACAAATACTCACGTTCGTCGACCTCAACGTCCTCCTCCTCACCGTGAACCATGTCGATCCCCAGAACAAAAATCTACTTAGTTGTGTATTCTGATCTATGATTGCAGGAGGTAGTCTTGCAAAAATTTTGCAGGATCCTGCCCCAACTTCTCCAGTGCTTTGTAAACATCCTCCTCCTGCAGATGGCTCGTAACCAACTGCGTCACCGGATTGACACTCCACAGTTTCAGTTCCCTCGTCAAACAGTTCAGGGCGTCAAACCAAAAAGTCTGTCCCTGACCATGTCCGACCCCATTTCCTCCTGCAATGTCTACTCCGGAGCAACCCGCGGTGAACAAACTCTGCCCTTCGACGCACTTCAACCTGGGGAAGAATTTGTCCTGTAAAATCTCGAAAACCGCCCGCACACGCATCACGCTGTTGCTTTTCCCTTGTCGTTCCTCCACCGGAGCTCGGAGTTTTCCGAGAAAAAGCCCGCAATCTTGGAAGGCCTTGTTCGGGATTTTCTTGTTGCTCCACTTGTCGTTGCAATCCCCCATGAGTAACACCCGGTCCGCATCCTTGGGATTGTATTGCGCAAGGAACGCAGCCACGATGGCCAGATTTACGCAGGGAGAGAAAGAACCCGTCATGTCAGAAGAAGCTCTGGCTCCGTCCAACTCTTTCGCCGTCGTTGCGACAGTTCCATTGATGTGACGAAGTTGTAAATCCGCGCGCGGACGGGGCAGGGGAGCACTGTTTTTCGATGTCGAATTATCACGTGGTTATTTTTTTTTTCAGATTATGCTTGGAACCTCTCGTTTGGAAAAAGTGCAAGAAGCGAAGAGCGCCATTCTAAAAAAACGTCGTAATCTAAGCACAAAACCAATAAAACCAATACCGCTTCTTCAGCACGTAATTCACCAAGCACTGCCATTCCAGAGCGGTTTCTTTGGTCTGCTTCAGCTGCGCCTGGTAGTCGAAGCAATAGCAGCGAAATGCCTCCATGCAGTTCGCGAGAAACTTGTTGGTTAACAGTTGGCATTGGAGCTGGTGATCGAAGAGCTCGTTTTTCACATTCAGCACGTGCAGGAATTGTTTCACGACCGCTTTTCCTGTTTCCGGAATTGACGCAGCAGAGGAGCTCATCTGTGTAGTCGCTACACTGCTGATGGCGCTTGGATTTGCCTTCGAGTTTGAATTGCAATTGCTACTGGTCTTGTTCTTCAACATAGCTTGCAGTTCTTCCAGAATCCCGGATGCCAAGACTTCCCGACTGAACATGGCAACCAAGTGTTCGAGGGTGAAGTTCTTTAACGTAATAGTGTCTGCGAAGATCGGAAGCGTGGATTGCGAACAATTCAGTGCACAGCTCGGGGGGTTGATCCAGATCACACGGACGATGTTGCCGTACTGCTTGACTAATTCGGACACGAACTCGGTGAGAATCTTATGGCGTTCTCAACTGTTACATCCTCAACTGTTACATGGATTTGTGATGCAACAAGTGCAACAGTGAAATAGGAGACCTTGCGCTTCTTGCATGACAGATTTGGCAAAGATTCTCAGCCTGTTGGGCTCGTCGGGAATTTGTCATGCGAAGCAGCTTGATTGCGTCGATTCTGATTGCAATTTTGCATGACAAATCATGTAACAGTTGAGAATGTAACATTTGAGAACGCCATAAATCTTCGCAGCTTGCTCGCTTTCGGTCTCGAAGCCGCGCGAGTTTGCCGTCAAGGCGTTGCTCGCTGACCTGTTCGATATCTTTGTCGGGGATTCCAGCAAGTCATCCAAAATCAGCACCATCGGGTGCTCGAGCCAGCTGCCGAACGTTTTTGCGGCCTTCTTCGAGGCGACCCGCAGCATCTCGAAAATCCGGTTGGCGTTCATAGGTGGGAGCTGTTGGAAAGGTGTTGCCGCGGTCGTGGAAGGCGCCCCTTGCAAAGTTTTTGCAGCTGACGTGCTATTCTCTACTGCTCCTGCGATGGGCTGCTTGTCATTCAGTAGCATCTGGGACAGCCTGCCGGCCTCGGTAGCGTTGTTAGCTGCACTAGCGGCTGAGCGACCACCTGTTGCGGAGAAGAAAATGGTCTCTTCCTCCAATCTTTCTTCCTTCTGAAGCACTCGCTCGATCTCGTGTCCAATGGCGGCTATTTCGATCTCGCCGGGGGTCGTTTTCCTCAGAGCGCGTTTGTGAAGTTCCGCAAAGGAAAGCGGCTGGAAGCTTTGTTTTAGCGGAACAGATGAAGTGTGGGCTTCTTCGCTTGCAAAGTCAGAAACTACGCCCACAGGAGCCGACGAAGACGCAAAAGCCGGACACAAAAGAGGTATCATCGGCTTCACAACGTGCAACACTTCCAGTTTGAAAGAAGGCTTTTGTTGCGGCTTCGAAGATGTTGCGCTACTATTTTGAAGATCTCCACCCACTACTTCTGCCTTGTAGACTTTCCTCACAGTCTTGAAAAAGTCGCAGACAAATTTCGTTTTCCCTTGCTGCTGCCCTCCCCGGATGAAGAGCGGTGTTGTCGCCAGCGCACGGTCTTGTAGCGAATACCAGTCGTTTAGTTGCGCGACCTCAGTCTCGCGCTCCAAGACGCGGTAGTTCAGCCCTGCTGGTCTTCGTGCTGTTCTTTTTCTACTAGTCGTTTTTCTTCTTTCGCTTGTTCCGGGCTCTGAGCTTCCATGCGGATCTGTGACCACAGCAAAACCCACTTGCAACGCTTCCTTTATCATAGTCGACACCTCCTCGTGGTCGAACACTCGCTTGCCGCGGCTTCTCGCAGCGGTGGACGAGAAAATCGGTCGGCTGTTTTGGTCAAGAGTTGTACTACACAGTGAAGATGACCACGCTCCTGGTGTTCCTTCTTGTTCCCCTAGCAAAATCTTCATAACTTTCTCCATCGTGTTCTCTGTTTTCTCAACGGCCCTGTTCCTATTTTCGGTTCGGTCCAGATCCTGTCGCCGTCGCTGCCCATCCGGGGTTTTCAAAGAGGACAAATTGAAGGCGTTCGTTTTCGCGCCACCCAAAGTCGAGTCTTGCCGCTGTAGTTGCTGCGATGAAGAAGGTTTGTTCAGTGGCTTTGCATGGTTGTTCGTACTGGAGCTGCTTGTTGCTGGTTGGGAGCTTGCTGATGCTATTGCACGATTCATCTTCAAGGGTTTCGCCACGTTCTCCACAGCATCTTCGAAACTCGCAAACGGGTCTTTGGATGAAGAGGTGGCGGCTTTCTTTCCAGCCGGTCCTCCAGCGCCAACATCGTCCTCTTCGTCCAGATCGAACACAGACTGCATTTTCATACCGCCCAAAGCATGATCCGCCGCGTACGAACTATCGCCTTTTATCACGGGCATCAACCTCAAGGGCGACGCTGACGGCGGTGGACTTGCATGCACTTGTTTCCTGTCACCTCCAAAGACTGGCGACTCTTTCTTGCTGTTTTTCCCAGCGCTACTTTTGCTCAATCGCTTGTCACCGCTGATATCGTCCAGATGCACCGGTGAAGCCGAAGTCGGGTTGTCCTTTTCCTTATCACGCTTATTTGCGGATGTATTTCTCCCTTTACAAGAGGAGGCCGGCACATCCGCTTGTGCATCCACTTCTTCACCTTCGTCGAAAGTCACCTTCCTTTGCCTCTTTGCACTCCGGGCGGCGGACGCAGCGTTGTCTTTGCTTCCCCTCTTACTCGGCGCCGGGGTGGGCGACTTGGATCTGTTGGCCTTCCGACCGGCATATCAAATGTAAAAGTGTCTGGGTCTGGAAACTTGTGATGCTGTGTGGCGTATCATGAGGAGGCCACAACTGCTGGCTCAGCATGACAAGTTTCTGAGCTTCTACTCTAGGTGTTGCCTATTCTGCATGACAAACTACGTTTCTGCATGACAGAAAAGTGGGGCTCTTTGGTAATGTGCATGACAGACTTAAGAGTCATGCCAGACAAGCATGACAAACTTGCACACTTCCAGACCCAGACATTTTTACATTTGATACGGCAGGAGTTCTCCGGACCGGGCTACGTGCCGGACTCTGGACCGGGGACGCGCGCCGTGGAGGCATGGTGAGGTGGGTGATAAACAGAGACAATACAAGCGATAAATAGACTAAACTGATACTGCTCCGAAATAAGCCAGATTTTCGTGATCCTCTATGAAGATGTAGAAGTTGAAAAACTGACTAGCTAGTACACTAAATTTGAAAGAAGAATCTTACAGTGCGGCCATAGTGAAACAAAAACGAGAAATTAATAGGTAGCACTTCGCAAGTTTTTTTGCTTGTAGTTGTAGCCCCACAATTTTTTTTGCCTGTTTTTGCCTTCAGACATCAGCACGGATGCGGATTTTTGTACATCTCGGACCGGAGGATGAGGAACGCATCATCAGCTCTTTTGTCCGACAAGGAAGTAGGCCACGAACCTGAACACGCGCGGACAAGGAATCTTGTCGAAGGAGAAAATCGAAGTAGACTCGTATGCGGCAAAAAAATCTTGTGAGACGAGCCTGAGCTGCTCTGCAGTAGCATTCTATAAAGAAAATGCACTGCTTTTGTTTCAGTTTCAGAGGTCGCCCAGAATCGGCAACCAGCAAACATGAGTGACTCAGAGTCGAAAAAATATTTTCTAAACTGACTTTCAATAAAACCCTATTCACTCGATTCCGTCGCAAGAAAGCACAGTTCACTTCTTCGCTGCCGTGGACTGTAGGAAAGCGTTCCTAATTTCGCTAGCGATGCCCTGCACGCTACCGGCAGACGAGTTGACGAATATTGTTTTGGACCCGGCACTTGATCCGATTTCTTTCAGCGTGTCAAAGTACTGTGTAATCAAAACCAATTCCAGGACGTCCCGACTCCTCATGCCTTCGATGGCCTCCGTGAAGGTCCCGACCGAGTTTTGCATCCCGTCGATGATCGCCTTTCGCTGTCGGGCGATACCTGAATGAAAATATTTTTGTTCATCCACAACACACCGCAAAACAAAACACGCTTATGTTGCGTCAGGATGCATATTACCGCCGTCGTCAATCAAAAAGAAATCTGAATTATCCCACCTGCTCCCTGATGGTATTTTGACACGGCGTCCGCCTCGGCCCTCTTCACTATCATCATCTTATCCGCATCTGCCTTTTCTGTTGCGGCTTGCCGGTTTCGCTTACTTGTCTCGATATCATTCATTGCGACGCGAACTTTTTGGGCCGGGGTGATGTCGGTAACTAGCGTCTTCACAATAATGTACCCGAATTCTCGCATTGTGTTCTGAGGTTGTTTGATTCTTGATGTGGGTTTATTTTGACGAGGAGAGCTCCTGCTGCAAATAAACATACTGCAGAACAACTCAACATCAAGACCAACCATTTTTTGCATGCTGATACATTCAGGTTGTAGGAGTACCGTCAAATTCTTCCGCACTTCGTCCGCGATGGCGTCCTTTGCTGCATGTAGGTACAAATCGTCCAACGTGTGCTTTGGCACGGCTGATCTCACCACGTCAAAAACGTAGCTGTTAAGCTGTTGCTCCGGGGAAGCTAACCTGTAGAACGCTTCGTAGACCTTGCTTTGGTCGGCCACATACTGGATTTCCAGCCTGGCATCCACAAAGACATTGTCCTTCGTCTTGGTCTCCACCTGATATTTGTTTTTTCTTCAGCAACATTTTACGCCAAGACAGAAACGGCAACTTTGACTTTCGTCTTTCACTGATGCTCATACATACAGATACGGGTACGGCAAACTGGAATTTGTTAAAATCAAACATCTCACCGGCACGGAGAGCTGGCGAATGCGTGTGGAAATTGTTCCGGCGTTGACCTGCACGCACGGGCAAGGCAAGATCATGAGTCCGGGTCCTTGGGAGTAAGCGTATTTCCCAAAGGTTTCCACGATGGCCACCTCATCACCGTGGATCGAATGACAACAGCCCATTTTTCTTCGTTTCGGTTACGGTTTCTCTCGCAAACTCCTTCACAACGTTAACTTCAATAACCGCTTCACATACAGAAGCAGTGCTCAATGGAACAAGAAACGACCCAGCAGGAAAGCGCTCGGCGGCTGAAACGCGCTTGTCTCGTCGTCACTTCTTCCCTTTACCACGTTGGCTGTGTGGCAGAAGCGGGCAAGCTGGATGTAAATGGAAGCGCGTGCTGCTCTCGCTCTCAAAGTAGAGGGGACTCGCCCTTGCACCTCTCGTATCATCTTATTTCAAGCCAGTGCTCCTCGTATGGCACAAACTACAGGAACAGACATGATACACAACTGCTCGACGGTGTTGAGGCTTTCTCGAGTTCCAAGCTTGACGTCCAGGCTTGCGCAGCGCCTTGAAACCTTAAACATCGCATACTTGCGATAGTTAGTTTTGTTTGCTGACACTGTTCCCATGTGGTGGCATAGCAGCATCTTCAACTCGCGCTGCGGCGCCATTGAAAAACTGTATTCACAGAATAGCATGATGTTTTTCCGCATAAAATCTATCTTACAAAGGCTATGTACAGTCAGTGGCTACTAGTGAGAGCGCAACATCAGCTTGCGTTGAGTTCATTGCGAGTCCTCGTGCATCCCTTCAAACTCAACTCCAACTCCTTTTTTACAAATTGGAACTCGAGCAGGATTCGGTTGTGGTGCAGGACCGTGTAGATGCAATCGTGCCGGTGGTTTCCCTGTCAGTCACGTACTGATATTTAAGGTTAGATATGTTCGAGCAGGAGTTCGACTGGCAACTAGATGTTGCAGCTCCTGACGTAGAACAAGCTCCTTTACTAGATCGTTCTTTTTCCTCAGTAACCGCACCTGCGCCAAACATTTTCTCCGCCATTTCCGTGTAGCTTTTACGGAACACAAAGCAGAATTCCCGCTTGAAGTCTAGATCCGTGCTCAACTGCTTCCGCAATCCGTGCGACAATTCCAGCTGCACGGAAACGTCGAAGCCGATTCTTTGGCTCTGCTGCGTCAACGTAAACCGGTTTTCCTCCTTTGCCTTGCCCGTTAACCGAACCGTCGGCCGGTCTTCGATAATCGACCCGGGGGCGTAGAAGGTTTGGAAGACGACGTCTAGCCGTCGTTTCAAGATTTTCCGAAACTGCTCCGCGAGAATTTCCTTCGTTTCTTGGTACGCTTTACTCCGATGGTGCGAGATCTCCTTCTCGTCCGGTAGTTCCATCGCACCGAACCCGAAGAAGACTTCCTTTGTGTAGTAGTGCGGCGGCTTGTTCGGGTTCATGCACCCATGCACGTCGACGTGGAGCGTGAAGGGCACCTCCGGGATTGTTCTTGAGCTGGCACCTCCGCCGGGAAGATCCTCGGTGTCTTTCGCCTTCGCCGTTTGTTCCTGTTCCACCTTCTTCATGTCTTCCAACATGTCCTTGATCCCCAGGTACCAGTAGTTCCCCTCCAACTCGTCCAGATGCAGGTAATTTGGATCCCGCAAGGACGGATCCGTCGGGACCGAAAGCGCTTTGATCCTCTTCTGCTCTGTGTTCGACCACGCCAAACTCGCCCCGAGGCAGGTCTGCGCCAGCGAGTTTGCGAGGGAGTATCGTAAGGAAAAATCCCCCTCCCCATAACGAAAACGTATCCGTCTAAAAATTTGTGATGCGCATTTGTGACCTCAAATCCTGTCTGTCTTGCAAGAAGGCAAGTCCAGAAAGCGTTCCGCATTTTGCAGGCGGTTTGTGATGTTGGTGGGCTTAGAGCATACACGTTTGCCATGCTAGGCGCCTACGTCAAAACCTCTCGACTGAGGCTTGACATATGCTTGCAGTCCTCTACTGCAAGACAAATCGGATTTGTGTACGGAAGTCCAGCATCAGAAACTTCGTTTCGATATGGGGAGGGGGGATTTTTCCTTTTGATAGGGAGCTGGTCCAGTTTTCGGGGTGGTGCATTTTCTCGCCGTCGCGCTGGAGCGGGATGGAATGCGGGGCGGTGAAAAGAATGGGGAGAGCAGGGAGGTGATCGATGTTTTGCTTGGATGCTGACGCTGTTCTTGTGAGAGGTCCATCAGTCATTTTCTCTGTTTCGCTCAGCTGCTGCGCTGCACTCCGGGTTGCCGGTGCTGTTGTAACCCCGTCCGGTCCAGCATCCTCTTGCTCACCTGCAGCCGATGTTCCCGTGCCGAGACTTGAGGAGGATGAGCACCCGCTACTGCTCAAGGGGCCACGGTGTTTGTTCGCCGGGGGCGGCAACATCAAGGCTCCTGTACTTGCTGGTGCTGTTTGCAGCTGTGTGCTTTCTGGTGTTTCCGCACGCCGAGCAGCTTTGACAGCACCATTTTGTTCAGTTTGTTGCTCAACATCACCAATACTACCACTGTCCCGTCTCACCCTGTACCCCGGGAAGAACCGTCTCGTTAACCTATGGTAGAAGAGCAAATCGTACAATTTCCGCAATTTTTTCTCGCAAACCGGCTGCTCGCCGTACCGTCGCAGCTCCTGGTTAAACTTCGACTCTTTCTCGACGTCATTTTCCCCCCGCACGATCGTGACAAATGTGTTCAAGTACTTATCACACAGCTCTTCAATCGAGGAAAACAGAATGTGGCCCAATTTCGCCTCGACTCTCCTCACCGCGTTGGACGGGGTCGGGAGAGGCGTGGAAAAGGCGGTAGCCAGCGGGCTGCTAGAGGAATTCGCTGTCAACAAGGTCGTCGGAGAGTCCGCGGCGAGCGGTAGCGGCTGGTCCCTGAAGGCCTCGATGAGCGCCCGAGAAAGCAGTTGGGCTTGGAACGGCGGAAGGCGGCCGCGCCACTCGAGAGCAGAGGTGGATAGGAGAGAAGAGGATGCCGCGGAGGTCGGCGTGCTGCTGGAAGCTGTTGGGGCTCCGGTGTTCTGGTTGGTAGCGGACATCTTGGCTGTTTTGTTCTTCTTCTTTTTCACCAGGGTACGCACACGGCCGGCGCATGCAATAAGAATATTAGAGCCCAATCGGCACTGAAATTGAAGTAGTAAGAGGGATAGGAGCGATGCGATCCTCACACTGATAAAAAACGACATCTTCGCTTCGACACGCGCGCTTCAGTTGCTCCTCTTGCTGATGAACTAAAGCACGCGCCCGCGTTCCGCATCTGCCGTCAATGAAAGATACTGATACACTCGACGAAGCTTGAAAATTCCTGCGCGGTGGCACTGCTGGAAGTTGATTATACTAGACTCAGGAATCTGTTTCTCTTTCTACCTGCTATTACACAACAAGACCTTCGTCGCTACTCGACTACTGGGCCGTCGTGCAAAGAAACGATAACGACTGCAGTTCTAAGTAGAAGGGTCCACAATGAGTGCGTTGGTCTTCTTCGGCGTTGCTTTGTGAAGCTTCAGCTTTAAGTTCAAACAGCGCGCTGTTCGGATCCAGTTCCGGTCTTTCACACCGCGGTCGCGCAAGCACCAGCCCAGCTCGAAGCTGTCGCTCATTTTGTTTTCCGTCTCTTCGCCAACAGCCCCAAGTCCAACTCGAACGACAGGGCAAAAACGTTCAAACGCTCGGGCATTTTCCCATACATACTGTTCACATGATGATGCCAACGGACGAGATCAACAATCATACCTGACTTTGGCCGCGCCCTGAGACTGTCATGCACTAAAAGTCCGCGGCGGCCCGGACCGACCAGGCCGCAGGCAACTGCGAAGGCCGTTGGGCGACAATTGCCCAGCCGCGCGCAGTCGCCTACGCCTCTGTAGTCTTGAGCGGCGCCGCTTGCAGCAAACAGGCTCGGCCCGCGACGGGCCCCTCCCCCCCGCGGCGCTCACGCTACGGAAAAACGCAGGGGCGGCCCGCCTCCCTTCAAGCAGGCCCCGGCGGCCGGTCCCAGCGCCAGAAACGGCACGGCGGCCAGACATAGGCACGGCAGGGCGGCCGGCGCAGGCGGGACCGGCGCGGAAGCACACTCGACTCCGCGGACGATGCGAGCGCCGGCCACCAGCGCGGCAGAGAAAAGGACCCAGCACCACCACGGGCGCCAGAGTGGGATGGGGCCGGTTCGTTGGCTCGCCACAATTGATCCCATCTGCTACGCCAGGGAAGGCGTCGCCGCTGGGTCGCTCGGCTGCGGCGGCAGGCCCCAAACGCGGGCGCGCCCGCGGGTCTCTGACTGCGGCCGGGGCGCAATAATCGAGCGGGGGGCCACGCACGGTGGGGGGCGGGCGCGCGCAGCTGAAACAATGGCCGGCCCCTCCTTGGATGGCCACGCCAAACATGTGGCCGACCTGGAAGCCGACCGAGAAGCCCGACAAAGGTCGCCCCAAGTCTTGGCACAGTAGCCGGCCGGCAATACTTTCGCCGGTCGGATGGCGGAAAAGAGCAACCAACCCCGTCCCCCGCCTTTGCTTGGGGCGGGATGCAGACTCCTGGGAATTCTGGCAAAGCCTCTCGCGCGTGCGGGTGCGGCGTTGCCCCCTCTGGGATGCTGTCTATTCTTGCGTCGAGCCAGTTCCCGAATGCGCTGCCTTCCCGCATGGCGCCGGGGAGAAAAATGCCCGAGGCCCATGCGCCCCACTATTGCCGAAGTTCTTCGCGGTTGCGCTGACTTCGATGGTGGCCTCAGCGCGCCAGCCCACCAGCGGGCCCACCGCTCTGCCGCTCCGCAAAATCCTGCGGCGCGGCGAAAGCCCACGCACGGCCTCGCGAGCCCCGTCGGCGTTTCCCGCAAATGCCGCGGCCACAGGCCCAGGCCAATGGCTAAGCGGCCAAAGCCTGCCCGCAGCGGCCCCCGCGCGAAGACCTGCGGCCGCGCCTGGCTCCAGGCCTGCAATTATTTCGCGGCAACCTTCTGGACAAGGTCCCCCGCAACCGCGAGGCGGCGCAGCCTCCGAAGTCACACCGCGGGGCCCCAGGCTGCCCTCTTGCCGGGCGGCGCCACTGGCTCCGGCACGCCAGCGCGCAGCGGCCTCGCAAAAAGCAGCCGGCGCGGCCAATCAATGGGCGGCGGCCTGCTGCACTAGCTTGCTCGCCGAAGCACTAGAAGCGCGAACAGGCTCAATCTGCCGCGCTCTTTTCTCCAAACGTAAGTACAAACCATGTCCCACATATACTAGAGGCGGGGGCATCACCAGAACAAAACAAGGATGGTCATCTTGTTTTTTAGCTCGAACTTGGAGTCCGAACGCCACGGCGTTGTGTATTCTCTTTATCTTTACGCTTGTTTAAAGCATCAATTGAAATCCTTTACTCGTGCATCGTCTTAGACTGTGATACTGTCGCTATGTGTGTTGCGGCATCATATGACGGCCGCGACGCCACAGCAAAGTGATTCCTCATCCTTGTTTTCAAGAAGCTTTTTTTACAATGACATAGAGGTCGGTTGAGGTGACAGATTTGAAAGGCGGGCCACTCGGAAAGGCAGAACGAAACGGATTTTCAAAGTCGCTAATTGTACAAAAAACTATAATATATGTATATGACAAAATTCTTATCGACATAGAAAAGTCAGACCACTCGAAAGAAAAGCATCGACAGTTGCAGAGTCTTTGTTTTTATTGCGTCAAATTTGATTTGGAACTACTAGTACTAACAGAGAAATCGCAGAGTCATACCAGTAAGCACTCATGTACTTCTACTGCTTCTTCTACCTACTGCAAGAACTGTTTGAAAAAGTGTGCCTTTGTATTCTCGTGCACGTGCTGCATTTCTGGCGCAGTCATGGAAATAGAAAATCAAGATGAGATCTTCTGCCTCTTGTTTTTAATTTACTCCGATGTAATGGTGATACACCGATCGTAATCCCGTCGCCGCTGACGCTGAAAGGAGATCTCGGTCCGTCCAAATGTGGGCTCCAAAGCGTCGTCTTTGTAGGAGTCATTGTCTCCTGCTTCCGTACTACCGTCCAAATCACCTGTTGTCGTAAGCCCGCAGCGGAGATCTCTGCGTCCTTGTGCTGGTGGTGGCCTTTTATTTGCAATTCCTGCATGTCCTGCTACACCGACAGGGCCGCCTGTGTCGTGGTTTTCGATCCTGGATAGAATTGAAACTGTAGGCATCAGAGTAAGAAGAACCAGCTTGCAGTAGCACTTCGTGCAACGATCACGACTTGGATGTACTAACTTACACACGGGTAAAAAATGTTCATGGTCGCGTAAGAAAGCAAAAAAATTAAAACAAGACAATGAATACTTTGTTGCCCAGCCGTAGCACATGCAAGATAGCCGGTCGATGAAAAAAGCGGATCCGCATCGCGCGCAGAACGCAGGCACGTCGTCCGCGAACGTTTCGTCCGGGTCCAGCTGGGCCGCGAGACCGTCAAAGGTACTGCTATTGTTGTATTCGTCAAAAATGCGACTGGTTCCGTCCATATCGACATCAGAGCTCATCCCTGAACAGCGCTGGTCCACATAGTCGCTCGAAAACACGAGCGACGGGGAGTTGTAGTCCTCTCTGCCGTTGTTCTGCTTTTGTTGCTCGTCGAACTCGGCACAGTATGAGCAACCTTCCTCATCTTCGCCGTACCTCGTAAACGCTGGTGGACCTGCATCCTCAACTGTGTAGTCGCTTCTTCTTCTAGTCACGATTTCTGCAGGAGCTCCCCATATTCTGATAGGACGACAGCGTGGAGCGACGCCCGGTTCCGCACAGTTGACGGCTGGCGTTACCGTGCTGCACAGCACTTCATCTGCTCCTTGCAGCGGACTCGCGGTTCCTCTTCCGCCGCCGACGAATTTCAACTCTATTTTCACATTGTCTGCGTCTTTCGGGTCGACCACCGGCTCCGCTTGGAATTGGAGTTCTAGGTTTTCCAACTGCGCAAACAGAGAGGGATTTTGCTCTTTCGTCAAGTGGAGTTGGAGTTTGTGTTTGAACTTCTGCCATTCGTCGTCTCGAATCACCTGGAATCTTGTGTTGGGGAAGTTAGACGGGGCAGCCAAGGTCATTGTTTGTCACAGAATAATATTGTGCACTTTGCAGGTAAAGAACCTCAGATTCCTCGGATGCGAAACGGAGAGCGCAAGAAGAGTTTGCAAAATGGAGCCATGGATGAAAAGACTTTGCGATCACAGCCATAGCAAAAATGAGGAGGAGCGCGAGCTTGACAATAACTGTACGTGGCTAAACATCATTATAAACTCGTCTCTGCTGTCACCAAAGTAAACAGATCCTCATTAGGCTGCCTGATAGAATGTTGATGCAACTCGATCGTTTGTCTTTTATTTATGGTTGCTGTGCTCGTCGCACCGTTTCACGAAGATTCCGTTCATACAAAGTGAAATCCACTCCATAACTCGAACTTTGTCCACCTGAACCCTGTTCCAGGCTCCTGTATGGACATCACAACTCCTGCCTGAACCTCCTCGACGACACGGTCATAGTAAAGTGGGAGGCTCGACAAACAAATGAAATCCGTTACCGTTTCAGATCCAGATGATATCCTGCAGTGTCAGTCCACGATATCATGGACAAGGATCGACAACATTCTTTCTCCTTCTCTCAGCGGCTATCGTCCCTTCGTCGACACAAAAGATTCATGTACTCACACAAAGCCCGGGCTTCCAGATCCAGCTTTCACCACGCGACTCTGACAACATAATTCGTGAGCCTCTGTTAGATGAGGTGTAATAGAGAGTTCTCCTTGTGGACACGAGCTGCGCTCAATGGGAGCAGACACCGGAGACAGGGCTTCAACCTCAAGCCGGTTGGTTTCTTCAAGAAGATGGGGAGAAGAACCAAAGCCGTCCGACGCCTCGCTCATATTAGCATATCGCGAATATTTTTAGGTCTTGCACATTCACACTTTTTTTACAATGGGCGAGATAGGGCATGATAAAGCTCCCATCACCCAGCCGCCATCGCAATTCGCTGCCGACGGGGGCCGTCCTAGATTACTGCACACACAAAGAAAAATGCGGAGGAAGGGCCGCCCCGATCCTGCGAGCGCACACAGGCAGGGAGGCGGGCGGCCGCCGGCTTCAAACAAGGGCGCCCGAGCAAGAAGGGGCGGACACCACCAATCCTCGAGGGCGGGCGGGACACAAAAAACGAGCCGCCACCCGCCTGCGCCGCTCGCTAAGCATGCAGCCTGGCCCGAACGAAGGCCAACAAGGTCGGCGCCGCCGACCAAGGCCGCCGCGCGGGCAGATGGGCAGTGGATGAGGCACGCAGCGGAGGGAGCCCTTTGGGCCGGCCCGTATCTATGTATGCGCGGGGCGCGCGGCGCAACCCCGGGGGGGGGCGCCCCCACACAAAGCACAACATACAAAGGAGCGCGCGGGGCGGGCGATCGGCCCTTTTTGTTGTCAGTTGTTCTTCTTCCGGTTCGGCGGCCCGCCCCCTCGGGCTCCGGCACCCTTCTCGCCGACTCTTTCGCCGCGTCGCTGGAAGCCGCGCGACACTCTCGCGCCCTGCGGGGGCCCACTCCCCGGAGTAGGGCCATGCAGGCCGCTTCCCCTCCCTGCCTGCGGGGCCGATCTGCTCCGGCGCCCCCCCGCTTCATTTTCTTCGCTGCCGCGGCGGCGCCGCCAAGCGGCGCCCCGCCCGCCAGCTTTTCGGGACGATCGGAGTCGCGGAGCCCGACGAAAGGGGGCGAAGCCGTTGGCGCGTTCGGCAGGGTCCTTACCGCGGGCGGGTTGATTAAAGAGACGGGCCCGCCGTTGGAATTCACGCCGGGGGCAAAACTTCCGCGGCATGCGAGCGAGCTACTCCCCCCGCCTCCTCCGCGTCGTCGCGCGGGCTTCCCGAAGCGCCGGGCTGTGACCGTTTCGAAATAATGCGAAAGCCCTGCGCGCTGCTGCGGCCTAGCGCGCGCCAGCGCAGGCGCGCCCGGCCGCGGCGCGAGGGGTCGCACAGCTTACGATATCACCGGCGCACGGCTTGACTGCCGGGCAATGACTTCCAAGCCCCCAGGCTCGTGCACGTCTCTTCTGCTCTGAAACCTCGCACATGATCCCTCTGCAATACTCCTCCCAGGCTATAGGCGTGCCGCGCACACACTCATGTATACTGTGATGGTGAACAGATCCAGATGAGCGAAGTAAACTTGCTGAGTTGCTAGCAAGCATCGATCCCTCTGGCAGAGGGATTCTCAGTGTGGCACAGAAGTATGATGAACTCATTTTCTCATGATGCAGTGCTGTGATCAGGAGTTGCTATCGTGACAACCGCAGAGTTAGTAGACTTACTGTCCGCAGCAGTTTTTGTCGTTCTTTGTCGCAACATACCTGCTGCGTAGAAGCATGACGGATTTTTCGCTCGTTTTTTCCTATTCTTCTCATCTTCATCACCTCCTTCGCCAGTCTCAAGCGCTTCATCTTCCGGTTTTTTATTCGCCGCATCTTCAGCGTTGTTCCTACTCGCCTCCTTTTGCTCATCTGCCGCTGGGGAATTGCTACCCCCTGCAGTGTCCTCGATCTCCGCACCATCGTTTTGCTCTGCGCCGATCTGTTTCTTCACATGATCAAACGACAACTCCTTCAGCATCTCCCGAGCCAATGGAAATTTCTTATCCGGCACCCAACTCCGGCATAGTGTGCAGTCCGGCAGGCGATGGTCTTGCTTTTCTCTTTGTGCGTAGAGTTTGAGCAAAATCGTGCTTGGATCCTCTTCCTCCGCGTCATCTTTTTCGCTTTCGGCTTGTTCTTCTTCGGTTGAGCTGAATTTTCGATATAAAAGTTCGACAACATTCGCTGAAATACCAATTTGCGTGAACGCTACACAGATGCAATTTGCGTGTAGATGGACAAGTGTGAAGTTTCATGTTGCCGCTCGAACCAATTTGAAAAAACGAAAAGAAAACCCAGATCATCAAAACCTTTTCCCTCCACAACAGACGCACGATTTCAAACAACCGAGTAAACCCGAGCCACACCGTGAGCAATAACTTCTCGTATCGATGCCGTATTTTTCCGGATCCAATTTCGCAGCGAGCTCGTCAAAGGACAGAAAATCCACCTCGACCTGATCCCCACCTGATTCCCCTTTCCGAAAGCACTTGTCTAGCGCGGCTTGGAGAGATGCGAGAGATGGTCCGACTTGCTCTGCCGCTGCTTGTGCATCTGTGCCCTGGGCTTTTAGTCCAGCTGTCGTCGCACCGGTGTTTCCGTCTTCGTCTTGCTGCCTTTCGCTTTCTTCCGCGACCGGCAGCATCATCAGCAAGTCGGATTTCGAAATCATGCCGTCTTTCTTTCCTGTCAACCCGACAATTTGCAATCCTAAGCCCACATCCGCCAGATGCGGCGTCTCAAACTCTTCCCCGTGTTTCATCGGGGTGGTTTGCGCAATTTTTTCGAGCTTTTCAAACTCGGAGAGGAGGTCTGGCGGGATTTTTTTCTTGAACCGCTGCCACTCTACGTCGGGAATCACTTGAAACTTCGTGCGCTCTTTCAACGTCTCGTGCGTTTGCGCAAACAACGGCCGCTGTGGAGGTTGGAAGAAGCCTTTGTTTATTTCGGGTTTCGAAGACGCAGCTGTGTCTTTTCCTTTTTGCTCATTTGCTGCCACGGCTGTGTTCACCAGAGGCGTGGTCGCCGTCGACGAACTGTTCCCGCCAACGGTTTGCTGTTCTGGCGCGACAAGCAAGGGGGAAATGTCAGTTGGCGACGCGACAGTCGCGAGGGTGTCGTCGTTCTCCTTTTCCGAATCTTTCTTCTTTTCTGGAGGCGAAGACGCGCCGGTATTCGCAGCACTTGCTCCGCTTGGTTCACGACCCTCGCCTTCCTTTCCTTTTTCCTCACCGCTTGTGTTCATTTTCAAAAATCGCTTCTGAAACAGCTCCACCATCCGCAACCTTCTTTCCTGGACAATCCGGAAATTCGGATTCAGCAAGACCTCGTCCTCCAAATGCAAAGGTACCGTCGGCACTCGTTCTTTTGCTTCGGTCATGTTCCGTCGGTGCAAACTCGTCCAGGTCTGAAAACAGATGTCGGAGAATTCCTTCAAGTTCAGAGAATTTGTGTACATCCCGATGTTGCTCAGCTGGTCGGAAAGGAGCATGTTCGTGTACTCGTGGCCCGGAAAGAGCAAGGTGTTCTTGGAACAGGAGATGAGGATCAAATAGAAATTCCGCAGCATCTCAATCTCGTTGCCCTCGAAGCAAGCGCCGTGACCGCCGCAAAAGATCGTGTCGCCGGTGAACAGAGCGTGCTTGGGAAAGTTCATTTGCATTTGGGTCGTAGCTTTGGGCGCAGCTTTTACAGCAGCCCCTGGAGGTGGTTGTTTTGCAACTACAGTGGTAGAAGAAGATGTTGGCGCTTCACTAAAATTCTTCCCTCTTCGTGAAGAGTCCGTCACTTCCTGCGCCTGCCTCGGCAGTCCTATCCTTGGGCAGGTTTTCGGGTCCAAATTCTGCTCCACCGTAAACGCCGGATCGAGCAACAAGAAAATTCCGTGGGTCCTCGTATGCGCGGGCGTGATCATGCATTGGAAAGTCATGTTCGTGCCGATTTTGAAGATTTCCTTGTCCTTGATCAGCTGTTTGTTCACCACCTGCACCCTCCGCAGCCGCCGTGGACAGCAGCTAAAGCAACAGCCGCAGGGAAGAAAACAGCACGCCAGCACGTCGAGGATTGACTGGAAGAATTTTCTCACAGGGAAGATCACGAAAAACAGCACACTGTGGTACATGATGGAAATCGCGAAAACGACGGGAAGAAAGCAGATCGGCGTGCGGTTCAAGCACTTGGAGAGGAAGGATTGGATGGAGAGGATACAGCCAGCTTGCCGTTTTGATCTTTTATTTCCGCTACCTGTAAGATCGTCTCCGCTCACCGTCGTGAAGTTCTGCCAGGACTGCAATGATGGTAAATTGCACTCCGTCGCGTATATGTCCAGCTGGTTCGTGTCCGGGTACTGTTTCCGAAAATACACATTCCCGCCGCTGTGGTCCCAGTGCTTGTGCGTCGTTAGAATCGCCTCCAAATTCAGTTCGCAGCCGTAAAACTCGTGACTGATGTAGTCCACCGCGCGCTCAACTGACTCCCCCGCAGCCGGATCGATCAGAACGCCCTCGAAGATCGGGCCTTCAAGCGTCACGGTTTCCTCGTCGTCTTCTAGGTGGAGTTCTTCAGCCGTGTTCACGCTTGCGAGCAGGTCTCGTTCCAGCTTTGCGCCCTCCGCTGCAAGGTCGTCTACTTCCTCTGTGTCTCTGCTTGCCGACTCTTCCTTTCCGGCCGCGTCGTCGATTTTCGGTTTCGCGTCTACTTCATTTGGCCTTACTTGATGTCCCGGTGCGTCATCATCGTCTGTCGGGGCCGGTGCCCCAGCTCCTGCGTCCTTGTCCTTCACCACAGCACTAGACTTCTTCGCGATCTTTTTATTCTCGCTCCATTCCTTCAGAAACTTCGAGAAGTTCTTTGGGTCCCGCAAATCCACAATGAGATAGGCGTAGTTGTCCTGGAACATGGGAATCAAGTGCACCCACCGCCGCCCGGGAATCAGCTCGACGCGTAGATCCGCGGTTCTGGAGTGGTAAATTTCCTCGTCGAGTCGCGCTTTTCTTTTCATGTACCAAACATGCCAGCTTCCAACGCATCGCAGCTGGTACCAGTACTCGACGAGGAGCGGAATGAGAGTTTTCTGCAACAAGCCGATGATCCCACCGACAATCACGACTGGTACGGCTGCCGCAGCGTAGGTGAGGAAGAGCACCAGTAAGACAGGGACGGCTAAGCCCGCGAGACATGGTCCGCAGAAGTTGGTCCGGCAGTAGTTTTTGAGAAAACGGAGCTGGGAAGTGCAGTTCTCGGTGGACGTGGCGGTGTGGATGTCGGTCTTGCGCGGTTTGTGCTGGTATTTGCCGCTGTTTGGTTCCTTTGCAGCCTTGGGCGGAGGCTCTGAGGATACCATTTTTGTCGAAAAGGAAATGCTCTAACTATCGTAACTAGCGAAACATACAACTGGGAGATCAGAGTCAGGCCAAGCAGTGGAAGATTTTGGGGTTTACTTTTACACGACCGACCTTAGGACGCTTCCGTAGTTCACAGCGACGAGCACATGCTCGTGACAGTGACTCCAGATGTGCTCGGACGACCGATAGCAGAAATACTCAGACCACTTGATTGGAATACCACGCCCACAAATGCAACACTTCCTCTTCTCACTTTTACGAGTTGACTTGCTACAACAATGAAGAACAATTCGGGACCTGAAGTAGAAAATCGGCTGTAGCGATGAAAGAATGATAGTGGAAACAAACGGCAACAACTCAGACGATTCATAGTGATACCCAATGAAGAAGCAGGTCACAAAATCCAAACATTGCTCGACGTTGCTGATTTCAAAGTCAGTGCTCAATCACGACAGAAAAACAATTTATTCCCTAAAATGATGGATGGTGCGCTGGCGTTTAAACCAATGCGAAAACATAAATTTTCATGTACATACCTACTGAAGCTGCTTAATGTTGGAGCGCTAAATGAATCTGTAAGTGCGCTTTCGGTACTAGTTTTACAAAAGTTATACATTTACATGTTAGAAACATACTTACTGGCTGTAAAGCTATAACAGTTATTCAAGATCAAGTGGTCATACGTCAAGTTTTGATGAAACTTTTAAAACTGAAACTCAACTTCCGAGGATAGATACAGAATACGATGTAACGCGAAGAACCGACTGTGCTTACAGATACCTACAGATACCAGCACAAACATCGTTCTCATTCAAAAAATCCTTCTCAACTCTTTACCACCCCTGCATTCCCCACTCCCCATAGTTGTTGTACTGTTCCTCCCCTCTCCCACTCGGCGCATTCCGCTTGTAGTTCGCGTAGGCCTGCTGGTGCTGATCATTGCCACCGGCATTGCCCCACTGTGCGTACCGCTGGTCCCCACCGCCCGACACCCACCGCTGCGCCTCCTGCTGCGCGTTGTGGCGCTGATTTCCAGAAGCCCAGCCCCGTTGCTCCTCCTCCACATGATTTGCGTACCGATCGACTCCTCCGCCGGTGGTGAAGCGGGGCTGGGTCCTGCCCTTCCCCTTTCCCCCCTTGCCGCGGCCCTTACCTCCCTTTCCAGCCTGCTTCTCCTCGGTTTTCTCCGGCTGCAGGTTGAACCACATGGCGTGCTGCCGGGCGTCAATCTTCTTCGCCTCCACGACCACACCGTTCTTGAACTTGATGCGCACGTCAATCACGTAGTTCCAGTTGTCCTCATTTTCCTTGCGCATCTGCTTCAAAACGCTGGGCTCCACGTACTTCTGCATCTTCTTCGCCTCATCCTCCTCCTCTTCAGCGGGCTTACTCTGATCAGCCGCGCCGGCAGCCGCGGAAGTAGGATCTGCTTTCGTCTCGCCATTATCCTTCTTCTCATCCGTCTCCATCTTGAACACGTCCGGCTCATCACCAGCAGCGGGCGCACCACTTTCTGCAGGTTTCTCCGGAACCTTCCGCAGGCAGACAAACGACCCGACCCTCTCTATCAAAAGGAAAAATCCCCCCTCCCCATATTGAACAGGTACGCTTTCGAAAATTTGTATTGCTGATTTGTGACCACAAATCGTCTCTGTGTTGCATGAAGGCAACTCCACAGGCTCCGCCGCATTCTCCAGGCGGTTTGTCATGCTGTTGAGCCTACAGCGCGGACGTTTTTCATGCCAAGCGCCCAGGTCAAAGCCTCTCTACTCAGGCTTGATATGGGTCTGCAGTCCTCTCCAGGAAGACAAATCGGATTTGTGTACTCAAATACAGCATCACAAATTTCGTTTTCGATATGGGGAGGGGGGATTTTTCTTCTTGATACTCTCCCCCTCCGCCAACGCCTTGAACCGCGGCGTTTCCCAGTCGAACTCGGCACTGTTGTCAGTCAAAGTGTTGTGGATGATGTACTCGGTCAGGATCTTGAGATCCGCCTTGGTCAGGCCCTTGTTCTGATGCTCCCCTGCTGCAACTACACTCGTCTCACCGCTCAAACTTCCGCCCGGGCAGAACGCGTCCGCGTTCCAGAAGTACTTTTCGCTGGCCACCGACATGCAGTTCTTCTCGTCGTCGTCAACGAACAGAAACCGCGCATCCAGTTTTTGCTGCATGATCTTGAAGAAGATCGTGTCCGCCTTGGTCTCCCGACTTCCCGGGACGTTGACGAGGTTTCCCTTCCCGAAGATCCCGCGGAAAACGTTCTCCGCGGAGGAGTTGAACTTCTTCAGCAACTGGTCCAGCATCTGGAAGCAGACCGTGTGGTAGCCGAACGAGCAGACAAAGACCCCCGGGACCAGATATCAAATGCAAAAGTGTCTGGGTCTGGAAGAGTCTTGCTGTTTTTGCATGACACACAATGTCTGTCAAGAAAGCCCTAGCATCACAGATTTCGAGAAGCTTCCGCATTGCTTAATCCGCACGACAAATCCCCTATTTTGGTGGCAGGGAATGGGCACCTTTTGCTACCTATGCATGGATGAGAGATTTGTCTGTGTTGTGAAATGCGCATCACAAGTTCGCATCCTTCCAGACCCAGACATATTTGCAATGCATACCAGACCCGACAGCGCGATCAGCCACTCGGCCAGCTCCTTTTGGTCGTTGTCGTCCCCGAAGCACCGCTTGAAGAGATCTTTGTGGAAATCCGCGTGCAAAGCGTTCAGCTGATCCGCCTCGTCGCTGCAGTCGAAGCCCTCGCGCGGGTCGGTGAGCACCTTGTACAGGTGGATTTTGGACAGCGTCTGGTCAAAATCCAGCACCACGGCCTTGAAGTGGTTCACCTCGTTCTGCACCGGCTTTTTCATCATCGCCTTCGGCTTCGCCGCGGCAAGGACGGTGGACACAGCGGTCTTGTTCACCGGTTTATTATTCGGGGTCGCGGCAGCGGCCGCAGTGGCACCAGTCTTCGCAGTTTCATCGGCCCCCTTGTTCGCAGCGGTAGTTCCGAACGGTACACCTTCTTCCATGGCCTTCTGCAACTGCTCCAAGTCCACCGGCGTCCCGTCCGACCGCAAGACTCGCTCGCCGCCGGAGAATTTGTAGTGGTAGGGGTCATCCTCGCCGGAATCCATGCCGTCGCCGTCCGAGTGGGAACTCGCGCTCGCCGCGGAGGAGCAGGAGGAATTCCCGGACCGCAGCCGCTTCTCGCCGGGACGCAGGAAGTCGTACTGCACGGTGATGTTGGACAAGTCGGACAGGTCGATCTTCTGTTTGTTCGAGTTCGCGGTGGTGGAGCTCGAAACGCCGGAGGCGGACGCAGCGGACGACCCGTTTTCGTCATCGGACAACAGCATCTTGATGTCGTTGTCCCCGCAGGCGGAACTCGACGCGGAGCTGGACCGCGGGGTGAAGTGCGCCTTGGCACTCATGCTGGTCGCGGAAGAACTCGCGGAAGCAATTGCCGCGTTCTGTCCGTTCGCGAAGTTCAGTTTGAAGCTGCCGTTCGGCAAGCCGAACAAGTTCTTCGCGCTCAACTCCGTCCCGTTCTCGTCTTCCTTTACCTCGAGCTGGATCCAGCCGGTGGCCGGGTCGATGGTGGGCAGCAGGGATTTGCCGTTGATGGTCAGTTCCTGCATGCACATCACGAACAGCTCGTCGCACTTCCCCTCCTGCGTGTACCCGCGCTTCTCCTCGCTCATCATGAACAGCGGGACGATGCGCAGCGCCTTCAAGTGGTTCTTGTCCCAGGACTTCTTGAACTGGACCGCGGTCGGGTAGCGGTAGACCGCCAGCGCCTGCTTTTTCAGATCCAGCTCCTTCTTCAGGGCCACCGCACGCTGGCGCGCCCGCGCCTCCTCGTGCCGCCGCTGGAGTTCCGCGAACCGCTGTTTCCGCTTCTCCTCCTCATCGTTCTGCTTCTCGGCCCACGAGGGCTGTTGCTGAGTAGACACGGCCACACTCGATGTCGCAACTTGTTCGGCCTCGGCGACCTTCTGGGGTTCTTGCTTCATGGTCGTGTCTGCAGAAGCACCAGCAGCTTCGGTGGTCTTGTCCGCGATAGAGAGCTGCTCCTTCTCCTCCTTTTTCACGATCACCGGCGGTGCGCGCTTGAACCCCGGCTGCTCAAAGCCCGGGCGCAAGTAGGGTTCGTTCTCGTTGAACAGAATCAGGGTGTTGAAGAAGTTGTAGTTCAGTTTCAGGGACTCATTTTCCGCGATCACCTCGTAAAACGTCACCTGTTCGTTCAAGTTCTCGAAGTCGAGCTTTTTCTGCGTGCTACCGTCCTTCGTTTCCAAGATTTTCTTCTCCAACACCTTCTCCCACAGCTTCACGCAGAAGAAGTCGTATCGTACGAAAAAAGTGTCTCACTGTAAGGATTTTGCAAGTTTTGCATCACAAGTTTGTTCTACATCCCAGGGAAAATTTGCCATGCGAGATTCCTCAGGGAAAAGACAGGGAAAACCTAGCGTCTTGCATGTGTAGCATGACAAACACTTCTCAGATACAGTTTCTGCATTACAAGTTTACAGTGAATAAACAGTTTTTTCTTGCGATAAGTCGCACGAGGTCTTCACCAGAATTCCACCAATCTTGCAGTTGTGCTTGTCCTTGTGCGTTTGCTTGTTCGAAACGATGAAGCACAGCGGGCCGTAGTTCGGCAGCGTGTTTGCGGGTTTGACGGCGAGGGAAGTGCCCAGCACAATGTGCACGTGCTCTGCAAAGGTTTGGGAGCTGGTGTCAACGACGACGGTGTCTTTGATTTTCTCATTTTTGTTTCCTTCATTCGCGACAAACTTCATTTTCGACGAGTTCTTGAACGCGCCGGCCAGCATGGCCGGTTTGCAAACCTTGAACGCGTTCTCGAAGTCGCGCAGCTTCTCCCCAAAGTACGAAATCGTGTCCTGCAGAATGCCCGTGTGGCAGTAGTCGCACAAGCGGCCGGTGCCGCGGTCGCGCTGGTTCGGCTTCGTGTTCGCGGAGTTGTCGTAAATGCCGTGGATTCTGGGTTAATGTGTATTGCAACTTCGTGCATTTTCGGGTGCATTCTTTTTTCGAAACAAACTACCTTCAACATCGACGTCCGCATCTCACATTACTTTCGCAACGAAAAGAAAAAAAACCAAGTTTCGCAACAAAAACCGCGCACTACGGTACCTGCACGTGTCAAAGTCGCGCCAGAACGACTCCCCGCAGGTGTGACACTCTTCCAAGAACGCGTTGCCGTGCAACTCCGAGATCACTTCCTTTCCGCGCAACCCGGTCCGGCTGTGGAGCCCATCACAGTTCTGCGTGACCACGTGGGCGACCAGCTTCTGGTCGTTCAGCACGCGGATCACCCAGTGCGCCTTCGTCGGGTTGGCGTGTTCGAACAGCAGGGGCGGGTTAAACTTCATCTTCGTAATCCGCTCCTCTATAACCTGCTCAGGTGTTACAATCTCAAACGTTACAATAGAATCTGAGATTTGTCTTGCATTACCAACATGACAGACTCGGACAGCGTTCCACTTTTTGCAATACAAATTTCGCCAGATTGTAGTGCGGATTGGGACTCCAGAACTTGTCATGCGCAATCCTGTGGGAGTAGGGTAGATTGTGCACTTCTTGCAACACAAATTCCAGATTCTATTGTAACGTTTGAGATTGTAACACCTGAGCGGGTTATATCCTTCAAGTCAATCTTCGCCTGGATCTTGTCCGCCTTCCGCTTCTCGAATTCCAGCGGGTCAACCTCAACCACCTTCATCTCCCCCGTTTCCTCGTCGACGTTGAATTCGATGTTCTCAAAATCGTAGTCCTCCTCCTCATCCGTACTTTCCTTGTTCGCGGATTTCAGCTTAAAGTACTTGGAAGTCGCAGTCTCGGGAGGTGCGAAGTTCTTCGTCCGCGCGGTATCCTGAGTAAAAACGTCCCCACTCCATAGTTGTAATGCAAATCTACACGCTCATGCTGAAAATGTTTCTCATGCGGAGCCCCATGAGCAGCGTTTTCTAGTCGTGTTTTTGAATTTGTTATGCTCCAATACGCACGCTATGCCAAATCTGTAATGCTGCTAAACAAGCCAAACAGGATTACACTACGAGGCCAGACTTGTCATGCGCAGCAGCCAAAGCTGGTTGATTTGTCTAGCAGATTCCCCAACTTGACTATGGGGTGGGAACGTTTTTGCGCAGGATACGCGGTCCACACGCCCTCCGGCCCGCGAAAATCCGGAATCTCGGCGGCGGTCGAGACGCCCGCGCCCGTGTGGAAGATGATCGTGCGTTTTTTCGACTCTGCTTGTTCTGCCGCCGGTTGGGAGCGCGGGGTTTTCTTCCCCTTTTGGGACGTCGTGGCTACCGTCTTCGACTTATTTTCCGAAACGTCTTCCTTCTGCAGCAGGAGAAAGCTTAAATATTCGAGCTTGAGATCGAAAAAGAGATCGAAGTTTTCCTTTTCCAAAGCCTGTTCTTCGTCCGCGTTGAACATGTTGGACAGGACGTTCTGGTCGTTTTGCTGAGCAGCAAGCCCTATCCTGTGCAAAAGTATCGCACTCGTATAAATGCATTACAAATTTTCTCAGCATGAGAAATAAAATTTGTCATGCGGATTTACCTAACGAAAAAGTAAAAGATTTGTAATGCATGACTGCAATAACTACGAGTACGAGTACGATACTTTTGCAGTTCATAAACCCCTCTTGCTCCACTTCCATCTCTGTTTCCTTGGATTTTCCGCGCGGCTTGAACTTCTTGTTCGGAGAATCGAGGATCTCCTCGCCGTCACTGCCATCTTCCTGCTCTCCTGCAACGTCTTTCAGCGCGAGCAAAGCCTGGTCTTCGTCCTCCTTTCCCTCCACGATGTTTACCCGCTTCAGAATGCTCGACTGCTCGAAGCTCTTGCTCGCCTTGACCTCCTTCACCAAAAAGTTCACGATCGCCTGCGCCTTTTCCGTTTTGAACGCCAAAGCGTTGTAGTTTTCCGCGCTGCAGGCAGAATTCTTGTTGTTCTTCGCGGCGGCCTTGGACTTCGGTTTCGGCTTACTAGCTGTTGTACCAGGCTGGTGTTCCGAGGACGACATTGCGGTCGTGGCGACGGAAGTCGCGATCTTGTCGACGAGCAAGTCCGGGGTGAGGATCTGGTTTTTCAAAATGTGGAAGAACAAAGCGAGATTCCCAACGGTCTCGGGCGATGCAGCGATTTGATAGGAAGTGTCTTTCTCTTCTTTTCCATTTTTCACGTTGAAAGGGTCAACATTCTTGCTCGCCTTCGCGCTACTCTTCTTCGCACTCGAAGCCGCCGCAGCGTTGGCGGGCAGCTTGACGTTGGCGATTTTCTCCGCAGTTTCAAGAAAAAATTGCTGCTTCTTCTCCATCAGCTGCTCATGCGGCAGCGACGGTAGCCTCATCATCTGGTCTGCAGACGGCACAACCAGAGCAGTGCTGGCTGTTGCTGCGTTCTTGCTATCGGCAGTTAGTGTCATTTTTGTTCGTTGTATTCGGATTCAAAGGTTCGTTGAAAATACCAGTGCAACAAGTAGCTGCTTTTCAATAGTTTTGTGTGAACTTACACTTGGTCATCCCTAATGCTGATCAATCCGAAAAAGCGGTAACTCCGAAAAAAAAACTCGCTGTAGATGAGTAAATGCACGACGACGCGAATTGTTAGCGAGGTAGCGGTGGAACTCCATGCATATATTTTCTCATGGAAGACCACGACAGAGGCGGCACTACGAAAAGAGAAAGCATACGACGCTGACGATTTAGTCCATGCAGTCTTTCCTTTTATTTGACGATATCGATAACGACGACGATTTAGTTAAGCAGTTGCATATGATCTTAACGACCTGTTTGACGTGCTGCAGACGATGACGACCCGTGCTCGTGCATAGTAAATACAGTACTATCGATAAAGAGGCTGTGGCTGTGCGTTGGTGAGATTCTTTCTACGCGAAGACGAAGCATACGTGCGATAAGATTAAGAACCGACAGCAGAAGGCATGAGGACATTGATGCACTCCCTTGTTCATTTCAAACGGGGAAACAAGAAGTGCAGGAGAACCACATGCAGCAGAATCACTTGGAAGAAGGCGGTGATCGACACGGAACGACATCAGCGCTCCTTCTTGTCTTGCTTAATTCAATCAGGAAAAATAGTGTACGAGAGTTTTTTTTTTTGAAAATATTGGTGCTTCCGCGTGGTCTGTAAATCAACAGCAAAAGAAAGTTAACTTTTCGAAATCAAGAACAAATTGTTGTCAAAGGATAAAAGTGAATGTGGTATCACGAAGGATGTGGAAGTCATGCAGGGGGGAGTCGCACGACAACGACAACCACATCAAAAGCTCGGTTTTTGTATTCAGTTCACGAATAAGTTCAAACTAGGTTTCTTGCGTTGGTACATTTTATTCACTATCCGCGATGAAGCAGGACAGCGGTTGTCTCCACGAACAAATTTTAGTTCGGGTAAACGCATACTAAAACTAAATGCTAATTGGAATTTTTACAAGGGAGCCAATCAAAAAATGGCTTCTGTATCTTTTTGTGTTTCTTTGTTGAAAATAAGTGTTGTCGAATAAGCACTGTAGTCAGAGACTATTGATGCAGCAACTGCAGAAGTAGGGAATAAAATCAGGAAGTTTGTTCAGGTATTTCAAATACCTGCTCAAAAGGAAAAAAATAAACAAAGACAAGCTCTCACAAGGCCTACACAGCCCAAGGCGTTTCTAGTAGTTCTCATCGTCACAATGAGGATAAAGCTAAAGGAAGCGCAAAAAAGAGATCTAAAACAGCACCACTACCGAAGCGGCTTGTTCCTCGGCCGTCTTCTCCTGCCAGTTTTTGGAACCCCTATCCATCTTGGATTTCTCCTTTGTATTGATCTTCCGCGCGCTTCTATTCCGCGGTCGCACTACTTTCGGAGTGGTGTGCTGCTGTGCGTGTTGCTGCAATTCCAATTGTTCTAACTCCGGGTTCTTGAGGCTGATCTTCTGCTGGCAGGGTTGCACGCGTCGTGAGTGGCCGACGAGTTTCGTAGGGTGTTTGTTTTTCTTGTCGGCAACTACATCGGAGTTTGCGTCGGTTTCTTCCGTCATTGAGGGAGAAATCACGACGATCGGCGGCCGGTGGGTCTCGGGATCATCGTGTTCCTCCTCCACTTCATTCAGCCCCTCGTTGTTTTGCTGCCGTTGTAGTTCCACCGTTTCTGGAGACGATTGTTGTTCGCAGAATAAATCATCACACTGCGCTGGTGGAAACAACTTCCGCGATAGTTCCTTCATTTTCGCACTTGGAGACGGGTATGTGGTAATGGCGTTGATTTCCCTGATGTTGCTGCTGCTGGATATGATTTCCGGAGATGGTGGCTCAACATCTCGTGGAGGTTCATCTCGTCCATTGTAGTTCTGCAGCAGTTCTCCGTTGACGACTTGCAACTCCTCTTGCCTGGGGGACACGTAGTGGAGATTTCCAAGTTTCCCACAAAGTGATGCAATAGGCGTTGCGTCACTGTCAGCCGCATACAGGTCAATTTCAGTGTCGTCGTGCAGCTCTTCCCGCGTGACAGTGGAATTGTTCCAGTCCCGTCCTGTGCACGAAGCGGGTGAATTCAAGATGATGGTCTTCGTGCTACCGCAGTCGCTCGAGTTAGAGGACGGAAAGAGGTAGTTTGCGTCTGCATGCACGCTATGGTGGTTTACTAATTCAGTGCAAGAATTATGGATCCGCCCGCTGTCGTCTTTTGCGTTTGCCGCAGAATGATCGCCCTTTAAAATCGCAGCAACTTCCGGCGTGCTTGCTATTCCCCTCGGTACTAAGTGGCCTATCGGTTGCAAGTCCGGGCTCAACTGCTTCACCGTGTTCGATTTGCTAACAAACGGCAGGGGCGGAAGTTGAGTAATCTGCGCCGCTGCATTCGCCTCATCCACGCTCCAGATCGTGTTGCAATATCCGGGACTCAGCTCGCCGTTGCTGTTCGCGTAGGTTTGGTTGTTTTGGTTGCAAGAACTACTCCCACCGTACAGACTTTGCCGGTACTTCAACTCATCTCCGATCGGGATCAATTCCTCCAAAAGTTCGGGCGTGATGAGGTTCGTGACCAGAACTTGTTCGTGAAGATGCAGTTGATCCGAAGGAGAAGAGGGTGCAGCTGCTCCTGCTCGGATTTGTTTCTTGCTCTTCAGTTGTTCCTGCATCGCTTCCTGCGTATTTTTCGCAGTACTGGTACCGTTCAAATTCAATACCCCGTCAGCCACGATTTCTTCGTAGATATCGTGCTGCGCGTCCTCGAATTCGAAGTCCTGCTCATACTGCCCCTCGTCCCCGCTAAAAACACCGCTGGTGTTGACCGGCGCCTTGATCCTCTTGCTAGGCGCACTCCCAAAATGATCGGAGTACGACCCTTCATTCACCTGCTGCTCCAGGAGGGTCGTGGTCGTTGAGGAGTTTAAATCGGAGTCATCTGTTTTGCAGCTTTTCGGATGAGCGATTATTTCATCGATCACGTTCGGGTTCATTTTCAGATTTTTGTTTTTCATCAGCACGGAAAAACCCCCATTTTTAACTACCGGCTGCGCCGTCGAGAAGTTGCTCGTCGGTGCAACTGGCAAATACGGAACTGCTGGGCTGCCTGAGGTAGAAATTGATCCGGGAAGTCGTGGTATCGGCAGCGGTATGGGTTTTGTAAAGTTGATGTTCTCAAATTTTATTTGCTGGACCTCGATTTTGGTTGTTTTCTTCTGCTTCATCTCCTTTTGCGATCCTTCGCGGAGAGATGAAGCGCTCGTCTTTTTGCCGCGGCGAGTAGTGCTGCTGTTCTTTGGGGTGACAAAGCTGGATCCACGACTTGGCTTGTTCTCTGCCCCTTTATTCTTCTTTGACGTTGTCTTGCTTCTATTCGGACCAAATGACGAGGGGGACGACGTGTGGCCATCTTCATATTGGCGCGCACCAGCAGAAGTGGAACTCGTAGTGGCCGCTGTTGACTTCTCCGCATCATTGTTCGTCTTGCTTCCCCCCGCGCCCGCCTTGCCCTTTCCGCCACTAAACAGGCCAAAACCGCCCTTCACGACCTCCACCACCGACTCCACCCTCTTGTAGATCTTCTTCGTCTGTTCGTTGATCTCCTCGTTCGCTTGCTCGAAGCAGATCCGCAGACCGTTCAGCACCGTGACCTCGGAAGACAAGTGCTCCCCCAGCTCCTCCACGATTTCTTCCTCCGCGCCCTCGACTTCCACCTCGTTTTCGTTCTCGGCGCCGGCACCATCCGCCTCGGCGTCCTGCTGGTCGTCACCACCTGCTCCACCGGCTTCGTTTTCGTTTTCCTGCACCTATTACAGTGAAAAATGCCCCCACCCCCTCCACAGTTGCAAGAATTTGTGATGCTAAACCGACCGAAGCCACTACATAACCTGTAAGGGCACCTTACCGCACATGGTTCGGCCACCAGGTCGTGGAGTCAGGCGGACGCGAGAATGTGTGATGCGAAGTTTGAGTTTCCAAATGAACACTTTTTCTCATGCATGAAAGAAATATGAATCTTTCTGATGCAGAGTCTAGTCGTATATCGCATCGCTTGCATGCCAAGCGCCGCTCTTGCTGGCGTCTTTTACAATACAAATTTTTGCTTCTATTCACGATTGGAATAAATCTGTGATGCTGCTAGATGCAAGAGGGCGAATGTTTCTCTTTCTTTTTGGAAGGTTTGCAATACAAATGCTACCAAGTTCGGGGGTGGGGGCATATTTCATTGTAATACCTCCGGCTCGTGCTCTTCGTGGAACTCCTCCTCCTCCTCGTAATGGTGCTCGTCCTCGTGCTATCGCAAGAAAAAAGTGTTACAGTTACGCGTTGTGTTGCAGGCCAAGCAAGACAGACAAGCTCTGTCATGCCGGATATGTATAGGAGCCTCGTTTCGTAGGTGTTTTCCCGTAGGATTTCTGCATTACAAGTTTTCTCTCTCATGCAGAGAAATTTGTGTTGCTGAATTCACTGCAAATGTGTAACTGTAACACTTTTTTCGTGGGATACGTGCTCTTCGTGCTCCTGTATCCTGAAGAAAAACGTCATCGTCCCCGCCCCACACTTGCCATGCAAATCTGCAAGCCTAGTAAGATGTTTCTCATGCGCAGCGCACATGAGGAGGATTCTGTAATGCTGTCTGCCAGTTTGTCATGCTAGAATCAGGATAAAGGGATCGATTTGTGATGCAGCTACAATAGCTAAATGCGACGACACTGCGAGCCTAAACTTCTTGTTACGCGCGATATCCAAAAGTAAATGCTGGCTTGTCTAGAAAAGTGCCCATCTTGATGAGCCTGGAGGCTGGAGCGTCGACGTTTTTACACAAGATATCGTGGTCTTCGTGCTCATGGTCCTCATGTTCGTGGTCCTCATGCTCCTCGTGGTGCTCGTCGTGTTCCCCGGAATCGTGCTCATGCTCCGCGTTATTTCCCGCTTCTGGCAGCACCTCATCCGCCGGTGCTCCAGTGTGGTAGGGAAGCGACGGCTGGAAGCCGGCTTGCTGGAGCAAATGCGCTTCCTCGGGGGAAGAAGAACCGGAAAAGATACTGGACATCACGGTGGTGCTCCCATTCAGGGACTGAAGCACGGCGGAGGCGACGCCGCCCGGCATGGTTTCTGCTGTTGCTAGTTCGAAGAGTTTGTGTTTGACTCTTTATTTCCTTCTGTAGCAGTAGAACATCAGAAAAGCAATTCTCCGTGCGTCCTGCTTTTTCGGTGACAGAAAGAAATGTTAAACTTGCACGTCGTGATGGATACTTCCTGTATGCGATAGCCTTTGACGTCGACGATTGGTGCGACACATTGCACAGCAAAAATTCTCGTCCAAATTTAACTTCACTCACTCTCAAATTCTTCAAAATCTCTCGATTTGTCTCAGCTACGAGCAGACACTCACTTGTAGCACTGGCGAAATTCGCACAAGCGACGTTTGAAGGAGCATTGCACGACAAACCCGAAGGACACTGTGCGAACATCTTCGAGCAGAAAGAGGCACACTTCCTATGTCGTGGTTTCCCATTGTAGTACAAGCGCAGCTCTTCCGATGCGTCTCTCTCTCTGCTTGATGTCGCTGTGCTTTTCGTGCAGGTTTCCGAGATGAAAAATCACCGCGTTCGCCCTTTTCAACAAATTCGAACCCACTCCGAACTTCTACACTCACCGCCGTAGAATCCCGCCTGGTCTCGCGCCACTTACGGCCGACGCCGACCTCGGTCTTCTCGTGGGAGACGACGAGCTTCTTGGTCTCGTCTCTACTCCTGGTTTGAACCTCAACCGGCTAATCCCGTATCCCAGGGACGTTTCCTTCATTCCGCTCTCCAGTTCCCCGTTCTGCTGAAACAATTTGCCCCAATGCTGGAAATCGGGGAAATTGTTTTCCAACATGCTGCTCGAGGTCGCCCGGAACTGGTTATCACTCGCAACCCGTTCGCTCATGATCGAGGCCGGTTCAAACTCATTCTGCCGGGTGGAGGAGCGCTTGAAGCGGAGTACCGGTGCCCGGGACTTGGATTTGGGCGATTTGAAAAATTTCTCCGGAGAGGAGGCTTGCCGGGCGAGTCGTGCAGAAGGTCGGCCGAATGGATGATCCGTGTAAACTGTGCAGTTCCGCTTCCCCAAACACGCGACGGCCATGTCGCCGGACGGCGCAACGTTGTCGCTTTCCTGAAGATGTTCGCCGGTGTCAACTGCATAATCTGCGTACACCAAATTGCAGTCACTCGCCTCACACGCGAGCAGAATCTCGTGAATCCCGTCGTTCCCCTCGTTTCTGTTGCCCCGCAAATCCACCATTTTCAACACGTTGTTATTCCGCAAAACCATGCCCATCCAACCCAAGCCGTAGTTGTCGATCAGGTTTTCGCTCAGGTTCAGCACCTCCAGATTCTTGTCCACATTCATCAACGCGTCCGCCAGAATTCGGATCCCGTCGGACCCGTTGATCAGATTTTTCCGTAGGGACAAATACCTCAACCTATTCGCCACATTCGACCCACCGATATCCAAGGCATTTCTACCACCGTGGCTCCGGCTCCATTTTGTCTGCGTGGTTGACGCACCCGCAAGTAATGCGCGGGAAGCGCCGGAAGTGACCTTGTTCTTGATCGTCGCAAACCCGCAGAGCGCTCGGGCAATGTAGAAGCAAGAAACGTTTTTCAGGAAATTGTTTTCGCAGGACAGAACCTCCAGCTGCTTCGACGGATCCCCGGTGAGCTCCCCGAGCACGATCTGCCGCAAGTTGTTATCGGTCAGGTTGCAATTATTCAAGTACAAGGCGGTCAGATTCGTGTTGTGCTTTCGCTGATTCGCGAATTCTTTGTAGAAGGCGTTGGAGAAGAGCATGCCGGAGAGGTCCAGGGTTTTCAATTTGTTCGAATTCACCCGCATTTGTTGCAAAAGATCCAGTATGGCGCTCTCAACTACTACAATCTCAACTGTTACATGAATTCGTCATGCAAAAACAGCAATAGGGAAAGGGGTAAGCTTGCAAGTCTTGCATCACAAATTTGGCACGGATTTAGATGCTGTTTAGCCCTTTGATAATTTGTCATGCTGAGCAGCTTGATTGTCTTGCGGCTTATGGTCATTTTGCATGACAAATCATGTAACAGTTGAGAATGTAACGTTTGAGAACGCCATATCCCGCGCGACATTATTGTAGCGGATTAAGGCGCCGGCGGTGTCCTGCTCGTGATCATCATCATCTTCTTCGGGATTTTCAGCCCGCGGCAGCTCTCCTCGAGCACCCTGAGTTGACTTGTAGGTGTTGTCTTCCGCCGCAACGTCGTAGTAGTTATTGTCCATGACCATGTCCTGTAGTTCCACCTCGTCGGTGGCATGAAGATAGTAATCTTCAAAATTCTCGCCATCTTTGTGGTAGAAGTTGTCTTCGTCGTGGTAAAAATGAGTTCTATCGTCAACAGGTTCTCGATGAAACTCGTCTGCTTGTTCATGTGGGAAGTCCATATTACCAGATGATAACCTCTCGTTGTAGAACATCATGGGCCGGCGCTGACGATGCCGTCGACGATCCTCCCCAACCAATGCGTGGCTCTCCAGGGGAGCTCGGGCACTCTGAGGCCGACGTACGGAATGGTCCTGTCGGGAAGGAAAACTCGTCTCTACTTCAGCAACATGATCATCTTCATGGTCACCACGCCGTCGGTTGCTACTATGGTAGACCGTGTCGACATGCTCATAGTTATTTCGCCGAAAAAACTCGTCAACGTGTCGCCCGTCAGGGTCGACATCTTCGCGAAACGATCATATTCGCCGTCGCGGACTGGTTTCCACCTCGCGAAGAGACCTCCCCGCATCGCGTACTGGTCGGTGCTGAGATCTTGTCATTTTTTTTTCTTTCGCGACTAGCAGGCAGCATAAAACGAATAGACCTTGAGTCTGGTGACAAAAGTCATACGTTTCGTTTTGTCTTCCTATCTAATTCTACACAGGGATCGCTACAACTTTTGTTCTTCTTAGCAAAGCGATTCGGTATTTGACCTCGTCCGACAGCTTGATAAATTGACGACAGCTCAATACCATGCGCCGAGCGATGTCTAACCCAGGATATGTTGAACCCCATTTATACATAGTATGCCTAAGTACAACATACTAAAAGTACCCAAATAAGACGACAAACAACGAAAGCTTAGACGACCCTAGAATGCAGGATGAACGATTTGACAGGTTGATGTTGAGCGCCTCCTTTTGCGAATGTTACGCAAACACGAGAGCACCATCACGGTGAAGCTGGGGACACCCAAAACCGAAATCAAATGAGTTTCCCGTTTCTCCTCTTGTGAGTTTTTTAGCGGTAGCACCCGATCCCCGTGGCTTGTTTTCTGTTTTCTAGCGGCGCCGAATCCCCGCGGCCCGAATATTGGAGGAACGAGCATGGGCTTCTCTACTAACCCGTAAAATGCCGCCTCGAAGGCGGCAGCGGCTGCTTCGTTTTTCTTTTTTTTCATGACTCTCAAAACGACATCTCAAGTAACCGAAAAAGGGGTTTTTGATGATCGTTGAGAACGACGCTGGAAGCAACGCTGTCCTACCATCATCTACATCATACAGGGTGGTTTGACGTTTCAATCGGGGCGGATCAGGGTTGTGTATTACTTTCTAGGCTCGTATTTATGGTGACTGAGACTGTCGTATGTAAAAACACCTCCTTCAATAATTTCCTTAAGTACAACTACATGGTCGACTCATATTGCAGCGAGTGACTGTACGAAAAGTCACTCGGGACTGTACGAGCAGTCACTCGTTGCAACACTATGTATGATGTTGAGAAACTCCTGTACTTACTCGTCACCTTTGTTCCAAAACGAAAAAAAAAAGCATCCGACGTCCATTGAAAAGTGTAAAGATTTTCTTGATGTTGAAAATATTCCAAAAGGTGCAAACGAAAACGGGAAAACTTTAGTATAACTTGACATCGACGGGTGATTGCCCCCGTGGAGCGCAATCGTTTCTAAGGCGCAATCATACCAGCGGAAGCTATACAAAGTTTCACCCTTCGTAGCGCGTGTAAAAATACGCCTATGCGCAATTATCTTCACTAAATTGTACATGCTGTATGCTTCTTGTTGTAGTTCATCCTACTTTCAACTGCAAGTATAAACACGTCTCCTTCTAGCAATCTCTCCTCGCCGTTTTGTTCATCACAAATTTTGATTTTCTTAGACGAGAGGCTCCTCTTCCGAGGAAGAATACAGGTCCTCGTCCTCCTGCAGGAACTCGGGGAACGGGGCCGCCTTGTTTTCCCAGCCTTCCGGGAGCACCTGCGTGTCCGATCCCGCGGCGACGTAGGTGACCGTCTGCCCGGCCGGCGCGGCCTGGACGGGGGCACCCAGCTTGGCGCGGTTCACGTTGTAGTGCACACCCCAGATCGGCGGGGTCCAGCAGCAGGCGGCGAAGCACCCCATGATGGAGATGGGCCAGAACCCGATCGAGAAGAACGGAATCCAGGCAAGGATGGCGGCGATGCTCAACCCCTCATAGTTCGTGATCGTGCACCCGGGGCAACAGAGGGAAACGCAGCAGTTCGGCTCTACGCGCTTGTCGCAGCCGAAGGCCCCGATAGGGTTAGTATCGTCGCGACACCCGACCACGGGCGCCGGAGCGACGACGACGGTAGTGGCCGGCTGAGCGTAGACGTAGCGGGTCTGCGGGGGCGCGGGGGGTGCGGCCGAAACGTAGGTAGTTTGCGGCTGCGGGGCCGTGGGTTGCTGTTGCGGGGCCGGAGCGGTGCTGTGGGGAACGTAGGTCGACTGCTGCTGGTGCACGGGAGCCGACGCAGCAACCGGCTGGGAGGCCGGGGCCGGCGCAGCGGACGGCTGCGGGACCGGCACTGAGACAGGGGTAGCAGGCTGCTGTTGGGATGCGGACGACATTTTCAGAGAGTAGACTAGTCGTGGAAGTTTTACGTTGAAGTTCAAGGTGTGTTGAACAGAAAAGGAACCGGTTAAGGCTTTAAGTTAGATAACTTCGGGTCGAAAAGCGGATACTGTAGTTGGACTAGCAGTTGCAGCTTTTAGCAGTTTTCTCTTTGTCAAAGTTTATTGTGGTCGAACTTACTACCACAAAAAAACGATTTTCAAACAGATGAAGACCGCTGTGTAGTTGTGTCAACACAAGGAGTAGAGTCGGAGGATTTTTCAAGGAGCTTGGGTCAATTTCTGTTTTGTTGTAGTGTGGTCAGGAAACATTGATTTTGGATCTGTTTGTGTATTCCTCTTGATCCGGGATCATGCAAATACAATCGAAGCCGACACGAAACAAATGTGGCAGCCAGATTTGATCAGAAAATTTCTCATTTTTATTTTCTTTGTTGTTAATACTGCAAATAGAGTGATTCTACGATGCTCAATAATGACTTGCTACTGTCTAGACCGAACTTTTGCGGAACCGAATCGGTAGTCGTGGGTGTGGATGCAAGTCACATCGTAGTTCGTTTTCTTGAAACAATGTTCATCATTTCTTTTCGCTGATGCATCACTCCAACTCCTGGATTTTGCCTCTACTATGCTTAAGATCTCGCTTTACGATTTTTCCAATCTTGTTTATCGAACAATTTCCAAATCCGTTTCCGGACTGACATGCACGAGCCAAGGTATGTGAAAACCTTTTTGGCACAAGGCTGCGTCGCCGAAAGCCTTTTTTTTCACATGACGCCAAGTCGAAGCATTCTGTACCGTACCTACACAAATGATTGTGTTGCCGTCAAGAAAGTTTCGCGTCTAGCATTAGCTCTGCCTTCTATTCATCAGCAGCATTCATGTCCATCAAGCTTCGTAGTTGCTCGCTAGTTTCTACTTCGAAATTTGAATTTCGTCGTGTGCAATCGTAAATTATTCGCTTGCTTTTTGCATTAACATGCATAGAGTATCATTGTTCTCCGCAGGAGCATCTCATACATAATTCACCGTGCTCTGAAGTTCTAGGTACTTACTTTCACACCATTGCTTTAGTATTTTACCCCCTATCGATAGGCATACGCGTCCCAGGGCGTGTACTGTACTTTACTCGCCCGATCCTGTTGCAACAGTGATCTCCTTGCATCTTCCGCCCCGGTGAGCCCCGCGGCGTCTACCTGTTTTGCTTGGATACAGCCAGGCGAGCAGAGTGGCTGATCCGCACAGGTTCCGCCGCACGCCGTTGCGCAGTGCGCAATGACCTCCTCGTCGCTCATCCAGGTATAGTAGCACATTGCCCGCATCAGTTCCGCATTGGTCTCCAATCCGGACTCCTGGCACATCCAGCTGCAGTCGCCGCAGGTGCCTGGAACGCAGCACGAGGCCTGGACGAAGTACATGCATTGAAAATCGTCGACAAAATAGGTCCAACAACCCAAGGCTACCACGAAAACCATGACGTAGCACGCCGTGAATCCGCTGGAACGTAAAGCTTCAATCGCGTCGCCGACCGCTTGGATAAGCAGCTGAACAAATTACAATCGGTTGTTCTTTTTTTATCCAAATCATCAGGGTCTGGCTGCCTGTGCTATGATGTTGAGCCGCGGCAACGTAAATGTGAAAATAAAAAGAAACAGCGCGGCAAAGAAAGTCTGCATATGCATTCCTAAGTACGTCGTAGGGCTAGTTAAAAATACCTTCGCCGCCGGCAGCACCGCATCCCAACTCCGCCCGCTCGCGGGGAAGGGCAAAACGGGATCCCGATTGGGCTCATCGCGCCCCATGCCGACCCGGTGGTCCTCCTGGTCCGCTTCGGCTTGTGTCAGAACCTGCACGTTTACCGTGGCCAGGGCGACGGGCGGAATTCTCTGCGGCGTCTGCTCGGCTGCGGTTTGCTTTCGGATCGCGTTGTTTTCCTGCTCCAATTCCTCCATCAGCCTTTGGTTCAGCTCCTCCGGCCCCTGCTTCATCCGCTTCATCGCGCGGGCCTTCGCCATGGCGCTGGCGCGGTCGCTCATTCCCTCCGTGTCCATGTTGTCCAGACCCAGCCGCCGCAACTGCTCCGATTTGGCGAGCTTCGCGTCGTTACGCGCTTGCAGGATCTCCACCAGTTTTTTGTTGGTCATCGGGATCTCGGCGTTCACCTCGATCTTCTTCTGCTCGGCGGCCACATACGTCACGTACTGCTTCAAATCCAGGGTGGCCTCGCCCATCATAAAGTCCGCACCCAGCACGCGGGCGTTGAAAATCCCCAGGGATAACTCCACATCGAGCGGAAACCCCTCCCGCACCGCGATGTTGGAAAAGCAAAACCGCCAATTGTACTCGGTCGTGCCCGTGCTCATGTAGTGAATGTCGGTTTCCTGCACGTTCGGCTGCGTACCGAGGAAATTACCACTGTCCAACGCAGCCTTCACTTTCAGATCCGCGGTTGAAACCTATGAGAGTGCACAAGAACTCCCCAACTACACCCCCGATCTAAAAAGCATGAGCAGCAACAACTACACAACTAACAGCAGACTTGAGACCTTTGCGTGAGGACAAATCCACGCAGGAGGCACCCGTGCGGCTTGCAGTGTGGAAAGTAGAACTTGTCAACATGCATAATAGTGCTCGACGAAGGCAGCACTAGCACTTGGAGCCGTCGTGTATTTGCATGACCATGAGGGGAGACGAGGGGGAATTCTGCACTCCCCTAACACCTCCTCGTCCTGCTCCTCTTCCAAAACCAGCATGGTGATGTTCCGACAGGACCAGATCACGACCCGGATCTCAATTTCCGTGCTGGGCGGGGGGGTCAGTACCTGGGCCGGAATGTTCACCGCGCGCTCGGAGTCCAGCATCTCCACGAACATCTCCACCTGCCCGCGCCGCTTCGGGTTTTGGAAGTCGAGCGAATACAGCGGTCGGTACTCGATCGGGATGTTGTTGCCCGCCATATACTATCAAATGTAAAAATGTCTGGGTCTGGAAGAATGCACGTTTGTCATGCTTGTCTGGCATGATTCTTAAATCTGTCATGCACGTTACCCAAGAGCTCCATTTTTCTGTGATGCAGAAACGCAGTCTGTCATGCAGAATAGGCAACACCTAGAAGCTCAGAAACTTGTCATGCTGAGCCAGCAATTGTGGCCTCCTCATGATACGCCACACAGCATCACAAGTTTCCAGACCCAGACATTTTTACATTTGATATATACTTTTGGAAGACCGGGTTGAACCAGCGATCCTCCAGGTCGATCACGGTGGAGCCGATGACCTATCCAAGAAAAAAACGTTGTTTGTGTAAATTTCTGATGCGCAACATGCAAGATGATTGCGTCTGTGATGCTTGGCATGCATCGTAGGGCCCATTCAACGGCGTTTTCCCGTACTATCTGCGCATGACAGGTTTTTGCTTTCATGCGAGAGATATTTGTCATGCTAATCCTCCAAGAAAGTTACACCTACAATGTTTTTTTCTTGGATATGACCGCCATGGGGTCCAGTCTCTTCAGCTTCGAAGTGTTGGACTTGCCGTTCGCCCCGGTCGCCCCGGGGGCCATGGTGGCGGCGGGGTTCATCGTTTCAAAAGCATTCACAGTAGTGGTGGTTTGTTTCCCGACGACCGCGGCTTTCGACTTCTTTCCGAGCAGCTCGTCTTCCAAATTTTGGTCGAACAACCCCACCTCCAATCTCGCTTCGTGCGGAAAGACGATGTCCCGCTCTTCCACCCGGTAGAAGATCGGGTTCGTCGACGACAGTTGCCCGGCTTCGAGAAGCGATTCGTACCGTTTCACGTCGTCGCCGAACCGGAAGTACAGCATGGGCCGCATGTATCGCAAGAAAAAAGTGTTTCACTGTAAGGATTTTGCAAGTTTTGCAACACAAGTTTGCTCTACATGACAGAAAAATTTGCCATGCGAGGTTCCTAAGGGAAAACACAGCTAAAAATCGACTGTCTTGCATGTGTAGCAAGACAAAGATTTCTAAGATACATTTTCTGCATTACAAGTTTACAGTGAAACAATTTTTTCTTGCGATAGCATGCCCTCCTCCATCCCCGTGGCGCGGATCACGTAGATGCGCACGCGGACCTGCGGGGGGACCTCCGCGTGCATGTCGCGGAGCTGCTGGCTGTTGAACATCGCCGCCAAAACGCTCCTGCTCTGCCGATGCGGCCGCATGTCCTTGTACAGGATCCGGGACGTCATGCTGATGTTCCCCGCGTGCGCCTCGCCGCGGAACATGTTCACGCTCTGCCACCGCGACTGCTCCAGCACGTGGTCCTCTAGCGTGCCGGGAACCCGGTCCCGGATAATCGCCTCCTGCTCCCCCTTCTTCTGGTGCTTCTGGGCGTGCGTCGTGCCAAACGTCGCGACGCCCTGGACGTCGAGGCGGCGCGCCCGCACCGGGCGGAAGTTCATCCGGCGCATGGTCAGGTACACCCGGGGCCACCGAATCCCCACCTTCCCCATCTTCTTCAGCAAAATCTCCTTGGTGTCGATCGACCCGTCCAGCTTGTACACCTGCTTTAGCATCAACTGCTCCTCGCGTTGCAGGTGGTCCGCCACCACGTTCTGGCTGTTCGTCGCCGAGGTCCGCCACACCATGGACAGCGGCCGCGCGTGCGCGAAAAAGGTCCCGAACTGCTGCATCAACATCTTGAAGGTGAGCGCCTCGACGTTCACCCCGTTCACGAGAACCAACTTCGCCCCCGCCTCCACGCCCTTGTCCGTCCACCAGGACTTGTGGTGCATGTCCTTCAGAGCGCGCGGGGGTTTCTGGTTGTCGTTCACGAAGAACAGCCCGATCTTGGTCATGTGCTTCTTGAACAAGTTTCCGGCCGTTTTCAACAACTGTTTGTACTCCGGCGTTTTCTGCTCCTTCGTCTCATCCCCCGCCTCGAAGATGACGATGATCTCGTCCCTGCGCACGCGCCGCCGCTCCAGGTAAATCGGCCGTATGCATTGCAAAAATGTCTGGGACTGGGTCTGGAAGAGTGCAATCTTGTGATGCGCATTTCAGAACACAGAAAAGTCTCTCATGCATAGGTAGCAAAAGCTGCCCAATTTCTGTCACCAAAATGGGGAACTTGTCATGCGGATTCGGTATGGCGGAAGCTTCTCGAAACCTGTGATGCTAGAGCTTCCATGCCAGCCCTTCTGTGTCATGCAAAAACAACATGACTCTTCCAGACGCAGACATTTTTACATTTGATAGGCCGCTGCTGGTAGCAACTCATGGAGAGCTGGTTGATCATCGCTTTGGCCCCCTTGTCGTTCATGGCCGCGCAACTCACGATGGCTGACGGCGACGGACCCATGCCGAGGATCAGGTCCCCGCGCTGCAGTTTGCAGTGCGTCCACCGCGCCTCCCACTTCGGGGACATGAATTCTTTCAGCCGCGGGGGGCAGGCGACCGCGTCGTCCAGGACGAGGCCGAGGTTCAGTTCCTGCTCGCTGTTGAATTTCTCGTTGATGTCCTGTTCTTTTTCCTTCGCCAGCTCCTTCTTCTATCGAAAGGAAAAATCCCCCTTCCCTATATCAAAACGGAACTTCTGATTTTGGATGGCTAAGGGCTGGGCGTCCCTGTTTAGACTATATCTAAAAAACTTAAACCACATACCCGGTAAACTCTAGTAGGATTATTTGGACGATGTGACTTCTACCGAAAGACAGCAACAACTGCTCCTGGGAAGGCGGCGTAGAGAGCTGTGTTGTTATCTGAGTAGAAATAACTTCGTACTAATGTGCCCACTAGCACCGAGGGATCAAAAAAAGTATAGAAAGGAGTACTACCAAAAAACAAGTTCTAATTCCACATTACATAAAAACGCCCTAAAGCTGGCATCATTACACTGGTACAACTAAAAACCACCACTAGAAAAGGAGAGTCTCGCAAGACAAACCAACGTGGGGACGCATGCAAACGGCCAAAAAACGGAGTAACCGACACGGAACTTCTGATGCTGGATTTGCGTACACAAATCAGCTTTGCATTGCAGGGAGGCACTGCGGCCAGATTTCCAGGCTAGGTAGGGGCGTATGGGTCTACTTGTTCAGCATGGCAAGCGGCTCCCCTTTAGGCCCAACAGCATGACAAATCGCGTCCATAATGGGGCGGAAGCTTCTGCCCTTGTCTTCTTGCAAGACAAATGTGATTTGTGACCTCAACTCAGCAACGCAAATTTTCCTAAACATACCTTTTCAATATGGTGAGGGGGGATTTTTCCTTAGGATATCTTCGACTTCTTCTTCAGCGTCACCCCGTCCTCTTCGTACATGTCATCGATCGACTCTCCCCGTTGCACCCGGTCCATGTCCCGCTTGAGGCGCTCGATTTCGTCCTTCACGTTCTTCAGCTCCTGTTGGTGCTCCGGGAGCACGAGCTCCATCTGCTGCATCTCGTACTCCATCGCGTCCCGCATGCCCTCCAGGTTTGCCAGTTGCTGCTCGTACACTTCCTTCAGCTGCAGCCGGAACTGCTGACTCGCCGAGCTGTTCTGCATCTGCTTCAGCCGGACAATTTTCTGCTTCAGATAGTCCAACTGCGCCACTTGCTCGATTTGGGCCTCGTACAGCCGGTTGTATTGCTGCTGGATCATCACGGTCTTTTTCTTCTGCGCTTTGGTCGGTTTTTTCAGGTTCGCGAGCCTACCCCCTTCTTCTTCGAGCGCTTTCAATTTCACATCCAGTTCCTGCTTGATCTGGATCGCCTGCGCGGCTTCCGCCTCGGCCTGGTTCACCGCGGCAGCCAGCTGCGCCTCCCCCATCGCACCGAGACTCGCGCCGGCGAGCTGCTCCGCCTTTTGCCCGAGTTGTTGAAGCAACTCCAGGCACTCCGCGTGCTCGGCCATGCAGCGCTCAAACTCCTCCTGCTGCTCGGGGGTTGGAGCCCCGCCGGGGTTTTGCGCAGCTAACTGCTCTAGTTCCACGCCGCGAGCTTCCAGCTGCTGCTGCTTGGCGGTGACTTCGTTCCCGAGCGCATTGACTTCTTCGAGCGTCTGCGCATTCTGGATCGCGGCCCGGCTCGGCCCACCCCCGCCACCGCCGCCCCCCGCACCGCCTGGCGGCCCGGGGCCACCGCCGCCCCCGCCGGCTTGCAACGCTGCGATCTGCTGCTCCAGCTGTTGGCCCATGGCTATCAAATTGTTCGCCATCTCCTCTTGCATCGGGGTTGGTTGTCCGCCTTGCTCATTGAGCACAATTTGCTCCAGTTGCGCGAACTCCTGCTGGAGCTGTGCGAGTTGCTGTTGCAGCTGATTCACGTCACCACCTCCACCAGCCGGCGGACCAGCACCGCCTCCACCCGCTCCGCCCAGCTCTTGCTGCAGTTGCGCGATTTGCTGCTCCATTTCGCCGGCTTGCTGCATCAGCATGTTTGCTTGCTGCTCCTGCTCTGGTGTGGGCTGCCCGCCCTGTTCGTTCACGACGATCGCCTCTAACTGCTGGAACTCCGCGATATCAAAGAAAAAAAGTTCGTCACGATCACTCATGCGCATTCTTGAAATACAAAATTGTTTGTCATGCGTAAAAATGCATGATCACAGCCAAACTTTATTAGGGATTTCCCTAGTGTTTCTGCAACACAAGGAAAGTTTGTGATGCTGAGAAAATTTGTAATGCAAAACCTGCAAGTTAGTGACTGTGACAAACTTGTTTCTCTCCATACGCGACCAGCTGCTGGTACTGCTGCTCCATCTGTTGCAGCTGCGCGGGGTCCGCCATTTGATGCGCGCCTTCGAACAGAAGTTTAGTAGATTTTGGCGAAGGTGTTGACGACACTGATTTAGGTCTTGAGCTTGACTTCTGCCTATAATCCTTCAGGTTCTTGTCTACATGGTCCCGACCCGCAAGCTTGTACTTCTTCCTGGCATTGGCCATGCGGTGAAACAATTTTCTCCCAGGTTGCATCCCGTAGTACAGCTGCTTTCTCAGCGAGGGCATCACGTGCTTCATTGCTGGACGGCTTGATGTCGCTCGGAACTCCGCTGTTGCCTGTGATGCAGAAGAGGCCGAGGATCTGCTCGGCTGCGCAGAAGAACTGACTGCACGTCCTCGATCTTCTTCACCAACTTGCACGACGCGCGGGTCTGGCTTCGAGTGCTTTTCCCGCACCGCGCGCTCCTGCGCTTTATCTTTTTCGTGTTGCGCCTCCAACCACCAAGGAATTTTCTTTGATTTTTCATTTGCTGGATCTGTATCATCTTCTTCTTCGAAGTCTTCCTCTGCAGCACTCTCCCGCAGCATTGATCGGTGCTCGCCCTCTGCGTTCAACAGACGTTCTTCGGCGATGCTTGTCTCTGAAGATTTTTCTCCATGTTCTTTCTTTTCCGCCTCTACCAGATCCTCCTCTTCCACGAGGGGATGCCGTTTCGCCCGCGTAAAAGCTTCCGCCGCTCGTTGCTTCAGGTTCGCACTTTTCCTCGCCTCCTCCGAACTGTTTTTGTCCTGCTCCTCACCGCCGTCCGCGTTCAGGCCCCGTTCGACCACCGAGCGCACCGGACATTTGACAGCGGTTGTCCTTTTGTTTACTATTTCCGTATCATTTCTAGCACTGCTCCTGCCTGTGTTGAAAAAGGGGAAGCTTCTAGCCGATAGTGTCTCCGTCTTTCCATCGTCGCTTCTTGGAAGTTTGCTCCAAAAGGAGTGCAGAGTCGTGGAGCGCTCTTTCGCGAGTGGTGTGGTTGGTTCCTCTGTTATGGTCGCCAGCTTCGTCGACACTCCTGTGCGAGGACCTCTACCAGCCGTATCAGGAGATGACAAAAGTGAAACAAGACCAGGCTTGTTTAACGGTTCATTTTTTCGCTGCGGAGCGCTACTCAAACTGCCCACTGTCGTGCCTTTTCGCTTATCACCAGAGGAGTTCGCAGCTTTCACCTTCTCCAAATACCGGAGTTTTCTTTCGATCATCTGTTCCTCACACTCCTCCGCCGTCAGCAGCGTTGCGCCGGGGATTTGCTTCAAGAACCTATCATCCAGCTCGTCGCGCAGTTTCGTCGGGGAAAAGTCCTGGTTCTGCAGATCCAGCTCCAGCCGCGTTTGTTCATCCATCAGCATGCGCGCTGCGTCTCGCTTGCTCAAGTTGTTCCTGGTTGCGTAACTTTCCGTTTCGTGTTGCGAGACGGGGATGTGGTCCACCCCTGCTCGGCTTCGCAAACCAACCGGAAGCGACGTAGAGGGCTCTTTAAACTGTTGTTCCGATTTGACCAGAGTCGTGGCGGGCCCGGGCGTTCTTGCTGGATTCAAGAATTCTTCTTCTTCACTGCTGTTCTTAATAGTGACCTCGTTTATTTCATCAACATCATCTCTGCTACGAGCGCCACCGTCTGGCTTGATCATCTTGAAGGCCCTCTTCGCATCAGCTTTCGCTGACTTCGAGTTTCGTGGGGTAAATGCGTTATCCGCGGACATGACACCCTCGACGAGCTCCGTCACGAGTTTCGGTTTATTTTTCGACGAGGAAAACACTGATGAAGTGAAGAAACTCTTCTTTGCCCTCGACGGCCAGCTTTTCTTGGAAACAGCTGAAGGTGATGAAAGAGAATCCTTTTTTGAGTTCGAACTTGAAAGTGACCCCCTTGAAGATGCTTGTCCCGTGCCGGTATTTCTTGTCGAAAACAGGTTGGATGGCTTCGAACCGCCTGAAGTGAAATTCTTCCCGGCAAGACTACCGTAGGCGGTCTGCGAAGTAGATGCTGCAGGTTTCCTTCTCGGCGGAGAAAAGCTTTGCACGAACTTCAAGTCATCCGGAGGGTTAGAAATCACTCGTACTAATTCTTCCTCCGGCTGCGCGTGCTTTAAATCCTCTGCGAACGGTCGCTTTCTCCCATCGCGCACTCCTTCCCCTGACGAGTCAGAGCCTGAACCACCGCTGCTGGAGGTGGAGGATGTACTAGAGTCATCACTACTCCCCTCCGAGTCCTCCGATGATGAGGGCCCGCTGGATTTGTCGTTTCTGCTTTTCTTCCCGTGGTAGTTTTTGAACTTCAGGCGCAACGGGGATCTGCTTTGGATGTATTTGTCCTCGTTTGCAACTTGTTCGTCAAAATCAAAGTTGTTGATCACGGGAGCCACGCCGCCACTTTCGGTCATCGTGCGTTCTTGTTCCTCCTGCGCTAATAGCTTCATTCGGTCCACGTCGATATCCTTCTCGATGCTTTGCCTGAACCGTGCGTCTAGACTCCCTGCGCGGCACTGTTCCAAAAATTCGGCATCGTAAGCGTGATCGAGGTCGTGCTGATCGACGAGTTCGAGGTCTTTTCCTCTTTCTGCAACAAGAGCACTTTCTTCAAAATTATCTTCCAAATCGTTGTCATTTTCAGGTCTTTTGCTACTGCCTCGTGAGAAAGATTCCGTCGCTTTGCTGAAAATCTGAATCTTGTAGTCCATATCGAAGATCTCTTGCTCACTGTTCTTATCCGCAAGGTCAAGACCGTGCTCTTCGTGTTTGTTCTTAGCGTCGACGTTCTGCTCGTTAATAGATGTTTCGCCTTTATCCATGTGTAACTCTAGTACTTCTTGAAGTGTGCTGTGCGATTTGGGTTTCACAATGGTACTGTCGTCCTTCTTTTCGAGCTGAACAGTGGCAGCCTTATTTTGAAGAAGCCCGTCTGCAGCTTGATCGGCGTCAAGATGTCTCCCTGGATCTTCCCGGAGATCCGGACTGGCGTCTTTCTCTTCATCGCTAGACACGACCGTAATATCATGCCTTCTTTCCGAAAACGTTTCAGGACCGCCTTGGAACATATCGGAAAAATCTCCGCGCGCGGGTTTCACCCTTGAAGTAGACGGTCCATCCAATAAACCGCCACCCGCAGCACGAAACCCCACCTTCCCGAGGTCCTCGCTGCTGTTGAACAGATTTGGAGCGGTTCCACACTTTTCGTACTGGAGCAGTAACTTCTCCCTTTCTTCCCCGTCCGTCATGAACGCCTCGCGGAACAGCTGCCATTTATCCCGCGCGATGACGTCCTTCGTCGGGAGCGTTTCCATTTTTTCAAAATCGTCCGAGGAAACGCTGTCGTCTTCGCTGCTCGTTGAAAAATCTTCGCTGGAGCTGCTTCTTTTGCCGCTTCTGTCGCTGGAGGAAGATGATGGCACATTATTCCCCATATCGTCGTCCTCGGATGCTGAAGCTATTATTCTTCTGTTTCTGTTCTCATTCACTTTGAAATTCCGGACCGGCGGCTTCGAGGGACTGGAGGGAAGGAACTCCGCAATGTCAATGTCGCTGGTGTTCAGCTCTTGACTCTCGTCACTTTCCGAGGAGAGCAAAACAGAGCTCTCGTCATCTTCGGAAATTTCTTCTTCTCCTGACGCAGCGACAGAAGGGGAACTAGAGTCGCCACCGGCCTTGGAGAGTTTGGCTCCTTGCGCTTCTGGTTCGGTATTTTCCGGCGCACAGTTGTTTTCAACATCATCGTCAGGATAGAACAGATAGGGCACTTTGAAATTCGAACCGGCATCGCCACCTTGCTCTCGAAAATCATCGTCGAGAGCAGCATCCTCATCCTCAAAAGACGCTGCGTTGCTCATAGCCGCACTTACTTTTCTCCGCGCCGAGGGAAAGGCCACCTTCTTCACACTTCCCTGCTTTAACTTTTCCCGCGGAACGGAGGCATGATCTACTTCGTGGTCCGCGGGCGAGAGAGCTGCTGCGGTCGGATCGATGCTGAGCGACGCTTTAGAAGCTGCCGTAGCTTCATCTTGGTCGTTGATGATGGCGGCGACTTGAGCGAGAAGGAAATCACTATTGTCAACTTTCAAAGTTCCCGCTTTGATATTTTCCTCCCTGGGCAGGCTGAGAACCTTAGCTGTTGTTCCGAAGCTTTTTTCTTCTGCTCGTCGCGAGCCCCTCGTTGCAAAGTTCTTGACCGGCTTTTTCATGAGCAAATGCGGCGGCACAGGCGGAGGCGGTGGCGGCGACAGTGCATTGACCTTCGTGGCCGCGCGGTTTTTGTTCTGTAGAAGCCCACTGAAGCTCTCATCTTCTTCAGAAAACGCAGCCGCGGTTCTGTGTTCCGCGTCTTCTGCGGTTTGTCCGCCTTGCAAAAGAACTACATCGTCCCCCTGTGCCCGCGGGGACGGCGAAAGGTCAACATCCTCTTCTAAATCGGGACAGGCTCCGCCGTTCACGAGGAAATCCAGAATCTTCCTTCGGTAGGTGTCTTCTTTTTCTTCGTAGGGGTCCAACACACCATCTTCGCCTCCTGCGGCTGCAGTAACCCCAAGCCTCTCGTCGTCTTCGCCTTCTTCAAGAACAGAGCTGTCACCACTCGTAACTGTAATATCTTCTTCGTCGCTGTCCACCTCCGGGGCTGGTACTGCTTCAGTGTCAATTCTTGATGCAGCACCTCTGTTTACGCTTTCGAAGAGTTCGCGACCTAATGCAGTGACAGTAGCTGTTGCAGGAGTTGCGTGCGCATGTGATGTTGAGACGTCTGGCGGAAGCAGTGACTCACTAGGTCGTGGCGCGGCCGCTACCCCACCTTCTACACGACCTGCTTCTGCTTGGTTGTTCAGCGAACTCAGTGCACTGTTCGTCGTCACCTTCGAGTCCAAGTGTAGCTGCACTAATTTTTCCATTGCCTTGTAGTGCTCAGCATCAGTCATCTCATCTGTATCCTGCAGGCCGAAGTGCTGGTCTTCTTCTCTTATCCCCCCCGCTGAGTCTGAAGCTGGGTTCCTACCACTATCACTGCTATCACCAGCCCCGTCATCACTCAGTTTGTGTTTCCCCTCCTTTTTCTTTTTTTTCCCCGCCTTCTTTTCCTTCTTCGCTTTCTCGTTCGCAACATCGCTCTTCGTCAGCGACTTCGTCAACGCCCCCGCAGCATTCGCGAGGGTTTCCCCGACAATCGAAGCTCCCGCCTCTTTTTTCCCATCCTTCGGTTTGACTGGAACTTTCGCTTGCGGTACCTTCCGTTCTTCCATTTCCGCGTTGGCCTGCTCCAACTCCTCCTCCGCCTCCATCAATAGAAACCGGCCCTGCGACTTCAGATAATCGTCGTACTCGTCGTGGCATTTGTAGGTCCACTTGACGAACACTTTGAGCGCGTCGCCGACGAAGTCGACGTCTTCCATGTCGGACTCGTCTTCCAGGTTCATGTCCCCCTCGTTCTCCGCCTCGGACAGGTACTTCTGTTTCGCTTTCTCCAACAAAAATCGGTTCCTCGCCAGCTGTCTCCGCGCCTGCCGTTTGTCCTCGTCGCTGTCGGAAACTTCCAGCTCGTCCGCACCCTCGTTACTCGCGTACTGAATCTGGTACAAGTTCGACGCTTCTACGTATTTCAGCACGCTCTCCGGGAAATCGCACCAGGGTAAGCAGGCGGTCAGGTTCATGGCCCCCGTATCCTGAGTAAAAACGTCCCCCCACCAGAGTCGAGATGGGAAATCTGCTAGACAAATTAGCCGGCTTTGGTTGTGTCGCTTGACAAGTTTGTCCTCGTAGTGTAATCCTGTTAATAGGTAGTTCAGAAGCATCACATACCTAGCATATCATGCTGATCATAGCATCACAAATGCCAAAACACGACTAGAAAATGCTTCTTGTGGGGCTTTGCATGAGAAACATTTTCAGCATGCAGATTTGCATGACAACTATGGGGTGGGGACGTTTTTCCTCAGGATACCCCGTACCCACCCAGACGTTGTTGTACTGGCGGTCGTACATGTGGATTTCCGTATCCTGTGCAAAAGTATTGTACTCGTATGAATGCCAGACAAGCATGACAAATCTGGTTCCTTAGGTAATTTAGCATGACAAATTTAATTTTTCATGCTGAGCCAAAAATTTGTGATGCAATTTATACTAGTACGATGCTTTTGCAGTGCATATTCCGCGATCGGGCACCAAATGGGGTCAATCGGGAATTCGACGTACAAAGCGTGCACCTCCAACATGCCAAAATTCGTCAAACTGTTTCCGCTGGCCCAGGTCGGGTTGGTCAAATCCTGCGTGTTCCGCGCATGTTTCGGTGCGAGCGTCCGGTCCCAGTCGACGCGTAACGTGTTGCCCATCCCGGACGTGGCGAGCTCGCTGTACTGGGGCACAACGATGACGAGCGTCGGTTTCTGCACCGGCTGCAGGACGTTCAAGTCGGTTCCGCCCTCCGCGTTCTTTTTCTCGGCCACCACGGGGGGAATCTCGTTCAAACTGCGAAACGCGAACTGGACCACACAGGGTTTTCGTGGCGGCGACATCAGCGTCTTCTTGATCAGCTTCGAGTCTGCTTTGCGCACGAGTTCCGCGGAGAACAGGATATCGCCGACCCACGTCTGGTTGTTGACCCCGCCATACAGTTCCAGCCACTGCGGCCGGATCCTCGTGGACTGGCCGGGTTTGGTGAACGCGTCAACCTTCGCTAAACACCGGCCGATAAGCAGTTTCGTGGTCATGTTCATCTGTTTTTCCTTCTCCCGCATCATGTCCTTGCCAAGGAACAAATCCGCCATCGCGTGGTACAGCTTCTGGCCTAACACCCGCCCCTGCTCGTAGATGAAGTTCTTCGGCTGGTAGATCGCGCGCATCAGCTCCTGTAAGGTCGCCGGCTGCTCCAGCGTGTCGTAGACCGTGAGGACGATCGGCTCCGGCGACATGCGGTTGGAGGTTCGGGATTTGGGCAATTCCACATCCAGAATCAACCTTTCTACAAAGACCGGCTGGTGCGTTTGCTTCTTCTGCGCGGACAGAATGGTTTCCCCGCCGCACTGGATCTCGACGATCGGATTGGGCCGATTGCCGTCCGCGCGGGGTGTGGCCAAGTCGCGGCAGGAACACAGGCCCATCCGCAGCTCAAACTGCACCAAGTCAATGCCCCGTGCGTGCTTTTTGATTTCCTCTTCGACGTTCGCCGTCGCGTCGTCCTCCTTCTTTTTTCTCTTCATGCCGTCCCGGTGGCCGAGCGTGATCAAAACGGCCCCGGGGGAGATCAACGGCGGTAAGTGTGGCATGGGGAGTAAGTGGACCCAGATTGGCGGCCGCTCCGGGTTTTTCTCGTGGTCTTGCAACTGCCCGTATTTCATCCGGTGGTACCCGATCCGCTTGAATTTCCGCATCTCCGCGTCGGACAACTTCTTTCCCGCGGATTCCGCGGCGGGCATCTGGAACAGCGCGTACGCGGAGATGATCACGTCGGCCTGCTGGTCTGCGTCGTCGGGGACCATCACGGGGAGCTCCATGTTTCCGCCGGACGCTTTGAACAAAAACTCGCCCGGCAGCGGCATGATGTCCGCGAGCTCGTCCAGCCGGTGCTGAAACGTGGTTTCGTCCTCGATTTCCGGCCCCTTTCGAGATTTTTTCTTTGAAATTTTGTCCGTCAAGTCGTTCGCGTCCATGATCTTTTTCTTCTTTTTCTCCTGCTTCAACGCCTCGCCAAGCACGTCCCGCTTGCTGTCTCCGGCGTGCCGCTCCCCGACCTGCTCGTCCTCGTCTAATTCGACTTTTTTCTTCTCCGCCTCCCGCTCCTTCAACTTCGCAGACGGTAAAACCCGGTCCGCGCTGGTACTGGTCAAGACTCGGCGGCTATCCTGTGCAAAAGTATCGTACTCGTAGTAATTGCTATCATGCATGACAAATATCCCTTGTTGGGTAAATCCGCATTACAAATTCCATTTTTCTTCTTGAAAGAATTTGTGATGCAATTTATACTAGTATGATACTTTTGCAATGCATAGCCGCAGAAGTTCAACGTGACGAAAATCTGCGTTCCCGGCATCCCCGACGCCTTGAACACGTCGAAAATCAGCCTCCTTGGGGTCTGCGGCGGCTCGTCCACGCGCCCGCCCCCGGGAATCACCATTGCGTCCTGGCACTCCGCGAGCCTGCTCAGCATCTGCGCGCGGCCCGACAGGAGCAGGCGGCCAAAAAACTCGTTCGGTTCGGACCGCATACCCGTTTGGGCGATGAACTCCACGGGGTTGTGGATCTCCTCGGGCGGGAACGAGTAGAAGTTGAAGAACCGCGGGGACAGGGTGGTGTTCCGAAGCGAGGAGAAGGAAAGCCGCCCCTGTATCCTGAGTAAAAACGTACCCACACCAGAGTTGTAATGCTAAAGGAATTGCAGCACACTTTGCCCCCCCCTCTGCCCCAGGCCGCAGATGGCTTGACACGCAGGGGGGGTAGGTCAGGCGGACACCGAAGTGCCATCACCATCATCTCCCGGCCACTTACCATACTCTTTCGCAACCTGCCATACTCCTCACTTTTTCGCAATTTTTTTCCGGCTCCGCCGTCCCTGCAGGCTAGTATGTACGTGCGCCCGAGACATATAACACGTCCTCAAGTACCGTGGCACCCAAGGCGGCTTTCCTGACGCATGCAAGACAGTGCTCTGTCGGAAAACCAGGGATCACGCATAAACTACCTGGAGCTCTGGTGAAGGAAAATAACTAGAAGGGATGCGGCCCTTCAGGAAGACATAAAAGTTGAATACGGTAATCGAAAATAGAGAATAAAGAAAAGCGAGGGACACCCGGCCCGAAATCCAGCAACGTAGCTGAAAGGCTAACCATACGAAATCCGCAACCAACCATACTTGTCTCACAACCAGCCTAACTTTTCGCAGCAACACTTAGTCCTTTTGCCAACAGTTTCACGCCCACATCCAACACGCTAACACTATGAGTGGAGAAGTCCAGGTCTTCAGTTATAATTACCATACTGATACCTGCGGCAACAACTCCATTACGTTACTATTCAGAAGGCTGCAAACACCAGAGGCAGATAGCGACGCGCGCATGCCTAAGATGTCCTTCGAACTACCTTCCGGCTACTTACTCTGGGGAGAATGCGAGGCTTCTTTATGCGGACATATTTTATGCAAGACGAAGTCCATCTTCATCTACACAGACAAGTGAAGGAAAGATATGCGAGAGAGGCAGCACTGGAGGACTCTGTCACTTCATGGCCACGCGCTGCAAGCGCGGGGAGAAAGTCGCTGCGAGGGCTGACGCTGTAACCTCCTCGCGCGTGCCCGTAGGGTCTCGGCCCACACCGCAGCCGGTTCTTTCGGCGGGCGTATTCCAGTGTCGTGGGCAACGCACCATCTCCCCCAGCGATGCCAAGCCTTGAGCTCGCATCTATTGTGCGCCCCTACGTCGCATCTATTGCGCTGGGGAACAAGACTCGATTGAGCTTGTTGCTATTGGCTTGGGCGAGCTGGGGGGCATCCGCGTGAAGCCTGGCGCTGGTGTCCGTTTGCCGAAGCCTACCCGATCTGCTTAATCGACCGGCGGCATGGTGAACTTAACCCTTTCCAGAACTCCTGCCCTGGTCTGCTTTCGTAGTCCGGTTCGGCGCCGGAGGCAGGATCGCGGCCGCTAGTCTCCTCGTCCGCCTCGAGCCCGCGAGCCACTCCTCTACCGTCTTCAGGTGTGCGCGTGAGACGGTCAGACGGGGTCTTCCCGAAGCGCCCTCGCCAGGTCATTTTTGTGAAACGCGCCTCCAGGCACACAGGGCGCCGAGGCTCGATCTAGATACTCGAAATAGGCAAAATCAAAACAGGAACGAAATAGGTGAAAATTGAAAACGTCGAGGAAAGCCACTGACTACGTCGGGCCTCTAAGCTCATGCAATCTGTGAAGGCTAATGGTCTACTTACACACCAGAGTTGTAATGCAGATTTGCAAAGACAGGAAGACTTTTGACGCGCATCCCCACGAGAGCCATTTCCAATCGTGTTTTGGAATTTGTGATGCTGTGAACAGGATGAGCAGATGAATCTGTGATGCGGCTGCACTTGCTAACCTGCACTACACTGCATAGCGCAACTTGTCATGCGTGACTCACAAAACTCCTAGGTTTGTGTTGCAAAATCCTCATCCTGACTCTGGTGTGGGTACGTTTTTACTCAGGATACCCTGGATCAACACTTTGTCCTTCCGCCCGATCAAGTAGTCTTTGATCTTGATCACGATCGAATCATCAAACAACGGGGTGATCACGGGCAACTGAAAACCCTCGTTGAAGTTGCAACTTTTCGTTTGAAACGACACGCTGCTCCGCAAACGCCTGCCGGCGAAGGAAACCTCCACGTACGGATTGAATTTTCTCGATTTCAAACCTAAACCTCCAAGACCCTCCAGTCTGTGAACCTGCACGACGACGTAATAGGCCTGGCGGAGCTATGGATTGCAAAAGTGTCTGGGTCTGGAAGATTGCAACTCGTCATGCTAAATTTGAATCATGCAGAAATCTGTGTTGCATGAGTGCCAAAAGCTGTCCACTTTCGACCAAGTTTGGAGGGCGTTTCTCATGCAGGATAGGCATGGCAGAGACCTCACAGACTCTGTCACGCTAGGGCCCGCATTCCAGACCTCATGGGTCATGGAAAACCTGCATGACAAGTTTACACTCTTCCAGACCCAGACATTTTTACATTTGATAGGAGCTTCATCTGCGCTTTGATCGACGCGTCGGTCACTTGGTTGATCACCAGCTTGTTCAAATCCTCCATGGCCTCGTCGATATCGCCTTCGGATTCCGTTTCCTCCTTGTCCATCCCTGTTTGATCCCCGGACGCGTAGCACGTGGCGGACACGCAGATCCGGCCCCGGTGCCGAATCCCGTCGCGGATGTCGACCCACCGGCGGGAGAAGGAGTGGTTCTTTCGGGACCGAACCAGCGGGCAACTGACAATAGCGCGCCCGAGCACTTCGTTCGCCCAGAAGATCCGCCCCGCCTGGAGCTCGAACAGGAGCGAGGCGCCGTCGAACTATCCTGAGCAAAAACGTCCCCACCCCAGAGTCAAGATGGGGATCTCGCAACACAAATCGAGAAGTTTTGGGGGTCAACAAGCATGACATAAACAGACTGTGGGAGTCAAGAATGACATCAAGTTCGTCTCTGTATTGTAGTGCCCTTTAGGAAGTACAGCCGCAACACAAATCCATCTACTTATCCTGGTTACAGCGTTACAAAGTCCAAAAACGCGATTGGAAATGCCTCTCATGCTCATGGGGTTGCGCATTACAAATCTGGCTGCAACTGCAAATCTGCATGACAACTATGGGGTGGGGACGTTTTTACTTGAGTTACGAACTGGCTCTGCATCATCTTCATCGCCGACCAGGTGAAGGACTCCTCGAAGGAGACGTGGTCGCGCTTGTGCTCCTTTTTCTGGGAAACATACGTGTTCCCCGCGCACCGCACCACCACCAACGGGTCGATCGCCTTTCCGTCACTTGTGAGCATGTCCCGGACCTCGTGAATCGTGAACCCGATCGTGTACTCGTCGTGCACGCCCTTCGCAGAGGACCGCTCCAGTCTCGCCTTCTTGCCCTGTCCGCGTTGGGAGAGCGGGACCTGGCCCAAGTGCGCAACGCCACGATCCTTCCACTCCTGGCGCTTGCGCGCCTCAATCTTCTCCATCTTCTTGACATTTTCGGTCTTTTTCTCCGGCTTTTTGACCTTTTTCTCCTCCTTGTCCTCCTTCTTGTCTTTTTTGTTCTTCTTGTCTTTCTTCTTTTTGTCTTTCTTATCCTTCTTTTTCTTGCCCATCTTCACGAATAGTTCTTCTTGTACTTCGGCGGGAGCTGTAGTTCACGTGGAGCGGTTTGATGCGGTTCCTTAGTTTGTGACACAGCGCGTTCCTTGTTCGCGGACGGCGGTGCAAGAACAATGGAGGCACAAGAAACAACGACGAAAAACGTCAAGCAAACATGGTTCTTACCATTTTTTTGAGGACACGAGTCTCGTTGTTCACTCGATTCCTCAGCAACTCTCAGAGTAATAAATCAATCCACAAGAAAATTGATCTTTGTACTGCTGTTCCCTTCGAATTGATATTGATGTTGCAGCAGAAACAAAATGAAACAAAATACAATGCACATTATGGCGCGCCTCTCTGTTTCCCTCTATACGTTGTTAGGATTTCGCTGCGGATCGAAAAGCAAGATCCGTGAAAAAGGCAAATGAACCTGGCGATCGCCTTGTTGCGTTTTCGATTGTACGAGAAACAGAATGAAAGCTTGACCTTGAGATCCCACTGCCTTGCAATGACAGCGAGGCAGCACGATGAAACGGCTAGGTAGGTCCAGTGGAAGTGGCTTTATGGCAGTACAATTCTCATCGCAATAATTTTGACAACTACTTGCAGAAGTGAAAAAACGTTTGTCCTGTGCGCAAAAAAGTTTCAACTTTGGTTTTCAACAAAATCTTCTTCTCAGCTCTTTCCCCGCAGCGGCCGCAAAAAGTCTTCCACCTATTCCCCCAACTGCCAATCGCGATGCAGTTTTTGACAAGTTCAAGCGAGCCACCTCCGTGCATTGCCCTCGCGTGGAAGCTCCGTACCGCTGACTTTCAAGGCCAAGCTCGGAAACATGTCTGCGGTGTTTCAATTTCACCACGCCGAGGTTATCTTGGCTCCTTGTTGAAGATGCCGACGGATCATGAACTGCGGTTCTTGCGGCTGGTGCCAGTGCATCAGTTTTCGATGGTGCAAGAACATCTTCCTCATCCGCGACAGCGGCTAGGTTCGTGCCTGTATCTTCGCTTCCGGTTGTAGTTCTTTCTGCAGCGTCCTCGGCGTCCTCCGTCGAAGGCACAGATTCAATCTGCAATCGCAGTGATTCATCTACTTCCGGTGGAGAAGCTCCTCCTCCAACTTCCTTCAAAGATTCGAACTGTTTCCCGTCCACCCGGTTCCCGCCAAGCGCGATGCAGGGTCTGGGGTTTCGAAACTCCGGAAAGTGTATTACAGTGAAAAGTGCCCCCCACCCCTCAAATTGCAAAAATTTGTGATGCGGAGTTTCCAAATGAAAACTTTTTGTCATGCATGAAACGAGTATGAATCTTTCTGATGCGGAGTCTAGGCGTGTATCGCATCGCTTGCATGACAAGCGCCGCTCTTGCTGGGGTCTTTTGCAATACAAATTTTTGCTATTCACGGTTGGAAACCTGTGATGCTGATAGGTGCAAGAGGGCGAATGTTTCATTTGGAAAGGTTTGCAATACAAATGCTTTCAAGTTCGGGGGTGGCGGTGGGGGCATTTTTCATTCTGATAAAGTGGTTATACTGTTCCCGCAACCGACAGGCCATGGGCATGATGTCTACAATATTGTGAGGAATAATCCCCCCTCCCCATACCAAACCGGGACACTTCTGAAAATTTGCGATGCAGATTTGAGACCACAAATCGTCGCTGTACTGCATGAAGGCAAGTCTACAGGCTCCGCCACATTCTACAGGCGGTTTGTTATGCTGTTGCTCCTACAGCGTAGACGTCTGCCATGCGAAGCGCCTAGGCCAAAACTTGTCTACTCAGGCCTGATATGGGCCTGCAGTCCTCGCCAGCAAGACAAATCTGATTTGTGACCTCAAATACAGCATCACAAATTTCGTTTTCGATATGGGGAGGGGGGATTTTTGCTTTCGATACACAATGCACTTCAGCGTGTACAGGTTCGCCGGCACGCCCGGGAATTTCGCGAGAGTCGGCACCGTGATGATCGGCTTGCCGGCGGAGACGCGGGCGACGAAGTAGCTGATCGCTCCCTGCCCTTTTCCCATCTTCACGCCCTGGGACTTTTTCGTCCGGGCAAAAGTCGCGTGCACGTTCATCAGAAAGGGTTTGTCCTTGCCGAGGGACTTGCGCAGCATCCGCCTCGCGGTTTCCAGGTGGTGGGCGGTCACACATTGCTGCTGCGCCGCGACGATGGACTTCCCGATCTTCACCTCTGGGTCCTTCTGGAACAACAGTCGCCCTTTGTTCACCTTGAAGCGCACCGGCAAGGGCGCTTTGTAACGGACGGGACCGACTGGCATGCTGTCTACTAGCTGCTGTGGATGTTAAACCAGAAGAGAGAGAGGTGGATGAGGACTTCTACCACTATTGCTTTCGCTTTGCTGTGCAAAAACATTTGTCAGAAACACCTACCAACAAGCCATGGTGTGGTCGGCCAGGTCAAAGTCCACAACACGGGAGGTCACATCAAATCTTGGCGGAGGACAGCAGTACAACGATGAACACAAGGACAAGGAGCAAATTCGCATGATGTGTTTATAAATATGCACCGCGGCGCACTGCGGCCACTAATTCCGGAGCGGGATTAGGGACACAGAAACGTTGCCGTGATGGGTTGCCGCACACCGCACAGACAAAACGCCGAATGGGAATGCCACTGTGTGTAGCTAATATGAAGCGGCCGGCAGACTGACAAGCTGCCTGAGACAGTCAGAGACACTCAGAAACGGGCGGCCGGCACCGTGGGGGTGGGCCCTGCGCCCACACGTAGGAACGCGAAAGGGCTCGCGCGCCTGCAGCATCGCCCAAAAGACCGCCAACCGGCTCACTGCCTGCCAGAGCATGACCCGCATGGATTCGGAGGAGGGGAGGTGGCAGGCCTAACGCATGCGCATCCAGTAGCACCCTGCGCCTCGCTGCCCCCCGCGCTGCTGTTCTCCGCCCCGGTGAACAAAGCCGTGGCAACACACGGGCCGGCCTCAACATCCTGCTACTGCTTGTAACCGGCCCGCAATAGGCCGGCCCTGCTCCTAAAAACCGGCCCGGTCCTGCTACCGCCCGCAATAGGTCGCGCGGCAACGGAGATCGCGGGACCTGTCCTGCGCGCGGGAGGAACACGCAATCCCCCAAAGCCACCGTCGAGTCGCGGGGGCGGCGTAGACTAGCATGCGCTGGAGCACCGTAGGGGAGTGCCGCAAGTAGAACACTCCGACCGTGCCTTCGTCAGCCGGTGCTTGACTTGATTCGGATAATCCAAAACGGACACGATATACTGTTGCATCTGCTCAGCTTGAAAAAGCGGCATTGTGTACAGAAGGTATGGAATCAATTATGAAGCCAAGAAACACCATTTGGATTTTATCTCCATAAACATGTAGAAGCTGCGAACACAGTCTCAGTCTGGCGAAACTGCGTAATTGTCCTTTTGATATTCGAAGGTTCGAAGAGGGAGGTAAAGCCTAAAGCAGAGCGATGGATTTGTTATGACCGTGGAAGTGTGAGGAGCATGTGCATGTCTCAGTGTCGCAATCGCTGTCCAAAAAATCAGACAAAAATAAATATCGATAGTAGATGTCAGTCATTTAGTATACCCGGTATAAACATTGTGCTCTAGGTCTAGTAAACTTGTGCGCCATGATTACAACGATAACTACAGGCACCAAACAACTAGGCACACAATAACACGGACCACTTTTGCGGTGTGCATCGAGATACTAGTTGCTTGACTTGTCGTTCATAGCTATGCTACAACAAACTCAGATTCATGACTTACACACACCGACAGCCACACGCGCTTGTACCTGCATGAAGATACAACTGTGAGAGGAAACATACTGTGAGAGGAAAGGGCTCAGTGCTGCTGTCCAACGCCAGCGTTTAAGCATGGGGGAGAGAAGGAGCCGCACTACTACCCATCATCTTCGCCACGTGCTCGAGCCACTTGTTTAGCCCGGTCAGAGCCCGGCTCATTTTCTTCGGAGCTACATACTGCTCGTCCGGCTGCGAAACGCCGTTGTATAGTTCGGTCAGGATCCTGAGTGAAGATTGAGCTTGAATAATACTTAAATATATGAGCACTGCACTACGGTCGTGTCGTGCTACTCTGCCATGAGCGTAGGTGCTTCAGGAAGAGGGCATGACCATGAGTACTCAAGACACAGGGAAATCGGAGACAAATATAAAAGGACAAGAAGCACGCCAAAAATATAACAGGATGAGTCGCACTCATACTTCTTGTTCTTCTACGTCGAGGTCGACATTAGTCGATGCTGTGTCAACAAGCACAGCATGCTCAGAGGGGCGTGGGTATAAGGAACATAGTTTTCTGTGTGTGAAACTGTACCTGTGCAGGAGTTGGAAGCTGATAACGATCACATTCTTGGCCTTTGCTTCCAGCAGCGGTTTGTAGTGACTCAAGATGTCGAGAATATCCTCCGCAATGTCCAGCAAGGCTGTTTTTATGAAAAAGAAACCTCCACAACAAATACGAAAACTAAAATTTCGCCCACACAGTGAGTTGTATGAACATGTACATGGTCAAGCGAGTTACAACAAGAAAAACATTGTATGTGAATTCAAGTAGAGAGTGAATGACCATCAATATCCTAGACTGACATCAAAACTTCTCTTCTCCTGAAAGATTTGTATTAATTTTGAATGAGCTCCAGCTTGAAATAAAATCGGAAAGACGTACGTGCAATTCCACGCCGGGTACAGAACAAGCCGATGTTCGAAGTCAGGTTCTTTTTGTCCTCCGCCACGTATCAACTGTAAAAATGTCTGGGTCTGGAAGATTGCACTTTCTCATGCTAAATCCGAATCATGCAAAAATCTGTGTTGCATGAGTGCCAAAAGCTGTCCACTTTCGACCAAGTTGGGAGGGAGTGTCTCATGCAGGATAGGCATGAAAGAGACCTGGCAGACTCTGTCATGCTAGGTCCCGCATTCCAGACCTCAAGGGCCATGGAAAACCTGCATGACAAGTTCACACTCTTCCAGACCCAGACATTTTTGCATTTCATACCACGAGTTCCTTGACCATTGCGGCAGTGTTGCGGTCTGTCTCCGTGAAATTGGGATTGTTAATGCAAGCGCCCATATCACTGCCGATCTCGTCCAAAAAAGACAGGATTACTTGTTCAGATGTCATGTCCAGTAACGCTAACGCTCGTTTGTCCATGCCGCCCGCCAGGTCATCTACGTCCACATCATTTTCCTCTAAATGCGCCTTGACACTTAATTCACCTGAAAGCGGCATTTGAATTTGTGCATGATCCGACCTTCTGATAACAATTTTCTTGAAAGATGCATCACTTGTTTCCCAACTATGATGTCCAAGGAAAGTATACGTGACGGAAACCGCAGTGCCATTCAGTGTCTCTGTCTATCGCTATCGCAAGAACTGACCATGACGCAGGATAAAAAAATTGAAGTGATGAAGACAACAAGTCAATCAGACCTATGTATTAGGGAGCAATACGCCAGCTTAAATATGCGTTCCAACGGGCGTCGAACTTCGATAATCTTTCGTCGACTTGTTTTCCGACCTGGCCTTTCAGTCCGACCAACTGGTTGTTCAGGTCCATCATTCCACCACGCACTGACTCGATCTCTGTTAGAAACAGTTGGAGAATTGGCGCCATGCTCATGACGGAGCTGTATCAGTACTAAAAAGCCATCCGAGCGCCCCCGCAAGACACATCATGCAAACAAGCCGTATTAATCAGTCCCATTCATAATTATTTTGCTGAAAAATAATGTAACAGTAACGCGCGAAGTGAACAAGTTACATCGATGTCCTTGTTCCGCTTCCAGTATTAAATAATGTCCTCTCGTCGTTTTTTTTTTACAAGAACTAATTGGCAGTACTATGTTCTCGCTTTCTTTGTTCATTTTGACATAACCAGCACATGCAGGGGGATACTAGGTTACTACAGCTCGTGTGAGATATTCGCTCCTCCACTTGAGCAATTTCTCGTAGCAGGTATTCTTCAGTCTCCGTCAATGGTCGCGATAAGGATGTCGACCTGGATGCAACAAGCTCGCATTCCAGTCCCCGGAAGTACTCTCGCCTTCGAGCGCGGCGCATCGCGACCTCCTGATCAGGGTCGTTCGTACCGGTACTATCAGCATTTTGGTTGCTCATGCTCGTTTGCAACTCACTGACTCCCGTTGCTGCTCGCGTGTGGTTGCGCAAATCCTGGTGCAGCCGCAGGGGCAACACTTCCTGATCCAGGCACATCCCGGGAAATAAAACGACCATTCATCTCGTCGTCTTCGTTATTGTTGGTGCCGCTCATGGCATTCATGATGTTCAACTAGCAGCATACCATGCTGTCTGCATCAAGATTTGGTGCTCGTTCCGTAGCCTACTTCTTCACCTTAGCCTTCTTCTTCGGAGGCATGATCCGATAGCAATGCTAATCACAAAGTCGTGTATCTGGAAAGAAAGGTTTTCTGGAATGATTGCTTTTTGATGGATCTCGCCAATGGCAATATCGGCGACCAATTGAGAAGATTGATAACGGTCGCGATCGGTGAGACTCTCTACGAATACTGGTACGACAGTATCAACATACCCGATGGATACTTCTACTTTTCGGAATTTAGGCACGAGCAGCAGCATTGTCATCTTGGCTCGTCAAGCTTTTGATTTAGCTCCTTTCTACCCCAAGAAATTTTGACGATACGAACCTACGAAATTTTGACGATACGAACCCACGAGCGAACGAGAAATTTTGACGATGGACTTCCCGATCTTCACCTCTGGGTCCTTCTGGAACAACAGTCGCCCCTTGTTCACCTTGAAGCGCACCGGTAAGGGCGCTTTGTAACGAACGGGACCGACTGGCATGCTGTCTACTCACCCAGAGGGAAATTGGACTAGTAGAGATAGAAGACGACGAGGACTGCAGCTTAGTGCTGCGATTGCGATGGATTCCTTGCGATTCTGCAGAGAACAATAAGGGCTGCATCAATTTGCGGAAGACAGCAGTCCACAGATGAACACAAGGACAACGAGCAAAGGCGAACTTGATATATAGCTGCCGCCCGCTGCGGCCAGAAACAAAATCACGAAGCGGGATAGACGCAGACCCCGTGCTGCCGTGATTGACTGCACACAACGCCCCACGCCACTGTCTATAGTGTACTGTAGCTAGTCTGGAGCGGCCGGCAAAAAGACTGCCTGAAACAGGGGCGCCCAGAAGCTACCGAGCAGCTGCAGCTGGGGCGGCGGGCTGCCTGCGCCCACGGGTAATAAGAACCCGCCTGAAAGGGCAAAAGGCCGGGCGGCGGCCCCTGGCAACCTGGCACCGGGCTGCCGAACAATGCATGGCGCAAGTCAGCAACGAACTGGCCCAGGGCGGGCCGACGGCATGGGTCTGCAATATCGGTCGCTGCCCGCTCCGGGGCCCAACGAACACGAAACCCCTACCGACCCCCGCGGACGGGCCGCGCAGCCCCAGCAATGTAGCCCCAAGCAGGGGCCAAGAAAGGGGGAAACATCGGGCGGCGCCGAAGAGGCCGCCCGCGGAGCCAGCGGGGCGAGGAGGCCGCGGGCGCGCGCTCACCTATTGGCGAAAACAGCTTCCGGGGCGCTCGCGCGGCGCGCCTTTTCTTCCTTCGTGCTTTTTCGCGAGGTATAGCGCCGCCTGCTTCTGGATATGACGGCGCCCCACGCTGATGGAGTGACTGGCGTCTGGCTGGTCACCCGACGACGCCCGTGTTGCAGAGACGTAGCGTAGAAGCGCGAAGTCCCTTGACGTTGGCCCAAAATTTGTCAAGCAGAAAGCACCCCCACCGTCGGCGTCATTCCTTTCGAAAACGCCGCCGCTCTTCTGGGTATCGGCTTTCCTTTTCTTGGACGCGGATGGAGGCATGATCGTTTCTTTTCCTGTACTCTACTTTATTCAAAGTATTGACAGCCACGCCTGCTCCGCTCGTTCTAATTCAATCTCATCAAAAGAATGCGGTATATAAAGTCGCTCGAAAGATGAAACAAACGTGTTCTGAAGTCGCTTCCTTTCTCGATTATATGCTCGGCCTCCCTGGTTTGCCTCTGTCTTGTCTCTCCTCAAAGAACACCTCCTCGGTCGAACGTTGATGCGGACGACACGACAATAAACTGAGCAATAGCATTGCTGTTCCTGTTTCGTGACAAAAATTCATGTGCGATGCCTTCAAAGCGGTACTTCAGATGCGTCCAGGTTCTCGTTCAGAGAAAAGCGCACTTCGCAGTCGCTCTTTTTCAATTGCAACTGGTGACGCGGTCCTCCTGTAAAGAGATGCCCGCCTCATTCTCAAGTACTCTCTAACCGCAATCTAAAGCGCCCTAGAAGGTGGAGGCACATGCTTCCTACATACAGTAGCTCGCTGTGTAAATCACCCAGCAAGACACTTCGCGAATTGTATTTTTTATTTTTTATGTTTTTTCACGGGCAAATAAAAATGGGGAACTTACTTCAGTGGTGGTGGGGCTTTCTGGTGGAGTGAAAAGCGAAAATGGGGTTCCTTTTGCTAATCGTCTTTGGGGGTACCAAAGGGCCAAAAAGTTAAAAACAGGTACAACAGGTTGAAGTAAGGGGCGAGATCAGATACGGTGGGGATGGAATATTGAGGCATGTTATGCCAAGTGAAAATTGATCCTATGCATGTATGTCTGAAAAACAAAAAAATGAATATGATGTCAAATTCAAAAGCAAGTATAGTTTTTTGCATATGAATGCTGTACATTTGAACTTGAAGTAAATCTAAAAGTAAAATGCTAAAAATTTTCGAACGAGCGCCGGTGGTCGACGCTACCCTATGTGCTATTGTGTCAAAATAGAAAAATATCCTTCTGAATATCAAACTAAAAACGTAGTACAGGAATAGCTAAATCATAATCAAACCCTCGACTGCTCACTGATGTTGTTCGTGCAGAAACCCGCGCAAAGCGCGCTCTAACTCCCTTGCGTCGCCCATTTCCGTCGGACTTCCAATGTCACCGGGGCCCATCGGTCCTCGCTTCGCGTGATGCTTGTGCCCCCGCCCTGGTTTGTTGTTCATCTGCATGTTTCTGTCCAAGTACGGAAACGCGGCGTCTTGCAGTTGCAAGCCGTTTTGTCCCGACGTCTGTTCGAGAAACGAGTCGATCGTTGCCGCGGTCGGCGGGTCTAGCGGTCTACGCCCTTGAAGCGGCCCGGGTGGCCCGCTCGGCGGAGGTGGGGGCGGTGGACCGCCCATCGGTGGCGGCGGAGAAACGCCGTTCATTGGGGGCGGCGGCGGCGGGCCCGGGGGCCCGCCCATCGGGGGCGGCTGCATTATCTGCGGCGGCCCGCGAAACTGGTTCGTGTTGATCAGCATGGCAGCGGACTGCTGTGACTTCCGGAACACGTCGTACGGACTCACGCCGTTGATCTTGTCCCGAATGGAAACCGGAATCGGGCCCTTACTCGGATCCCCGCTAACGCCGTTGATTTTATCTCTGACTGAGACCACTGGCGGCGGTGATGGACCTCCTGGTGGAAGAGCGGCCCCCGGAGGTCCTGCACTGTTCATCGACCCGGGTGGACCAACAGGCGCGCCGCGGTTATTCATCGGTGGCGGCGGTTGGTGTCCCGGCGGCGCGGGCGGTACAACGCCGCCGATGTTGCTCCGAGGGGAAACTAGTTGGTCTTGATGTTGAACAATCATGTCTACCCCTTCGGGTGGCGGCGGTCCCGGCGGAAGGGCACCGGTCGGGCCAGCACTACCGGCTCCTGCTGCTCCTGTCGGGACCATAATCATGACCGAACCTGGAGGCGGTGGTCGCTGCTGCGGCGGACCCCCAACGGGTGGTGGCGGACGTTGCTGCGGTGGCGGTGGACCTGGGGGCGGTGGGTTCGCGGATGTCGTTGGGGCGGGACCGACGCCGTTATTGGTGTGCGCGACGCGCTGCAGCTTCTCCTTGCGAAGAACCATCGGATCGTTCTTGCCACTGAAGAAGCTGCGGTAGCTATTCGTGTCTAACTTTCGGTTCTCCTTGTTGCGCCGTCCCGGGCTCCCGTGCGGGGAAAGCGGCGGGCTATAGTCCATGCGATCTAGCGGACGGCCCATGTTGGCCAATTCGCCCTGAGGTTTTCGTTTTTTCGCATTCTTTTCATTTGTCATCAACATCATGCTAATAAACCAAATCATGAAAACATTAAAAAACCAAATACTGAAATCAGGATGAAGATATTGAGGGGAAATAAGTAAAGTTATCGTCAGTTCTTTACCGGTCCAAAGCCAAAGGCACCGTATATGAATGGCTTCGGCCCATCCGAAGGTGGCGGCGGCGGCGGACTGTCATTGCCGCGATCTTTATCGAAGAACGAATCAAAAAGCGTCTCCTGCTGCCCGTGGACCTGCTCTCCGCGGTACATCGAGGTAGCGTAGTACTCGCGCGCGCTCTCCAGGGCCAGCGTCCGCAGTTGTTGCCCGATGGACGCACTGCCCGAGCCCGACGAACGATTCAACATGTCTCTTTCCCGCACGCTCGGACTCAAGCTGTTGACCATGTTTTCCGCCGGTGCTCCGGGTAGTTGTTGACCACTTGTAGTGACGTTCCTTTCCAGCGGCGACATGCTCCTTTGATTTTCCCTTTGGTAGTTGTCCCGCTCGCGGGGCGGCTGCTGCATCACAACGTGTTGTGGAATGGGATAGGGCGACTGGGCGCCCGGCGGCAGAGGCTCGATGTTGCCATGTTCGCGCAGCATCCGCTGCTCGCGCTCCCCCCGACGACTTCTCCGGTAGCCGGATGTGGGGGACGGGGCTGGCGATCGCGAGGTGGAAGAAGGGAACGCAGTGTCTCCTGGTGCTCCGCGCTCCATCGACGGTTCCATGTGCTGGTCCATGTTAGCACCTACTGCACGGTCCACCGGATCGAAGTCGTAGGGATTATGGGGAAGATGTTGGTCCATGTTGACGCCATTCTGCTCGAAGTTCTGCTGCTCGAACCCAGCGGCGAGCTCGGGCGACGGGCAGGGCGGGATGTAGTGCTGGTCGTTCCTCACATGTGAGTGTTGCGGCTCTTGCTGCATGTTCAGTTGGTCTTGTTGCAAAAGGAGGTTACTGTTTATGTCTCCCATCTGTTCCACCATCGATGTCTGCTCCATCTGCGGGGGCGCGGGTGGGGAAATAGCAGGAACAGCCGGTTGGTAGTAGTCCACAAATCTGCGGTCCACCATCGGGTTCGGACTAGAGGGTGGTGGTGGGACCGACGAATTGCTGTGTTGCGGCATCACATTGTAAGGGCTATTGTGGCCCCCGCTCACGTTGATATCGTTCGTGTGCTCACTGAAATTCAGATCCTGGGAGCTGTAATTGTCCCGTGGGCTCGGCGTCACCAGCTGATTGCCGGGATGCTGCGGGTCGCTGTGAGGAACGGGCGGTCCGGAATGGTAATACGGGTGACCACGTTGGTCTAGGCTGTTGGGATCATGATAATTATCCTGATAAAGATGATTCCCGTGATTGTCAATTCCAGGTCCCCATTGCAGCCCATGCATGCTATTGTAACTGCCGTGCTCGTTCATGGAGACGAGCGGATGCTGTTCGTGCTGTTGTATATGCATGTTGTCAACTACATGCGGTGCACCACCACCGTGCAGCAGGTGCGTCATCTCCTCGCGCAGTGCGTAGATTTCGCGATCTTTGTCAAACATAACCTGGTACAATTGTTGCGCAACGACATCAAAAGCCCCGTGAACGTCCACTCTACTACTTGCGCAACTCCTTGTCGCACTATTTTCTGCCGCTTTTGTTTTCTTACCCTTCATTTCAGAAGATTCCCCTCCTGCTTCTCCCTGCGTGCTTTCATTTTCCCCGTCCACGCCCGCTTTGGCGGTAGGCTTGTTGCCGTCCTTCGCGGCACCGTCTTCTGCTTCGGCGTCCGCACGAGGCTGGTGGTCCAAATGTTCCACCTCTTCTGCCTTCTCATCTGCCACAAATTGGTCTACTTCTTCGTGTGGCACTTGTGCCAGCGTCGCGAAAGCGTACAGAGCGGTGAGAATCGAGTCGCTGTGCTCTATTTGCACCACTTCGACTGCAGGTTGACCCTCGTCGTGGTCTCGGAAGTCGTCCAGTTTCAGATTCAGCGAGACCGCGGCGAAGGCACGACCAGGATTTGGAGGTGCTGTTTTGGTGTTGGTTTTAGACCCGTTGGACGCGGACGAAGAGGCGCCGGACGCGTCGAAATCGGCAGTGGTTGAGGACGAGCTGTTGGAAGCGGTTTCTGTCTTATTGGCAGCTGCTGCCGCAGCACTATTCGCTCCGGTTGTTTGTGTTCCCGAAACAATGGAGTTGCTTTTCTCAGTATACAGCATCTCTTCCAGAACGTGGATCCTCGACCAGAGCACGTCTTCGTGCTCCCTGTTCCGCTCAGCTCGTCTTTCCAGTGCGCGCAGCTTTCTCGTCGACACCACGGTGTCCTGCTTGCCCAGCTTTAATACGAGCGGTGGTCCAGTGATCGAATTGTTCACGTTCCTATAGCTGCTGTACAACATTCCCTGCTTGATGTTCTGTTTCTCCCGTACTTGAAGTTGGCCCCTGCGCGGCGGCTGAAAGCGACCTCCTGCTCCTCGCGAAGTAGTAGAAGTGGGCTGCACTATCGCATCTTTTTTCTTCACACCCGGTCCACCTGTTCTCGAAGTGCTAATGCGGCTCCTCGTGCTCCGGAAGGAGCTTTCCCGGGCCAAATCGTCTATATCGTCATCCTCCTCGTCATCGCGCATCATATCGGCCTCACTCACATTCGCGAAAAACAACGCGCTCGTAGGGGCGGGCCCGCCTGTGGTCGCTTCGTCTACAAGAGAAGAGTTATTCTGAGCGGGTCTTCCTCCTGCTCCTACGGAAATATAACTTGTCTGCTCTTGGAGGGTGTCCTTCGCCATCACTGAGTGAAACGACGACCCGAGGTGGTCCTTGGTTATGGAACTGCCCTTGCTGCTGCGCTGGTTCGTGATGTTGCTCTTGCTTCCAGAGAGGCCGATAACTTTCACGGGCTCCGACGAATCATGGACCTGCTCCAGTTGCTGTTCCTTCATTGTGCCAGAATCGTTCTCGTGCTCTTGTTCCTTGGAACTCGAAGAAGCGGCAGTGCTGCTGTTGTTCGTGGGAGCCCCCGTCAGGAGAGAAAGGATGCTCATGGACATAATGTCACGAGTAACTTTCTCTTTTACCCACTATAATTGCCAAACCATTTTTTCCGCGGGGGTGGAGCAGCCAGGGGGTGCCTCGCCGGGTTTGTTGCAAAAGGGAGGTGCCGTGGTGGGATAGCCTGTTCTACTCTGAGAGACAGCAGGCCGTGCTTGGGTTCTGAGAAAAGCAGGCGCTCTGCAGCTGGCTTGTTGTAGCAGGGTGGGATGAAGCTTTCTAGGTATCGATTTGATTCAGAGCATTTTTCGATCTACTACACCATTTTCGTGGTCAACGAGGAATGTCTAGTGGTGTATCGGATCTTTATTGCTACTTTCTTTCTATCGGGGGTAAGTACAAGGTAAAAAACGGGGGAAAGTCTCGCCTCAAATTCGCTCCGCTGAGAATTAAGGGTTGAAAATTCAATGAAGCTCCAGAAGCAGCACCAGGACGAGCTGAAGAGAACGTAGCCAGTTAAAAATGTTGATTTTTGTCAGGACGGACGACAAAAATAATATCCAACGCGGACGGCGTGAAAACGATGACGAACTTGCGCTGCACGAACGTTCTTGATGAAAGCGGACGAGACACCGAAGTAGTTTCAAGCTACATCCTAACCGACCACCAAGTTGACGACAACAGCAGAAGCACTTCCGATGGCAAAGCTGACACAAAAACCGACAAAATCCTTTTGCTTCCATCTGTCAAATAAGTGGGAGGACTAGTTTCGGAAAGGAGAGCCACAAAACGAACGAAGAGCTATGCACGAGAAATGAAGTCGTCGTGGACCATAGATTTACTGTCTGTGTGAGCTTCACTGACAACATCTTCTTTGGCAACATTGCTCGAAACTTGTACGAAGAAAGTGCAGGTCCTAGTTCCAGTGTGAGTGTCAATGCGACGGAAACTACCAGCACTTCGAAAAATAGCGACCCCATATGTATCGTGGCAGATAGACCGGCACTTTCGCTTTCTGCTCCTCCCCTCTGTTGCGCTAGCGTCTAGAAAATTCCAGAAGCTTGTCCCAGTACATTAAGCAGGGACAACTATTCTTCGAAAGTTACCAGAGATACCACTATCTAGCTTGTGGTCAGGTGAAAAATTATTGTACATGTAAATTGTTCAACTTTTAGTGAAACGCGAAACGAAATTACGATAGTGATAGATATGCTATTCCAAAATCTATTGATAAACATGTGAAATTAAAATTTCTTTTTGTGATTTCCAAGATGGTGTTCAATGGTAAAGCTCATCCTCGGGCTCGGCGAAACCGAATACGGATAAATATGAATATGCGAAAGCTAACCTGTAGATACGGAAAACTGTTTTAAGATTATTGAATTTGTAAAAAAATATCAAACAAAACGGATAAAACTTTTTGCCTCCGACCACCGCGGGTGGTCGTGCGTGTGATGCAAGGGAGGCCTTACATTGGAACTTCAAACAAAACAATAACAAGCCAAAATTGAAAAGCGCAAGTCATGCGAGATAAAAAAAAGCAGAGAGAAGTCGTGCCAATCTGCGTGCGAAGCATAGCCTCCATAAAGAAACGCACGTACTTGCAGCTTTAATTTTGACAAGAAAAAGAGAAATGCAATTGAAAAAAACGCACTTGAAAATAAAAATCTGGCTACTTTTGGCTGCCGTGAAACTAAAAAGTGTTGAAGCCGTTGTTCACTTTCTCATTTTCTATTCAAACAAGGTAAATTTGCGTGAGTAGCTAGCTGGCTCAATAATGATCATCATTCAGCAAGATGATTGAGTTCTAAACCTGAAGCTGAATCATAAAGATAAACACGAGAAAGCTGCATTATTGCAAGATTTCCGCTCAGGGTGCCATGTAGTCTGCCACTTTTTTCTGTAAAAACTTTATCTAGTGTGCGTGGTACTTATCGAGAGTTGTAATTTTTTGTCACTGGAGGCCAAGAAATATCTTTGTTTTTTCCCCGGTACTGACGACGTAGACGCTGCCGGTTGTGAACGTAGAAGTCCCTCACGATTCCGGCGACCATGACGAGCTACCAGTAAGAATGACAATAGTAAACGCCGACTAATACGAAACTATCTTCAAGATGAAAAGGCATTTTTTTCAAATTCAATCGAGTCTAACTCTGGGATTCATCTAGCAAAGGAATACGAAGCACATGCTCGTCAATTGTAGTGAGTAGAAAACCAGATGCTGCAAACTGAAACTGTAGATCTATCAGCGGTATCCGGGGGGGTACGGCATGTTTCCGGCCATTGCATTTCGGTTGCCGTTGTCCATGTTCGCCGTACCTGCACCACCTGGGCGTCCGTAATAGGATCCCCCCATCATTGCCATCTGCGGACCACCAGCGTGCATCTGATTATACATCATTTGTGCGGCGGCCGCCGCCGAATTTCCCCCGTTCCCCGGAATCGCCCTACTCCCGCGTCTGTGCCCCGACCCAGAAGCTACTTTCGGCCTCTTATTCATGTGCTGCGCTTGCCGAGAAGCGGCATGTTCATGTTGGTTCATCAACATTGAACCAGCACTGAAATTAGAATTACTGTACTGCTGGGCCGCGGATGGATTCGAATTAGCCATGTACTGTTGCATGGACGCCAGGTACTGTCGATGGTGCGGCGGCAGCAAGTACTCCTGGTTTCTCGCGTCGGTCATCGAAATTCGCTGCGGCTTCTTGTGCGGGCTGCTACCCTGAGGACCCTGTTGGCCATGATACGGGACTCGGCGGTAGTCCGAGCTGGATGAGGAAGCCCCTTTCATCGTGCTGACGTGCTCGTCTCGCCTCCGTCCTCGGCCGTTGTGCCGGCCCGCACCGTGATGGCGAGAGGTACTATTTGTATTATTTCCCGAGGACGAGGACCCAGGGGCGGACTGGTGCTCCCCCAGACGGGCGAAATTCGCAATCAGCGCTCGGTCCCGCTCGGTAAGACTGTTCGACTCGTTGCGAGATTGGACGTTATTCCCGTCCGCCTGCGAATTGCCGTCCTCGTCTGTATAAGAACTTTGGCCACCAACGTCATTCCCTTCCTGCATCTCAAGGAGATTCACCGGCGCCGGCGCGGCGGCACTTCCTTCCGGGCGATTGTAGGACCGATTCCCGGCCCCGCGTTCCTTGCCCGGCTTTCCTCGACGACCACCTTGACCGTGTTTGTCGCCACCTCCACCTCCCGGCGGGCGGGCGGGATTGTTGCTTCCTCCGCCCCGGCTATTCCGAGCGGCCTGTTGCTTCGCGTGCGCGCCGGACTGCGCGAGGAGCGCGGACTGAGCACTGTTGTAGGCGCTGGGGGGAAGAAATGGCACGGCGATGTCCAAGCGCTTGTTCTCGGGAGTCGCGGCATCTCCGGTATTGTTGACCGCCCAAATCCCAAGCAGCTCGCTCAGCTGGTCCCTGCGCTGCGTCGCCGTGAGGTCGGGACTGCTGGGCGCGAGCGGTTTTTTCGAGGTCGAGGATCGGCCATCCCGGTTCGGAGTGGATGCCGCCGCCTGTTGGAGAGGCGTTGAACTTTTCTGGCCAAGCGGAAAGGCCGCAGAAGGACCGCGTTGTTGTTGACCAGGTGAGAGAGGAGTCGTGGCAACGTTGCTAGTGCTACCACCCTTGTTCGTTCGCCGTCCCGGCGTTCCCGCTTGTACTTGCTGCGCAGAATGATCACCTCCCAGTGCACCGCCTCCTCCGGACTCGGAACTATGCGTAGCCGGGCCACGGCTCTGTTCCCCCGTCTCCCCGGACTGACTCGACGCGTTTAAGCTGTCATTGGGGGAGCTCTTTTCCGAGCCCGTGCCGGACTTCTTTCCCTTCTTCTGCCCCCCTTGGTTGTGGTCCTTCATGACTTTCTCCCGATGCCGCGCGATCCGCTCCTGCTGCAGGCGACTGGCCTCTTCCTGTTGCATCATGATCTCTGCCGCTGCGCGATCCACGCTGTCTTGCTTCACCAAAGGCGGAGGCCGGTAACCTCCTCCCGTGCTTCTAGTGCTACCCTTTTGATGTTCTTCCTTCGCGGAAGATCCTCGTCGGCTGGGCGGATTGTACTGCTGCTGGCTGTTCATCTTCCCGCCCCCGGCCCCGGCGTAATCGAAACTATAGGGATTGGCGGTTTGGAGCATGTTGTAACTGTGAGGCGGGGGCGTCTGAATGGAGGTTGGAAGCATAGAGGATACAACTACTCCTGCATTGCTCGGGAAATGTGGGTGTTCCGTCGCGCCCGTCAAAGGTTGCGAGTACGTGGAAGAGGAAGTGGCCGTGTTCATATTCATCATGGTACTCTGCAAGTATTGCTGCATGCTCGCCATCTGCTGCTGTTGCTTGTAGCTCTGGCGTTCCGCCCGTTCCCGCAACAGCTGCTGCTTCTGCATCTGCTTTTGCTGCTTCTGTAGCTGCCGCAACTGCGCCCGGTCTTGCTTTTCGCGCAGAAAATTTTCGACAATCTCCGCCCCGGTGAGATTGATTTGCGGGGTACTAGAAGCGGACGCCTGCTGTTGATAATCGACTGCTGCTCCCGTATCTGCGCCGGGCGTCTGCTTGGAGGAGTCTGTTTCCGTGGCGGAGCTGGACGCGGAATTGACCACCTCGGAGATAATCCGGTCGAGTTGCCGCTGCTTCTCCTCTGCCGTCAGCTCCACGGGCTGCTGATCGTCCGGAGCGCGCCGCACATTCGCCGACCGTCGAGTGCCCTGATCGGTGGAGGAGGCTGTTGGTCCTCCAAACGACCTGGTATTCAGTTCGGAAGCCTGCTGTTCGCCGAAGCCTCCAGCTGGCGGAACGTGCTCGGAGGGGGTGGCAAGGACCTTCGCAAACCTACTGCCGGCATTGCTGCGGCTTGTTCCACCCCGCGAAGGCTGCACCAGCACGTCGCGCCGGATGTGGGCGGAGGCTGTCGGTACCGCGATATTCATCGCTGCGTCCGCCGCTCCAGTGGCGCTCTGCTGCACAGCCAAGGCACTGAGCCCGGCCGCACCGCCACGATACCCGGTCAGCGTCTGTTGCGGGGCGACCGACGCGCTTCCGCGAGCCTTGGAGGTTCCGGTCGCCGAGCGTTGGGTCATAGTGCCTTCCGTGAAGTCAGACAACATCGGCGTCGGAATGAACGCTCCCGTGGGCACCCCGCTGACGGACATTGGCGGTAGCGAACCGCTGATCGAATGCTTTTCGTTCGCAAGCAATTGTGCGGCAGCGTGCGGGTCCGCGATTTGTAGTGCCTGCCGCAGTCGCTCGTGGTGCAAATGCATCGTGGCGAGAGCCTGGAGGTGGTCAATGGTGTGGATAAATACGGTTTACGTTTATCAAATTCAAAAGCTGCGCCTGCGGCTGATATAGATTTCTTCAAGAAAAAATAACATCAAAGAGCATAGATACACCTTACACTGCATTGACGAGTAGACCAGAAAAAAGAAAAATTTGTGCTGGTAGTTCTTTCCTAGTGAACTGTAGTACCTTTTGGCAGTCTTGGAAGGTTTTCGACCACATTTCCTCTCGACTTTGTTGCACCATTTGGAGGGAGCCAAGTTCGTGCTGCATTTGCATAATTTGACCCTTCAGCATCGAGTTTTCCGTGATATACTTCTTCAGCTGCTTCTCCCGCTTCATCTCTACCGTCAGCCGGTCCACATTGTTCTGCTGAATCGCCTCATCCTTCGCTTTTACTGCGAGGTTCAGCATGAATGTCTGCGCCTCCGTGAAATCGTGCTTCGTCATCAAGGAACTGATGCTGCTCGTGAAAGTAGAACTAGTGGGAACAGCGGACGAGCTGGTCGTGGGTGGACCCCTGAGCCTTGCGGTGCTAGTACTGGCCGGGCCGGCACTGTGGTCAACCACGTTGGCACTACTAGTTGTAGTACTACCAAAGGCAGCCTTCGACGAGGAAATGAGGTTAGTATCGTGCAGCGATTCCTGATCCGCCTCGGACCGCTTCGTCGTTGCGTGGGACACCTCCGTGTCGGTCGGCACGGTGGTGGAGCCGAGCCCCCCCGTGGTCATCTGGACCGTGGTCGGTAATCCCTGCTGCTTCGTTGCCGCACTGGGATACGGGACGACGAGCTGCGAAGATTCGGGCCCGCCAGAGGAAGCCGCCGGCCCGAAGTCCGTCGACATGATCTGCAAATCGGACATCTTCGTGCGGTGCGCGTACCGCGGTAAGCCGTTGCGCAGGTTCAGCAATTGCAACTCCTTATCGGTGTCCGCGTCCATGTACACCGGTGCAGGGAGGTAGTCGGTGGGTGTGTTACTTTCCACCATCACCGGCGCTTTTTTGTTCGAGGAGGGTGCCAGGTCGGACTCGGAGGTGGTGCCCACATTAGCGTCGTAGTCTTGATCGAGGCCGCTCTGCTCTTCTTGGATTTGCGATAAGACGGGGTGCTGGTCTTTCAACAACAAGTGCTCCCGGTTCGGACTGCTCATCAAGCCACCTGGTTGTATAGTTAAAAAGGGTTGCTCTTGCTTTGTCGTATGTCTATTTTTGACGTCTGGTCTCTAAGTGAAATGCGGCGAAGTTCTTGTTCGGAACGCATAGCAGGGCCAATGGAGAACTAAGCATGTTGGAGGTGCCTACGGCTACGAGTTCAAAACCGAGCGATAAAGGATGGATTTTTATTACATGACTGTACTTGTACTGCACTCTATAAATTTCTAGCGTAGAAGTTGTGCAAGAATACCCATGGGATCTACGCCGACGATCTGATCTCCGGTGCTGGCGATTTGCTGCCGCAGGGCGTGGTCTTCATCGGCGTTATCAAAAGCATGCTTCGGACCGCTACTTCTTCCCCCGCTCTTATCCCCTGGGAGCGAACCGCTCCGCCGTCCTCCTGGAGCGCCTCCAGCCACCACGTGCTCCTCCGTCGTGTTTTTGCTGCTGCCGCCCTGTTGACTGATGTCTTCCAGTTGCAAAACTTGCAACTCTTTCTCTAACTCGTTGATGCGGGCCCACAACACGGACTCTCGTCGCTGCACGTCCTCGGCGGAAAAGTGAAAGCGGTCGAAGTTCACCAGCGGCGCCGGTGGAGATCCCGGGGGGGCAACTCCAACTGCTGGTCCTCCTGGATTGACCATAGTACCCGGCGGGAGAACGAGCTGTGGATTTTGCATGCCAGCCAGCTGCAGAAAATTCCGCTCGTCCTCAGTTGTGAACTTGTTTTCGTCGCTTTCGTTCATGTTTCCGTCGTCATCCTCGTCTTCTTCTGGCGATAGTTCTTGAGAATCGGACACGGATTCCTCCAGCTCGTCCGAGTCACCCTGCACTCCCTCCTGCAACTGCCGGAGCATGGACTCAAACCCGCTCACCACGCTGCCCCGATCCGGGGATCCACCTCCGGGAGAGGAGGCATGGTGCGACGTCGGACTAGGGGGACCTTGCTGGCGTAGCCCTTCTTGAAGCTGCTCCTGCTGCTGCGCTTGCGTCGTGTCCACATTGGAATCAAGATTGTAGTAGTCCACAGCTTGTTCCTCCTCCTGGTTAGTATTTGAGAGCAAATTTAGACTCGGATCTACTTCCTCAGCTTGATGTTCCTCTTGCGGTACGCCAGGAGCCGCAGCTCCATCTGCATCTACTGCAGAAAGATCTTCGGCGGGACTGCTCTTCTTTTCTGGCGTCGACATGATCCTCTGATTGACGTTAAGAGCAAGAATAGCACGAAGAACTCAAACGTGACAAAAAACTGGTAAAAAGCTCACATGGGATAGAATTTAAGCAATAAGAAGGACGGCCATACTAGACTTTAGTCAAAAGGGACAGTGTTATGAGGGCGAGGTTGTAAGTACTTGCTATATCAAATACAAAAACGAAAGCGAACTCACCCTACGCTTACCTAGCTTGACGTCGAAAATAAAAACAGAATCATCATCAACTTCCATGTGGCTGCAGCCGCCACAGGAGCCTATCAGAACAAAAAAAAACCTGTCACTTTTGTCGGGTTTTTAAAAATGATGAATCTTGCGAAAAACGCCATTTCAGTCGCGACGACACGAATGAAAAGACAGCACTTTCACGTTGACAATCACGATTTTTACGATGAAAAATCCACATCAATACGACGCAGGCGTACTACTACATCCTGAGCCGCATCTCACGCCGACGAAAGCCAGAATGGGTCGGGCGTTTGCTGAAACGAAAAATGAAGGTCACGCAAGCCTCCCTGCTGGAAGTAGTAGGTCACCACGACGATGCTGCGAATAATCTAGTCTGAGATCTTTTCACGACGTAAGGGCCCTGCTCTTACAGGACCTATTGTTTCAGTGCTCAATGCTGCACGTGCATGAAGTACAAATTTACAATTACAGCAAAATCTCATTCGAGCTTGTTGCACGAGGACACAATGAACCCGCCCACGGAAACATTAACATTTTCTCGAACGCACTGCCGCAGCAACACCAGTGGCTGTAAGCTTTTGTCACGTCTTGTTTACGAGGCAGGAACGAGGCTGGGTCGGTCAGTATTCGAGCTTCGGCTCAACTACACGCCGACGTTCCTAAACGAAAACGAAAGTAGTTCAGAATATCATCTTCGCAACGTCAGCAATTCAGTTCGTAATTGCACGATGTCAGGTATAGTAGCTATTAGTTTCTGAGTCTTGTTCTCATCTTCTGCAACAGACGAGCTGGCAAACGGCTTTTCGTAACAAATGGTCAGAGACGGCGCGCGTTCTGTAGTCCCGCGGAGCCGCTCCCTGTGGTCCTTCGACGTCGCAGTGTCATCGATTTTTGAAATCGTGTCTGCTATCCAATCTTGAGGCCTTTCCAAATCCACTAACTTTGTTTTCGCCAGCTGGAGAAGATTCGGGAGGAGGTGGTCCTGCCGAGGACCGATATCTTGAAGATTAGTCCTCAGTTGCGCACCACTGGCATCGCTTCCGCCGCCCACAAAGTCGCCACCCGCGCCTTCTCCCGCAGCGTCATCGGCAGAAGAAGATGAGGAGATGAGGTCAACCAAATAGTTCGACTGAAACCTCTGCATCCTGTCCCCGTACAGGTCCCGGCGGTACTTCGCACACAACTGCTTCAACGCACTAATTTCCTTCGCGGAGCTCGATTTTTGGTTGTTCCTAAAGTCGTTCAGTTGGTTTTCCATTTCCTCCATTTTCTTCGTGTATTTCTCTTTTTCCTTGTTCGCTTTCACGCATTTCTTCTCCAGTTTTTTCGATTCCTCGACCAGAATCTGCAGGTCGTTTTATCCTGAGTAAAAACGTACCCACACCAGAGTCAGGATGGGGATTTTGCAACACAAACCTAGGAGTTTTGTGAGTCACGCGTGACAAGTTGCACTCTGCAGTGTAGTGCAGGTTAGCAAGTGCAGCCGCATCACAAATCCAGCTGCTCATCCTGTTCACAGCATCACAAATTCCAAAACACGATTGGAAATGGCTCTCATGGGGATGCGCATTACAAGTCTTCCTGTCTTTCTCTTTGCAAATCTGCATTACAACTCTGGTGTGGAGACGTTTTTACACAGGATACGTTTTCCATCACCGCTTGCTGCTTTTTCAGTTGCACCACCTATCAACTGTAAAAATGTCTGGGTCTGGAAGATTCCGGCATTTGTGATGCACATTTTGTATGATCCATGACGCATGTAATGCATGATCTAGCATCACATCGGAGGTCTACGGGCAGTTCGTCCCTTTGCCATTCAGAGGCCTACTAAAGCCAGTATATGCTAAGCTACCTCGTAAAGTAAACTTCTACGGGAAAACTAAATCGGAAAAAACTTAGCATTGCTACTTAAGCGCTTGTGAATATGTATCTATGGGAATAAATTCTAAAGGCCTTTTTTAAGACGAGCGGTATCACATCACAGATTTTAGAGGGCTTCCTGCTGCCTATTCCGCATGAGAAATACCCTCTCCGCGTAACACAAACTGGACTCCTGTTGCTGGTCACGCAATACAGATTTTTTTTGCAATCCAAAGACAGCATGACAAGTTGCATTCTTCCAGACCCAGACATTTTTACACTTGATACCACCTCCGTTTTCGCGATGTCTCCGATCTCGGAGCTGACGAAAAACTTGGCGGCCTGTTGGTCTAGCTCTTTCGTTTTTCCCTGCAAGTCCGCTACTTGGGCGGAGAGTTTCTTGTTTTCATTCGTCGACTTCTCCAACTCTTCTCGTAGTTTCTTATTGTCCGGCTTCAAGTTGTTCATTTGTTGTAGCGCAATACTCAAATTGTTCGTTGCGATCTTCACCCACTGCCGGGGTAGTACGGGTTGCGACTCTGGTTCTTGGTTTTGATTGTATGTCGTAGTTGCTGAGCTATTTGCATCTGTTATTTTTCCAGGACCAGGTCCAGTCACAAGCTGGTCCACAACTAGCAGGGCTTCGCTTACAGTCTTTTCCAGTTTCTCAAAAATCGAAATGCTGCTTTTTTGTGCTGTCGTACTCGTTCCAAGCTGATGCGATTCTTCCTCGCACGCACGCAACCAGGACGTCAAGGCAGTGAGCGACTTTTGCAGCTTTTTCCGCTCCTGCGCACTCGCAGCGAAGCCTGACACTGTGACCGGAATCGTGGATCCTTGCAGCTGACTGATTTTCTTCTTCCCAACAAGTAGATCCTGGGCGACTTCTGCATCTCCGCCGGATGATGAAGTAGAGGCCGGCACAAGCTTTTTCTCCTCCAAAAGCAATTTCAGATCGCGAAAGTGCTCCAAAACCACAGACTTTTGCGCGCCAACCGCCGCATCGTCGTCGTCCTCCTCACTGATAATGTGTCTGCTCAACCTCGCAAAGGCGTAGAGCTGGTGAAACATCGGCGCACTCAGGATTCTATCTCGGTTCTGCTGCGTCGAGGAGGCGGAAACAGATGAACTTCCAACCCTCGCTTGCTCCTCCCCCTCATCTTCGGATTCCCCGCCCGCCAGCACCTTGGTTACCAGACTCTGAAATTTTGCCGCCATTGCGCCCGCCTGCGTTTGCAGCGACCCGGGAATGATGCCCTCCGGGTGCTCTAGGGCGGAAATGAGATTGTGGGAGAAGGATTCGAGCTCTTGGATGTCGGAGGCAACGTTGGCGATGAAGCTCAAATCCTGCTCAACGTCTTGCCGTAATTTTCTAGTTTTGATTCCCGAAGCTTCTCCTGCTGCTGCTGCAACTCCGTAATCTCCACCGTCCAACTTTGCGAACAGGGTCTTTAAGACAATCGCGAGGGAGTGCTGGATGCTCCGCAGGTCAACCTGCACCCACCAGATGGGCGCGCAGTCAAACCGGTCGGGAAGAGAATCGAACAGGAAGTCTGCGATAAATTCGGAGACTTGTGCGATCAGGTTGTAGCCCGAAACATCCAGCGGAGTAGCGTGGGTCTGGATCTGGTCGGGCAAACAGGCACGGAAAATCTCCAATTGCTCTGCGTAGGAACGGGAATACGCGGCAAGGAGATCGGCGCCTGATAAAGTTCGTCTTCGTGCGAAGTAAGTATGCATTACATCTGCAAAGGTGGCAGAGTACTATTTCACAAAGACGGAATGTTTCCTTGAGCAAAATGTGGTCCTCACGTGGGAACAAGATTGAATCAATGTACTTACCGAGCGAAATTTTCATCCCTTTCTCCTTTGCCGCTTCAACGACGTGCAGGTGTTTTTTCAAGTTACGCTCCATCTCCTTCACTTTTACCCGGTATTCCTCGTTTGCCGCGTAGGCTTGCTCTAGTTCCACCTGCATGTCGTTGACCGCGAGCTGAACTTGGTCGAGAACGGAGTTTTTTTCCTCCAACTGGTTCTCCAGCAGCTCCACCATCTCCGACTGCAAGTTCTGCAAATCTGCCTCGTTCCCCTCATTTTTCAACGTCAGCTGGGCGAGCTGCTTGTGGTCGGCCAGGTCGGCAGTGAGGTGGTTCAACTGACTCTCCTTCTGCTCCACTTCCCGGTCCCGTTTTTCCAGTTCCTTTATCAAAATGAAAAAAGCCCCCACCCCATATCAAATGGGAATCTGTGATGCAGGATTTGTGTACACAAATGCGCGCTGTCTTGCAATACGGCATCGCAGCCAGATCCGCAGCCTAGGGAGGGGCGTTTGGGTCTAGTTACTTAGCATCACAAAGGGCTGTCCTCTAGGCCCAACAGCATGCCAGATCGGTTCCATAATGGCGCGGAAGCCTCTGCGTTTGTCTTCTTGCAAGACAGACGTGATTTGTGGTCTCAAATCAGCAACACAAATTTTCGGAAGCATGCCTTTTCGATATGGGGAGGGGGGATATTTCCTCTCAATATCCTTTTTCAAAACTTGCAGCGCCTCCTCGTAGGCAGAAAGGGTGGACTGGGACTCGCGACCTAGGATTGAGATAAGAATGATCATATTTGCATCTCGATAGTTGTTCAACATGATGCAACTACTCACCTAGCAGCACATGCAGGAGCAAGCACGCACTGAGACTGATCAACACGCCACGCTAATAAATCCATATAGAAGACCTTTTAGCCGCACCATTCCCGCAGCGTCATCTGCCTCCTGTAATTTCAAGTTCAGTTCCTCAATCTCGCTGCTTTTCAACTCTAACTCCAACCGCGCGGTTTCCAGTTCCGCTTTCGCCAGCGTCTCGTTTTCCGTGCTCGCTTGGGCCTGCGTCCTGTTCGCCGCGGTGGTGGAGGCGTGATCTTTTAAGGCCTTTTTCAGTTCCTCGTTCTGGATGTGTCAAGATTGAAATCGACACAAAGTTCAAATAACTTGTATGTAATGCATAAATGGGATGAAAGTTTCTAACCCACTTCCAAGTGGCGCATGACAAATTTGGGTAGAACCGAAATCCAGTTTGTCACGCTGTTTGGGTAAGGAAGACGTCGTTTGTCATGCTACTTTAGCAGCTCAGCTTCTACCCCTCAAGAGGCTTACAATCTGCCTCACTTGCCTACTCTGCAAGAGAGGCAATCTGTGGGCTGCATTTTATACATGACAAACTAAGTATTTCAACTTTGACGATTTCAATCCTGACGCTCCCATACTCGTTCTGGGCCTTGTACTGCTGCGCGATCCGCTTCAAATCGTCGTACTTCTTCCGCAATGCTTGGTACTGCTGTTCGTGTTGCTGCCCCGCCGCACTTTGGCTGCTCGACTCCGCTGCCGCACTGGACGAGGTAGCCGCGGAACGCGCGGATTGCACCGACGCGGGCTGTGCCTGTTGCGCTGATGTCGCAGGTGGATTGTTGTTCGAAGAAGCTTTGCTACTGGACGCGGCTGCGGGATGTTGCTGGTCGCGAGGACTGCCGGAGGGCACGCGCGAAGACGCGGACGAACTACCAGAAGACGAAGAGGAAGTGGCGGCTGAAAAAATTTATTTGCCCTGATCATGAAGTACTACGTCAAACCGGCGCCAGTGTCGTGTGTCAGTGATTAGCGCATAAAATAAGCGAACATTACATCCATTTCCGCCATGCGAAACGTGCGCAAGCGCAAAAAATTCAAATCCGAAACAGCACGAGAAAAAAAAAAAACCAAATGCTGAGGAACATAAAAAATCTCCTCGATCTGAACAAAATACTCAAAGTACCTACCGCGGCACTTTTGGGCACGGGCGCTGCCGAGCTCGAGGGGGCGGCGCGGCTGGAGGAACTCGAGGCCACCGAGGCCGCGGACTCCTCCGCTTTGACCTGTTCGGCTTTGACGAAGACGCCGTGCTTCGGCTTGCAGCTGAAGTACTTCTTGCCCTGCACGCTGCCGTCGTTCTTCCCAACGGGTTCGTCCAGTTCAATGCCGACCCAGATGCCGGGAGCGAACGGCGGGGTGCCAATGTAGCGCACATGTCCGAGTCGGCGGTTCACGCTCACCCGTTGACCCAGCGCGAAGGGCATCTCGCCGTCGCGGGGGCTGCTCCCCGAGGTTGGTGCCTGCATCAGAGAGGTGGTGCAGCTCTTGTGGTATCTGCAGACGGTGGCAGGGGTCGTGTGGGTAGCTTTTCGAGATTTTGCCTTGCTTCAGCAGGGAAGCCGCATTAAATACCGACCTTCATCGTTTTCAGCCCACATTCACATAAGTACGTAAAGGCAACGCTTCGGCGCAAGTGTAAGTGATGGTGATCTAAATTGCTCGACATAAGAATCAGAAGGCGTCCCTCACGATACTTTACTCCACATGGCTGTGGGAATTTTCTTCCAACGCAGATGGATCATGATCCATGAGAAGAGCTATCTTCAAGACGAGAACGGCAAACGAAACAGACTAGAGGGCCACATCATCAGAACAACGCCGCGGCTCCGGTTGTAAAATGAAGACTTTTGGCCGAGTCCTGTATTGTCAACTATGGAGCTTGACGTTTTGTTTCTGATTCACATCAACATTTTCACGGACATAGAAACAAGCCCTATGCTTCTTGTTCTTCTTCGTGTTGGTGCTATTCCGATTGATTTTGATTGTGATTCGCATTCGTTTCTTTCGAAAAATAAAAATATAAGAATAAGTTGGATCGGACCGGAATTCTGAAAACAAGGACGCAAGGACTGGGGTGGAATCGGGGCTGTAAGAGCTCCGGCGAGTTACTTCATGAGCTAAACTTGACCACGCGTACTAGTTTTAGTAGAGGCGGCTAACGAGGAACCTGCACCCCGCCCACGTCTCATACAAACCCCGGGCTTATCGACATCATGCTTAAGGGGGGACAGGGAAATTAGCCCAACCCTGGCAGGCCCACCGATAGTCTTGTACCGGCCAATGTAATAACTTCACGCGCCAGACGGGAGCACACGTCGAACCCTAAACCCTGTCTAAGTTATCAGTCACTTCCATACTAGTCTGGTTTTCATCTAACTATACAAATTTAATTATTTTTTCTCATGCATCTCGCCTCGGCCTGATTGACATTTTTCATTTCGAACCCTTTTGTTGAAGATAAAATTTTGGATCCAATTAGTAGCTCCACGGGCGTGTACACACACACCGCCCTTGAGGCGGCATGCAATGCACAGCACTGGGAGCAGGATCTTCTTTAACTTTTTCCGCTTTGTTCGAGAGTTTTCTACTCCACACCGCAGTGGATGCCATATGGATTGCTTCGCTCTTTGGCAAAGCATTCACTTTTTTTTTCTCTGCATGCTTCTTGGAAATTCATCCTAAATATCGTGCCAAATCCCGAGTCTGTTGCTATGAAGCAGGGATTGAATTAAAATTCATCCGCTCCATTTGTTTCACTTGAGAACGAAGCAAACAAAAATAGGTACGAGCAGTGATGGATCAGCATGAAGTTGCATTTTTTTGCACCGGGCTAATGAGAAGGAAAAACAATATGGCGCAAGCTTCTTCGGTACTGTAATAGCTACCAAGGTGAGCCAGAAACTGCTCTCGAAGGAACTGCTTGACTTCGAACTGACTTGAGAAGGAAAAACAAGAAGCGGCTATGCAAAAAAATTATATATATGTTCTCTAGTTTCGGGACTCAAATGAACCAAACTAGGCCGATAGGTTCTCATGTCGCCAAAAAAAACGTGCGTCAAACTGGAAAAATTGAGAACGGTGCTGCCACAGTGCACTGTTGTTGCTTGAGTGCACCGCTTGCTCATGGACAAGCAGCACCTAGCGATGCAGGCACACCATGAGTAGCGGAAGCGTTTCAAGCTACTTATTTATGGAAAGATAGGTAATAAATAAAGGCATGGAAATTTATAACTTGATCTAAAAACCAGACGGGGTATCGTATCCCAATATATTCCCGGCATTCAAATCATGTGGGAACAAGATGTAAACCAGTCGAACCATCGAAAATTTAACTTTTTTTTTTGGTGGCTTATATGGAAATGTGAACTACACTATGCAATGCCGTCGCGGTGCGGATGCGGCACAATGATTTTTAGTTTTTCCGTTTGAAATCCGCAGACCAATAAGCACAAGCTGAAGTACTATACGTACTCTGGGCTCGCTTGGTCTTCCAAACGAAGTGATTGGGTTTTAGTCAAAGCATTGAGTGGCTTCAAGTGCAACTTTTCACTTTAAAACCGGGATAAAGAAAGGACTAGATTACTGGGTCTCTTCTCTCAATAATCATGCGTTATGGGGTTGGGGGAGGACACCTCTGTAGCTGTACTCAGCTTCTATGCAAACTACTTACCTTTGTTAAGCTACCTAGGCACACCATATAAAGATCCTCGCGATGGTCGCGTATTTTCGTAGTTCAAAATTATAGAGCAGGACTTCTACAGATTTCGTGCCAAGTACGAATAGGATCGAATCGAGTCGAAATTTTACAGGCTTGCTATGCTCGCAGTGGTGTGACGGTAGCACTGGAGTACAACAACAAGAAAAATCACAAGCGAAACTGCAAGCGTGTATAGCTGTCGCGTCGCTCCAAATTTTCCTGCAGCGTTACGCGTGTGGAGGTGGACAAAATAGGAAACTTGCAACGGCCGGAAATATTAAGAATGTTAGTTGAAATCTGTCCATTGGATTGGGAAGCAAAACTAAAAAAACAGAACAACAATAACAATTTGGTTGGATACACTTACACTTACATTCCATGCACAAGAAATGCTTGGCCATCCTTCATAATTTCTTTGATTGTTGCCTGAGAAGAAAAACAAGTACTCTGCCAATATATTTGGTTTGGGAAGTAAGGCTTTGGGAAACACCTGTGGGAGTGGGACTGGGCCTGGGAAGTAGAAATAGTGTAAAACATGCAGCATTTGCTACAACAACTTTCTTCTCGCATGGAGCGGGTTACCAAACCCGAGCATGCATCACACAATAGCGACAGCAGTTGTGATGTGAGATACGCTCCTCGTTGGCCAATCTTCCTATGAATAAGCTCAAGAAAGACTACACGAAGGCCGGTAAAAAATCAAGTGCAACATACTGTAAAATGGAATCGAATCAAAATGAAGGGAAGTTAAAAGTGTCCTAAACCCTGAAACCTAAACTAAACCCTTTCCGGATCGAACTTGTGCAGCAGGAGAAGGCGTTCGAAGGCGAGAAGGGAAGTTAAAAAGTGAAAATGTGAAAAATCATTGCGTTTCCGAAAGGATTAATAGATAAAAAAAATATGTGAAGTTCCAGTTAGGCCGGAATATCACGAAACTATGGCCCGGTTGAACAGGTAGCTCGTATGTAATACTGCTGCTGCTCCTGCTGTGATCCTCTGCGACTCAATATTTGACAGGGAAATATCTATCGACAACAGGCTATGAAACCACACGACGCAGGGCCACTTATCCGAGAAAACATAAACGAAGTTTGTAAGTGCAGCTGCATGGGCTCACTTCCAAGTGAAGGTGAGAAAGACCGGTCGGTGTATGTTCTTCGGAAAAAACGGATCGAGCATTGCAATGGGCACTCGAAGATAGTGAGCTGTCACTAAAAGCAGAAACGATATAACGAAGCGAAACTCAAACCGCTTACAATGATTCGCTGCTCATCATTCTGGATAGCATAGCAGAGCGAGCACACCTTCTGCGTCTTCGGTATGCATCACGTCGAAAGGAATAAGGAAAACGTGAACTCTTCACGTCATACTTACGCAGAGGAGAAAGCACAAGTAGAGAGTGGCGCTATTAATAAAACAACCGTGTCAAAGTCGCACCCATTGTGAAACTTCGAGTTAGATGTCGACGCAACCCCTTTGAGTGTGTGAGCAATGTTTTACCTCGACAAAAAACTGCGGCGAAGGATCAAGGATGGAAATAAGACAGTGACCTTAGTTATCTATCATCAGAGAGCAGGATTATGTACATAGTATGTCAAAAGGAGAAATGGATCCTAGTGAAGCGAGGGGCTTCGACTGGTCCACCAGTGTGCCAGATCCAATACATAGGAAACAGTCGCGGTTTTGTTTGACACGATTTTCGCCACGAAACTCTCGTATAATCTTAGCACAAGGCTGAGAGGCGCAAAACCTAACGTCGTGCACGCTTTTCAAGAATATTTCATCACTTTCGCAAAATTAATTGACGTTTCGATGACCGAGAGTCTACTAGCTCTACGTACGGTGGCATATGAAAGAAACATCCTGTAGTAGATCTACCTGCAGCGCTCTATTTTCCTAAAAAACATTTCGGCGCGTTCTTTGCAGTCGAACTCCACACTTGTGCTTATCTCTGGAAAATACCGTAGTACCTCCCTGCGACTTGTAGAAGTTGCGGACAATTAACGTTGTTCATACAGCAGCGTGAATCAGAAGTGCGAGGGCTTCCTGGAGAAATAGTGTAGATAGGAATGTCAGAAAATGAAACTACAGCTACTATCTGATTTCAGGGGCGTCGGAACCCCTTCGACATGTCCCGCGTCTTCGGGAGTTTGGTTGTTGGTCCGACGAATCGAAACTCACGTGGATCCATGGTGGGCTGGTGGGCTGGTCGGACATGCGGCACAGACCCAGCTGCAGCCTCCGCCTTCCTGCGGGTGGAAGAACTCGGCACGAACAACTCCGACTTCTTGGTAGCCATTGCTGCCCGCCGGGGTTTCAGCAGCTTCTTCGCCACTTTCCGGAAATCGAAAACCGTTTTCCCCTGGGCCACGATTTTCTTGCGGAGCGGGTCGTTGGTGGTCTTCTTGATATGACGTTGCATTCGTACCGGGGCAGCCGGGTGGTCGACGCGCGCGGCTTTCGCTGTCCGCCAGGCCGACAAAAACTGATATTTCAAAAGAAAAACTAAAACTGTCCAAAATGCTCCTGCATATGTGCAGCAAAATAAAGCTTCGACCCTTACATTATGCCATCACGTTCTTGCAGGTCGTATTACGGTACGTGTAAAAAGTAACAGTAATATCGCAACAGCAGATATGCGTACCTGAACCAAGCCGGGTTTACGCGCTCTGCTCCGGCATTGTCGTTTCTTTGACCACACTTTCATCGGGGTTTTGGCCTTCATGTTCGCTTTGTACCTTTGTAGTATCTTCTTGCTAAAAAGTTGTAACTGTCCTCTCAGTGCGCCCCTGTCCCGTGTCCTTTTATTTTGTGCCGACAACTGGGAAACCCCGAGCACGCCGGTGTTAGATTTTTTTCCTCCCGCGAACTTTCCAATTCCCGGTTGCAACGCCCCCGCAACGTTGAGAGACAACCGCCGAAATACTGTGGTGTATAATTCATGCGAAAATGTTGAACACGAACATAATGCCCGTTTTGACACGTTTACTTCTGAAGCTTCCCAACAAGAATGTCTTACTTTTCATTGGCTGTCACTCGTGTTCGCCATGACAGTACTACCGTTCACCCGATGAGCATCAATCACATGGATGACAGGCTCCTTCTCCGACACCGACGCATCGGACAAACCATTGTAGAACAAATATTTATGATACGCTTTGCGTCCTCTAACGCAGCTGCTTTTGCCTCGCGCCGGGTCGGTACTGGAAGTCCCTTTTCCGAGGCTTCAGCACGAAGCTTGCGGAACTTCGGCGCGACGAAAAAAAACCTTTTGTTTTTATTCCTCTAGCACTATCTTGCTGTTCATGAGCATGTATTCTTGGGAGAAAGGGCTAAACATTCATCAAATGCACACTTCGATCATGTCCCTTATGCAAATATGCGACGTAAATCGAACTATTTGTCTTTTTTCTATTCATATTTCATACCGCTTCATCCTCCGCGTTGTCTTCTTTCCCACTTCCCTGTGCTTAAACTGCACACGCCAGCAATCGTATTCCGCTGGGTCCTTTGATGGTACTGGGACCTTACGCGTGCCGAACACTTTCTTCTTCAAAACGTAGACATTATCTTGGTCCTCGTAGCTCACCAACCCTCTTCGTGCGTGTTCATCCTCAAGCTTATCCTTTGAGCGCGCCTTCTCCAGCAAGAACAACTTCATGTACTTCCAGCCGGGCACGTAAGTGATTCCCTGACGTGGGGTAGTAATCAATAGTTCTTGGTCTTCTTATTCATTTCTACGAGCGGGGACTTGGCAAATCCCAAAAGGCAACAAAAAATCTGCCAACATTTATAGAAAGAGCGAAGTAGCTTATCAAACCTGGTGGTGAAGTAATTGTGACCCAAACTCCATCAACGCATCTACAACTACGTACACCAAAACGCACAAAATACCCGAACATCTGGACGGATGGGTTTGCCGCGACTGCGAAGGTGCGGAATAGCATGAGGCAGGGGTCGCGGCAGGGGTACGCTGGGCGACCACGCGACATCGCTCTCCGAGGATGGAGAAGAATCATTGGCACTGTCCGTGCTGGAGAACGGCGAAGAATCTGGTCATTTGAAAAATAAAAATTCGTCGACATTGTCCAGTCCATTAAATTATTGCTTGTTCTTTTCATACATGTCAACACAAAGAAATAGATTGGCGAAGATATGCTGAGCGATTCCCTCGCTGGATCAGCACCTCATTTACCGGATGAGCACTCCCTGCTTCGCGCGAACCGTTTTCCCAAGTCCTTCTCGAACGCTCTCCGCAGAGCGCCAAGCGTTGGCGGGAAGGCCGCTCCAGATCCGCAACCAATAGTATGGAACTTGGAAAATATCCTAGCGCGCTTGCCAACGCGTCGCAACTTTTCAAGTACCCACACCCTGCCTTCTCACGAGGCGTTACAACAGCAGCTCAAACAGGAATGAGAGCGCAGCGATCCTTCCAAGTGCATCTTCTATTTTTCCACATGATCATGGGGGCTGACAATACACGTAGTTCTCTCGTGGAACAGTTGGCTACGCTGGCACAGGCAAACGATCACTTTCAGTCTGGATATGGTAAGAAGGCTGGTTCGATCTTGAAAGGCACTGGAAACCCTTTGCTACTTGTTGTCGAGCAGTGACTTGAGTTCGACTGTTCGCCAAGACAGTGCTCCTCGTACTCCAATCTCGCCAAAAACTCCTGGTACACTGACAGGGCGGACTGCTTTTTTTGCTTGTCCTGTTCACCTGCTTCAACGCCAGTCTGCAGCCGCATCCTCGTGTACTCGGCGTCCAGAAAGTTCTCAGCAGCCTCCACTTCTTCCACATCGAGGAAATTGTAGCAGTGCATACCCTGGGGCATCTTTCCGGAATTTCCGAAGCAGGCCCGGTGCAGATCGCCATGCGCCGCAATTTTCGTATTCGTGCTCCGAAAGAATGCGCAGCAGAGGCAGCAGGAAGCGCCTGTGGTCACTGCCGGCCTTGCGCGATGAAAACGGTTCTGGTACGCGTCTTCGAAAAATCTGCGGCAGCAGGCACCTGGTGATAAGTATGCATTTCCGTTTGATTTTGTAAACGATGCGCAAGCCCTTCTCTTAACTATCATCAAGAATACGAGCACCAAAAAAACGCACGAAAAGTCACTTGCCTTGTTTCTTCAGAAACGCTGACAAAAGTCCCTTCGGCATGCCAATTCCTTGATCCGCGACCGCCGGTGGAATTTCCACTTTTCCTTGATGTCCCGGAGCGATGACCGTCGGTTTGGGGTGATCAAAAACGCGAAACGTTGAAATGTCGAGAGCAGTGGGAAACGAAACGCCCACGACACATGCGTAGCTGTCGGTCACTACCTGGCTGTCCTCTTTTATAGACCAAGTCCACGCCATTGTGACAAGATGAGCGGGCGACACGGACCCGGCCCGCGCATTACAGCGGCCCTCTACATTATCCAGGAGGAGGAGACAAACCAACTTCATCCAAAAGCGCTAATGATACATAGATACAGCTTGTAGAAGCCTGCGTGGCTTATTTTTTTCCGTCACCTGCATGAAAAAAGGAATTGTTGTCGGCGGGGGAGTGCAACTCTCGGTGCCGGCGCTGACCTTTTTGTTTTTTGTGCATGTGCTCATCTGCATGCTTATTCTGGTGATTTTGCAACTTCTTGGACGAGAGGTTCTGTCTCTTTGGATACAGCGTTTTCGTGCCGAGTGGCCCACAAATCCCCCACTGCACCAGGTCCACTCCGGCTACGTTGTCGCGTCCGGGTTGCGTTGCGCCGAGCGTGAAAACCGGCCTGCCAGTGGCAAGCTCCGATTTGTACATCGGGTAGATCAGGCCCCCGACCTGCGTCACGGTATGCGTCAGGAAATACCATCCGCTCACCTCCGGATAGTTTTCGCTTTTCAGCAAGACCTTGGCGGGTGGGTGGGTGGTGTCTTGGATGCAGGAGGTGAGCCGCTGATCGGCTTGTTTTTCTTGGGCCTTATCTGCTACCTTGGAAAAGCTGCGGGGTCTTGGCTCAGCCATGTTGCTCAGCTGACGGCAAGCTATGATCTTTCTCCCTTCTACTACCTTCGCTGGAAGATGAAAAGTTGAAGCGCCATGATCGCTGCTGGTATCTTCGTGCTCGGTTTCCAGTGGACGTTCACGCTTAGCTGCGGTCGCGCAGGAGGCAAGCGACGAAGCTGTTTGCTTTTTTTTGCTTTTCTCGTCACCAACCAAATGCCCCCCTGCGTTTTGTTGTGTTTCGCATGTCGCATTGTTCGCAGACCTATTCACGGAAACGGGTGCAGCTTCCCGCTTTACTTGTTGCAGTGGACGACCCAAAAAGCCGATACGTTCTGACTGCGTTTTAGTGGAAGGCGAGTGCTGCTCCTTCTTGGCGCGCAATGTTCCTGCCTCCTCGCAAGTATTGGGGAAGATGAGACCTTGCTTGACCCGAAACCGGGGTGATTCCGGCGACGTTGGTGAAGTGGGCTCTTTCTTAATGCGCACAGGATCGCGCTTGCTCGTGCATTCAGGCTCGCAGTTGACCCGGCTGCAGCGACGACCAGCGGCCCCGGGTGAGGTGGGCGCGCACTTGATTCGGGTCGTGGAAGCGCACTTCTCTCGCTCTCCGGCCGAACTCGTGGTGATCAGCTCTGGGTCCCGCTTGATGGATCTTTCAATCGTCACGTTTTCAGGAGGGGGCACTTCTGCCTTGAATTGAACGTCGGGAGAATCAAGAGACTCAGCTTTCAAAATAGGAGTTTCGCTAACCATGGGTGACGCCGATGATCTTTTCTCTTGCTTGATGCTAGTTTTTCCGCTTTTTTCAAAATCAGGACCAGGATTCGCTGCTGGCTGGTGCTGACTGGAACCGCCCTGCCTGGACAGGGACGCGGATGGGTCGTTGCCAGGGTTTTCCTGTTCTTTCTTGATCATGATCTTGGAGCGGTCGTCTAATAGTCGTGGCGAGTCCGGCTCTTGGTGTTTCTTTACTTGTGCAAAACCTGCTCCCGCTGCTGGTTCCGGTTCGGCAGCGCCGCAGGTAACTTGTGCATTGTTGTGATGGTTGCTTCTGGTGCTTCCAGTCTTGATCTCCGAATCCAGTATCGCCAGACGAGCAGCTGGTGCGCGTTGCTTGTCTAAGCGTTCTGCTCCTTTTTCGCCCAACAGTCGCATGGCGTGGCCGTTCTCGAGCAGCGTCCTTGTACTAGAGCTTGTCGACTGAAGATTTGCATTCACGTTACCCGCAGCAGCGTTACTGTTTCTGGCGCTGCCCTGCTCTGCATCTCGAATTCGTCGTAACAACCACACCAAGACGGCCCTCTCTTTGAAATAGGTAAAAATCTCGTTGAACAAAATATCCTCGCGCGACAGTTCGCTCTCCCCTGAATTTGCACGGGCAGCCGCAGCAAGTAGGTCTCGTTCTCGATCGAAGTAGTTGCGTATCTCGGAAAAACTTCTGCACAACCATGGCGATTCTGGCTGGTTGTGTGCTGTTTTATTATGAAAAAGGACCAACATTCGTTGCTGTTTATGTTTTCAAAGAAACTACGTATCGGTATCGTAGGTGGGAATGTTTTTCGTGCTCGTAGATGATGGGCTCCAAGAAATTCACATGTCAAAGAATAAATGGGATCCAAGAAATGAATATTTGGGTGTTCGCTTCATTCATTCTCCTACAACAGCACGATCAAAGAAAAAAAAAATCCTCTCAAAAAACAAGACACACGCAAGTGATACCGGATGGATTGCAGACATTCGCGAATGTCTGTGTCGCACTGTGACTGCCTCTGTACCATTTTAACGATTTCAGCAATCCCTTGTGGGACCTGTGCGGCTTGTGAAGCTTCGCGGCAAATTTAGGAGGCAAGAGGTGGGTTTCTAGATCGATGTCTTGACTCACTTATCCCTGTGCAGTCGTTTTCTTTCCGTCGGCTTGTTCTTTTATACCTCGAAGCTATGCACGCTGCATTCAATGATCTAAATTTATAAAAAAAGGGCGCTGAAAGTCATACAAGTCAGTGCAAACAGAAATGCTATCCAAGTCCAACCTTGGATGGGCACATAAAACTACACACAGTGCCTGTCATTTTCATTCCGCTTATCTGAAAGCAGCAACTGTTGCGAGGAAAAAAACTTCTTGACACGGCATACTATTTCGATGAGCTCGATGATATGAACGTCATCCGGGATGTCATTGCTCGTCGGTGCTGGCACATTCCCCGGCAAAACGAGATCTTCCGCCGAGAGAGCCGCATGGGCATGTGGCATCGTTTTTGCTGCGCGGTCAGCGCAAGCAGCAGATGAATTTAACCCGTCCTCGATCGCCCACGACGGCGGCTTTTCGCCACTTGGTGCTCTTGCTGAGAAGGCCGAAGAAGAAATGGCCGACACTTCGAGCGCATCTGCATGAATGTTGCGATGAGAGACCTGCAGGGAGCGACAAAGCGTCGACGACGAGGAGGAGGAAGACGACGCCGATGCTGAAGCGTAAGCCCGCTGGAGCTGCTGTAACTGACATTGATACTTTTGAGCCTGCGATGCTAGCTCTCTTCTTTCGCTGTTTGTCTTCGTTCCAGCTGTGTGGAGCCGAGTCTGCAGCAGCTTCGCTGTTTCCACTGCCTTGGTCTCGCCAATCGCGACCGGCGCTTGATGCCGGGAGTCCACTGCAACAAGGCCATAGCAGTTCCCTGTGCCACGCTTTTCATGGTAGGCAATGGCATTCGATGTGAACTTACGCCACGCCATTCCCCCGCTTGCGGTCTTGACGCGCTGATAGCCATAGTTGATGTGTTTTGTGTCCTTGAGCTTGCCCACATCGATCCACTCGTTCCTGGGTGGCAGGGCTGCGTTTAGCCCCGCAGCGCTGCCGTCGCCAGTGCTCATTGCCTTGGAGAGCTTCTCTTCTGGCGCTGGCACTATACTCAATCTTAAACGAAAGGCAACACACAGAGACTATATCTCACGGAGGTGTCCTCGTCGTGACGAGAAATTCAGGAATCCCATCTACACCTGAAGATCGCCTTAAGGGTGAGCCAGGGAATGCTAAACGCACGAATTTCAGTTTTGAATCTCTTTGAGTTTGAGCATAAAACAAATGAATCTAGATCTACTATTCGTTCAATCAATCCTTTCCATCGCAGCTAAAAACAGTTCCTCAACCATTTTTTATTTGTCCCATTATTTCTTAAATCCTACGAACAGGCGTGGCAACATTGAATCTCGGTGGAAATAAATAGAGATTGACACTCGACAAGGACATCCAGACCGAACAAGACACGGATAACTGACTCGGACTTCATGGCTTCAACAGAAAGAAACTACAGCGGAAAAAGACACGACCGAGCTGGAACAGACACAACAACATCAAAGAAAGTGTCCTCGCTCAGTGATCTTCTGCACGCTCTTGCTCTTGTGATTGTCCATGCTAGCTGGGCATGAATCTTTGGGTAAAATCGTGAGAAAAAGTGTGCCTATATGTATCGCTTACAGTTACAGGACACATCAAAGCAGACGCTGACGCATCATGTCCCATTTTTGGTCTTTTGTTTTCTTTTTACTTTTGAAATTCACATTCAGAGCTTTCATCCCCTCTTTTTCCGTTTAGCTGAGTCTCTGAGTTCAGTTTCCAAAAATATCTTGCTGCCTCTTTGCTTCGTAACTGAAGCTACTTTGTGTATGAAGCTAGCACTTTGAGAAGAGCAATGGCCTCAAAACAATCATAACTTGAAAATGTAGTTTTGGATTCGGTCCGCACCCACTCTCGCTCAGCTGATTATGCAGCTAAAACAGCTCTTTTGTTTGGTTCCGCTAACATTTTGAGACGTCCATATTGAATTCAAACAATGATGTCTCTGAAGGTCCATGAAACACGAACATCTGTTGGTGTCGAGGGCGACGGTTCATGGTGGATCCACGTCCACCAACTTTGAATCAGAACAGGGACAACACTCCGCGAATGTTTTTTTTTTCTCGTTACTCCTGCTCGGGAGCATTTTTACAAAACATTGGGAAGATGCTTTCGCTAAATTCGTGTCAGCCGCCGGCGCGACTGACTTTGATTCCTTCTTGGAAGAGATCGAGCATACGCTTACTAAAGCGGTTTTGGTAAAACATCTTCGCATCCGAGTTTGTCAAACCGCTGCCTGTCAATTTTAATCCGGTCGCTTTTTGGCGCCTCTTAGCTTGCCGCCTAGCCACGGCAGAGTTGTCAACCTCTTGGACCGTGTAAGCTTTTCTGTCTCCTCCAGGATTGGCTGAGAATGGGTCATCGCTCAAGCCCAGATCGGAAACCTTCATCAAATCGGCGAGATTTTTCATCTCCGCCCCGCGGGATGCAAAACTGATGGGCTTGTTCTCAGGTGAAGCGGGCTCAGCATCGCTTTTCGAAAAGTTCTCTGCGGTACTCTTTGCATTTGCGGCTGCAAGGTTGGAGATATCTGTAGTAGCGCTCACGTCTCCCGTAACTCGTGCTGCGGACGCGGAGGTTGGCGTTGATGCGACTTTTTGAAAGATTCGCTTGCATAGCTCATCAACGTCTTCATCCGTTGTGTGCTCTTCCAAAAACGGCCCTAGTAATTCGGCTAATGCTTCGCCGGTCTCCGGCTGCTCCTCGCACACCATGTCAACTGCATAAGCGCGCGTATCCTCGTCCAGGTTTGGGACGAGATTCTCCAGGGCGGAGGCGAGGCTCTCGCCAGAGATGACCGTCGGAATCGGCATGTTTATCTTCTGGCACCTCTACTTAGAAGCAAAAATCTCAGCCTTTGTCATATTAGCGCACTGAATAAGAGCACTGCAAGAGTAAACTCTAAGTAATAAGCGTTGTGCGGCGCCTGCGCAAGTGCGGAACAGAAGCGGCCGGGGGTGCCGCGAATATGGGGCCAGTCAGGCGCCGCCTGTTCGCTGTGTGATTTTTCCTATATCAATTTCAACTTGTGCACGGGCATGGAACCTCGTACAAACTATCTTCCAACGGCTCGTGCTAAAAGCTCGGTGAAGAACACAGCTTTTCTACGATCGCGCTGGAGTTGGTAACCTTGCTGCATGGCGGCCGCAATTGAAGCATGCTACGCTCACACATTCATGCACTACTGGTCAGAGGTTGAAAAGATCGAAAGCATCACACGCAATGTCAATTTATTTCACAGATTAGATCGACATAAACAAAATAAAGTTAAGGCGCGCAGCTGGGCTCTACTCTACAAATTTCACCAAATGATTTCGCGGAGCAGGATTTTTGGTCGTTTTGCGAAGAGCAGTCAGATCGTGTTCGTAGGATTCACAGCAATACTCGCAGCAAATTTCTTTTGCAGCGAGCTTGATCTCCTACATTTCTCTGATCAACCTCTCCACTACCCGTCATTTTCAGCAGGAGCGTCACGACCTCCACTTCCAGGGCGGCCGTCGAGACGTTTGTCATGCTCATTCGCACTGTCTCGACCAAGCGTATCTCCAGCCACATTCCCTACCCGCGGATCAACTTCCAGCTGCGTCATGAAGGCTTGCTTTGTGACACCTTCGGTCCCGACGTTCTCTTCTACCTGATGGCTTTTTCCGTTTTGTGCATCTGGCAGTGCAGCTTGCGGTCTGCTTCCCTGTAAAAGACTTTCTCCACCTCCATCAACTACGTCGTCCCAAAAGCCATCATGCTGCGAGTCAACTACATTTCCTGTCCCCGTGGTTTTTCGCTCGTTTTCCGCAGTCTCATCTCCGGCCCCACTCTCGCCCTCGCGCATGACTTCCTCTGCTTTCGTCCCCCCGTGCTGGTCTTCATGAGCCGGATCTTGCTGTTCCGGCTCATCCGACCCGCCAAAACCTAAGTCAAGATTCCCGTCGACTCCGGAGGAGTCCGTCACTCCCCGGTCTTCCACTTTCCTTTCGTAGTTGGTTGCTACGCGCAGCGCGGCTTGGACCTCCTTTTGCTTTTTCTCCGGACTTTCGCGCTTCGACGGGGACTGAAAAATCCTCTGACTCACGTCCTGCATGCTGATCACCTTGCCACCGCCCGCGTCGAGGGGTCCCGGCTCCGCAGAGCTGCTGCGGTTGTTCGCGGCCCCTGCTCTTCTCTGACTTGCCGGCGATTGCGATTCCCGCCGCGCTGTGGAACTCCCGCTCTGGTCCTTCTCCCTCTCCCGAACCCGGGCCAGGTCCGCGTTCCCGACGGATTGTAACTTCGCCTGCCGGTTCCGCGTCATGATGTCCTCTTGACAAACCAAACACATGTAGCCCCCGGGCACCGGCGGGCCGATGCCCTGGGTCAAAAGCAACAGTTGTTGGTTCTCCTTCGTCAGCTGTGCAATCTTGCGCTTCATGGCGGTGTTTTCCTTCTCCAACTTGCCGCTCTTCTCCGTCAGTTGCTGCGTTTGGAACTCGAAGTCCGCGGACCGCTGCTGATACAGCTCCTTCTCCCGCTTTTCGAACAGGTACTTCGCCCGCATGTCGTCCAAATCTTCCTGCAGTTTCTTGATCCGGTTGTTCAGCATCTGTTCCTTCTTCGCGGTTTCCTTTCGAAAATCCGCGAACTCCTGCAGAATCCGCTCGATTTTGGGCAACAGAACATTCCGGATCTCGTGTTCGTGTTGTATTCTCGTCGCGGTTATCAACTGTAAAAATGTCTGGGTCGGGAAGATTCTGACACTTGTCATGCACGTTTTGCATGAGCCATGATGTCGGTGATGCACCCCCTAGCAATACAGATTTTTTGAGGGCTTCTTGATGCGTATTCCGCATGACAAATGCCTTCTCAGCGTAGCAAAAATTGCCTTTCCTTTGGTACTCATGCAATACAAATTTTTTTGGAATCCAAATGCAACATCAAAAGTTGCATTCTTCCAGACCCAGACATTTTTACATTTGATAGCGGTTTGCTGTTGCAACTCGTTGTTCGCCATGCGCGTTCGCTCCGCGTAGTGCTTCTTACGCTCTGCAATTGTATTCATATCATGTAAATTCTTCTGGTAGAGGTAGGAACCAGGTACCCTGGGACCAGGTACCCTGGGACCAGGTACCCTGGACCAGGTACCCTGGACCAGGTACCCTGGGACCAAGGTACCCGGGGCCCGGATGTGGCCACCCGGACCGGAGATGTGGATACCCGGATGTGAGCACCTTTTGAGCTTTTACTTGAAAAAAAAAGTCACGCGAAAGCTCAAGCGGTTCACGTCTGGGCGTCCACACCTGGGCACCGGCTGCCCACATCTCCGTACCCGGGTGCTCGGATGTGGGCACGCGGTACGCAGATGTAGATGGCCGCATGTGGGTAGCAGTGGCCGGATGTGGGCACCCGGTGCCTCGATGTAGATATCCAGATGTGAAACCGCTTGACTTTTCGTGGGGCTTTCTGCTAGCTAAAGGTGAAAAGGTGGGCGCCTACATCCGGACGCAAGGTGCCCACATCCTGGCACTCACATCTGGGCACCGGGTGCCCACAGTTCAGCAACAGCCGATATCCACATCTGGGCACCAGGTGGGCACATCTCCGGACCGGGGTGCCCGGAGGGGGGCACCCGGTGCGCAGATGTGGATACCCGGACGTGGGTAACGGCCCGGGTACCCAGACGCGAATGCCTGGATGTGGGCAACCGGCACCCAGACGCGAATGCCTGGACGTGGGCCCCCGGTGCCTCTTTTCATAGGGCGCCCAGCCCTTGTAGGCACCAACGGAACAGGGTACGCCGGTCCGCCGTTTTTAGAACCAGGGGAGGCCGCTCCTTTCTTCATGCTACGCGGTGGCCAAATGTGCAGACTTTTTTCGCACGCGCCCGTGGATACAGCGCACCACAGTACGCCGCTCTGGCCGCCCGGAAGCGGGCGCCCTGGCACGCGAAAAACGAACCCACCCACCAAACTGCCAACCCAAGGACGGGGATTGCTTTCTGGGTACCTGGTCCCTGGGTATTTGGTCCCAGGGTACCTGGTCCCAGGGTACCTGGTCCCGGGTACCTGGTCCCAGGTACCTGGTCCCAGGTACCTGGTCCAGGGTACCTGGTTCGGTAGGGTACCTGGTTCCTCCTTGTACCAATTCTTCTATTCATGGACTCAATCTGCACAACTAATTTCATGATACATGCAAGCAAAGAGAATACCGATATTATGTGCCAACGCCTCTTCCAACTTCGACACTTTCAACTCCAGATCTGCGATGTTGTCGTTCAAGCCCCTAATTTCTTTCGCGTCCTCCTCTACCTTTAAGAGCGTGTCTGCGTGCGCGGCGCTCAGCTTCTTGAACATGAACCGCAACTCCTGCAGTTTGTTCGCCGTGAAGCCTTGCAACACGAACCGGACCAGCGCCTCCTCCATGAACCTGCCCAACCGCTCCCCCAACTTCGCCACGTTGGGGATGTATCTTCGGATATCAAATGTAAAAATGTCTGGGTCTGGAAGATTCTGAGACTTGTCATGCATGTTTTGCCTGGGCCATGATGTCTGTGATGCGTGCCCTAGCATCACAGATTTTTTGAGGGCTTCGCGATGCCTATTCCGCATGACAAATGCCCTCTCCGCGTAGCAAAAATTACACTCCCTTTGCTGCTCATGCAATACAGATTTTTGTGGAATCCAAATTCAGCATCACAAGTTGCACTCTTCCAGACCCAGACATTTTTACATTTGATATCGGATCTTCCGGTTGATCCGGTCGTACAGCTGTTTCGTGATTTCCAACTCCTTTTTCACCTGTTTCAACTCCTTCTATAACCCGCTCAGGTGTTACAATCTCAAGCGTTACAATAGAATCTGGAATTTGTGTTGCATGAAGAGCATGAGGAACGTGCAGAGTATTGCGCTTTTCGCAATACAAATTTCGGCAGATTCTAGTGCGGTTTGGCACTCCAGAACTTGTCATGCGCAAAGCTATGCGAGTTGGGTAGATCATGCACTTCTTGCATCACAAAATCCAGATTCTATTGTAACAGTTGAGATTGTAACGTCTGAGCGGGTCATACCTTCTCCAACTGGATTTTGGCCTTTTGCAACGCATCCCGCTCCACTTTCACCTCGATCAACTCCTGCTCCGTCTTCTCGAGAGCGGGCAGCACCTCGTTTTCGAGCCGGATATGAAATGCAAAAGTGTCTGGGTCTGGAAGGTTCTAAACTTGTAATGCTGTCTCTGGATTCTGAAAAAATTTGTAAGTATTGCATGAGCATGACCAGCAAGAGAACTCAAGTTTGTGCAACGCGGAGAGGGCATTTCTCATGCGGCAAAGGCATCACAAAGTCCTCTAAAAATCTGTGATGCTAGGGCATGCATCACAGACATCATGGGTCATTGAAAATATGCATGAAAAACCTGGTGATCTTCCAGACCCAGACATTTTTACATTTGATACCGGAACTTGAACTGCAACAGAAAGTCGTGCATGGCGTTCGCCTCCACCGCGTCTTGCAAGGCTATTTTCGTGTTTTCCACGTACTGCTTTAACACCTCAATGTCCCGTTCGTACTCCACGGTGCGTTTCCACTCGAGAAACACCATGAGCAGAAACCGCTTCTCCTTGTCGCAGTTCCAGCTTGTTTCGATGAATTTCCGCCGCTTTTTCCGCTTGATCTGCACCGTGACCCGCTCGATCTCGTCGTACGCCGCGAAAACGTCGCACAGCGCGACGACGGAAAAGCGGTCGTTGGACAGCATGGAGTAGAGGTCGTTCAGCTGCATCCCCAGGTCGGTCAGCACCTGAATCATGTCCGTCAACACCGACTGCCACCGGATGGACAGCGCGCGCTCCGGGTACCGCAGCCAGGTGCGCATGCGGGTCATCACCTGGTCTGGCCGCATGGAAATCAGGTCCGGTTCCACCTCCGCATCGGGGAGCCCACCGTCCTTCAGCCATTGGTGCCAAAACGCCGGATTGGCCCTGAGTTGGAGTCCGGAAATGTTGATACTCCGTCACAGCGGTGCTTGGGCTCGATGTTCGTCCTCCTCAGTGATAGCACCATGCCGGATACATATTGCATCTAGTACTAGTTCTAGATCTACGTACTTTATGCAATAAAACCAAGAGGTACAGACTTAAGAAACAATGGGTCGTTGCACTCCTATGCTCCTCCAAAATCAACCTCACAAACAGTTCCAATACACCATTCCTTGATGTCCAGGATTATCCGCCGGCAGTGCTCAAAGTGCTCGCGGTGTGGATGCCTCAGGTGCGGCAAGAGATACTCGTCCTCGCGACATATCTTCCGTACATACGCCACCCGACTCTTGTACACCACGAGTTTGCTGTGGGAGTTCGGGTTCTCCACATCGCCCGTCCGGTTTTTCATCTCGGCTGCACCGCCGGCATCAGCCCCGGCCGCGCCGACCTGCTGGACAGACCTGCCGGGAGCGGTTGCCATGCGCAAGTCTGCGTCTGGTGAAGGTCGCGACAAATTTATCAGGAACAATACCAATGTCTTCTATTCGCAGTTGCGGGCAAAGGCACAACTTCAGGAATGAATACATAGAGGAACTATTTTTTTCTGCAGAATTGAAATTGATCGGAAAACCTTTTGCGGAATCCTTTCCAAGCGGTATTGTGAAAATGGAAATCCACCACAACTGTTGACGTGTTCACAAGCATATGCAATAGGATTGAGCACGTTTGTAGTTGATCTTCATCCTGGAATACGATGCGTCGTGGTGCTTCGTAGATCTAAGTATTCAGCCGCTGAGTGAATGAAGAACAAGAACGGAACGCATAGATACGATGATAATAGCAGGTCACGATGAAATCGGTCCTGCTTTTCCAGGCTTCTTCTTCTACTTGTACTTCTATACGTGAGTCGTATGAATCTTCGTACGCATCAACGGGCAATCAGGCTACGAAAGAAGCAATTCTGATTGCGTTGCGAACTATTTTCCGAAAGAAAAAGATGATCCTCCAAAGCGGAGCAATATGCTAGGAGAAAATTTTTTCGAAAAAGATTAGCAACAGCCGGCAAAAGAATAGCTCCTGCAGTTGCAGATTCTGAAGTGAGGAGGACACGATGACAAGCTGCCCGCAAATGCCTGATTACAAACTTCCAGCCACCACGTCGCTATAGAAAGCATTCATATCATCTTCAAGTCCAACCAAGACGAAGACCGCACCGCTCATATTCAGACGATCGAAAAATCATCCCAATTAGCGAGCCACAAATGAAAACCCATTACTTACCGCCCTGGCGGGATGTGGACTCGGATCAGGTTATTTTGTAAGGGCGGCTTCAAGCTCGGAACCCCTTTGTAGAAGCGGACCACGAGCCCCTTTTCCTCCCACGGCTTCACTTTTTCTTCACACTTGTCCAACTTCCGGATGGACCGTGCAATGATCCAGTCGAGCGCGGCAAAAATCGTGACGATCAGCAAACACCACAGAGCGAGCAACCCTGGTTTGGGCGGGCAGCACTCCTCGGACCGGGTAAGTACGGCTCTTGATCACGGTGTTCACCTCGGTCATGACGTCCTCGTACTCCTTTTCGCTCAAAAAAGGACGCAGCTGCTCCGGCATAAACATGCCTTTCGCTACAACGTCAAAGGTGCTGTGCGTCGGGTCCGAGCCCGGCACGTCGGCAACAATGTCGATTGCGTTCGGCGGGCACGGCGGAGCGCCGCACGAAGGGAGGGCACAACCCATAGCAGTGTGGTTTCGTCAAGTGTTAGCAAATGGCGCACTCGTTCATAAAGCTGCACCTCTATAACCTACGGACTCACCTTCTATACCACGTTTTGACGAGGGCCTGAGGTACTGCTATCGCTCGGACGACTTTCGCGAAAGAAATTATGGCAGCAGATCGCATGTAGTTGTCTATGATAAGATTTACTACTTGCTAAGTTCCCCTCTAGAAGGAAACGGCTACTCACTGACCACTACTCTCGTTTCATCGCCAGAAATAGGCCTCTCATGATGTGACACATGGTTCGCGCCTCGCACAGATATTGGAGCCAGCCAGGTGCAAAACAAAGCAAGCACTCTTTCTGGTGGTCGAATTATGCAGCGAAGTGATGCCTGCGGGACAACAAGGAGTAGACTCAGAGTCAGACTGTGCCATTTCTTACGTCAAGCGTTCATAGGTTCCACCAGTCTATCATCGTTTTTTGTCACCTTCGTCATTCAAGATTCATCGGTAGCAGCTGAAAGCAAAACACGACATCAACACGCATTGCAAGTATAGCTATGCCATGCTGTCTACAAACTCGTACTGGCTAGACTCACACTTAAGTAATCTATCTACGGTGATAAAGATTTGCACATACAACAAAACGTAGGAAGCTGTGGCGGCAACGCAACAGCAACACAAAGCCCTGATTTTCGTCATTATCTTGTGCGCCTGTGCCTTGAGATCGATTTCATGCAGTGCGAAAGATTTCCTACCCTGCTTTCTCGTTCCCGAATCAAAGGAAGTCGGTGCGCACTGACAAGAACTACCGCTTTCTCTACTTAGTTGTAAACATATCGTCGCAAAGTAAGTATTAGTATATGAGTTCCTGGCACGAGTGATTACCGATCAGTAGCTTCCATTTCCTGTTCGAAAATGCGTTTGATGTTGACCTAGGTTCATTTAACTGTGTCAGCAGGCAAGCACAGACCCCCTACGTTTCGCCTTTGTTGTTCAACTTCAAACCGTTTGCTTTTTTTTTAATACGTGAAGTGGCACTCCCCATATACTTTTTCTGACGCATGGCACTGTTCCGCAGTCTCCGTGTTTGTAAGAATAAGACCACTTGGCCTTGCTTCTGATCTGAAAATCGAAGCCCGTCGTCCGCTGCATCGCGAAACACTCCTCGCAGTCACGATTGAGCTGTTTCTAGTCCATAGAATTCTATATACCAAGTAGCTAGGATGTTGAAACGACAAATAACATACACGGAAGACAACTTCTCAAGTCGTTATCGTTTTACCAGCCTCGCCAACTAGTGGAAACGCAACGTAGCCACGAAAAAGCGAGACGAGTTTCGTTGTTTTCTATAGACAACTGCAAAATGTAGAGTACTACCTAATCTTTTTTCGAGTACGCTGTCGGTAAGACAAAAAGAAAACTTGTAAAAAATCGATATACTTCTCTAACATTTGAGAGCGAAAACCTATGATCAGTTCTTGACTTCATAAACAAGTTCAAACTGCTGGAGAAAAAAAGGAAAGCAAGGTCGCAACATTTAGCTCCGGTCTCGCCTGCAGAGAGAGATTATTGTAGATCTGCAGGTTGTAGAAATCCTGAAATTGAACTAGGCTTGACTAGACTTTCCGGTACAAAGAAAACATCACAGAAAAGTGTACTAGCATTTGCACGAATCAATTGAAAACGAAAATCATGCCTAGAGCGCAAAAAATAAAAAAATCAGTGTCAGCTTATGAGCTTGTTTCGTAGGTATGCATGAGGTGCTGCGTTTGTTTTTCTCAACTTGTGGTCTAACATGGGTACATTGCAACAAATGCTGAAACTACAGCCTTTGCCTTGATGACACGTTGACTCGTACTATTGCATTGCTCCTGGGATAAGAAATTTCTCATCATAAGAAGGATTCAGTACTCGCAAATTGATGAGCGTGACCGAAGGTATCACGCCGTGACCTTGCCACATCCGCGCCTTGGTTGCAGCAAAGCCGCAACAACTTCAGCATCGCGTCTTTCGTGAGAGCCAGCTCGAAATTCATCTCCGCCCCCGCCGGCCGAACGTACTTACCTAAATATTCTGCAGCCCAAAACTTGCTGCTATGATACTTAATTGACGATGCCGCGACGGCGGTACATGCATTCCGGTACTCTTGTGAAGAAGATAAATACTGTTCGAGTACTAGTTTGTAGCCAAACAATTAATAGGGTATAACATTCTCTTAGAGCTATGAGTATGAAAGAAAATTCTATTCAATATATATCCACCGGTTCTAAAAAAACTTAGCTTTTTCACTGTGTTGTCCGATCCGACACGGAAACGAGAACTGTATCGATACTTTACCGGTACAAAGCTCGAAGCTCATAAACGATTACTTGCTTATCACATTGCTCCAGCGTTTTCTTAGACAATGGTCTTTATCTATGTCATTTATGCACATACTACAAAGCAACTTTAAACCTAGAACATGCCTATTTGCAGATCCTCTCTTGCCAACATATTTCATGTATCTTTCTGCATCTGCTTCTCAAATACCAGAGGTCTGGTAAAAAGTGTGAAATGAGTCTATCCATATCTCAAAAAAAAAACTAAAACATCAAGGAAGTAGAGTGGAGAGCTTACAACTGTTCGTCGCAATCTTCATCCAGGTCGTTTAATAACTGGGTCAGTAAAGATTTGTGATCCAATTCCTTCTCTACCACCTGCCCTCCAACATTACCGGCGGCACGTTCCTCCCGCTCCTTTTTGCAGCGCTCCACGTTCTCTTGCACAGCATCCGAGAACTGCATGGTCAGTGCCGCAAAAGGGTCCACGCTCGCCGTCGTCGTGGTTTTCGTTTTTTTACTCGATGCAGACACGCTCGCTCTACTTCCAAAATTTGAATTTCCCTGCAGATTCACCTGTGTCGTGGAACCACTGGTAATATTAGACCCGGCGTTATGTTTATTTTTTCCAAACTTTACGACCTCCGAATAACTATTGTAAAATCCCGTCGAAGTCGTCGAAGATGTCGCTTTATAATTCTGGTGACTCGTCGTGCTTGAAGCGTACGATGTGGCTCTTGGATGGTTTTTGGTAAAACTGTGATACAAATTGGAGCTGCTAGCATAGTTGTACTTCTCCTGCTGCGCCGCCTTATGATTTATTGTGTTGCTCTGTTTTTGATTACTATACACGTTTTGTTCATGTTGCTGTTGGTTCTTCTTGCTAACCGCTTCGTGGTCCTCGTTGTTCTGCACAGCTGGATTTCCATGATTTTCGCTTTCCTCCCGGCCGTTAAAACCACCTTGGGGCGGGACCCAGACCGGATCAAAATTTTCCGCAGTTTCACATGAAGACGTGTCACCAGAGGACCCACCCATCCGGGATTGGTTGGCAAAAAACGCTCCGGCGGTAGTTGTTGTGTTTTCGTGCGCCATTTTTTTGTTCTCGTTCACCAGAATGTCCTTCGTGTCCGGATCCGACATCTTGCCATTGTAACTCGGCACGGTCGGTGCGGCCGTCGACTTGGTACTCAGCTGGTGCGCGTCGTGAAAGGCGTAACTCGGATTTGTGTTGCCTGTTTGGTTTTTCAGATACTTTTCGTCATGCCGATAATTTTAATTTGTTCGACATGCAAAATATAAAAACGCAGCCAGGTATTCTTAACCACGTAACCGAGAATTATAAGTACACCACACCCACAGGCAACGAATGTACTTGACAGCAACAAGCAGAAAGATGGTTTTATTTTTATCAGAAGTGGCTTGACGTGCTGTTTCTTCTGTCCGGCAAATCAAAATGAATCAATCGAAATAAGTAGAAAGAAAAAACAGCTGTACAAGCAGCTCCGCCCGCGTTTTGGTCATTCTCATTGCCGGCTCCGGTGGCGGAGTCCAGCATAAAGGAATCGCCCTGCTGCAAATGATACATGGCGTCGTTGTACATTGCCGTGGCCGGGGAGGGGATCATGGAAGCAGCCTCCTGCACGGCGTCCGTCCTCGCGGCAAGAACTGTATCATGGACTACTTGACCGGCGCCATTGTAGTTGTTTGTCTTTATTCCAGACTGTAGATCATACTGCTGCACCACTTCGACTCCCGCTCCACCTCGCGAGCCGTCGCGCGGAAAATTTTTCTCGGAGACGCTCTGAGCGCAGGATGATCCTGAGAAGTCGTACTGGTATTGTTCCTCTTGTTGCAGCCCTTGGTGTTGCAGCTGCTCGTCGAGTGAAGGGAAGACACTCGTGGTCGAGGTTGAGGACTTTTTATTTTGACTAGCTTCAATCAATTGCTGCTCCAGCTCGTGCTCTAACCGTTGCTGCAACGCAACTTGCTGGTGAAAAAGTTCCTCTGACACCGTTTGCGGCATCGAATTAACATTGTGTGGCCCAGCATTTGAATGATCTTCCTCTGGACCTTGACAAGCTGCCGGTTTATATCCCTGCTGTTGCAACTGCAACCGCAGTTTTTCTTGTTTGTTTTGCTGCTTCGCGAATTCTTCTTGCTGGAGGTAATGATCGATCCCCGTATCTTGGAGCACCAAACCACTGGGACTTCCAACTGCCATTTTGGGGTAGTTGCCGGCGTACGGGCTGCAGACCGTACTAGTGGTGTTCATAAATTGCGCCGATGAAGAACAATGTTGCTGTCCTACTGCGTGGTCGCTTAGATGTTGATTATGATGCATCACCGCTGCGCCCCCTGGCAGATTATGATGCATTGTGACAGGTGGCACCAACCCGAGAGGTGATCCGCATACATAACCCGCTACAGAAGCTCCTGAAGGCCGCTGCGAGGGCATCAGCAGCACGACGTGCTGCTGGCGTTGTTCCTGTGGGGTGACAATTTGTTGGTTGCAGCTGTACTGCTGATGCACAACATCCGCAGGCAGAACAACAGCCCCCGCCTGTTCTTGCTCCTGCGCATGATAATCTTCCAATTGCGTCTGATACTGCATGTGCACCACATCATCGATGTTCCGGTCCTGCCCCAGCCGCAGCTGTTCGTCCTGTTCCTCCTGCCGCCGGCGACGCATCTCCTCCTCTTCCTGCAAACGCATGTGCTCCTCCTGTTCTCGAATGATCTGCTCTTCTTGGAAAATCTGCTGCTCCTATCAAAATGAAAAATCTCCCCTCCCCATATTGCAAAGTTATGTTTTCGAAAATTTGCGCTGCTGATTTGAGGTCACAAATCACGTCTGTCTTGCAAGAAGACAAGGGCAGAAGCCTCCGCCCCATTACGGAAGCGATTTGCCATGCTGTTGGGCCTAAAGGGGAGCCGTTTGGCATGCTGAACAACTAGACTCATACGCCCCTACCTAGCCTGGGAATCTGGCCGCAGTGCCTTCCTGCAATACAAATCGGATTTGTGTACGCAAATCCAGCATCAGAAATTTCGTTTTGATGTGGGGAGGGGGGATTTTTCATTTTGATAGCTCCCGAAGCATCTCCTGCTCCAAGAGCATCTGCTCTTCGCGCAGCTGCTCCTGTTCTAGCGCCAACTGTTGCTCCTGGTACTGACACTGCTGGTGATTCTGCTGGCGGAGGTGCTGGCGATGATACAATTGCTCCTGATACTGTCCCTGCATCTGAACACTATGCTGCTGCTGGTTCATCTGCTGTTGCCCACGACCCGGGTCATCATGGGGTGGAGCATCATTATCAAACTGGTTCATATTTTGATGTTGCTGGTTGTATCCGTATTGTTGCTGTTCCTGTTGCTGCAGCATGTGAAAATGTTGATTCCTCTGCCGACACTCTTCCTCCCACTGCTCTACGTACAGCTCGTGCTCCCGCTGTAGCGCCTCCTGCTGGTTTTGGTAATACCACTGCTGTTCCCGTTCTCGCACGCGGCGGCGGTAGGCACGGTCCCTTTGGATCTGCTCATATTTCTGCTGCTGGTACTGCGCGTACGACAGCCTCTGGTTTTGATAGAAGTTGTGATTATGATTCTGCCGACTAGAGCTGAAATTGTTGCGGCAAGACTGTGAAGCAGTGCTGCAAGAACTCCTCGTCGTAGTCGTCCCAGGACCCGCTGCACCTCCTCCGCCCTGGTGATGCGTCGACACCGAAGAAAAGTTTCTCGATCTAGTCGTGATGTCTCTGCTGGCAGTCGTGGCGATTGGGTTGCTATTCACAACCAGGAGGCCGGTAGAGGTTTTTTTACGTTGATTGTTTTGCGGTTGGTGCAGACGCACATTCTGTATCTGTTTCTGCTCGCGCTCGCTCTTGTGCACGTTCCGCAAAAACAAATGCGGCCGAGAGGACGAATTTTGCTCCTGCTGCAGTTGCGTATCCACGATGGGTATCTCTTGGGTGGAAGAACCGTTAGGCTGTGAAAAGTTCGAGTCTTGAGCAGTTGTCTGAAGCTCTGTCGCCGCTCCTGCGCCTTTTGTGTCGCTTTCGTCGGTCGGTCCTTGCTGTTCGCGGGTGCCAGTGTTGTTATTTTCCAAAGTTTCCGATTGCGGATATGTCGCAGCATTTTGGTCGTGTTCTTGCGCCTCTTGATCTTTCCCTCCCGCTGGCGAAGTGTTGACGCCGAAGGTACTGTTGGCGCGAGAGGTCCTCCCACCTGTTCGCTGTCGCTGCAGCAGCCGCATTGTGTGTGCCTTCATACGATCAAAGAAGCTTGGAAAGGCTCTAGTTGCTGGCTTGTCTTGCTGCGAGCATGATGAGATGTTGCTCGCCGCACCGCGATCAGGTGGCACGTTTTCATCATACTGCGCGCACCCAACGTAGCTCCTGCTAGTACCGCAATTACTGCTGTTGTCGTCCGTCAATACGTGGTGTTGACAGGCACCCGAGGAAGTCGTTTGAATGCAGTTGGCCGTGGCTGCGCAGCGAGCCTTGCCCTCTTTTTGTAAGTTCCTGTAATTTTCCCAGACCCGCTGCTTAATCGACTGCAAATCCATTTTCCCGGGACTCTGTTCCTCCACGCAAAGAAATGAAGAGTAGGAGCGCGGTTTGTTCACACTCGCACCAGCGGCTCCATTTTCTTCTTGTCGTAGACCAACATGCTGACCAGCGTCGACTTTTTGTTCCTGGTCGGGTGATGAACCGGACGTCGTGTTTTCCAAAATCTCATGCTTTTGCTTATCCAGCTCGCCTCCTGGATGAAGTAATTTACTCGTCCTCCCGGGCGGGTGGTGTAGTGCCATTGCTGCCTCGTATTTTTGAAGGTTTTCTTCTTGATCTTTCTTCTCCTTCTCGGCATAGTCCTTCAATACAAGTGCAGTACTATTGGCGTAGTTCTGCACAGCTTCGCCAGATGTTTTTGATTTTGACCCATTGGCTTTGCTTGTTTCAGCCCCAAGGACAGCACAATGGTGATTTTGACTGTTCTTCGTCAGTAATGAAGAAGTTCTGCTGGGTCTTCCAGAAGATGACACGCTCAAGAACCTGTTCGAAGTAGATGAAGTTGTTCTCACTAATTTCACTCCCGTGGTCTCGGGCGACCCCAAGGATTGGGACCTGCTGAGCGCCCCGAGAAACTGACCGATGTAGGTCTCCTTGTACGTTCGTTGCGAGTGTAATTCTAATTCACCCGTTTGCTCGCCAGTTCTTGTTCCCTGCATCGAACCGGAACCCCCTGCGGTTGAGGATACCCGGCTCGCACAAGACGACCTGCCTCCACCGTTCACCGGCATCGTGACGGATGACAGTAAATTCTCCGCGATTTCCAAGACAAGCTTGTCGCTGCTGCGCTTCGCCTCTAAGATTCTGTCCAAACGATCAGCCTCTTGTTGCTCTTGTAACTGCAGCCGACGCTCATCTTTGTTTTCCTGTTCTTGCTCCTTGTTGTCAATAAAAACCTCAACTCGAAGATTTGGCCTCTCCCGCCCAGGACCCGTGGCGTCCTTGCGCATTCGCTGCTCTGGATTGATGTTCAAGTTCATCGCTGCAGGAGCTTGTTCTGTCATCAATAAATCGTTAGACGCAAAAACTGGAACTTGATCGTCACAGCACGGAGAGTGAAACACATCATCATGGCTCAGAGATTCACGGTCATGTTGCTGCTGCAGGGGGGAAGCGAAAGTTGTAGTACTCCCTCCACCAGGGGAAGCGAAAGTAGTAGTAGTGCTTGCGGCTACCACGGTCTTACCCACACGGTCGCGGGCCTTGTGATCGTCCACGTGTTCCTCTTGGTTTCGATTGTTTTCGTTTTCATTTTCGCCTTTAATATTGGACTTGGTGATCATATTGATCTTTTTCTCAATTTGACTATTGTCTTCTCCAGTATGCACAGAAACGAGCTTCGGGCTTGACGCTGCCGGAGTTTCGCTTGTACGTAATTCACTTGGATGTTCACCGTCTTCGCCGTTGGACAGGCTTCTTGTACAGGGGGCCAATAAAGGTGAAATCTTTGACAACGGTAATTCGGCTGGTGCTGGTGCTGTCGACGGCTTTAGAGATGCAGAATCTCCGTCGGTAAGAAGAAGAACGGGTGTTGCGGTCTTTCCTCCATTAATTTCGATCTCGTCATTGACTTCGTCCTTGCGATCGGTGGTGGCGCAATCGATACTAAAAACGTTATCACCTTGCAACATTCCGGTACTGCTGGTGGTCTTCGACATTTCCAAAAATGCTGAATCAGATCCAAACTCTAACTGTCGTGGCTGCCGTTCGGCTTCGTGAGGAACTACACGACAGCTCGCGACACCGACAAGCGCTTGCTCGACAAAAAGGCGGGACGGGGGCGGGTCGTGAATAACCAACTCAACATCCCTCTCGTCTTTGTTGCAGCCGTCGTGGCCCGACGTACTTCCTTTTATTTCCTCTGCGTCGACAGCAACAGATTTCACCACTCCAACGAAGGACGCTCCAACCCCGCATCGCTCAGAATCCGTGCTGGTGGAGCGGGGCGAGGAGCGATTGGTGGATGTGGTAGAAGCACCGCAGTACGACGAGGCGTCTCCTACCCGAGTCGAACAATTCTCGGAGAGCTTTTTCGTCGGCGCGGGCAAAGACCGCGAGGGATCGTTGATCATATACGGGCCGGCTGATGATGTTTCGGCGCAGGCTGTTGCTGGCGCGCTGACTTGGGCTCGTCCTGTGCTGTCATTCATTTTCAGCTGCGTTTTCTCTTCCTGCACTTTCAAAACCACTAATTCCGACTTCGACTCGTCCTCCATCGGACCCTCATATTTTTTCGATTCTTCGACAAGTCTGTCTTCGATATTCGGAGAAACAAATTCGCGGTCGGCCGGGGTGGAGATCGCTGGAAAAGCGGCGGCTTCGATCTGTACCTCGTGCGATGAGATGACATGGACAGCCTCCTCTTGTTTCATCGTCTCGGAAAATTTCAAAGGCGCTTCTGGTCGTTCATCTGGTGGCGTAGAACAAGCAAGCCCAAGCACGTTGTTGACATTTTTGGTAGTAGCCGTACCGGTTGCAGCGGTAGTCTTCACACCATCGCAGGGCACGTCGCTGTCAATGACCCCCGAAGATGGCGACGCTGCCACGTCGGAAGTAGTTGTCACACAAGTTTTTGTGATTCCGGCTGTGGTAGCGAAAACACAAGGAACCTTGTCATCGTAGCATGCCACGGTGTCCCGCTGGTCCGTCTTTTCAACATCTTCGGCACCTTTTTTACAAGCGAACTGCGGCAAGACGGAATCATGATCTTCCTTCGCCACAGATTCATCTCCGCAGTGCTCTCGCAGCCCGGTTGGCGACAGAACCGAAGGATCTTCTCCAACGGAGTTCTTACAGGAAGAAAAAAGTGAAGGAAGCACGGCGGCAGGCTCAAGACCAAGTCCACTCGCGGTGCTAGATAAAGAGGTTCGCAAATACTCCATACTTATTCGTTCGTTGTAGTTTTTCCGACGGCGCAGAAGTTGAAAGTGCTGCACGGAGACAGATAATTGTAGGCGGCTGATTTGCGAAATCGAAGATCGTCTGAACTTTCACAACAGAAACAAAGATTCTAGAACCCTGCTGCTGTCATCGTTTGGTTCCAACAAAAGAAGAAAAGTCTCAATTCGTTACCAGAAGTCTTTGATACGGTCTCTTTATTTTTTAGAAAAGAAGTAAAAGTGTATTGCTTTGTTTTTGTCTTTGCTTTATTTGTCCAGAGAAGGAACGAAAAGCGACAGAAAAAGAAATTGAAAATTAAATGCTGATACCATGATCTTATACGCAAGGAAAATTTTTAGTCTGGGCTATTTAAAGTTGCTGAAGAAAAATGCGAGCAGCGACACAGCCAATTGGAGTGATGTACCTGTTTCTGTAGTGCTGCATTATGAGGTGGCTTTTCTTTTACTACTTACCCCATAGGATGCTTTCGCACTTCATGTGAGTAGATCCGCGATGTAGTAGTATGCCTACTTGCGAAAATCAATAAAACAGGCTTCCGTCCCAACAAATAAACAAACACCGTTGGCCTCCACGTACTCGACTTGGTTGGCCGCTACGAGTGGTTTCTTCGGTAGTGGTGATCAATCGTTGATTAGTACTTGATTCTACTGCTCAAAAAGAGCTTTGCCTTTGCCATGATTTTTTTATTTCGTATCACTATCACAGATAAGTAAGCAAGTACTATCTTAAGCGTTTTTGTAGCTTTTGGGCAATGCGTCATTCTTTTCACAACGAACTACTGAAATCTAGTAATCTTCAAAATCTACATCCTTCTATATCAACAAACGGCAACTGTTTTGTAACTACCTCGGCCTGGTCGTGTTTCTCTACGAAATTCAAATTTCTCTACCAGTACCTCTAGGTAGGCATCAGGTACAAAAAAACAGGAGGACATGCGAAGAGTAGTGAAAGAATTGTTTGCACTTTCGAGCAAAGTAATTCGTATAAGAGCAAAAACATGTAAAAAGTTATCGCTGCAGAACAAAGTCGCCGAGGAGGTCGACTTTTATTTTTTACGCCAATTCCGCCCATATCTAAGTTTTTTCTGGTCAAGGTTGGCCGCAGGCACAATGAACACGACTTAACCTTGAAAAACAGTCCCACTTGCTTCATCCAGATCCGGGGAACGGTCGCTTACGTTTTTATTTTCGTATCGTCTTTTCCGAGTTTTTTCTTAGCTCACCAGCTCGTTTAGTAGTCAAATTCAGCACGTGGTTTCTTTTTTCCGCGTTGACGGTTCAAGTGTCCGGCAGTGTACTTGCTTTCACACTCTCAGGAGCTCCGCTTCAACCAACGCGTGGCCACTTTTCATACACTCAGAGGTGACAAGTCAGCTCTTTTATTTTTCTAGCGAGGAGCACAGATCGCAGATGTACTGCAGCAGCTAGCTCTACTACTTCTTCAAGTGGACAACCAAAACTCAGTAGGAAAGACGACGGCAAAAAAATACCGGAGGCTGATATTTGGACAAGCTGAAGTAGTCTCCGGCTAGGTCCTGTTCTTGAAAAACTACTGAACGAAACCAATAGAAACCATCACTAGATTTTTATTTTTTCCAAAAGTCAAAACTTCAGAAAATCAATACAAAAAACCGACGGAGCTCGATTTTCATCTTTTTTTCAAGTGAGTTCTCGAGGAAGGGGATCTGCGGATACTCACGAGAAAGAATGGCTGTTAAATAGTTGCACAACCATTATAGAGCTTCAAATTCCATGAGCGTCAGTCATTAGGTTTGAAAATAAATACGACACGTATTTGCTCTGGTTTCGGAAAGCGCATGCGGCCGCCTTCCCTCAGGCCAGAGTTGTGTTCGAAAACGCGGTTATCAAACCGGAAAATCTTACACGCTGACACAACTCGATGAGTCGCGATTTCTCTTTAGATATTGTGGGCATGCAAAAACGGGAAGATATTTCAATCATACTAGCATCACATTATTTTCTACAATGTTGTTTACTCTGTAAAAAAATCGTATCGAAACATCTTTGCAACACGAAACACAGATCCTCAACTCCCATACTAGCTATATTCTAGTGTACCTAATGTCGTGGGCCAAATTCAAAATGCGCATACCGCATCTTGAGTGGTAGATACCAGCACCGTCCATCAATTCAAATAAATTTGCCCGTTCGCGACCGCAAAAAAACAACACGTATTTCTTGTTTTTACACATTGATTTCCGGTGGGCTCAAACCCTCGTCGCTGCCAGCCATGGACTTTTCTGAGCCGCTGGGTCGCAGAAACGTCCAACCGTTCTCGCTGCGTACCCGCTTAATGAGCCCGCCGACCACGTTTTTCGTGCCGTTCTTGACGTTGTCCATCGAGCAATTTCGATTCACGAAGTCCTTCATGTATTCCTGTTGCCGATTCATGTTGGCTTTCGCCTCCTCCCAGGTTGGCGTCGAAATCACATGGTATAGATTCCCACTCCGGTCACGAAAGAAGGTTTCAATCTGCGGCGGAATCTCTCTCACCCTTGACAGCACCTGTCGCGGGGAAAAGCTGGACAGGGAAATGGAGTTTAGTGGCAGGGACGTCCATTCCGGCACTTTCTCCGCGATGATCATTCCAATGGTGTTGTTGTGCGAGTCGACCGGGATGGTCAGGACTGCGATCGTCGTCGCGGTCGTCACGGTGGCGATCACCATTGGCTTAACGTAGGGCGCAACCTCGTCATAAAGCGATGCAAACCCGGAGGTCAGCCGCTTCGTCAAGAGCCAGGATTGGTCCTTGCACGCCGCAAGGGCGGCCGGGGACGCGGTCCTGTGGGAATTTTTTCACAAGTGACAATTTTTCTGTGTGGGCGGCTGAAACAGAGATCGACACGAAGAAAAACAGCGAAGTCAATGTACCAAAAACGAAAGCGGAATCAAGATGGGTCAACAGGAGTCGCCTGAGCAGTAGGGAAAAGCTTTATACAATTGCGCTCTCGCAATCCTGGTCTGCAGAGAATTACTGAGTCCCGATGCATGTCCCTCTGGCACCGCCTTGCATTCTGCGTACGCGTAGAGGTTCCATGCTTTTGCAAGGGCTTTTTCGATCTTCTTGCAGTCAATTACGGCGATTTTTGTCGGATAATCTGCAGCATCCTCCGTTCGCGCGTGCTCGTATGCAGATATAGACCGCGCGTCCCGGCGCTGTATTTGGGGAAAAAAAATGTTCTGTCGCTCCTTGTCCGTCCTAGCGAACCGGATTCTGAAACAAAGGACAACAAGCCTAACCCTATCGAAACTACTTCACTGTGACCGTGAGAAAAAGATTGTGCTGCATGATATTAGATAACAAGAACGGTTTCATGCGTAGCAAAAGTGAATCTCAATCTGCAAGAATACCGCCTTGAGAGCTTCCTTGTAGCGATTCGTGGCGTCCACAAGCATGCGTATCAAAGTCAAAAAAGCCCCCCCCCGTATCGGAAACGGACGATGTGCGAAGTTGTGATGCTGTACTTGAGTACACAAGTCGACTTGTATTGCTAGAAGGCCAAGAGACGAAGCTGCGGCCTAGATTGCAGGTAATCTGTCATGCTGTTTCCCACTTCCAGTTGCCTCCTGTCATCCTGGAGCTGCAAGGCTTTCCCACGCTAGACAGCACTACAGTCCGGATCTTTTGCCTTCTAGCATCACAAAGCTGATTTGTGACCACAAATCTGCATCACAGATTTCCGTTTTGATATGGGGAGGGGGCATTTTTCATTGTAATAATGCGGAGGTGGTCGTCATTTCTTTCGTCCACGTTTGCGAGAATGTCGCAATAAGGCTCCACGTTCGAATGATCGCGCGTGTCCAACGAATTCGCGATCGTCACGAGCCGTTGCACGGTTTTGCTATCGGCTACGTAATCCTCGGCTTCCTCCTTCAAGGTCTTGACCTCTTGCTCGAGCTGCTTACGCGCCAGCCGGCCAGAGTGCGTCTAAGCGTGTTTGTATTGCTAAGTATTCTCGAATCTGGTGGATCCATTCAACAAGTCTTGGCTACGAGCATGAAAAAATGCCATGCGACCGTCTGGGTCTGCATAGAGGTAAAGCCACCACAGGTGTACATACGCAAAAAAAATAAAAAAGAACAACCCCTTATATATTATTTATCTTGTTCTATATACCCCCCAGAAGTCCGCAACCCGTCCGACAAAGCCGAGCCTCTGTGCTGTGCTGCTGCTGCTTCCACCGAACAGCTCCTTTCCAAGAAAAGCAATCGCATCCGCAACCAAGATGGGCGCCAACTGGCCCGGGGTTTCGTCCTGCTGAGAGGCATAAAAAACCAACGCACCAGCGCCGGCACTAGTTGCATACGGCCGGGCTTTTCGGAGCACAAGACGAGGAGCAAACATCTTTTTCCTTTTCGATTCTTTTTCAGAAGTAAGTAGATACTCGTGCAAACAACTGACGCATGGATATTTCTTGTGGTGATGAAAATTGGAGTTTAATTGTGGATTTCAGGGTAGGCTGGATACAGTATCAAAACGAGCGTGTTCTTTTGTGTCCTGCTAGTGGAGGTTCTATCATACACTTGGGCAGGCTAGAGGAGTTCACAGGGTAAGTAGGCTAATAGTAACAGAGCGGGTAGGCTTGAAAATTGCACAATGGTGTCCAAAAACTGCGGACGTGAATTAAAGTTAACTTTGTTTTTTCCAAAAAACCAGAAAAAAACTCGACCAATTCTCTCACTCTCATGTCGCGCTTCTCTCCGAAATTTGTGCCTAGACTCAGCGGCTTTGCTTTTCACTTCAGCGTTTCGATTTTGCTCTTTCGCGTCTTTTTTGCTTTCCCTTTGCGCTCAAAGTATTGATTCGGTAAGTACCACACACTTCGTGTGATGATGTGATCATGATAATGATGTTGAAGTGAAGATGAACACTTTACGACAATACCATGAAGCAACTTTTCTGAGAAGTTCATGCTTGTTTGGAATTGTAAGCAATCAATGGCGCTCGGGCCAGTGCCTCGATTGTAGAAATTTTTACACGTTAGCAGTGATCATGTGTAATACATTAAGTAGAGCGGAGAACTTACAACAAACTTCTATCTTGGTTCATCTGTTTGAGATTTTTGACTCCTCGACACCGTCCGTACAATCGCTTGAGCTGTGAAACAACAATCATTCCGCTTGGAAAGTTGCACTACGGTGTCGGTACTGACGAGCAAGAACAGCATGCTTTTTCATCATCTTTCAGAAGTCAAAACCAAGTCCGTCGAGTGACTCCATTTTCTCACCTTCTACCTCCGCGCCTGCTGTTCGAGCGCGACCTGCGATATGGGACTCTCAAACGTTACATTCTCAACTGTTACATGATTTGCCATGCAAATTCACCAACAAGATCGCCACGATTAAGCTGCTGCGCATGACAAATCTACGAAGGGCTAAAAAGACTCTAAATCTGTGCCAAATCTGTAATGTACAAGGCGCAATCTTCCCCCTTTCACTTTCGCCGTTCTTGCATGACAAATTCCTGTAACAGTTAAGAATGTAACGTTTGAGAATGCCATATGCGACGCGAGAACGATCGGCGGCGCGAGAAGGACCGCCTTCCGCCACGGGACCGCGACCGCGAGCGGGATCTCGATCGGGAAAAGGACCTCGACCGAGACGGAGACCGCTGCTTTTTGCGGAAATTCGATCCTGAGCGCGAACGGCCCCGTCGCGGGGTGACGGACCGCGACCGGTTCCTTCTGGGAGTGAGGGAGCGCTTCCTTCGGGGGGTGAAAGACCGTTTTCTTCTGGGGGTGAGAGACCGTTTTCTCCGGGGCGTGAGGGACCTTTTTCTCGGGCTGAATGACCGCCGCCGCTTGCTTCCGCTGAAGGACCGTCCTCTCCGCTTCCCGCGGAGGGACCGAGACCGGCCGCGTCTCGGGGTCACCGAACGCCGGCCCCTTTTTCCTGCCCCCTTCCCCGGAGGGCCCTTCGTGCCGTTGTTTCGCGTCAGCACCGGCCGCTTGGCCGCCGCCCCGCCGTCGCTTTTGTCGCTGGAGAGTCGTCGCTTTTGCCGCAATACCACGTTGCCCGAACGGAAATTCGCTCGGGTGTCGCCCTTTTCCGGTAGTATTTGGTTTCGCCGTGCCGGGTCCCGGAGGTCCTTATTGTTGTTCGCCCCGCCTCGCCCGAGGCCCCGCAGTTCCGGGCCAAGGAGGGCAAGCTGTTTGTGTTTTTTGCAACATTTTTGGCAGTTTAGAAGATCTCCGGAGCTGCAACAGAAAGAGATACGACAGACGCTCCATCCTTACATTTTCCATCAGGTATAACTTGTGCTCGCGTTCATCAGATGACCGGCTCATCGCAGCTCTTCATTTCACCATCAATTTCAACAAAGTACACACGGGCACAACATGTTTGTAGGGTACTTATCCAACAGTAAGAGAACAGCACTACCTCCTGGTCTTTGCTTTGCAGCCTCATTTTGGTTCTTTCCTTGCCGAACCTGTCCTCCTCGCTGTACAGCGCATCTTCTGGTTCAAAGGAGTCGGATAAGTTGTCCGCGTCGGAAATGTCGTACTTTTTTGCGTCGGTGACAATGTCGGAAAAGGTCGCGATCTTGCTATCCATCGCGGTTCGAGACTCCTTGAGCAGTTTTTCCGTGACCGCGTTGTGTTTTTTCGGAAGGTAAAACACCACCGGGCCACCGTCGGTGGTGGTTCGCAAGAAATTCCGCATGTGGCTGTAGTGCGTTTCCAGCCGCTCCTTCAGATCCACCACGTCCTGCATCTTGCGCTCCTGCCGCTGCTTGCGCCGCACCTTCTTCCGCTCCTCAATCTGCTTCTGGCGCAGCTTCTCCCGGGCCTCTTCCTCCTCCTGCTTCATGCGAGTGATCCTGGGATAGAAGAAGGGTAGTTAGGTTCATTTCAAAAAGACATTGACAGACATACACGACCTTATTCAATTTTGTTCTCAATGCAATGCTATGTATTATAGTCGAAGGAATAGATCATGAAAGCTTAACCCGCAAATTCAAAAAAGGAAATCGGCAAGACAACATATTAGACCACAATTGCCTAGCTTGCTAATGGATCGTAGTACCCCATACCTTTCATTGATTCTCTTCTCGTTTTCCCGGGTTTTTTCCAGCGCCTGCGGGTTCAGCTCCTGCGCGTTTTTCGCACTGACCAGATGACTCCGTAACGCGCCGAACAGGCGGCGATCCCGGCGTTGCACCTCTTGCTTCGGTCGCTCCTGCTTCACCAAGATCGAAGACTTGTCCTTCCTGTCGGTCAGAATATCGTCCAAATCCCCACTGTTCCGCAAACTGTTGTTGCGGCTGGTTTGCCGCATCCGAGCCTCCGCTTCCGGGTCGGAGTTGCGGCGTCGGGTCTTCTTCTCGCCGCCATCATTTTTGTCGCTTCCTTCGCCTCCAAAATCTGAGAGTAAAGCGTGCTCGTCGTCGCTCTGTTCCTTGACAATGTTATTAGAATTTTGGTGCTCCTCCCCAAAATCTAGCTGGTCGTGAAAGTGGTCGCGATCCGTCGCGACGGGCGTCTTACTGACATCATTTTCACCGTTTTCTTTTTTCGGTTTTTCTGCGTCGCGGCCTTCTTTCGCTGACATAGAGCCGCTGCGCGCTGCTCGAGTACTATCGTTCTTCTTCTCAACTACATCATCCTCGTCGTCCTTTTTGGCCTCGTCTTTTTTATCGACACATTCGCCAGAGGCGAGATCTTCTTTTTCACTCAACATTTTCTTCTTTTCCTCGCTATCCTTCGACAGAGCCTTAGCAACTTCGTCCTCAGAGGAGGAAGGCCGTGGTGCACCGTGATTGCCATCGACTTCCATCTTGGTAGATCCACCGTGGTTCTTGTTTGCGCTCAGCTCCTCGCGCTCGCATGCCACATGCAATTTGTCATCATCAAGCTTGTCAGCAGCCATATCAACTTTGCTACTGTCGACCTCCTGGTCCTTGGCTGCTGCCTCAGCATCTAGATTTTCGTCGGTATCTTTGCCTTTCGTATCGCCACAAAAATCCTCAGCAGCGGAACTGTCGCGTTCTTTTTCCTCCTCTTTTTGCTTTTGTTCCGGCGGTGCGGTTTGCGCTACCTGATATAGAGGGTCATGTCCTCCAAAAGGACAAACAAAACGTGCTTTCAAACATATGATACTCGTCCTAGTCCACCTAACTTCTGGGCCACTGCATTTCAAAAAAGAAAAGAAAAACGTTCAGCAGAAATACTTACCTCCGGGTCATTTGCTGCGGTTGTTTCTGCCATATTTTTCCTTCCCCGTATTTATTAAGTACTACGATCAAGAAATTGGCTGAAGAAAAGACTGAGGTATCAACAACGCCCGAATATCATCGATCGAACGCATATTATCCAATAGCTAAGCCGCGGAGCAGAGCCACGAGATGCCAACATTATGTAGTTGTGGTTTCCATTTCTAAAAATAAGTATGTTTTTCGTGTCGCTGACAAAATGTTTATTGCAATTACTTATTTCACAGCGAGTGCTGGAACAGACTGAAGCGAAATTCCTGAACCAAGAAACTCAAGGGAGATCTTCAGGGATGTCAAATCGTTGAACGCCAAAAGCCGACGAAATCAAAGATCGATTTATTGTGCGCCTTTGGCAAAGGGTGCAGCATACTATTGTAAAAATTGCAGTCTATCCTGCTTATTCATACAATGCAATACCAGGCAGCGGCCTTATGGTAACGGTATTTTTAAGAAGTGGAACCGTCTATATTCTGAACAGTATGACAGATGAGGCAGATACTCCACATCCCATTGCCTCAGGCTATTGTTCTCGATCATCCTGCTCAGAGGAGAAGATGCGGAGGAGTGCGATTTTCGTCTTTAAGGAGCAGGTACGATTTCTGTCTATTGAACTTTGCGAGCTCAGAGAAAGTAATTTCAGAATCCTTCTTGTGCTCTTCTGTTTGTTTTGAGTGCACTACTGATAGTGATAACACATACTGTAACTTATTCAATAAAATCCTCGGCCATCTAACAGGTTGCTCTGTTTTCAGTTCAACTCTTCGGTAAAAAAAGCTCGCAAATAGCTCGGCACAGTTTCTATCACGTCAAGATCCAAAAAACGGGTTGACTTGAACCATCAAGAACTTCAAGAACAATATTGCGCTCGCACCTCGTCAGTTTCATTCTTCACTTCTCATAGCTCATCAAACAGGTGAAAGATCGTCTCCTTCGTCCAAACAGGACGCGAGAAGCGCGCCTTCAGTTCTTTTGAATCCTTCGTCATACCGTCCCGGTATTCGCGTAGTTTGCCATGCTTCCGTCGTGCAACGAGTTCCAACTTTGGTCGTTCGCATTTCGACCCCCACCGCCGACGGAATTCAACAACGCACGACCCCGCTCGACATCCGCATCCTCGTTGTCCAGCGAAATGAAGGATTTGTTATTGTTTTCGATTGATGCTCCGATCTCATTTTTACTCCCCGTTCTTATCGGCGTTTTGTTCCCCACGACCCCAAGTCTGCTGGTTTCGAGCACGATTGAACGACTGAGGTTGTTCCGGTCCTGCTCCAAAGCACTTTGTTGATCGGTCAGAATCCCGCCATTCGCGCTGACGCCAAGGATGTGCTTGCTCGCCTGTTTCATCTGCGCGCGCACGTCATCGGAAGTGGACGTCCATTTCTGCAACTGCTGCTGCAGCGTCGTCCTGTCGTACGCCCCGAGCGCGTTCGTGTACAGCGTATCGGCCGCAGATGAAGAGGAAGAGACCGCGGTCGCAGCGTTGTGGTATTTCGTGAATTGGTACGAGCCAGTAAGCGGAACTCCCGCGGTCGCGCCGGCGTTAGTACTTGCGAGTAAAGGCATCTGCATTTCTACATCTTCAGGAGAAATTGTCTGGTTGTTGTTGAGGCCGCCCTCAACATCGTTGCTGGCCATCATGGGCGGCGCACCAACTACTGCAGCTCCGGTCGTGCTTTTGTAACTGCCAAGCATCGAGTCGATGCGTGGTTCTGCTCCTTCCGCGAAGTCGTGATCTACTCCTTGTTATCAAACGCAAGAGTGTCTGGGTCTGGAAACTTGTGATGCTGGGTGGCGTATCATGAGGAGGCCAGAAGTGCTGGCTCAGCATGACAAGTTTCGGAGCTTCTAGGTGTTGCCTATTCTGCATGATGACAAACTGCGTTTCTGCATGACAGAAAAATGGGGCTCTTGGGTAATGTGCATGACAAATTCAAGAGTCATGTGCGACAAGCATGACAAGCTTGCATTCTTCCAGACCCAGACATTTTTGCACTTGATACTTGTTCACCCCCATGATCAACATTGTTCAGCTCGTTTTCCGCGATACTGATCAAGTGCTTCTGCGCACCCAGCACCGAGCTTCCCGCGGGGCTGCGGCCGGAAGATGGCGGGTGGATGCCGGAAACGAGCTGCAGCGTTTCCTTCTGCGAAGAGCTGTTTGGCAGCGCGCTCTTGATCGGCGGGACGACCTGATTCATCGTTCTCCCGTGGGTGCTAGAGGAAGAGCCACCTCCTCCCCCATTGGAGGAGGTCCCTGCGGTGGGAAACGGACCGAAGTGCAGCTGCGGACTGGACAGCAGGTCGTTGGCCAAACCGTTGACTCCTCCCCCAGAAAGCGACCCCGCGGTGGAATGGAACGGCATCTGGTGCTGCTGCATGACGAGCCCCGGCGTCATCTGCTGATGTTGGGACATCATCAGCCGGCTGGGTGCGTGACCGTGACCACCCCCGCCGCCGCCCCCGGGTTGCAGCGAGGACGGATTGCCGCCGGCGACGCGCACACTGGCGTCCTGCACCAGCTCCAAGCGTTGCCGCTCTATCATTTGCTGCAGGGCCTTCAGTCGGCCAATTTCGCCGTCGCGGAGGGCGCGGTCCTGCACGATCTTCCCGTGGACCTGCTTCGCTTCCTCCCGCATTTCACAGCCCTCCAGGTACATCTTTTCCACCTGCTTGCGACGGTTCTCGGCCTGTGGTGGTGCGGCAGAGAGAATCAATTGGCTGCTTATATAAATTCACATTCCTGGCGCAATTCACCCAACGAGCGAAAGCGCGCGGAAACGATGATAATCGAAGGCAGTGCTGACGCGCGCTGCAGTCCTCGTCGCGGGACGCCCTGCGACGGTCACACTGGCGAGCAAGAAGAGAACCCGGCCGGCACAGCGAGCTACAAGTAGCAAGCCGCGCGAGCCAAGCTCTCAAACCCCACAGAGCCACGCCCCGGACGTGAAGGTGGGCCAAGCCGTGGAACACGACATGGCCCACCGAACATCTTCCCCAAATGTGACTCAACGGGGCGGCCTGGCTCTGTCGGTGCAGAGATCCAGGCGCGCGGGGCTGTGTTGTAGCTAGGTAGCGAGCACGTGGGAAACGCGCCGGGGTAGGGCACCGCCGTGGAGCCCGGAACCCGGGCGACGCAGCGGGGTCTTGCTCCCAATCGTGACTAAGTTCCGGGAAGTTCCCGCGGGTATGTGATCTAGCGGACGCAGCACATCGCGCTGCGACCTGTCTGAGACGCCAGGATTGGCGCTCCAAATGTAAAAAGGCAAATCAAGCGTCCCCAGGTACGCTGGATGAATCGAACGACTCTGGCTCGTGGAGCAGCAGAGAAATCCGAAACAGGAGAAGGACCTGCTAAAACTGCACCACAGCTCCTCGCCCCCACACCAACCACTGAACCCCTCGACTGCGCTAATCACCTGCAGGCAATCAACGCCGGCGGACCGACGTCGAGGGGCGAAGGACGGAGCAACGACGCCGATAGGCTAACGCGCTCAGCTCTCCTTCCAAGTCAGCACCCCTGATACCAAAGCACAAGCGACTCAGAGACATCCACATCGTGGACAAAACCAAGCGCCGGCGCAATGGCTACGACAAGGTATTTGCAAACCCCGAAGAGATGCAGCAACAATGTCGTGGACGCCCAACCCCGACCCAGCACCCGCAGGCGACATCATCGACGTCGCATGTGGTGCACACCAACGAATACTTGCAGCCTAGCCATGCGACTCAACAACATAACCGCCGCGCCTGCGGGGCTGTGCCTGTGGAGTTGCGCGCCCAGGTGCTGGGAGGTGTGGTGGGGAGAACGAAGCCTTCATCTCACCGGCACAGCCATCGGCTGTGCCGGCGTCTGTGCAACAGCAAGTCGCTTAGTAATAGTCAGCCCATCGGGCGCCCCCCTGCCATCGGCGAGGGGGGTATGCGGGCGCGGGGTGCCCCTTGTTCGTGGGTGTTTGTCAGCGTTAGCGTGATGCTGTGCGTGTACAGTGTGTTACTCTGGCCCCGGCCAGTGACAACGTCACTGACCTCGGGCATCGCCCTAAATGGATACCAGTAGCCTTGGCCTTCGGTGGGGCTCTTCAGTAGGGGATTCCTGTCAAAGTGAAGCGCGGCGCCCCTGCTCGCGCGGCTTCATCAATGACAGGCGAGCGGCCCGCGTCCGTTTGGACGTCTGGTGGTGGTGCTACATTGCGCCTTACGATGCTAAGCGCAAAAGCACGAACCGCCCGCGACACACAGAGCGGCAGGCCACAGCTGTAATCAGCTGTGCTGTTGACCGTTGCGTGTTGCCGAATAAAGCGGCGCCAGCCATAGGCTAAGCTGCCGCCGGACGTATGCCTTTTTCGGCGTGAAGAGGCGCAGGCACTGCATCGCAGCGGCTGCACCTCTCCACTCCCCGAGCAGTGGGACTCGCGAGAACCGCGAGCCGTCATCGACTTCTTCAAACCACCACCCGCAGATAGCCTGAAAAACAGCTGAAGCACGCGAACTCTTTGCACTGTAAGAGCCGCGCATCGGCCATCTTCCCACCAAGACATCCTCCCCGGTCAGAAGGATATCCCAGCGCCCGGCTGAGCCGGGCTACATGCACGCGGCAGTGTGCACGCCGTCTACTATGTCCTGCTCATGGCTTGAGCAGTTCAATGGCGACGGAACCGCCGGAGCTCTTTCCTTGTCGTACATCGCAATGATCCACGCTAAGGATCGGCGATGCCGGAAACGACAAGGCGGAACTGCGAAGCAGAACCAGAGCGAAGGCCTGAAGCGTACAAGTACGCCTCGCTTTCTCATCGAGACACTCCTCCGTAAACTATCCACTCTCCGAGAACCGAAGAGCTGAAAAAACGCCGAGTCCAGGCAAGCCCGGACGAAGCGGAGATTCTAGATAGAGGACAGAGAACCAGCGGAAGCTGGTCGACATCGGGCAGCCAGCCCGACGTCGGAGTGTGCAACCCTCTTGCTTGATCATGTAAATTGATATAACTGCTACGCACGACATACTAACTTTTTCATTCTCTTTCGCGCAGAAAAAAAAGTTACAGTTGGTTCATGTGCAGCTGCAACCACAAGGACCACTAACGCTACGGAATCCAGAAGCATAATTCAACTACCTTTTCAGCCAACTCCTTGACTCTCGCGACGTCCTCCTCAAATTTCATTTTCTCCCCCTCCAGCTTTCCCTGCGCCTGTTTGAACTGCTCTTCTTTCAAAACGAAGTCCCGTTTCTTTTCCTCAAACCGCTCAAGTTCCAGGAGCAAATTTTTTCTTTCCGACGAAATCAGCACCTCGGACTCTTTTATTCTCCTTTCGCAATTCAGCTTCGAGCTTTCGATCGCGTTTTCCAACTTTTTCACCCGCTCTTCCTTCTCAGTGACCGCCCGATGCTTCTGCTCAAATTCCTCGGTCTGCTGCTGCAGCTTCTGGTTCAGCAGCACTTCCTTCTCCTCCAACCGCAGCCGCTCTACCTTCGTTTCCTCGTACTGTTTGGCCCGCTCCTCCTTCAAGGACCGCTGCATCTCCAGCAAACGAGCGTGCTCCCGCTCGAGTCTGCGTTGGTAAATTTGGCATCACAGGTTTCAGATTGCAAAACGTACTACCCGTATACAATGTGGTAAAAACATTTGATACCTCGCACCGACCGATTTTTCACATAGCAACAACCTATTGGCAAAGTGGATCATGATGAGCAAGTTAGGTCTTAATATTATGCACCTTTCACTGGCCACCGTGGCGTGTTCGTTTGCGTGTAATTGCTGCTGTGCCAGTTCAGCCTCCATCCGATTGATCAGGTCGGTCATTTTCTTTCGCTGGGTTTCCACTTCCTTTGACTGCTCTTGCAATTGCTTCTCCGTGGCGCGGATCATTTTTTCCCGGTTGTCCAGCCCTTGTTCGCGCAGTTGGTCTTCGGCGGAGCGTTGCGACTCGATCTTCTTTTGCAGCAAATCCATCTGGAACGTGGTGTCGTGCACGCGCTCGAGCAACGAGTTGATTTGCACCCCCGAGCTGGCGGAGTTCCGGATCGTCTCGATTTCCTTCTCGGTGGACTCCCGGATAATCTGCACTTGCCTGAATTCAAAATTTAAATTTGGTAAATTGGTTATTGCGTTTCGTACCACAGTACATACGTCGCACAGGCGACCCTTCTGGATCTTTTGACACAGTAAAGCACGATCCGACAGCGACAGCATTTCTAGTGCATATGCACTCCAAAAAAACCCTAGATCCATACCTCTGATGCCTTTTTTCGTTTTCACCCTGGTCGTCCAGAAACTGTCGCTTCAACCGCTCACACTCCTCGCGTCCCTTCCGCTGCTCGTCGCGACGACACTGCTCCTTTTCCAGGTCGAGCGACTCGGTCAGCATGCGCTTCGACTCTTGCAGGTGCCGAATCTCCTCGGCGTGCACGGTTTTGACCCGATCCAGCTCGTTCTCTAACCGTTTCTTCTCCAGGTCGAACCTTTCCCTTTCCGACTCTAGTTCCAATTTTTGTTTCTCCTTCTGCTGCTTCTGCTTCAGATCCTGCTCCGTGATCTCGTTCTCCAGCCGTTTGGCCTTCAGCGACTGCTCCTGCAGTTCCGCGTTGGCCTGCACCAAGTCCAGTTTCAGTTGTTTGATCGTGTTCGTTTGCTCGTCCAAATTCCGCGCGTATTCCTCCGCTTGCTTCAACGTAAACGCCGTCTGCGGGTTATTCGAGGAAAGCAAAGCAGCCGCTGTCGCACCTCCGAATTGCGCTGTTGCTCCGGCCTGGATGACCATCGGGGTTGTAGTTCCCGGTGCGCCACCAGGTTGTACAACGAGGTTCGCTCCCTGCGGAACCGCGGAGCCAATGTTGTTGCCGATTCCGAGCGCTGCGGCCTGTTCCGCGGACTGTCGGCGACTCGGCCGGACGCTGTTGGCAGTGCTGCCCGGGTTGGCGACGGTGGTGGCGGAAAGCATGGAAGTGGAAAGGAGGTTATTGGAGTTCGAATTACTGTTGTTCGTCCCACCCTGACCATTCTGCGCTGAAAGACCTCCGGCGCCCCCCGGCATTTGCTGCAAATTCACGACGCCAGCAGCAGCTCCTGGCGTGGTCGTATGCGACTGCGCGGATCCGCCTTCGTTCCCGCTCGAGGTCGCGGTATTCGATTGTCCACCTCCCGCCTGTGCGGGATAATTTGTTCGGGTCTGAAAGTTCAGCAGACTCCCGCCGACCTGCTCCCCGCGCGGTCGCCGGGGCGGCTTCTTCAAGAAATCGTCTCCCGGGGCGAATATGTCGGCCTCCTTGGAGCTCTGCAGGTCGCGCGCCTTCTGCAACGGCGACTCGCCGCGCGCGGACTGCACGCTGTTTTCCTCGTTGTTGAAATTGGTAGTGAGACTGGCGAACTGCGGATTCACCACTTTCTGGTTCTTGGGGCTCGGTATCGCCATGTCGTCGAGCGTGCGCTTTTTGTTGACCGCGGCCCCGAAGATCGGTAGGTCGTCGTCCTCGTCGTAAGTGTCCTGCTTCGACGAGCTCGACGTGTCTGCTTGTTTATTCGCCGCGCCGGCGGCTCCGGTTATTGTACCGGACCCAGTCCCGCTGCTGTCCGTGGTGTTCTTCGTGCCGCTCGGAGCCGGGTTGTCGAAATTCAGCCGCAGGCCGAGGTTCCTTCTCGTTCGCGGCCCGGTCGTCGAGGCCGTGGAAGCTGCATTGTTGCCCGCTGCAAGCGCGGAAGCAGAGAGAGGTCCCGCCTGATCTTTTTTGGTCACCACCGAATCGGGCCCGTTGTTGTCGCTATCACTGAAACCGAGCTCCGCCGCACTAAACAAGGCCTGGTTGTTCGTGCTCTCGGCAGCAGTGGGTACTATGGTCTTGTCCTTGTTCTCGACATTTGCCGTCTTTTTGTCCTCTTTCGGGCCCATGGGGAGAAACAAATCGTCGTCGCTGTCTTCCGAAACCAGGCTTGGCTTGGTCTGGAACCCACCGCGCCGCTTCGCGCCCATGGGCGGCGGCGTCGCCTCTTTCTGCTTCTGCTTCGCGTCCGCATCCTTTGCCGTGGAGAGGCCAGAGCCGGAAGACTCCTGTTTTAGTTTTTCACGAGGTCACTGGCATTGATTTGGAATGACTTTATTTACGTGTGGTACTTCTTGTCGGGCGTTGCTGCAGTTGCGTTCCAACGCAATCGCTAGGCACAGCTCCTCGCTCTACGTAACAGTTTTCCTTAAGTACCTTCAACGAGAACCCCAGGTTGATGCCCCCCGCACTGCTACTTCCTGCAGCTGCGCTGCTGCCCGGCACAGCAACTACAGCGGCGCTCCGTTCCGAGGTGCTGGTGATCAGGTCTGCTTCTTTCGCCGCGATATTATTGCGCTTCGTGGCCGCAGACTGCAGCGCCGGCGGCTCGGTCTGGGACCGCTTCAGCAGCTTCGCCTTGGCCTCCTGGTCGTCCTCTAGAATGTCGCCGAGAATGTCGTCAATCTCCGTGTCCTCGTCTTGCGGCAGCGTGCGATTGTTGCCTAGGATCCCGGTGGAGTCCAGAATGTCGGGGCTCACCACGCCGTCCACGATCGTGCTGGCGTTTTTGCGGCTCAGCAGCGTGGTGTCCGTGAGTAGAGTCTCCTGTTCCTTCCGGTTCAGCTCGCCCTTCAAAATTTCGTTCTGCCGGGCCAGTTCCGCCTCCAGCTCCTCCTCTTCCGCGGTCGGGGGGCGCTCGCCGAAAGGCAGAAAATTGTCCAAAGCATCACCTGTAGATAATTCATTCATTCAAGTATGTGCTGACACCACTTCTAATCTAGGAGACAAAAATGGAATGCATAAAGAAGCCTAGTAGTAGTAACGCGAGAAGCAAATTAGACCATGCATCATAATCAATCTTCATGTATCTTCTGTAAGGAAGTACCTCCTCCCAGCGGGTCCCTTGATTTCTTGTTTCCGGCAGCACTGGATTTTGGCTCGTCAGTGTCAAAAATACTCGGATCCAAATCAAAACCCGACCGCCGCCGACCAGGCGCGTTCAGGGAGGGAAGGTCCTTCAAACTCGACATCTGGTAGCGGTTCACAAGCTAAGTACTGCTCCGTTTCTTCATCATGTTTCAACTCTGAGAAGAAAAATGCAAAAGCTGCTACAGCTCAAGCTCGAGTAAAAACACATGGTAAGTACTCAGCTTGGTTTAGTATTTGTTCATCACTTTGGTCACAAGCAAGGAAATGATTGCAGACACGACTTACAGGTGCAACAGCTCTCTTTTGCATCTGCACGCACACTGTCACGTGTCACCTCCTCCTTTCATTTACTACAAAAAGAAACTCGAGGGGCAGTTTGATGAAACACGACTCCGTTTGTTTCGCTCTCGAAACACGCACACGGCGACGCGAGAGATTTATCTTCGACAGAAAGAAAATCGACTCAAAATCAAAAAACTCTATGCGTCACAAGACACTGGAAAATGGATGAAAGAATCCAATGTCAATGAGTAAGAACGAGAAAAAAATTATAACGAATTGTGAGAACAGCAGACACTGGCCAGAAACTCTTCCTCAAACTCCAACTTAAATGCACGCGACCAGAAGCCTTTGACTTCTGGTCGTCGTGCATTTTTCTTCTTCTTCTATCGTGAGCGCTTTTCAGCTTCGAACTGGGACAAAATCCTGGTTGCCTTTTGCAACACACCGTCCTGTTCCTGCGCTGTACGGAAAAGCTCTTCTTCGATCTCCGAGTGAAAGGAGACATCCCGTAATCTAGTATTACACTCCTCAGTAGTTGTACCTTTATCTACTTCTTTCATCTCCGATTTTTCTTGTTCGCTTTTTCGAGCTTCCTCCTGGCGCGAAAGGCTTGCGCTACTGCCGCTACTGCTCCTGCTGCTCTTGTTCATCTTCTTCCTCAAGAGCATGGAGTCACGCACCTTCTCAGCTTCCCCCAAGAAGTCTTGCAAGACAGCGTCCATGTCGCTATCTCCGTCCCGCAAGACTCCAGCAATGTCCAAATACCGCAACGCGTCCGCAGCGTCGGTCAACTTCTCTTTCAACCACGAGAACTTGTCTTTGGTACTACTTGTAGCTCCTGTAGCCACCTCGCGGCGCTCGTCGCCGAAGCGTTGTGTTTTCTCTTTCACACTTGCACTTCCTTTATCGGGCACCAAACCGATCTCTTTCTCAGGGCTGGGACTAAGAATCAGCGAGTCTTCTATCAAGTTACTGTCCGATCCCGGGAAGTGAGCGGCGTGATCCCCAAACCCCCCGGTGGCTGCTTGCGATGCGTCTTCTGTTTGTGTGTGAAGATTTTTCTGTCCAAGCGAATTTCCGTCGACATCCGCACCTACTAACGACGCCACTGGTTGTGGCGACCTCTTCGTGTCCGAAGTAGTTGTGGACGTGGCTTTATTTTCTCCCGCTGCCCTTGTGCTGTAGTAGTCTTCCGTTGTAGCTGTGGCTCTACCGCCGTTTCTCGTCGTCGCATCTCTTCCTTCGCTGATACTCGGCGAAACGAGTTGCAGGTTGTGGCTGTCGCGAGTGCTGAAAAAATTTCCGGAGTTCTTGGATAGAAACGGATTCTTCTTCAGCGCGCGCGAACTCCCACCGGAGCCGGACGATGAAACGGCTGCATTCATTCCCGCACTGCTGCTGCTGCTGCTGCTACCATGCCCTCCACTTCCGGAACAAGAGGAAAAGGAGTTAGTAGCGTTGGCATAAGAGTGGTCTATCACCGGGCTGTTACGATCGTGAACACCACCACCTCCCCGAAGTAGATTCTTGTCCATTTTTTGCACAGATATTTTCGGACTTCGCGAGGAGGACGTCGCTCGAATGCGTGCTGTGGTGGAGATTGGATTCTTCGAAGTGGTCGTTCTCGAGACCGTCGTGGTTGGGAGGTTGGTGTAAAACTGCGGACTTTTCTGCGAAGACAAGGAGTTTACATTTGAAGCAGAGGAGACTGTCACAGACGGGGAATTCGCGTTGCTGTAGTTCGACGCCGGACTCTGGCTGTCTGTCTGGTTCTGAATGTGCAGCGGCATAGGGATGAAACCCGGATCATTTCCGGCGACTGCAACAACATTCTTGGTCAAAATGTCGCCAGAGTGGACGTCGCTCACACTCCCGACCGGGCGGGGCGGCGGCATGAACAGGCGGGGGGAGTTGGACGAGGAACTGGTTGTGGATGAGGGGACAAGTACGGGATTCTGCTGGTGCACCGTCGGTGTCGGTAGGCGCGGTGGAGGGGCGGCACGATGAGCGGCACTGAGAACGCCTCCAGTTGCGATCTTGTGCAGACTGGCGCTACTTTTCTTGGGAACAAAGTTTTTTTGCGGCAAACCAATGTTTGGAGATGTAGCTTTTGCACTTCCCACCACTGTCCGCAATTCCACTTTCTCGAACACTCGCTGCGTTCCGGCGGTGTAGAAATGACCAGCAGAAGAGGATGCGCTAGAAGCGGAACTACGGCTGCAGGAAAAATTGCTCCTCTCTGCTCCTCCAACTGGTGTTTCATCTTCGACGCTCTCGCCAGCGCAGCTCTTGTCGAAGCTGCAGTCATCCTGCTTGTGCTTTTTCCCCGTTGCTGAGGCGCTGTCAAAGTTCAATTGCTTTGACACGAGCATGTGGGGCGTCTGCACGGCGGCAGGAGTGGTTGGAACAATTTGATCTGGATTTGTAGCGGACGCGGTCGTGGTCATGCACCCGGGCTGCTGCTCTCTGTTACTGTTTCCTTTACTGCCAGAAGTAGAGCAGTTCTGTCGCAAGCCATTCACCAAGTCGATGGCCTGGTCCATCTCCATGACCACGGAAAGATTCTGTTGCTGCTGCTGACAAGAACTCGTCATTCCCAGCAAGTCCTCCTCCCGCCGACTCGCACACGAGTAGGAGCTTCCCCCGGTCATGTTCATGATGTGCATCAGGTCCTCCGAGTTCAACACCGGCTTTCCAACCAGCGTTTGTCGGCCCCAGTTTCTGCCCAGCGACCTCCTTCTGTTCGTCGATTGCTGGAAGTAATTGCTCGTCGCGGCAGATCCAGAGGACGCATTGGAATTCACCGTCCAGCTTAGCGCGTCGTGCTTCGCCTTTTGGGTGGACGTAATGGGAGTGGTAATGTTTGCAGCTTGCCTGATAGAAGACGATGTTGAACTGGTCAAAACTTCACGATTTTTTGCTGTTGCGGCAAGAGCATCTTGGTCCTCCTGCGGGTATGTTGCAGTAGTTTCTTGAGATGACACGAGGTCGTCCAACCCGTACTCGAAAACTGTTCCGTCAACCCCCATGGTAAGCAAGGTCAAGTTGTTTGCCGCAGAATGTTTGTGCCAGGAATTCGTCAGATTGTGAAGGTTTTGTGGTTCGCCAGCAACCTCGTACAAATCCTCGTGCACTCTGCGGTCGAAAAGACACAAACTCTGAAGAACATTGTAATTCGAAGTTGCGGATGAGCTCGCACTTACTACAGGCTTGAATTCTTTGAGCAACGTGATTGTTACGGTTGGCACGACGAGTGCTGCGTGGTCTCTGCTTCTTGCACCATCTGAAGTTCGCCTATCGTTCTGCGCGGTCGTGCTGTTGCTTTTTTCTCTCTCCGCATCGAAAACCAACACGATTTCGAAAAGCAGGATCGAGGTGAGGTATTCCTGGTGGTGCTTGGCTCCCTGCGCTTCTTCCCCACCGGTTTTCGTTTTCGTCTTGCTCGCACCACCAGCCGCCAAGGAAGCCTTGGACTTGGGAGGCGTGATCTTTGTCGAAGTTGACATAGTAGTCACTGCAGTTGCAGCGTACAAAAAGCGCCGCCGCCGAGACCCAACGGAGGCGGTAGTGGTGGAGTTGTCGTCCAACAGTTCAATCAAACTAGAAGATGTACACGACGACGTCCGGCGACCGGTCACAGAAGCCGCAAATTTCGTTTTTGAAGACGATACAAACGTTTTAATATTACCTCCGTCAAAAACGACTTGCCTTCCGCCGGCAAGTTGTTCCCCGGTCTTGGCATCGTAGCAAAACAGGGCTTTTTCATCATGAACAACGAGAAGCTCGTGGTCGAGAATCATGTCGTCACGCGCGTAGGCTAGAAGACCAGCTGCACCGTGTTCCTCTACTTCTGGCCCGCGCGGGGAACTGTAAGGCACGACCGCCATTCCGCCGAAAGAAGAACAAGAGGAGCTGCATTCTCGTTTCACGCAGCGCAGAACTTTGTTCTCCGTCCCGCTTTTGGAGGAAGAGGTCGCGGAAAACTGAACTAGTGTCGTGGGAGGCGGGGCACTGGTATGTGTCTGCGACGAGACTTTCGGTTTCGCTCCGGATGAAGCCGAAGAACTTGTGCGAGATGAAGACGAAGAACTGTCAACCACCATCCAAACCGCAGCGCCTTCACTCGAGACTGCGAACGACTTGATCACGGCCCCTGCGTTTTTTTCCGAGGAGGACATCGTGATCGTGCTGCTTTTACAACCCCGACTGTTTATCTTTCTAGTTTCCGGATGGTTCTGGTGTGCTGAGCTTGCTGTGGCATAATTTTTCACGCCAAAAGCAACGATCGTCAACAACGGAAAACTTGACGAATAGAGCAGATCCGCATTGTAACAGTACGCCTTCGACTCGTCCGCCCAAATCTTCCACATCTGCACCTCAATACTGGTGGAAAGCGGGTCGAAGCTGGCCGCGGCGAGAACCGTCGTGTCGCCCCAGGTGCGGACGGAAAGAGCGGTTTCGTAGTTGTGGCTTCCGCTTGGGTTTCGTTTTGCCTCCCCTTTTCGCGAAAATACTAGCCCGCTCTTCTTCGACCCGGATAAAGTAGTTTCATTTCTTGCAGTCGGGCTGAAGGGAAGAACTCCCGACTTGCAGCTGTCGGACTGGTCGTGATCGTAGTCGCTGCTCTTGTTTCCCTTTTTGAAACGTCCGGTAGAAGAGCTCGCTGCACTAGCGTAAGAAGACCCCACGCGTGCGGTCCTTGACGTCTTTCCACCGTTGTTATTCTTCACCGACGGTGGTGGCAAGCCCAGTTGTGACTTGATTTTGTTCTGCACGCGCTCCTTCTGAAACGCGATTTCTTTCTCCTTCGAAAATGCAGAACTCTTCGATGCGCAGGAGGCAAGACTCGCGACGCTGTCACGGTGGTTGGTCGAAGAGGAATTACTGCCTTGATGCATCGGCGTGTTGGTGTTGCTGCGGGAATGATTGGTCTTCACGCTACTGGCGGGTGATGTCGTAGTGGATGTATTCTTCCCGTAAGAAAAATCGTGCACGTGGTGCTCATTATTTTCTGACAATCTTGACCTTACCCTTACCACCAACTCGGGCCCTTGCAACTGCTGACCGTCGTCCAATGCGAACAGGTGAATTCTCTCCGCAGAAGATTCGGTCTGGGGATCTTCGTAAGAAGCGACACACAGCACGTTCGCCGTCTCATCGCAGGAAAATGCGGTTACGAGGCGGTTGCAGTTGTTGAAGAAGATTTTTTCCTGTAGTTCTGCTGATCGATTTTCACCATCCATTGCATCATCTTTGCTCTCGCGAAGAAGTGCGTCGTGGTCAGCACCGCGGCTAAGTTCTGATGAGGAAAGCGCGAGCTTCGTGCCACTGTCGTGGTAGTGGACACCGGTTTCGTAGCAGCTCAGCATGCCACTGACACCGATGGCCTTCCCACGTGTTGCATCGGTCAGGGAGAATGCTGTCGAACGATGAAAGGTGTTTATTCTCGCCGCTGTTCCAGGACGACCGCTGGAGCAGGGGGCCGAGGACCAATCAACGGTTTGTATCGTACCGTAATCATCGAGCGCGAGGAGCACTTTGGAATCATCTTGCTCAAAGCTCCACAATTTGCGAATTGCAGGACATCCCGCAGTGGCGGAGTCCGTTCTGTCGGGCAAAGTCGTACTTGGTTGTGGAAAGGAAACCGGGACCGTCACTTTCCACTCCAAAGTGTCCTCGGACAGCAGTTTGATCTTGTTTGCTAACCCAACCGCAAGGTAAGACGATGCACCACTTGGTCCTGAAGATGAAACTCTAACGAGTGCGTACGCACAGGATTGCGGTTCATGTAGTGGGCGAGCATGTAGTTCTTCCCTGGCGCCAGTTCTTACGGAAGAAGGACAAGGAGCTTGTCCTCCGGCTTTATGATTTGCAGTTGAGTTCTTTTTCCTCGCCACGACTTGCGTGTAGCGCTCGACCTGCCCTGAGCCCGCGTTGCAACACAGCAGCAGGCCGGAACCGGTGAGGCAAAACAACCGATCAGCAGAAGAGGCGGATCGGGAAGCCTTCGGCGGTGAAACGGCGACGACGCCGACGATGCGGGTACTATTTTGGTCCTGTTCGTTTGCGTGATGCCTTTCCTCTCGAGAAGACGTCGAAGAGAATGCTTTATGTTTCGCCACAGTGTCGCCACCCGCTTCTTCAACCTGTTCTCGACTCTGCAACCGCTTCAGCATGTCCGGGCGCACGAGGATTTTCGGCTGGACAGGAGAGAACGGAGCACCGGGACGAGGTACCAGCAGGGCGTCCTGCCAACAAAACACCGATCCAAATTTGTCTTCTATACCACCGCCGCTGCATAAATCGAAATCCTCGTCGCTGCAGTAAGCGAACACACTCGCCTCCGTCACCGCCAGCTGCAGGCTCGCGCCCAGCGGAGGACGAACGGTGAACAATCGGGACGAAGCAGATAAAGTCGTTTTCATCTTCTTAGCTGCAATATTGGTGTCCAGACCGGAATCAAAATCGACTGCCCAACCGGTTATATGAGCGTCTTGTGGCGGTTTTCGGCAATGGTCGAAGACTTCTTCGGAACCAACAACGAGCAAAGATTTTGTCGAAGTGGCCGCCGAGGTTGACTTTGAAGGTTGCGGCACGACTTTCACCTGAAACACGCCGCCACGCCACGACGGTGGGAAATCCTCCGGTTTGATCTTCGCGACCGATTTCGTTTTCGTGTCGTTTTCTGGCCCTTTCGAGCTGCTGGACGAGGACGAGGTGCAACAGGAAATGACATGGATTTCGCTTGCGCACCCATCAGCATAATTGCCTTCTGCAGATTGGCATTGATGTTCCAAGGGTGAGGTAGCAGGCGTTGCGGAGGCGGCGCAGACACCCACTGCGATGATCACAACATCGTCTGACTTCTTCCCTCGTGATTCGTCCCTCTGGCCGCTGGTGGAGCACTGAAGATCAATGCAGGCGATTGTTTGCTGGCCCGTGGTAGATGTGACATTGCTGCTCTGTTTCGCTGGTGCGACGGAGGACGGTGTTGATCGCAGTTCCCTAGAGCTAGAATTGCTCTCCGCGGGGGCGCAGGAATCTCCGACTCGATACACCAACACAGACCCACCGGAAATTTGCGAGAGAAAAACGGACCCGGCGTCAACCACAGTGGCGGTTTTGTCTTTGGACACGGCGATTAAGGAGCGAGATGCTGCTGATGTGCTGGTGGCCGAAGAAGATTTATTAATCCTGCCGTTATTTGAAGTGAATGCAGAACTGCTTGATGAGGAGCTCGAAGAATGCCCTCCCTTTGTGTTCCTGTCATAGTGCTTTCCGCGGGAAAACGCCACGGGAATCGCGACAGGCGAGCGCACGGTGATGGGAAGCCCCAACATCTTTGCAACTCGACTGGTCAAGGCCAGACACAGGTATGAAAAGCAGGGTAGGGGTACTAGTTTTGTACTCGTTAATAGTAGGGGCGCCGGATGTCTAAGAGATACTGCGACCGTCAGAAAGGCTAAACCAAATTCAGGCACAATCGAGGGATTTGAAGCATACTCGACGATAACTGAAAGAAGGCAGACATATTTTTTCCCTTGTTCAGCGTAAGTCGTATATGATCTTAGTCCTACGCAGATGCATCAGGTAGCGGCACTTGCTTCTCTCAGTCGTGCAAAAAGCCGATAGAGAAGTGCTGTGGTTTCTTTCTTGATACTCCACGATGCGTCTCTTCGTCTCCCCTACCTCAAAGAAAACACCGCAAGCGAGATTCGACCACGAAGATCAACTCTAGGAAATCCTCAAATTGCTGTACGCAAAACTGTGAAGCAAGAACGCCCACCGCAACGGAACGCCCCACACGCACCAGAGTCGAGGCATTTTTGTTTTTCGTGATTGCTTTGCTCGGAGCTGCTTCAGCTGAGGCATTCGATTCGGGTTGCTCACTCGAAAGGAGGCATCGATTTCTATCTAATCGTAAAAGTAGTTCCTAGACGAAAAGTGGAGTTGTAGTTTTCTCCTATGCTGTGAAGCAGCTACGACCCGGTCGTCAAACGATAAAATAAAAGAGGGCATTACTTAAACATGCAAGTGTGGGGACAAAAAAGGCTTGAATTGTATGAGCTTTCATCCCTACTCAAACCGATGTACATTGTCGGCGAGCCAGAGACCTAGTTACCTAAGTGCAACTCAACATCATCCAGTTTTTGTTTACATCATTTGGGAAGAACAATTCAATTGTATTTGCTCGACTTCTCAGGGACTAATTCTGCGTAATAAAAAATTCAAACTTCCTCCTGGTCGAATTTGATGAGCAAGTCGAGGACCCGCTGGATATCTGTTTCCGCGAGGCCGTGGTGCGCGCCCAGCAGAAAACCTTGCTCCATGATCTTGTCGCTGTTGGGATAAGTATCTAAATACTGTCGGTACGCGGGGTGTCGAGTCACGTTCCCGCTGAAGATCACCCGGATCTGGACCTGGTTGGACTCCAGATAGCGGATCAACTTTGTTCGGTTCGGGTGCTGCAGCGGGAAGGCCAGCCAGTCCAAGGAATCGTAGTCGGGCCGCGGGAGGACGTACCGGGATTTGTTGCCGGATTGCCTGTGGTACTCTTCCAGCCGTTCGTAGAACATGCGCACGCATCCTGAGTAAAAACGTCCCCACCCCATAGCTGTCATGCAATTCTGCACGCTAAAAAAGTTTCTCATGCGCAGCCCTATGCGAAGAGCTTTCAGCTCGTGTTTCGGGATTTGTGATGCTAGAATCCGCATGCTATGCTAGATCTGTGATGCTTCTGAACTAGCTAAACAGGATTACACTACGCGGACAGACTTGTCATGCCAAACAACCAAAGCTGGTTGATTTGTCTAGCAGACTTCCCATGTTGACTCTGGTGTGGGGACGTTTTTACTCAGAATAGCACGTTCTGCTTCCGCATTTCCGTGAACCGGTTCAGTTTCTCCATCTGGGCCAACGCGAAGGCCGCCGACATCTCGCACGCTTTGAAGTTGTAGCCCACCACGCTGTACAAAAATTTCCCATCGTACTCGATGCCGTCGACGGATTGCTTGAACCGCTCGGCCATGTCCTCGTCGTTGTTGCCGATGCGGCCCCAGTCCCGGTACTGAAAGGCTTTGTTCAGCAGCTTCTCCGTGTTCATCATGATCATGCCGCCCATGCCACCGCCCGTCATGATGTGGGAGGCGTAGAAGGAGATCGCGGAGATGTCGGACTCCTCCGTGTACGTCATGCAGTCGCAGGAGTATCAAACCGAAAAACGTCTGGGTCTGGAAACTTGTGATGCTGTGTGGCGTATCATGAGGAGGCGACAATTGCTGGCTCAGCATGACAAGTTTCTGAGCTTCTAGGTGTTGCCTATTCTGCATGACAAAGACAAACTACGTTTCTCCATGACAGAAAAGTGGGGCTCTTTGGTAATGTGCATGACAGATTTAAGAGTCATGGCAGACAAGCATGACAAACTTGCATTCTTCCAGACCCAGACATTTTTACATTTGATAGGGAGTCCTCGAAGAGAATGATGTCGTCCCGTTTCAGGTCCTCCTCCACGATCCGCCGCATCTCCTTCCAGTCGATCTTCGACCCCACCAAATTCGGGATCATCAGCATTTTGGTCTTCTCCGTGATGGCGTTCTTGATCGCTTCCAGCGTGGGCACGTAGCTGTTCAGCTCCACGTCGACAAACACGGGTTTGAACCCCAGCTGCACAATGGGCGCCAACACCGTGCTGAAGGTGCAGGCGGGCGTGATGATCTCGCTGCCGGCCGGCATATCGCACATGGCCATGCCGATCAGGTTCGCCGAGGACCCGGAATTCACGTACTATCCTGAGTAAAAACGTACCCACACCAGAGCCAGGATGGGGATTTTGCAACACAAACCTAGGAGCTTTGTGAGTCACGCATGACAAGTTGCACTATGCAATGTAGTGCAGGTTAACAAGTGCAGCCGCATCACAGATTCATCTGCTCATCCTGTTCACAGCATCACAAATTCCACAACACGATTGGAAATGGCTCTCATGGAGATGCGCAATACAAGTCTTCCTGTCTTTGCAAATCTGCATTACAACTCTGGTGTGGGTACGTTTTTACTCAGGATACGTACAGGCCGTACTTCTTCCCGAAGTACTTGGACACCTTCTGCTGGAACAGGGAGGTCAGCGGGCCTATCAACTGTAAAAATGTCTGGGTCTGGAAGAATGCAACTTGTAATGCTAAATCTGAATCAGGCAAAAAACTGTGTTGCATGATTGCCAAAAATTGTGCACTTTTGAGCTAATCGAGAGGCAGTTTCTCATGCAGGATAGGCATTGGAAAGGTTTCGCAGAATCTGTCATGCTATGTCCTACATGCCAGACCTCATGTGTTATGGAAAACCTGCATGACAAACCTGGCAATCTTCCAGACCCAGACATTTTTGCAATCCATAGGGCCCGGCGCGAGCCAGCCTGCGCGCAGACACCGCGAGACCGCCATCATCTCTTTATCAACTGCAAAAGTGTCTGGGTCTGGAAGATTGCGAGATTTGTCATGCTGATCTGGCATGGCCCTTAAATCTGTATTGCGTGGCCACAAACAGCCTCTCTCGCCTGTGATGCAAAAACGCAGTTTCTCATGCGGAATACGCAGCACAGAACCACGAAGCAACTTGTCATGCTTGGCGGCGCATTACACTGCATTTGTTATTGGCTGACTTGCATTACAAGTTTCCAGACCCAGACACTTTTGCATTTCATACTCTTCGTCCCCGTACGACTCGAACTTGTGGGGCGCGTATTACAATGAAAAATGCCCCCGACCCCGAATTACTTGGGAGCATTTGTGTTGCAAACCTTTCCAAATGAAACATTCGCCCTCTTGCATCTATCAGCATCACAGGTTTCCAATCGTAAACAGCAAAAATTTGTATTGCAGAAGACTCCACCAAGCTTACCGCTTGTCATGCAAGCGATGCGATACACGCCTAGACTCTGCATCAGAAAGATTCATACTCCTTTCATGCATGGCAAAAGGTTTTCATTTGGAAACTTCGCATCACACATTTTTGCAACTTTGGGGGTGGGGGCATTTTTCACTGTAATAGCGCGTACCAGACCTTCTTCGGTTTTTGCTCCTCTTTCGGGACCAGACAGGCCGCGTAAACGTCCTCGAACTTCGGCAGCGCCTTGTCCTTCTCGGAGAAGATCAAGTCTTCAGCCTTAAGCGGGAAGGAGGCGGTGCCAAAAATGGTGAATTCGGTGCTTTCCATGTTCACGTTGATCTCTTTCGCGGGATCAAAAAAATCCCCCTTGTAGTACTGCGTCAACGTGTCATCCTCCAGGGCCACGTACCCGTGCGCCACCCCGGCCGGCACGTAGAGGTAGCCTGTTTTGATGTCGATTTTTTTTTCCGTGTGCTTCTGCTTTTACTATACTCGTTCCTCGTAATCAAGAATAGCAACGGCAGCGAGAATGTTGACAGAAATGACATGCTGATGATCACTGACTACGTACATCATGGCTACAAAAGAGGCAGGAACAGATCCGAGCACCACAGGCGGTGAAGCCGAGCTCTTCTTATGCTTATCCTCACCATGACCATCACAGCTGAAATTATAGATTATACCCTTTTTCGGCAGCAACGTGCAGGTGAAGATTTTTCCGAACGTCGTGCTCGCCGTCCGTAGATCCAGTAACACGTCATACATTTTTCCGGTTAGACACCCCACCACCTTCGGGAAGGGCGAACAGTGGAACCCCCGGGCGACGTTCTTCTTCGAAGCAGCCACCCCGCCTTCCAGCACGGGAAACGGCACGGGCACGTTCACGTAGTCGCCCCGGTGGTCCTCAAAACTGCCTTCTTTGACAAAAAACACGTCGTTGATCGAAAGCTCCGCCGTTCCTGGTGTCGCGGTACTTGTCGTGCTCGACGTGGGCGTGTCCGTCACGCCAGGTACGGAAAAGCACTTCTTGGACGTATCCAGGGTTAGGGTGCCAGCAATGGACATGTGCTCCCCAGTGGTCTTCCACTGGGGCATCTCCGGAACTGCGTCCGGCACAACGGCCTTGATACCTGTCATCTTGAATGTTGAAAGACGGGGAAGATCGAACCGACACTCAGCACAAAATTACCGAAAGTGGTGACGCTGTGGATCCCGAGCAAATACTGTGAATAAACGTCAGTGATTGTAGTTCTAGTTATTCATGCTGGTATTGTCCAGAAGTGAAGCGACACCTGCAATTCGTTGTAAACGAAATCCCATCACGATCAGTATCAGAAATCCTGCTCTACAAAAAGAGGGTGAGGGTACTTTTTCGGGCACATAAACCGGATCCTGTTCCTGGGTAGGGCAATGGCACTTATTGTTATTGTGGATGGGGTCACCGAAGGAAAATCAAGCGATGCTTTGTCCGAGCGTCAAGCAAAAACGTATCATCGAAGTACTGGAAGAGAGTTAGAGTTTCAGCTTCTGTACGGTACAGTGAGATTTGCTTTTCCTACTCACCGTCATTCGCAATGATGGCCATCGCGGCTGGTAGTGGGACCAATTTTATCTGCGTGAACACAATATGAATGCGCTCTGAAGACCTTGAAGGAAGCCAACTACTTCCTCCCTTACTCACTCTCTCCTCTCTCAGTTGCGGTAAGTATCTATATGAGGATGGCACCACGATGAATTTCGCTACAACGTTTCTGTACATTTCGAATATCTTCCTGCTAGATGCGCCCGTATCGATTGCATCTTTCGTCTGTCATGGGCGACAGACAACGAACTAGCAGTGTATGAATACCACCAGATCGCATGTTGCAGCCGCGCTACGAGTGGAAATGTGAAACCAGGAAAATTTTACAGGCCTAGCACTAGAACAATTAGCGAAGTCGTCATTCAAAGTTGAAGGACAACGATGAAACAAACTAAGTTTAGACGCAATGTGTTGAAAGTGAAACGAAAAAACGCGACGACGCGACAATGGATTCAGTGCTTGGTGCACTCGAAGTCGATGTAGTTTTTCTATCTTTTGCCCCGTCCACCGAAGATGAGCCACAAATTCTTCTAAAAATGCAAAAGTCGGCCTGCATCCTGATAAGCCGCAACCTTTCACTGCACTCCGCAGCCGCCGGTGTCGTCTGCGCCACCCGGGGTCTGCTGCAAGTACGACTGTGGACCGCGGACCGGCTGCAACGCAGTCTGTGTCGTATTCATCACGTACGGATTCTGGTTTACTACTTCGTAGTCGTAGTTGGTCTTAGTCGTAGTTGCATTCGGCAAAACTACACCCGCTGGTTTTCTTTCCAAATTCGATTCCTGAAGTCCCTCCCCTTTATTCAAATAACCAAGCACCGCACTGGTAGTAGTGCCTGGGCTCCTGCTGTTGTAGTTTGTTGTTTGGACATTCAGATCATTCGCGTAGTCCTGTTTCTGCTCCACGTCCCCAAGCAGGAGCTGGAGTTGCGGGACCTGCGGCGTCTGCAGTTCCAGGTTTCGGTACAGGGCCTGCAGGTAATCCGCGTCAGAAACTGTAGTCGCCGGTTGCGCTCCCGGAGTATCGTAGAGAAAAGAAATAGCACAGCGTCAAGCTGAAGATGAACACCAACATACTTACTTATCATCAATTGCACGTAAGTACGATGGACACACATGGAAGCAAGCACTGCAAGACAAAAATAATTTCGTGGGAGGACGCTCTTTCTAAAAATGAATCCCCGCCATACTGAGAACCGGAAACAATGAGAATGAACTGGCTGTTCGCATGCAAAATTTTACACTACACATGACATGATGCTAGCTGCGTTTTCTGTACGATAGGCGGGCGGGCGGACGAGAAAGGGCTGGTGCAGTGTGGGTACTAAGTGCCCTGCTGGGGTGTAGCCCACAACTGGTGCGGCCCCGACGTTGTAATTCGTGCTGTAGGTCGTCGTCTGCTGCATGGTGATTTGCCGATTGCCGGCTGCCGTGTTGCTCAGCGGATCCCCCGCGGCAGCTACGATCTGCTGCGTTTGTGTTTGCGTTTGGTTCACGGCCGCGGTCGTCCCGCTCGCGGCGGGTGCTTGCTGTGCCACCTGGCTTGTAGTTTGTTGCGACGTCGAACTATTCACTCCGCCTGCGGGCCCGGGAGGCGGCATCCCCGGGTACCGCGGGGTCACAGCTTGCTGCACTTTGGTTTGCAAGTCTTTGATCCTCGTTTCGCCAAGGCGCTGCAACTCCGCCACTGTGCGACTCATCTGGTCCGACCCGGATTGGAGCTGAAGATGATGATGAAGAACGTTTTATCATAAATTTTCATTTTGTCTTCGGTGACCAGACCACGATATCGTCAAACGAATATAGAAGTACCGATCGATGCAGTGTTGATTTTCTCGTCAGCAGTGCAGCAGGCAAACGCAAAACACCGTCGCAGCATTGCGGATAGTAAAAAACATCAAATGTACCCGTTGAAACTCCGCTCGCAGGGACTCTACTTCCTTCCGCAGTCTCGCCTCTTTCTCGTCGAATTGCAGCAGCTTCGTGTTTATTCTTGCCCCTTCGTTTTGCAGAGCCACTTTTGCCTCCCGCACGGCCAGCGTGCTTTCCAACAGCGCCTTTGCATCCTGCACGGTGGAGTTGCCCCCGTTCGCTGCAGTTGCGGCGCTCCTGCTGACAAGCGCGAGCTGCCGGTCGGGCTCAGACAAAAATTCCTGCTCTTGATTATCACCTGGAGCTGCAGCTCCCAGCAGCGCTTTATTCGAGGATGATGTTGATGCAGTGCCGCTTGCAGAGGATTTCCTGTTTCGCACCAGCCGCTCCAGCGCATCGACGCGATTTTTCTGCATGCTGGCCTCCAACTCGATATCAAATGCAAGTGTCTGGGTCTGGAAGAGTGCGCGACTTGTCATGCAGCTTTTCCATGACCCATGAGGTCTGGAATGCAGGACCTAGCATGACAGATTCTGTGCGATCTCTCTCATGCCTATCCTGCATGAGAATCTCCCTCCCGACTTGGTCAAAACTGGACGACTTTTGGTAATCATGCAACAGAGATTTTTGCATGCTTCAGATTTAGCATGACAAGTTTACAGACCCAGACATTTTTACATTTGATACTCGACCGACTCCTGCAACAGATCCAGTTCGCTGTGAATTTTCCGTTCCAGCACTTCTTCCAGCTTGAGTTCCTTCACCAACTGCAGGACGTGCTCCCGCTGTCGCTCGGACAACCCCGCGGCATCGACTGGTTTGTTACGTACGCTGTTGCTCTTCTCCTCCAGCTTCTCGGCTAGCACGGTCTGCACGTGTTCCTCGAACAGTCGCTTCGCCTCCTTTTGCTCCTCCCTGAGGCTGAAAACACCGGAAGATACGGTTTCGACCGAGCTCGCGATCTGGTGCCGAACCTCGGCGTCCTGGCGCAGAAACTTGGCTTCGAGCTCCGACTTCAGCTTTTCGTGGGACAGCGCGAAACCTTTCTCCAAACCTTCTATCTGCTTGGCCTGCTGCGCGATCACGGCCTTGTACTGCTCGACTTCGGCCTGGTTCGCAGTCTTGCGGCCCTTTTCCGCTTCCTGCGCCGCCTCCTGCTGGCGCTTGCCCAGCATCACCATATCAAATGTAAAAGTGTCTGGGTCTGGAAGATTGCCAGGTTTCGGTTTGTCATGCACATTTTGCATGACTCCTGATGTCTGTGATGCATGCCCTAGCATCACAGATTTTGTGACGGCTTCCTGATGCCTATACCGCATGGCAAACGCTCTTTCCGTGTAGCAAAACTTGGACTCTCTTTGCTGCTCATGCAATACAGATTTTTTTAGAATCCAAAATCAGCATGACAAGTTGGATTCTTCCAGACCCAGACATTTTTACAGTTGATACACCAACTCGCTCTGCAACAACCGCAGCTCCTCGTCGTGCTTGGTCTTAGTCTTCGCCAGCTCCGTATCAAATGCGAAAATGTCTGGGTCTGGAAGATCAGAACTTGTCAGGCTAAATTTTTTTTTTTTTTTTTTGCCAAGGGAGGACTGGACTCAGTTTCAGTTTCAGTGGAGCGCCCCGCCGGTTGAACACTTCTGATGGTGAACGAAAACCAGGGATTTGCGGCTTCGCGCCGCGACGACTTGATGGGGGTCCCGCACCCCCCCTCCGCTTCCAAAAATACTGTTTGTGCGTGAATGCTGCAAAACCTCCGACACCGCGGCACAACAAGGAGCAAGCTCCTATTCACCATACACAAACGTAGAGATGGAAATCATCGGGAAAGGATATTGTCGACCGCAATCAATGACGCCCGTGGCAACTACAACCCGAAGCAGGGGAGGGGTAGCTACTCCCGCACAACGCGCGAAATTCGTTTTCTACGTGTCGAGCCGGTAGCAGCGGCACACGTCCGATCCAGTTTTTTCCACGATGACGAAGAACTTTTTTTTCTGAATCGGAAAACCCTAAACACCTAAACCCTTCTATTTACTGCGGGAGGAAGCAGCCCCGGATTTTTTGACGAAGTTCGTAAAACGGTCAGAAATGATTAAGCTACTGCGTTACGCTAGTGACTGTGTGCGCGCTTCAGAAAACATAAGCCCGCACAGGTCTGCATTTAGCTACCGCCCGCCCTGAATGAGGTACGTCCTAACCCCGGTAGCAGCGAGGCAGATCATGTTTTTTTTTGAAAAATACACCGGGCGTTTGCAGAGTAGCAGTAGCCGCAGATGCAAACCTGCGGCTGGTAAAACGGTTGTAGAAGTACTCTATTCGCTTACGACAAAGCACTACTTTTAATTTTTTACAACGAAGTACTACGAACGAACGAGGGGGGAAGGGGCGGGACCGTTGAGCCCTCCGGTGGAAGTGATGAAGTAGTTCTATCTGCCCCGCCGTCAGTGATAATCGAAGTTCTGCCCCGTGTCGGCGGACGACTTGTAGTTGGAACCGGCTCGCCACGTGGCGCACAGCAAGCTGGAGGTGTCCGACCGCATACGGGGAGTCGAGTAGGGCGGAGCGTAAAAACACCACTCAAAACGGCCGCGAAGTACAGGCACAGTCCGCCGGACGAGTGGGAACTTGAGGTAGCCGAAGTACAGGAAGGTCGTGTGATCTGGCCCGGGTAGTGCAGCAGCGGGAAAGCTGGGGCCGTTGAACCCCGCCCCGGTCCGCGGGCGCTGGCAGTCGCGCCCCTTGTCCCCCGTATGTGCTGCTTCCCGTGCGTACCATGCGCAAAGCGGAATGTGGGAAAATTCCCCTTTGCATCCATGGCGCTTCGCGAAGCAGCAGGTGGAGAACGAGGTTTTTGACCACCAGCACCATAAACTAGTCTTTTCCGGAAAACGGCATCAGCAAGTTCGAGATGGAGCTGCGGGGGGTAAGTAGAGGACCAGGGACAGGGCGCCGCAGCAGCGGGTTGAGGACGAGCGGGAAGCTTTCACCGGTGGCCATGTGAATTCGACACGTCGGAGCTATCGGTAGCTATCGGGTCTGCAGCAACGTCGGGATAACCGCAAATGTCGACCTTGGGTGGCGGAGAGTGAGCAGGTTCGGAAGCAGGCCGATAGGCCGGAAAACGGTCGCTGACGCCGTGAAACCGCTCAAACCGACTACTTGGCGGTGGACTCAATTCAATTCATGGAGCGGCCCCGTGCTGGAACACTTCTGATGGTGGACGTGAGCGCGAGATTTGCGGCTTCGCGCCGCGGCGACTAAATGGGGGTCTCGCCCCCCACCCTCCGCTTTCAAGAATCCCGTTTGTGCGTGCATGCTGCAAAACTACCACAACGTGGCCAAAATGAGTGCAAGCTCTCACGCACCATACACAAAAAGAACAAATGAAAATCATCAGGAGGAGATTGTAGAACGCAATTTATGACGCCAGTGGCAGCTAAAACCCGAACGGCGGGGGGGTATCTACCGCGCCGAGCGCGCGGATTCGTTTTTTCGTGTCGAGCCGGTAGCAGCGGCACACGCCACATGGTTCCATCTCGCAGCCTCCGGAACAATGTGGAATGGGGATAGCAGTGCGGGGCTCAAGGTTCATGGAGCGGCCCCCGGGCGGAATACTTCTGGTGGTTCAAGGAGCGGCCCCCGGGCGGAATACTTCTGGTGGTAGACGTGGCCCAAGGATTTGCGGCTTCGCGCCGCGGCGACTTGATGGGGGTCCCGCGCCCCCCCTCCGCTTCCAAGAATACTGTTTGTGCGTGCATGCTGCAAAACCTCCGACACCGCGGCACAAAAAAGGAGCAAGCTCCTACGCACCATACACAAACGTAGAGATGGAAATCATCGGGATGGGGATATTGGCAACGCCGATCAATGACGCCAGTGGCAGCTAAAACCCGAACGGCATGGGGGTAGCTACCAAGCCGAGCGCGCGGATTCGTTTTCCTTTACGTGTCGAGCCGGTAGCAGCGGCACACGCCACATCTCTTCACCTTGCAGCGTCCGGAAAGATGTGTTTGGGGGCATAGCAGTGCGGGGGGATACTATCTACACCGGCTGAGCTGAGCCTGAATTTATTGCCATGCAAAGTTTTTGCTTTCGCAAATACAAAAGCGAACTTTTTCTAGAGCTAACAAGTCACCCAGTCAAAACTTAAGCCACCCCCGCGGACCATTTAGAGACCGCGCAACCTGAATTTTTCTAACTACTGACCCGGTAGCAGCGGGCGAAACTAGTGCGCTAGGAAAAACTACACCGGTTGCTTCTACGCAGTCAAAGCAGATAGTCTGCAGGGTGCTGTAGTAAAACCAATAAATTTTTTTCATGCAAAGCCGGAAACGGAATAAAGCATGCATAGAAAGTTCTCATGCAAAGCTATTACCCCCCCCAAGCAACAACCCGCTGGCTAGGCGGAAAAAAATGAGAAGCCCCTGCGAGGACGCGGGGTCCGCGGAACGTCTAGCGCTACAAGACATGGGGCAAGTAAGACTAAGGGCGAAGACCGCAAGACTGTAAAAGGGTAGAGATCTAAATCTACTTGGGACAACACCGGGCACAGGGAAGATCTAACTTTTCGAAGGCGAAGGAGCGCACGAATTTGCGATCTAGCTCCTTGGACGAAACAAACGAAGAGCGGCAAAACGAAGTGCTTCATGACGACTACAAGCTGGCAGGAAACATACAAAGCATACATAGCAGCAACAAGAGAATCGGACTCGCATTGCTTTCCTGACAATGGTCCACTTTCCTGACTACTAGAAAAAAAATCTTACTCATTCGCAAAATGGTTCTGCTCAGGGTCTCGCTGTTGGATGCGCCAGCTAGGGGGATAAGAATTAGGCTGGTACGCGGATAAAAGTGCAAGGCATCACAGTGTGCCAAGCAGATTCAGACCAGAGGCGCAGCACCTCCCGCGCCCTGTCCGGGCCCCGCGCGCTCCCCTTCCTGGTCAGGCCTCACTGGATGAAGGGAACGCAAGGTCTGTCTTGTTCTGAATCTACTTGCCAAACGCTTGATGATCACACCTCCAACAACAAGCTCCCTTTCCTTAGACCGATTCCTCTACCATACAAAACGATCCTCCCGGGGTTGATGCCCAAGCCGTACATATAAAACTGAAGCCATGTGCCTCGACGCGAAGCCGTTGCACTTAAGCAACTCACGACAAAAAGCTTCCCACGCAAAGCGTCTCGGCGGTCTTCCCGGCAAGTGCAGAGCATACTCACTTCACCACCTTTTTCCCGTCCGCTTGCTGCTGCACCTTGGCCGGCCTATACTTATGGAAAAAAGCAGTAACTTTGTGCAGTTACTGCTTTTCATTTGATACTACTATCCTTTTACCCTGGGTCTATTTTTCACACAAGGCAGCTTTGAAACAGATTGCGACCTCCCCCTGTGGTCCCGTGCTCTGAACGCCGGCGCTGCGGAGTATAAATTCACCCGATCAGGGTAGCTCAAGACATAATTACTGCGAGGCTAATCACTAGGATAATCAGGGGCCTGATGTTCGTGGTTCGTGTTTTTAGTGTTGTCATTCTTGGTGTAGAACGTCATCACTTTATTAGGTCCTTGATCGCTCTCATCATTTGCTGCATCGTTCTGAGTTGCTAATTTTATACCGAGTAGTGTGCTTGTTTGACCGATAGGTCCACACTACCCCCCCTAGATTAGTTTTTGCAAAATCTAATCTACTACTACTACCGCCGGCAAGAGTAAGCTTCTCTATGATCTTTTGATAAAATTTTTACATCTAGATCTTTTGCTCGGCCGGTGGTATACCCGATTTCGAGCGTCTTTTTGTAAAAAGTTGCATGGTAGTTTACTTCTCATTCGTAAGGCTGTTTAGAGAGTTCTTCGTTGTACTGTAGTGCTGTTTCGATAGATATCACAGAACTTTCATTGTGAATTCTGTAAAAAGTAAGAAATCTGCATTACAAATGCCACATCCAGTGTATAAATAGATCTTGTCTGTCTTGCTGTTTTTCGATAGTGCATAGATCTTCTTTTTGCAATTCTCGATGCTTGTCCACGATCAGCAATTTTTCTACCTCAAATAAAATCTACAAAACTCGCATGCTACTGCCGATAAAGAAAAGATATAACTTCCTTGAACTTAGTCGGTCCTAGTGCTTTCGTTAGAAAATCGGAGCGGTTTTCGTTCGTATGCACGTACTGCACGGTAGCGCCGTGCCTATCTAGAGTTTCTTCCACGTAACACATCTTGACATCGAAATGCTTAGTGCGTCCCGTTGCTGTACTTTCCTGCGTTAGCTGGATGGTTGCAACGTTGTCACACCTAATCTCGACCTGAGGATCAACTCCTAAAACTTCTCTCGCCAGCTTCTTCATCCAAGTTAGCTCTTTCAGCCCTTGGAAGAGAGCAAGATGCTCGGCCTCACACGTACTGGTCGCCACTAGTTTCTGTGTAGCGCTGGTCCACTTGAGGTGACTTGAGCCCATGCTGATCATGACGCCCGTCGTGCTTTTCCGCCCCGGAATTTCGCTTGCAAAATCCGAGTCCGTATGCATGACCAAGGTGCTCCAGTCTGTGTCTAAAAAGGTGAGTCGGTGATCTTCTGTCGATGAAAGATAAGAACCAAGATGCCTCGCCGCTTCTTCTGCTTCTTCGCTCGGTGCTGACATGTATCGGGATACTTCTTTTACTGCGTAGGCGATTTCGGGTCGCGCGTTCTGCAGCCATGCCAAGTTCCCGACCAAAGATCGATAAGACTTCAAGTCTGCACTTTTCGACCCTGTTTGCGTCAAGGATTTCTTGATCGGTGTGCCTGCGTGCTCCCGGTAAGAAGTCGAACTTTTTCAGCATCTTATTGTAGTCCAAACCGATCTGAATCGCCCCGGTAGGAAGACGATAGATTTTGAATCCAAGATACTCCATGACCATAGTCCCATCGTCCAATCGAACTGGATCGATCTTCCGCCCCTTGAAGCGTTGCAGAATTTTTTCTCGTTCAGTCTGAATCAGGTGCGTTTTGCCCACTAATAGGCCGTCGTCGACGTATACAGATATAAAAATCTTCTCGCCGTCTTCGCACTCTTTCCAAAACAATCCCCGCATCTGATTCCGATCGTATCCATCCCATTTTTTCTAGTTCCCTTGCGAAGTGAGAACTCCACCGCCTTGGAGATACGCGAAGCCCGTAGAGAGCCTTTCTGAGTTTAATCAGATCGCCGCCCATCTCCTCCGGTAGCTTGCAGTAGATTTCTTCACCTTCGTCCAGCGGCGCATTGGGAAAAGCTTGAGCGATGTCCAGCCCGCAGCTGTCATCGCCTTTCGCCATCCGCATAGCCAAAAGCCGAAGCGTGGTTTGACTCACCGCCGGGCTAAATACCGACTGCAGATCCAATTCTTGATGGTTTCCGCAGCATACTAGTCGGCATTTGCGTCGTCCGTCCTTTTTCAACTCGAAAATGTTGAACATGGGTAGGATTTTTGCGCCCTTCGGAATCGTTCCCGGTTGAACCACTTCCCAGCCATCCAACTTTTCCAGACCGGATTTCTCTGCGTTCATCGCGGCCCGCCACGTTTCTTGTTCCGGACCCTTGAGCGCTTCCTTTTTCGGTACCACCGTAACAAAAGCTTTCGCGCGTTTTGCTCCGAAAGTTTTGTCTACCTGCTGCCGCCGCTGTTTCTTCTTCCCCTTTTTCTTGGCTTCTTCTTGAAGAAACTTGTCCCGAGCCTTGTGCCGCCGTAGCCGCCGCACTTCTCGCTCGTCAAGTTCTTCCTCCTCCTCTTCTTCCTCTGTTTCCGCCATTTCTTCGTCGCTCGATTTTTCAAAATCGACGTCCATCGGAGCAGGCTGTTGCTGCTGTTCCTGCTGTTGCTGAACAGCTGGCACCCCCCCGAGTTCTGGAACCTGGAACCCACCGAATTCGTCCCCGTCGTCGAGGTCCGGCAGGGTTTCGCCCTGTCCCGTTTTCTGGCGTTTTGCTTCTCTCTCCTCCTGCTTTTCTGCTTCTGCCCACTGAATTCCTTCAATGGCTGCGGACTGCTTTTCGTCGTCCGCCCGTGTTTGCGGCCTGTCGTCTGCAAATAGATCGTCCTCTTCGTCGACGATTTCGCTCTCCGGTCGTGGCTCCGCGCATTCCGCATCTTCTCCCTCAACTTCCATCGCGTTGACTGGATGGAAGAACGCTGTCTCCACGTGCTTGACCTGTTGGACATTGTCTTCTTCCTTTCCTCCAAACCCCTCCAAAACTGACTCCTCGTTTGTGAAAACCGACCCAGCTACCAAGTTTCCAACGAGTTCGCCCTCGTTGAATTTCACATCTCTCGATGTGATTACCGCAATCGACTTGCGGCCCCGCTTGTCCTTCGCGACAACGGCAACCCGGTACGCCGGTGAATCTTCAGAATATCCAACAAAAACACCCTTCAAAAACTTGGCATCCATCTTATTCCGCACCGGAGTCCTGGCATATGCTACGCATCCAAACTTTTTCAAGTGTCCGTAGGTCGGGCTTCGTTTCCACCGAAGGTAGTACGGCGCCCGTTCCCGTCTGCGTTCTGCCCTGTTGTACAGATACGCCGCGCACTTGACCGCCGCCGGCCAAAAGTTTCTGGTCGACGTTGTGCAAGAGTGCCCGCGCGCACTCCGTCGCCGTTTGGTTGAAGCGTTCGCATTTTCCGTTTTGGTTCGGTGAGTATGGTGCCGCCCTGGTGTGCGTCGTTCCCCACTTCAAAAACAGAGAACGCAGGAAGTCATTACAAAACTCGAGGCCATTGTCGGACCTGAAAGTTTTGAAATGCCCATTGAGTCTTCTCCAAGTCGCGAGCCCTGTCGCAACTTCGTCCGCCGTTTTGCTTTTTATGGGATAGACCTCAAGCCACCCCGTAGCATCGTCCACCAAGGTCAGGAAGTATCTGTGCTCGTTGTGCGACTCCGGAAGCGGCCCGACTAAATCGCCCGCCACCAGCTCGCCGAACTTCGTAGCCGCATACTTTTCCGGCCGTTTCTGCTTGACCGGTTTGCGTTTCCCCTTCTGTGCTGCACAAGCGTGGCAAAATTTCACCCGTCCGGCTTTGTTGTGAAAATGCCCCCGCCGCTCGTGGTTTCGCTGCTCCGAAACTTTAAACGCCTGCGCGCGCTTGTCTTTCTCTTGGATTTCCATCGTGAATAGGCCTCCACGCCTCTCCAGCTCGTATCTTTCCCCGCCCGGGCTAACTGCGTAACAGCCGTCCGGTCCAAAAACAAATCTGCACCCCTCGCCAATCTGCTCCGAAATGCTCAGCAGGTTGTGGGTCAGTTCTTCGGAATGTAGTGCGTTTTTCAAACCCATGAAATTTTCTTTCAGATAAACTTTTTCTGCTTTCACCACACTGCCATCGACGCCTTCGATTCCCTGTTTTTCGTTCGTAAAACTTTCAACCAAAACCCCCGCCGTAGTGGTGGTTATGTTCTTCTCCGCAGCGGAATCAACGACAAATCTCGCACTACTCTTCATCATACCATCGGGATTTCGACTTTCTAAAACTTCATCTTGATCTTGAGACAGTCACAAATCTTCCACAACAAGGTAGGCCCTGTTGTTGTTGTTCCCGCCTTTTCCGTTTTTGGCGTCGTCCTTACCCTTGGCCCCCTTGCTAGCTTTCTTCGGGCAATCCCGAGCGTAGTGCGATTCCGAACCACAGACATAGCACCCGGAATTTTTGTTCTGCTTCGTATCCCAGTCGTTATTTTTCGCCCAACCGCCCTGCTTCCACCAGTATCCTTTGCCGTGTTTGCCTTTCCCCTTGTCGCCTTTCTCCTTCGTGATCAGCGCTGCCGCCGGTTGCTGCTTCGCCCGCTTGACCGCGTGCGCTTTTTCAATCGCGATGGGCTTGACGTTGGCAATTTTCATGTCGGTATGCGTCAAAACATCTGCCACCGACTTGAGTTCGTTCGGCAAAAAATCGACCACCGCATAGCCCGCAAGCTCTTCGAGAGTCACGGACATGTTGGCAAGCAGCAGCACCAATTCGATTTTGCGATTGATCCACGACTCAACCGCGCCCGGGGAATTGTTTTCCGGCTTGGACGTCAACAACTCCCGCACCAGGCTGCACTTTCGTGCCCCGGTTTTCGCGTTAAAACGCGTCTCCAGCAGCTGCCAGGCGTGTTCCCCGTCTCCTTCTTTCGCCCCGCGGATCTCCTTGATCCCTTGGCCCTTGACCCCGTTCGCCAGAACCGTAAAAATTTTCAGCGATTGCTCCGCCGATGCCGGTCCGTCCAGCGGTTTCAAAAGATCAAGGCCACCCAGGTAGGCGCGTAGCTGGAAGCGATAATCTGCATAATCTTCATCCTTTCCCGAGAACGTGGGTAAGCTTGCTCAGCTTCATCTCCAGCGGCTTCGACGTTGGAGCTGTGGTCGCCATTTTTGATTTTTGGCTTGTTGGTTTAAAATTAAAAATTGTCTTCTACTAAAACCTGTGCAAGTTTTTAAGTTTTAACTCGTGTAAACAAATTACCCCTACGGTAAATCGATAAAACCAAAACAATTCTAGTTCTACGCGACTGAATTCTAGTACTAGTAAACTTTTAAAGTGAGTCAGAGGCTGATAACCTATGTGGTCCCGTGCTCTGAACACCGGTGCTGTGGAGTATAAATCCACCCTATCAGGGTAGCTCAAGACATAATTACTGCGAGGCTAATCACTAGGATAATCAGGGGCCTGATGTTCGTGGTTCGTGTTTTTAGTGTTGTCATTCTTGGTGTAGAACGTCATCACTTTATTAGGTCCTTGATCGCTCTCATCATTTGTTGCATCGTTATGAATTGCTAATTTTATACCGAGTAGTGTGCTTGTTTGACCGATAGGTCCACACCCCCCACCTGTATTACATACCTATCAAAATAGAAACTGAAGCGCATTGCTTCTGGCTTCTCATGCTTGACTAGCAGCAGAGTTGTTTTTCTTTGAAAACTGCAACAAGTCTCCCACGATCCACTGACGCAATGGCCCAGAGAACAGTCTGCTTCTTCCCTGTGTATAGTGTCCATCATGTAAAAACGAGATCAGCAACACACACCCTGCAAAGAGAGTGTGTGCTCGACCCAGGGCAACTAGATTTGTCGCGCTCCTCTCTGGTGTCTTGCGCGCTGGTTGCTGAAAAAGGCCAGGAAGAGCTTGTCCTCGCTTGTTCAAAATCCTCAGACCTAAACCCTTAAAGAGCAAAAGAATAAAAAAAAAGAAAGCTGCTATTTTATTTGGTAATGGAATCATCTTCAAGGATGCGCCTCCTCTTCAACGAGGAGGCGCTCGCATCCTGTTCTTTTTCATTGTTTCCTGCCTGCTTTTCCATACAACAACCTGATACACAACTTACAGCCAGTCGCAGGCAATGACGAAAAACACGCGTCGCAGAAGAGGGTCATTAGAATGCATCTACATCATGTACCGACTTGTGAACGAAAAACGACGACCGATTTTTTCCCATATTTTTTACGACCCTTTAATCTTTTACGACCCTTTTTTTACGACCCTTTTTTGAACTTGTCATGCTAAATCCGAAGGATGCAAAAATCTGTGTTGCGTGAGTACCAAAAGCTGTCCGCTTTTGACCAAGTTGAGAGGGAGTTTCTCATGCAGGAAAGGCATGATAGAGACCTCAAAAATCTGTCATGCTGGGTCTCGCATTCCAGACCTCATGGGTCATGGAAAACCGGCATCACAAGCATTCTTCCAGACCCAGACATTTTTACATTTGATACTCCGCCTGCACACTGTCGAGCTTCTCACACACCTTCTCCACGACCAGCATGCTCTCCTGCTTCAGCACCTCCTTTGTCTGCTCCAAGTCTTCTTTCAGGGGCTCAAACACTTCGTCCACGATGGCGCGTTGCTGTGGCAGCGGACGTTGTAAATTAATTGAGATAATTTCTTGGATTTTTCTTAGCACGGTACAAAGTACGTCAATGCACATACCTCGAACTCAGTACTCAATTCCGCGGCCACCCACATTATGACAAGGAGCAGAATTTTTAGGTCCAGCACATGGGACCTATGTATACTACGACTACCAGTTTACACGCATGAAACGCCGGACGTACGACGCACAGGAGGAAAACTTCTTCCAGCACCCAACACCAGTTCCATTTCAGTAAACAGACATGAACAAATTAAAAAACCCGCGCACCGAAATTTCCAGCTGCTCATGCTCTCGGTCGGCTATCGCCTTCGCGGTTTTTTCCAGCCGCCCCGAGATCTCGCCTTCGAACCGACCGAGATGCTCCGCCAGCTTCGCATCGAGCTTTGTTTCCAGTAGGGCCGCGAGGTCTGCCAGACCCTTTCCAAACTGCTCCGCCACGCCGTCCATCCTTTATTTCTTTTCCGTCGATGGAAACACGTTCCTTCTTGTAGTCCTTGCTCACACATCGATTGAAATAAACACTCGATATTCATTATTTTTTGAAACAGTACCGATGTCATTTCGGCGTCCACTCGAGGGGGCTGTGACATAGGTGCATTTTTCGCATCAGACTGAACGTCCAGCTACACAAGAGACGATCGCGGTCTAAGGGCAATTTTGCGTCCGGAATTTCGCTCAATTACTCGCTTTACATCGCGACATTAGTGGACTGTAGACCATGATCAGAAGAGAAGAACAGGAGCAAAAGAGTGTAGTAAATGTTGTAGGACAACCCACTTTCCATGTCGCAAGGGGAAAGGTTGCTTTAATTATTAGACTTGTGTACAAAATTATGTATGTCTCCGTTCGAAGAATGCTAGCTGTGCCTGTGACATCTTGAGTGCGGTCCAGGAAACACGTGGATCTCGACAGCACCCACCAGAACAGCCACAGGACGAGGGCAAAAAGTGTACTTTTTCATAGCAGTTTCGAAAAAGAAGCGTGAAACGAGCGATACGATTCCCTTAACATACGCTGAGTTGAATGATTGAACGAAGAATGTAAGTAGGAATATTTGATGAATGGTGGATCGAACCAACAGCACGTAATCTTTATTTCTAGAGGCGTTTGTGGGGGAGGGGAGAGTGTAAAGATCTTCAGAAAAGTGATCAGGAGCAGACATATTGGGACAGCCACAGGGAACAATGAAAATACTTAAGCTGCAGCCTCCTCTATCATATTGCATGATCACCTTAAGGAAACATGACAGTATGAAGAAGGTCACCAGTGGAATGCCCAAAAGCAACGTCAAGTCGATTGCTGTCCTCCTTTGCCTGCCGTCTTTCTTCATTCTGCCTCGTTGTCAGCTCTTCGCGTTTCAATGCGATTTGCTCATCTGGGGGAAGAACCGCGTCTTTATACAGTTGCTCTAAGTCGTTGTCTTTGGCGATCCCGGACGGCGCCGCATCCTTCAACCTGAACTCCTTGACAAACAGACGAACTAACCGCGTTGCAACACGCTGCAGCCAGAGCTTTTGCAAGGACAAGAATTCTGGGTCGGTTCCCCTTATTCCTGTATGACGCCCCCCGCGAGGAGTGCCTGGCCCCTTCATCGGTGGTTTCGTCGAGACGCAGGATCCTCTGAAGCCCCAGTTCTCCTCAAAACGAAGATCAAGCTCTTTTCTTTCACTTTCTCGGGGATTTGATTTTTGGCCATCGCCATCCGAGTCCGCCGAAATTCCTTCGATAAGAGTACTCCGCATCTGCATTACAGCGAGGTGAACCGCTGCGTCCGTCTTCCGCTCGATGATCTCCCGCAACTTCGGCCACAGCACACTGAGCGTGTTTCCAGCTGCCACAAGATACATCTTTAACGACCACTTCAGACTGGCTAGTATCAGTTCAATGGTCGGCTCCAGGGAATGCTTGATCAAATAATCCGTGATTTCGTTCGGGCAAAGCAGTCCGTTCTTGTCTGCGTCCATGCGATCTATGTGCAAAAGCAACGCTTTTCTGAACTGCGCTTCAAGAAGGTTTTCAAGCTCGTCAAAAAACCGGCCCCTCGCTTCGTCTTCTCGCGTCTCGCCGACCTGGAAAAATTCGACGGGTGCGGCGCTTGCTCTCCCCGCATCTCCTTTATCCAGGAACTTTTGTTCCCAGGCGTTGGGCGACGGCAAAAAGACCCAGCCGTACGGTCGCCTTGCATCTATGACTTTTTTATTGAGGTCGTCCGCTGTACCTTGGTGTCGGTAATATGTCTTCATCCCGGGCCCAGTCTTCTGAAGCCAAAGAGCTTGACCGTTAGATCCTGGCTCAGTGCCGTAAGCAAGCACGGTTACAGAGTCATCTTCACCTTTGGGGCCCACATACTTGACACAGCGAGAAATTCTCTCCACCTCGCGGATAAGCGGGAGAATTGTTTTTTCAAAGTGTTCGCCGCCGACGAGTTTTGGAAATAATTCTCGATGTCCATGCGCGAGCGCGTCGTGATATACATTCGTTGGCTCATCAAAACCGTCCACGAGGAACGTAGCGTAGCACGTAAACCCGGATATTTTTTTTGCTTCGGGGGCTTTAAAAATTTTGTACTTGGTCTGTTGTTTCACGCGTTCCCACCAGCCAGATACATTGTTAAAGGCAACCGTGATCAGAGCACCCACGACCTCGATATTCGCAAGATCCCGCTCCATGTAATCCGCAACCCGGGATTGCAGGCCGGGAGTGAGACCCCACGCCTGCAAGTTCAGCAGGATCAAAGTTACATCCTGGCATTTGCCTTTCATTAGATTGTTCCAAAACCGGGACTCCGGACCGATGTCCGGACGCCACCATTTGTCTTCGTCCTCAGAAAGGGGGAGCGCCACGCACTCGTCTCGTCCAGTGACGCGCTCCCAATCATCTAGTAGACCACTTTCCGTACTCGATGGCTGGGAATCGTCTGGTGCGGCACCAAGAAGCGAAATGATATTCGCATGAGGTTGCGCCAGAATGGCCAGAGGATCGATATTACGCTCCAGCGCACTTGTCGCGGACTCGTCGTCCAACTCCGCGAGAACGGGTTGTGGCGGCACCGCCCCGGGCACTGCAAGGTCCTGTGGGGTCGTCGCTGTGGCTGCACTACGGCCGCCTGCTTCGAGGTCGTCCTCCCGCTCTTCGCTGGCGCCGGCGCGAGCGTGCCCCGGCGGAGATCCCAAGTCTCCAGAACTTGTTCCGTCCAGAAACTCATCCCAGTCTCCGTTCGCGGAGCCTTGCGCCGCGGCAGCACCAGGCGTCGCTTCAGACGTTGCGGTCTGGTCGTCGGCATCCCCGGGCGCGGCCGGATGAACCTGATGTGTGACGAGATGAAAAAGTGGTGCCTGCACGCACATCTCGACGTAGGATCGTGTAAGTACTTATCCACAATGACCAAGCCTTTCGCTTGCACTGAAAAAAGATTTGACGATGATGAAGAAAAGTTGACGCTTCCGCTGTTCAACTTGATCTTCAATCATCGTCTTGGTCTTCTTCGCGGCTAGAGAGAAATTATAACGGAGAAAAAAACACAAACTCAGGGAACTCAAGACCAAAATCATGACAATACATCTGATCATGTTTTTTTTCTGGTGGTGCACCAACATCAAGAATTTTTTGCCTTCCAAAGTAAACACGCTTCAATCAAAGTGGAATATCAATATTTTACCTGGTGACGCCGCTGCATGAAGCCCGGTCGACCCTGCTTTTCTGCTTCCGCCGGCTGCGCCGGCGTCGAAAAAAACCAGGCAAAGCCGAACTCCGCAAAGGCAAGCCTGCGACCCTGTATACGAATGAAATTCGCACCCGCAACAAACAATTTCTCTCCTTACTTTGCGCTTTTTAATTTTATACTTACCTCACTTGCACGTCATAATCTCTACGTAGCCTGTGCTGTATTTGCTGATGCAAATACTGTGCTGTATTTGCTGATGCGAATACTTTTTCGCAACACATCGCGCATTTTTTAACACGTATGGACGCAGAGAAAAGTCTGGCGCGAGAGCCTCTTTCAGTACCGTACCACGCTTCCGACAGGCGTACTTCGAAAACCGGCCCCGAAGGGAGTTTTCTTTGTTCTTCTTGTCTCCTGCCATTTTTCTTTAACTTTATTCTTGCAGCAGAAAATTTATGTGCGTTCCGAATACTGAGGCGGTAGGGGTCAAGCACGACAAGTCCTCGCGGCTCTTGTTCCTTTCAACAGTGTAAAACTACTGGACAGTGGTCTGGCGGGTTTTGGTTGGATCTATGAGAACAACCAGAACCAGTTACAGTGCCAAAGAGGTTGCTGTGCGCACTGAGATGTCGTGTGTCGAAAGCAACGCGTGCTCGTGAAGCCGATGATTCCGAAATGGGGTGAAACTGGAAAAACAAAAACATAAGTAATAAGTATAAGTGGGTCTCTGCAGCAAGCATGGGGAAATAAGGTACGTCGAACGTGTTTGATCAGTGCCCACGCCATAAGTAATGACTGTAGAAGCGGTGAACGAAGTGATTTTTTTAGCACGTACGAGCGCACCCCGGGCAGTTATTTAATATTGAGATGTTTTTATTTTTTCTCCAACGTACCACGAATGAACGACTTAACAATTCTCAACGAACGACGAACCGACCACAAACGAAAACGACAAACGCAGCCGAAGTCGTAAGACGCAAACCGACAGTCCATTCCTTTTTTCGTTCCAAGGTTGTTCTGTAATAGGACGTTGCAGCACCGAATGTAATTTCGAGAGCTCCTTTGTCGGGATGCTTTGGGGATGCTGCAGCTAGCTTCTCACCTTCCTGCGGTGACTACGAGGAGTTTCTTGAAGTTCACTGTCATTCACAGAAATAGTTCTGGATAAAGTTTCGATTTCGACATTCTTATTTTCGTTTCCTCGGATAGCATGCTCCTGCTCCAGGAGGAAGTTCATATTGGAAATGGAATTGTATTCGCAACTACATTTTGCTGTGCAATAAAGAACTAAAACGGGATATATGTCTTGAGTACATTTTTCATAACCAGACGCAATGTTCTTATACTTTGGTAAAAACTCACGCAGCTCGCCCGCGTTGTGGCTATCGTATTTCTCTTGTAAAGTGATCGTGCTTTTTTTTTTTTGTAATCTTGCATAAACTTAGAAGTCTGTTCAGCCTTTGCTAGGTTCACGACCAGCTACCGGCTTTCTGTAAACTGTAATCTTAGGTAAAAATCGCAAATCCAAATCGCAAATCTTGCCTTTGAATAGTTGAGTCGTTGAGTCAAATGGAGCAAATGCAAACTGAATTTCAAAACTAAAACCTGTCCCAGCCCGAAGAGAATTAGAGGAGAGACAAGTCTAGTTGTTTATTTTCCTCCTACCAAATCGCCTGCGCTAGTTAGCTATTAGGATGAAAAGTTCTTGGTACTGACTATGGAGACAAAGAAGTTCTGTGCACGAGGTGACAAATGCAGTAGGCAGTTCAACAACACGCATCGGTTCTGTCGTGAGACACAACCGCGGCGGAGAAGTCGAACATATGCAGTAGAGTAAGATAAACTAACCCTGCTTGAGAGACGACGACTATGCAGCTGCACAACGGCTGCCGAGCTAGCACATTCGACGCGGTAAAAGAAAAAACTTCGACCGTATGACCCTTCGACGCGCCGCTGTACTTAGCAAGCAGTACCTTCTAGTCGTCTAGCATGCAGATGAGCGCGACGCCGCGGCGCGTCCAATGGGCGGGGTCCTGCTCTGCGTAGCTGAACTGCATGTACATGACGAAGTTGGTGGAGTGCCCGGTGGTGCTCAAAGTTCCGCGCCGTTCGCTGGTTTTGTACAGGGGCGAGTTGTATTCCGGCATGGGCAGGCCCTTGTGGTGCGCGTCCCACACGCCCACCTTAACGGGTTTCAGCCAGATGACGGGCACCTCCACGAACAGAATGCCCTTCGACGACTCCACCAGCCGCGGGCCGTCTTTGTGCTTCCGGTCGAACCCGCAGCCCTGCAGGAAGAGCCCGTGCACGTTCACGCCGATCTCCTTGGGCTCGGTCACCTCCGCGGCGAGCTCCGTGCCGGGCAGGGTCAGAAACTTCAGCTCGTCGATCGCGATCTGCTGACTTCTCGCGTAGGTCTGCATGGCGGCGGTCATAAAACCCTGGGGAAAGAACATCGAGGAGATCCAGAAGGACGCTGGCGGCCCGTTGCGCAGCCACCCCTCGTAGAACGCGAGCCGCTTCAGCAGGTCATCCATATACGAATTCAACGGCTTCAGGCAGGGGTACGAAAGCTTGCCCCAGCCTGGTGGCACCTGGAGTGAGTTTTGCGGATGAAAAACATTTTTGCATACGAAAGAGGAAGAGACCGAGCTAACCCGCGGCAACCCACGCACAACGCTGAGTAGAACAAGCATCAAGGGTACACAAACTAACAGCACTTGCACTACAAAGAATGAATTCGGTAGACGAGATACGCTAGGCGCAAGCTAAAAACACAGAGGCTTACCTTCTGTATCAGGAAGCAATTGTACATGTCTTCCAGTGGTCCTGACATGACAATCAACCCCTTAATAGCCTGTCCCAGCATGTACATGTTCTGCTTGATCATGCTGCTCAGTTTGTTAAACTGTCCCATCTCCTGGCCGTGAAATACGCCGAGGGAAACCATGCCACCTGGTATGAAAATAATGATCAAAGTCAGTGAGTTTGGTATTCATTATCATTTTCATTGCTGCTTGTCGTGCCAGAAGCCGCTCACTTTGCTTTAGATAGTGTGGCACGCCAGTCAAAGAACCTTCTTTGGAAATAATTCTAAGCGAAAGAGGTAAGCAACTGAAGTTGTCGTCTACTGCCTGCTGCAACTGCATACCCAGCTGCATACGCATGAAATTTACGAACTCTACTTTAATTATGCCATTCCCGAGTATTATACCTTCCGCTGTTTGTTTGTAGGTGTTTTCGTGTGCCCACTTGGCTTTCATGGGTTCTGGTATGGCTTCGAAGAACTCTCGTGCCATGTCCGTGACGATGTCTTCGGGCTTTTTCCCGCCACCGCCGGAGGCCAGTCGAGGCTGCACGGATTCCACGGTGGATAGAAACAGTCGGGTGGCCATCATCTGTGCCGTGATCATCGCGTTTGGATGCAGCCCGAACACGCGCGGATCCTCATCGAGAGGTAGCGTTTTGATATACGTTTTCACGTCCTCCAAGGTGCTGGCCATCGGGATGAAATACTCGTCCAGGGCCGAAAGCCGGGCCTCGTCTTCTTCCACGATAGGATTATCGAAGTACCGCAAAAGCACTGCGCAGATCAGCCGAACGTCCTGTGAGTCGTGCAGTTTGGAGGTTCTAACTACTTAAATGTCACTTTGTGTTCGATCGACAATCATCATGATCCGGATGAGTAGAGGTACACCCCACTGGAACGTCAAACGTTCTTTTGGTATGTCGCTTGTAAAACAGAGATCTAAACTGACACTGGCACCGAGTTCAATCAAAAAAGAGATTCTTTCAGTATAGAGATGCACAAATTTTGTACCTTATCATCCGTGACCCGTCCGCCGTAATTGCACTCCGCTATCATGTAGTTGAGCGTTTTCAGCGGAACGCCGGGCTGTGTGGCCAGGTACATGTACACTTGTTCGCGACTGGTCTGGAAATCGCTGTCCATCCACTCGTAGGGGATGTTCCACCCGATGGGCCCGAACTTCCGCCTCTGCAAGATGACGGCGTGGAAGAAGGCCAAGGCAAACACCAGCCGCTTGTAGGCACGCACCTTGGTGCCGTTCTCAAAGGCCGTGGGGTCCTCCTCCATGGCGCGGTCCGCCTTTCCGTAGTTCTCCTCGCCCATGTCCTCGAAGGTGCGCAGCATGTTCGCCTTCACCCCCTTGGGCGGTTCGTTGGTGATCTTGATGCCGGACTGCAGCACCGGCACCGGGAAGATCGGCGTAGGCATGGAGGTGAGCCAGAGCCGGTAGTCCGGGTCGATTTTGTCCAGGTCCTGCAGCTCCTGTATCCTCTCCAGATTTGGCATCCAGCTGCTGGCCAGGTGGCAGTTCTGCAGACAGGCCCAGTCGCCGGCCTCGCGGCTCATGTCGATCAGCTTCTCGGCCTTCGGCCCCTGGCCCTGGCCCAGCGAGATGAAGTGCAGGCGCTCGGAGTACTCGCGGTCCTCTGCGAGCTTCAGTAGGTAGCCCGTCGGATCCGCACCGGCGGACAGCACGAAGATGATGGGCGTGCCCGCGTTCGACTCCTCGAAGGACCCGAGCAGGTCGAAAGGCGGGGACTCGATGAACAGCCCGCCGATCTCCTCGCCGATGAATCGCTTCACGCCCAGCGGCCACAGGTTCTCGCGCAGCGACCGGCAGACCAGCAGCCGCTGCACCGGCTTCAGCCTGCTGTCAAAGTTGTCCGGCAGCGGCTTGCTGATACAGTCGTCGTCCTCGTAGAAATTGTTCCACTCGGTGCTCTTCGTACTTATGCTGTCGCACAGCCCCTTGTAGCTGTCCACGCCGCCGACCTGGGCGAGCCGCTCGAGACACGCCAGCTTTTCCCACGCAGTCGACGGCAGCCACTTGGGACACTTCTCCGCTGGGATCTCCGCCGGCACGCCGGGTGATGTTGCGACCGCCTCGCCCTCGTCGCCCTCCGCGCTGGCAGCGGGCGCGCTGTCCAGCACGCCCTTCCCGGCCTCCACGCCGCGGAGCAGGAACGCCCACTCCATGGTGGCGATGGGCGTGCGGCCCATGTAGTTGGCGTGCGTGGCGTTCTTCAACACTTCGCACGCGATCATGAAGGAAAAGATCATTTTGTGGTCCTCGAACAGCCCGCGGCAAATGTTCAGGTACACCGACTTCGTGACGTCCTCGATGATGATCATGATCCGCTTGTTCACGTCCTCGCTCTGCTCCGACTTTTGCAGCCGGCCCTTGGCGAGAGCAGCGAAGTACTCGAGCGAATACTGGTACATGGGGTCGATCAAGCCCATGTAGCTGATGCAGAAGTACAGCATCGACAACCTGGTTGCGGTCGGCCGCAGCGTCTCGGTCACCTCGTCGATTTTGGTCAGCGTCTCCTCGGCGGCGACCATGCGCTGCTGCACCTCAGCGCCGGTCACGCTGGACGCGGCCAGCGTCTTGATGAGCTTGTCGTCGTCCAGGATGTCGCCCTTGGACTCCGCGAGGAGCTTCAGAATCAGCGCTTCCAGCCGGTCCATCTCCGCCTTGTCTGCGGCGATCTGCACCACCAAGGCCGCCTTATGGATTGCAAAAATGTCTGGGTCTGGGTTTGTAATGCATATTTTGCATGACTCAGGATGTCTGTAATGCATGGTCTAGCATCGCATATCTTTAGAGGCCTTCCTGATGCCTATTCCGCATGAGAAATGCCCTCTCCGCGTGCCACAAACTGGACTCCTGTTGTTGGTCACGCAATACAGATTTTTTTGGAATCCAAAGACAGCATGACAAGTTGCATTCTTCCAGACCCAGACACTTTTACACTTGATACGCCTTCTGCTCGGACAGCTCCCGGTTCTCGTTGGCCACCACGTCGGCGACCAGCTGGTTCTCGAGCCCCTTGGGCGTGACCGTGAAGTTGATCACGGTCACCTTGATGCAAATCTCTGGCAAATAGTGCGGGTTGGTCATCTTGGTGGTGATGTAGAACGCGAAGTCCTCGTTGTAGGGCACGTCCTCCGTTCCCAAGCGGAGCAGCAACTGGCCGCCCTTCTTGAAGATCTGCTTCAGCAGCACCGGCTCGATGGACGGGTCCAGCACCTCCTCGACGTTCTCCAGAAGAATGGCGTTCCCGTACCGGATGCCGTTCTCGAGGGTGCGCAGGAAGTTCGGGTTGGAGAGCTTGATCACCTGGATGTTCTTGTCCTTCCCCATGGTGCGGATCCACCGGTTGGCCTGGCCCTGCGGGTCGATCATCAGCGGCCACCGCCGCCCGCGGGTCACCATGATGCCGTTCTCCACGGACAGGTCGTCCTGCGGGAGCCCCGCCAGGTTCCATGCGCGCACCTCGGCCGGGTCCACCAGCACATCGGCGCACACCCAGTCGGGATCCGCCACGATGTCGATCTCCTTGGCCTTGTTGCGCCACATGTCGATCAGCTCGGCGCGGTATTCCGCCGTGTAGGGACCAATGTAGGCGATGAAGCCGGCGGCCAGCATAATGTTCCCAACCAGAAAACCGACCGCCTTCTCGAGCACCGTGGAACGCTTCTCCCACGCGACCGCCTCGTTGCCAAGACCTGTTGAATTTTGGAAAAAGAAGCTGCATTTTTGCTTTTCTGTACGTGCTTTTCAGACAGTAGCCTCGTCAAATGGAAATGCTCTTGAACCTACGCAGAAGTGAAAATAATAGTCTCCTGTAATTTCTTTTGTCATCATCGCAAATAAAGTTGTATTCTGTTACCTTTCAGGAGCTCCTCTGCGCGGCCCAGCTTCACTTGACACATATCTGCATCCTTCACGAGCTGCTCTGCTTTCCTTTTTGCGGCAAAAAGCTTCTGACGTAGGGCAGCGACCTGATTTTGACATTCATTCATTCTAATTCTGGCGAGGATGCTGATCATGATTGTTGATCATCTTCATCATAAGCACAGCAACACACAACACACTGGTACAATCACTCGTCCTATCGTGGTGGGAAGCAGACTTACCTTATCCGTGACGACTTTGAGTTCTCCCTTGGCCTTTGCCAATGCCGCCTCGCCGATCGCCGCCGCTTCCTCAGCGGCCGCGAGCTTGACCTTCTTCGGCTCGATCTCGCGCGAGACCCGCCCGTAGACCTCCATCGCGCGCACCCACATGCACAGCGACATCGCGGCGTTGGACACTTTCTTCACCACGTCGGGCTGGAAGTCTTCTCGTTTCGTGTACTTCTGCATCTTTTCCGTTTTCTTCTTGTCCCGGGCGAGCGCGTCCTTGTCGTAGGTTTTCAAGTCGTCCAGAAACGTGGATTTGTTCATCAGCTTCTTCGCACTGTCCCAGTTCTCCTTCTCGCCCATGAGCAGACACACCGCACACAGAACCGTCTCGACGAGGGGGGGCGGCTTTGCAAAGGACTTCACCTCGGTGATGTCCTTCTTGTCCAGTGAGTCGAGCGCCTTGATCGCCTTGTAGTACTCCGGCAGCGCCTCGTCCAAATCCTTCTGCACGCTGTTCTTGATCTCGTTCGCTTCCGCGGCCTGCCCCAGAGCCTTTTTCTCCTCGACCGCGCACTCCGCCGCCTGCTCGGACGCGATCTTCTGGTCCTTCTCCACCTGCTCCATCAGAGCCGCCGTGTCGATCTTCGCCTGCTCGATCTCCGGCCCCATCTTGGTGAGCTGCTTCTTCAGGTCGTCCACGATGACTTGCGTTTCGCCCAACTTCCGCACGCCGATCCGGTACCGGTCCAGCTTGCTGTTCAGCTCCCCCTGCTTCTGTCCCAGCAGGTCGCAAAACAGCTTGATCAGCTCCAGGTAACTCGTCGGCGTCGTGTACGTGCGTCGCCGCAGTGCCTCGTAGAACTTGTCGGCGTACTCCGTGCTCGTGGAGTGGATCGTGCAGGACAGCTGGGACAGCTGGTCCACGGTGTCCGCGATGTTCAGCTCCTTCGGCGCGGCCTTGTAGTACCGTTCCGCCACCGAGTACAGGGCGTCCGCCGGCCACGGCTTGTACCAGTCGATGGCGCAGCAGTTGATCAAGGACGGGAACTGTCGGCACCGCGCGCGGAACCCGTCGCCGACGGGCGAGAACGCGTTCACGATGTGCAGCGACTCTCTTACCAGTTGCGTGAAGTACTGCAGCAATACGTCCTTCTGGTCGGGCTTCCCGGCCGCCTTCGCGAGGGGCCGGACGGAATCCACCACCTGGTTCAGCTCGTCCGGCGCAAACAGATTCGGGACCTCGCCGGTATTCAGGATGTTGTTGATGTTCTCCAAGAAGGTCTCCCGCACGATCTGCGTGTCGGAAAACAAAAACATCGTCGGCGTGCCCTTCGCGACCTGGAACATCATCAGTTTGATATCCTCGTTGAACTGCGGCAAATCGTACAGTTTCGTGATCTCGATCGAGAACGGCGCGATCTCCTGCATGAAGGCCGCGAGCCGGGCCATGGACTTCCGCCCGACCCCGGAGACCCCGACGAGCAGCGCGTTCCCGCGCGGCTGCCGCAGCACGCGGCACATGCGGGCGAGGTGCTTCTGGCAGTCGGAGAAGAACACTAAGTTCATCTGGGTCGGGAAAGTGATGTTGTACTCTTCCAGAAACTCGCCGAACACCTCGAGCATCTTCGCGTTGTCCGGGACCGCGATGTACTTTTTGTCCACGCGGTCCATGAAGTCGCCGTACACGAGTTCCGCGATGTCGTCGACATCCAGGTCCTTCGGCAGCGCCTCCGGGAAGTCCGCGCCCACGCTTTGCTTCAGCTTGGTGAAGATCATCTTGTTGAACCAGCTGCAGTCCTGCTCGTTGATCAACCGGTCGCGGAAGCAGCGGCAGGCCTCATGCATCCACAGGTTGATCAGGTCCATGGGGTTCTCGAACCCCTTCTTGACGTCGATCATCATCATCCCCTGGATCATCTTCGCCGGGTCGCGCAAGTTGAAGGTGTAGTGGCACTTCAGCGGGGTGGGCAGCAGGTCCGCCGTGATGCGAAAGTAGGCTTCCACGGTCGCCTTGGTCAACGGCGCGGAGTACTTGCGCAGCGAGGGCTTCACCGTGCCCAGCCACCCGCCGAGGATGCTGCTCAGAATGGTGTTCATCGCGTTCACGGTCAACGCCGGCATCCACACCATGTTCACGTGCCGCATCAGCCGCGGGGTCACCTTGTTCCGGCCGCCGCCCGGCGGACCGCACGCGGTGATGAACTGCGTGTCCTGGACGTTTTTCCAGAACAGCTTTTTCCGGTCGTAAAACCCGCCCTGGTCCATCACCTGGCGGAGCAACTCGATCGGCGGCTGCGCGCCGTACACCTCGACGAGGGGCATGTTCAAATCGTCGATGAACATCAACATCGTGGTGCCGGGCGGCGCACCCAGCAGGTTTTTCCTCTTCTTTTCCAGACTGTTCTCGAAGATGTCAACCACGTTCGCTGAGCTGGTTTGCGCGGAAAAGTTCGCGGTCGTCACGGAGTAGGACTCCCCGCACGTGTTCAAAAACTGCTGGATCCCCACACTCTTCCCCACGCCCGTGTCCCCCGCGAACAGAATGTGGAAGCCGGCGTGCATCAGGTTCTCCAACAGCAATCGCTGACTGGTCGTCTCCTCCGTCGGGACCAGGATGTTGAAGAAGGGCACTTCGGAATCGTAGAGGTATTCCGACACGATTTCCCCGATCGGTTGGTACGCCACGTTCTCGTCGTCCACGCAGAGCGCGTACATGTCGACGGACTCGTCGGGCAACACGCCCGGCCCCAGAAACTTCTCGAACTCGGGCCGCATGTGCTGCTGGAACTTCTTCCGCGACTTTTCGTGCAGGTTGCCACCGAGCGTGAAGATGCAGGCGAACACGCAGTAGAGCTTCACGTGCTTCTGCGTCTGTTCTGGCGGTTTGTCGCTCAGTCCGTCCTCCTCCGCGGAGAAAATGCCGTGTTTCGCGGACACGAAGGTGGTGACGAACTTCAGGAAAGAGTGGACAATCTGGTTGTCCAGCGTTTCTAACCCGGTGGGTTCGTTCAGCTCCTCGCGGTAGAACGGGATCAAGTGCGAGCAGAACTTCTCGATCGCCGGCGCCAGCAACTTCGCCCACTTCGGGTTGTAGTCGCTGAAGTTCAGCTGCCACTCGTGGATCAGCGGCTTCCACCCGAGGTGCACCGGCTCCATGTACACCATCCCGCAACGGGACACGGTCGCGGGCGAGGCGACGGCCAGGTCGTTCACCTCGAACATCATGGTCATCGTCGGGGGCAACTTGATCCGCTCCCCGTTCGCCAGACAAAGCATCTTGTTGTCGTCCAGCACCGTGTTCATGTTCTCGATCCAGATCGCGTCGACCGGCCCGTCGAAGTTCACCCACTTCTTGTTGTCCGTGGTGTCCGACACCGCTTCGCGGACGAGGATCGCGATCAACCCGTCCGTCCACTCGCCGGTGTTGAGATTGAAGGACCCGTACAGTTCGTTCATTGTCACGGATTTCGGGTTCAGCGTGAACACCTTGGTCAACTGATACGTCGGGTCCGCGGTCTCCCCGCCCTTCTTCTTCAGCGAGGTTAAAGATTTTGACAGCGTGACTTGGTTTGTCGACTTGCCACACATCGTCAGCCCAACGATCATCACACCGTGGCGGACGAGCTGGGTTTCCAGAAGCTGGATGATTTTGGTCACGAACGCCGGCACGGTTTGCAACCGCGCGTCCACGAGCTGCTGCTTCACCTCGAGCTCCAAATTGCCGTAGTCCACGTTCGGAATGTCCACCCCGGGGAACAAATCTGTGATGATTCCCATAAACAGCGGCAGATCCTGTGCGAGGAACTTGGGCACGTTGGAGTCACGGAGCGCCCGGATCAGAGTGACGTTCTCGGGGAGATCCGGGAACTTTCGCTTCAGCTGACCCGCCATCACCAGCACGGACTTCACGGCGCGCATACCGAAATCGTAGTGGTCCTGCTTGGACAGCTGTTCGGACGCGAGCGAGTACATCTTCACCATCTTTTTCGAAAGTCCCTTGGCCTCGCCGAAACCCTCGGAGTAGAGAATGATCTCGGCGATCAGTGCGTAATCTGGCACCATCATCGCGACCGGGCGAAACAGCGACTTCAGGTTGTCGGGGAGCTCCGCACGCCCGGCGTAACCGGGGTTCATCGTGATGAAGACACCGAAGCGAGTATTTAACGGAATTTTCTGCCCGATGAACTCGAAGGTCTTTCTCCTTTGCCGGATCGCCTGCGTCACGGTCAACATTTGCTGCGCAATCACGGACAGGACCTCGACCGGAATACGGTTAAACTCATCGAAGCACGCCCAGGCGCCCGCCTGTGCGAGTCCGGAGAAGAAGCGACCCATGATTTTGTAATCCAACCCGTCGGAGCAGTTAAACACGATCACTGGCACGGCAAGCGCTTTTCCCAAATCCTTGGTCGTCTCCGTCTTCCCCGTTCCGGCCGGCCCAGCGGGCGCACCGCCGTAGTTCAAGTGCAGGGCGCCCGTCAACGTGATGTAACACTTGTCCGTCAGGGGGGTGACGACGAGCCGCGGTGTGTTCCCCAAATACTCGTAGCTGTACTTGTAAGACGAAATGGTTTGCCGCAGAATGCAGTCCTCGCTGACCTCGTTGCCGATGGAGGTGACCAGTGGCGTCTCGCCCGTGTACCAGTAGTACCGCAGCTGTTTCGACCAGTTGAAATCGTTTAGTGCGTGGCACTTGTCCTCCAAGAGATTTTCCAGCACGGTGATACCGTGGACATCCAGCACAATCAGCGCGCCCATCAGCGTCCGCTGCAGTTTCGTCAGGTTTTCCCGCACCAGCAGCACGGAGTTCGCCAGCTGCTCGTTGTGAAACTGGATGTTGTTCTCCATCGGCTTGAAGTTTAAGCTCGCCGCGTCCATCTGTTCCATGGCCACGATGGCGGCCTCGGTCTCGCTGGTCCAGTGAATTTGGTCGATGAACAGGATGTTCTGACTCGCCGTGGGCCCGAACAGCCACTCCCGGCGGGCCCGCCCGTCCTCGGGGTAGGTCCCGACCGCGGCGGCCGCGTCCACGTACAGGCCCTCGATCATCTGCATCTCGATGTCGCACAGCCAGTGCTCGACCGGCTTCGTGGTCTCCACAATTTTCGCGAACGCCACGTGCTCGCCGACGTGGTCCTGCATGCCGGTGATGGTGTTGGCCTCCGTGAACTTCACGTGGTTGATGCTGTCGAAGCACTTCACCAAGTGCTCCTGCACCGCGCGGGGGTTTCGGGTCTGCGACAAAATTGAAAGTAGTTCGTCATTGGACAAAAAGTAGAACCGCGGGAAGCCCTGGCGCTTGGTCTCCAAGTACGCCTCGAGCGACTTCTGAACCGCGTCCAGCGTCTCGTTGGCCCAGGTAAGCTGGTCCTTCAAACCAGGCATGTTCATCGCCGTCATCGCGTTCTGGTACTGCTTTGACTTCACCTTGCGGAACAGCTCGCGGTAAAATCGGTCCACCTGCTTGAACTTCGTGGTCTCACCTGTAAAGAAGGGTTTTTCGAAGTGAATCTCTTCGGCCTCACAGAATTTAGACGTCACTGGCGTAGTCGTCAATATCAATACCGCTGATATGCAGTCCTCAAAGCTGCAGTAGGCGAGGCAAAATCATGCATTGGCCCAGCGTGAGCATTTCAAACAAAAACAAACACAGACATGAAGAAGTCAAAGTAGAACCAATTTAATTCTATACCTGGCAGCTGCTTCTGGATATCTTCGGCGGAAAAGATGTTTTCCAGGTACATCCAGGCCCTTTGCATGATGATCCACTCGTCCAAGATGTCCGCCGCGTTGTAGATTTTTTTCATCCAGATCTCCACCTTTTCCTTGATGCCGCCGATGTAGCGGCTGCCCATCATGGTCGCGATGGTGACGCAGTGGTCCTCAATTTGCACGATAATCTCGCTGACGTCGCCCAAAATGAACAGGTCCTTCTGGTTTCGGTGGTTCTGGATGGGCATGTTCCAGTCGGACCACACCGCGATCACCTTATCCAGAGACTGCTCCAGCGCGAACTCCCCGGAGGCCGTGGCCGAGACCTCGCCGATCAGCTCCTTCAGGTTGGGCGCGAAGATGCCGTTCTTCTCTAAAAGCGCTAGAGTGATGGACATCCCCTTCACGTTGCCGCCCATCCCCATCGCCTTGAAAAGCTTCTCCCAGTGCCGGGGGCGCATGGCGGGGTTCCCGAGATCCATGATGCTGCCCATGTTGCCACGCCATCTCTCGATGGATTCCCGTGCCGCCTTCACGACTTTCGGGTTCTTGGGGCCAAAGGTCTTCTCCAGACCGTAGGCGACCTGAAGGAGTTCGGGTTTTAGGATTTAGTTTTTACTTAGTATGGGGAAAATTGGAAATAAAAAACCTGAGGTGCATCTTCATAGTACTGGCTCGTTTTGCTTCCGATTTGCATTTGCAGGCTCCTGCGAGTTCGATCAAACAGACATAGTGTACAGAATCGAAAACAAGAAACAAAAGCAAAATAGAAATTACCTTAAAGCACTGCGCGGTCTGTTTGTTCATCACTTCCGCATCTAACGTTGTGAAGTCGGAGTGGGACCATTTCCTGGTCAAGTCGTTCCACTGCGACACCATCTCCCACAGCTTCATCTGCGAGTTGAACAGCTCCCGGGCCCGCTCCATCATGACGAACTCAAATTTCACGTCGCCCTCCTCTTCCATCTCGTCTCCAAGCCCCAAATCCACCGCGCCCTTCTCCTCTTCCGGGAGCTTGAACAAATCCTCGTAGTTCGTGAAGGTCGCCGCGGACTTCTCGCAGAAATCGAGTTTCTCCTCGATCTATCACATGCAAAAGTGTCTGGGTCTGGAAGATGGCGAGATTTGTCATGCGTGTCTGGCATGACCAAAAATTTTGTGATGCGTGTCCAAGAAGAAACCCTTTTGCCTGTCATGCAAAAACGCAGTTTGTCATGCGAAAAACGCAACACAAAGAAGCGCAGATATTTCTCATGCCTGGCTGTGCATTACAGAGCATTCACTATTCCCAACGCAAGTTTCCAGACCCAGACATTTTTGCATTTGATACGATCTGCTCCAACGCGGTGAGCACCTCGAGCGTCTTCTGCGGGTCGTACACGTTTTCCACGTCGATGAAATTTTCCTTCAGCAGCTCCTCCTGCATCACCTGACACTGCTCCTCGACCTGCACGCACTTCTGCTTGTTCTCGTCGAGCATGTTGTTGGACGTGTCCGTCATGAACTGCTTCGCTTCCTGCAGCTTCGTCTGCACAAAGTCGTTCCCCTTGAGCTGCATCGATTCCAACTGCACTTGATCCTCCAAACTGATGTTCACTTTGTACACCTTGGTCAGCATGGAATAGATCTGTTCCACCTGGTCCCTCTGTTTGATCAAGAACTCCTTGTTGGTCAGAATCTCCGTGAAATTGTGCACAAACTGGGCGTAGTTGGACAACTTATCTGGTCTCTGATCCAGTATCTTATTCACCCCCTCAAACGCCTTGCTTGCCTCGCCGCACAGTGTGCTGCCTATCGTCTTCAGCAGTTGCTTCATGCACTGCAGCGCCTTCTCCGGGATCGGCGTCAGCTCGTTCTTCAGCCCCTTTGCGTCGATCAAGATGAACCCGACGTTGTGGCTCACCCGGCACTTCTCGACCGCCTCCTCAAACGCGCGCATTTTCGCCATGGCGACGTCTAATTCTCCGACGTTGTCCTGCGTGTGGTGCTGGAGGAAGACGATCTCGTCCCACTGCAGACCGAATTCGTACACGGGCCGGTACATTTTCAGAAACGTCTCGTCCGCGTAGGTGCCGGCGCGCTCCAGCTCTGAGGTTATTTTCGTCAAGACCGACATGGTGAAGTCGGAAAAAGCCAAGTTGTCCCGGCAAATCTCGTTGATCGACAGCTGCGTGCCCTGCATGTTCCGCAGATCGATCGTCCGCAGGTGCTGCTCGTACTGCCGGCACATGATGAACTGCGGCACCGAAGTTAACACCGCGATCGCCGACTGCCACAAGTTATTTAGCATCTTGCCGAACGCGTCCGCGTCTGGCTCCAGCTGCATCCCGGTGTCGGAGTCTTTTTCCAGTAGATGCAAGTTTTCCGCGAATTTCACATTTACGGAAAACAACCGGTTCGCCGCTTGTCGCGGATCGCCCTCGATGCGCATGTAGAACTCCTTGGCGGCGTCAATCATGATCTGCACGGAGCAGGACTGGAAGATGTAGTCGACTAGCTGAATACATTCCTGAATCATGCCCTGGTCGTGGATCGCCAGCTTTTTTCTCCGCGCCCGCTCCTTCGCTTCTAACTTCAGCTGCACGATCGACTTGGTCTTCGCGGCGGCGTCGTCAAGGAACGGGTCCTTCCCGGCGGTCTCGTCCTGGCCGACCCCCGTGGCTTTCACCACCTTGTGGATCAACGCATCCAGGAGAGAGACGAAGTGGTCGTGCCTGGCTTCCAACTCCTTCCCCGCGGTGGTTTGTATGGCCTTCTGCAGGTCGATAAACTCCTGCAGTTGGAAGTAGCTGAACTGCTGGTAGCTCTTGGGGTCCGTCAGCGCCAGCACCTTCACACTGCTGCAAAGCTCGTGCCGGGCCTGGAAGCACTTGGCGAGGTCCTGCGCGAACAAAGGTTTCACGAGGAACAACCTCTTCGCCAGCTGTTTTCTCTTCTGCTTGTACACGTCGTACCGGGCGTTCTTCCGCCAGCTGCCGAAGATTTTCCACGGGACGTAGTTTTTAAACGTGTTCATGGAGACTATCACGTTGTAGTTCAGCGACTCGCTTATCCACTCCGGGATCGACAAGTACTCGCTCGCCTGCCCGGGCTGGCAGTGGACTATGCCGGTGGGGGAGATGGTGAAGTACTCCGGGTCCGCCTTCTTCTCCGGCACGACTACTAAGTCGTACGGGCGGAACTCGACCGGCGAGGGGGGTATTCGGTTGCAGTAGACTATTTTCAACCGGGTCGTCGCGGAGTTCCTTGCGAAGAAACTTATGGCGTCGTCGCCGGTTCTTATGTTCATAATCTGCTCCTCGGTTATGGCCTCCACGTCCATTTCCGCGGACTCGGCGAACAAATGCTTCATCGCCACGTCCCGGCTGATCGGCCCGACGGGCGTGTGCGCGACCAAACTGGACTTTTCCCCCTCCTCGTCTGCTTCGAAGGTGACTTGTAACCCCCCGGGGGATTCCGGGCCCTGCTCTGGACTGGTTGGCGGTCCTTCCTCCGTTGTCTTCGAAGCGAGTTCCTCTCCCAAAACCGGCTGGGGCACGTACATTTTGTGCAGCTGGAGCAAATGCTTATTCTCCGCCCAGAGCGCGTCCTCGTCGACCTCCTCCCGCTCCTTCTTTTCCGACTGAAAGACCATTTTCGGCGCGTTTATCTTCAGATTTTCCAGGCTCTTCGCGTGGTGGATGGACTTGGCCAGCTTCGCCAAGTGGTAGTCCCCCTTGGTCAGCTTGTCGTTCTCGGAAAATTTCCACGTGTTGTGCTTGTGGTCGTACTGCTCTAGGCTGCCGAACGACGCGCTCTTGTTGCTCCACTTCTTCGCGCTCGCCTGCGCCGGGTTGGTGCGGCTCTCGGACAAGGACCATAGCGCCTCCTCGGACAATTTTATCTTTTTCAAGAGTGGGAGATTGACGCTCAGGTTGCTGCTCTGCTGGGTCTTGTTCCGCTTGTTTTGGCTGCCACTCCCGCTGGAAGTGGCGCCGCCAGCCGAGGACGACCCGCCGCCCTGGTCGGATATCATGGCTGTGGGTTTGCTTCCCTGCTAAAAATCTTCAAAACGATTCTACGGTAAAAAAAACATTTTCCCAACTCTCGTCCTCTTTGCCCTACACCGATCGAACCGTCCGACTCGATCGATGTAGTTGTCCTAAATTGGATTGATTGGAAAGAGAAATCGTTGATGCGCTTTTTGGTTCGGCAAAATACTTGCTTCTTGTTCTTCCTTTTGTTCTGCTTTTTCCCGCCAAGGGGTGAGGCAGCTACGTGCAATGATACCAATAGTACTTGGTGTCCCTGTTCAATTCATTTTTCATTGGTAAAGTCGAGTAAGTCTAAGAACCCTAGACGAAAAATTCTTTCACGCTACGAGTCTTCTGAAGATTACATTCGCAAAATAAGACGAACGAGAACGTGCTCTCTTTGATCCTCTGGACGAAGCACTCTCTGGTCGGCACGTATTTTGAAGCTGTTGTACGAAAACTGAGGGGGACGAAACTCGTGTCTTACTGTGTATTCACTACTAAATGTCGTGACAACAAAAAGCTTCTTGTTGCGTTTCAGTTACGGTTCAACGATATTGCGAGCACGCCTGCTCTGATAAATAGCCGGTAAGAAGAAAGCACGAAAGCGATTGTGTGACGAGAGACGGTCGCAGACGGACTGCGAGGACAGGCACGCTTAGAAAACGATCACAAACAGCAATGAGCTTGCCGCTTTGCGCTCAGCCGCAGGTCTGAAACTTCTGTGTTCAAGGTTTTTTACATTTTCACGATACAGCCAGACAAGACGCAACCGCTGAGCTCCTCTTGGAGTGTGGTTTCTGCATGCTGGTTTTCACATAATTTTTTTCGTATCTAAGCACTTCCCATGATTCTGATTGTCCATAGATGCGGTAGCGCGCCTCCAAGATACAACACAACTTTGAAAGGGAGCCAGGCGACAAGTATTCAATTGGTACAGAGCGCAGCCTCTTTCAAGGACGAATCAGAAAACGATAGTTTCGCCAAACGAAAACGACGTCTGATTTGATGGATGAAGGCGAAATTGATATCACAACACGTCCCAGCTTCCCATGACCGGCGCGTCTTCCATCAATCCCCTGATTTCCGCTAATTCCGCGTCGATGCTGCGCCCCGAGATCCCGAAATCCTCGTATTTTGGCTTGCTGTTTTTTCGCACAATTTTCCTCGTGGTCATCATGGCGAACCAGACCAGGCCGCCCATTTCCAGGAGTGGTATGAAGTGGAAGAGCCCGAAGTACGCAATCGCGAGCTGCAGTTCGTAACTCGCGAACAGCAGTATCCAGGCGTAGATGCGCCAATCAATGGACTCGGTCAGGTAGACCGCTGACCGATACTGCGGGAAAATCGCCAGCCCCTCCAGACTGCGTTTGAAGCCGATGAGGAAAGGGGCGAAGAAGTTGAAAACCGACTGCCCGAAGTAGTGCAGAAGGGACTCGGACTTGGCGCTAGAAGTGAAATTTAGTATTTCTTGTATCAAATTGAGCTACACGCACGTGCTACACATTCATATTCCGACGAGCATCAGCATCGAAACGAACCAACTAAATAGACGAAAAATACTTCGCGAGCGCTTGATGCGTGTTTTGCTTCAGGACGGAGTCACTTCCGAAGAGCGTGAGTCGGTGGCTGCCGAAGATATTGCTGAACTGGAAGTTTGTTGAGGGTGTCGTACTACTGGCTGTGCCAGCTTCTCCGTTAGGTGTGGGTGCTGCTGCGTTCGCTGCTGCAGACGCGTCGAGGGGTTGTCCTGGTATTCCAGCAGGACTCGAAGCTGCGGCGGATGAAAACTCGTAGTGCACAATACCGAGCACAATCGCCAACCCAACGACGCAGCCAACCAAGGTGCGCTCCCGTTTGTCGCCCAAGCCGTACTTTCGTAAATTCGGGTAGAACAGGATACCTTGATTAAGCATAGAGATGCAGGTAACTACCTAGTGGTGCTGGTCAGGACAAAAACAGGTACTTCACTTGAGCAAATTGCAAACGAAACCAAAGCACCTCAAAGAAGTGGTACACAAACAGCCCTGCGCGACGCACAGCCCCCACACCCACCAGTAGCTCGCGGAGATTTTTCTCAGCAGTAAGTTGCAGCAGTAGCAGAGTAGCAGCAACACTTGGGTCCTTGCCGAAAACTGGGACGCGGAGCCACGGAAAACAATGATGGAAATGCACGCGCAGACGAACAACAAATGTACTATGCCCGCGTCGAGCTCGACAAAGCTACTGACTGAGGGGAAATACTTCTGGAGAAAGTTTGACGACTTCGACAACAAACTCGCGTTTGCTCCGCCGTATTTCAGGGCTTTTGCCGCGGGTAGAAACGCACCGGTTGCGGACACGCCCCCGGCTCCGGCTATCGCCGTCACAGGAGCCATGGTCACGTTTTTTGGAGAAGCCTCTTCTGAAGTTAGTTGCCTCCAACTGCGTAAAATAGAGAAAGTCCAAGCAAAATTTCACTTACTTCGAACTACGTAGTGCTAGCATGCGTTACTGATTTTGTTATCCTTATCTATCAGAGGCATTTTCATACTTACACTTAGGAAGAAACAAACAAAGGAGATGTTCTTGGGCACAACGCACTGTTTCTCACTCTCTTATGCAGTTTTCATTCCCTCTAGCTTTGCCTCGTCTCCCGCGCACTGTGATCTGCGCCGGAGCCACACATTCTCCTCTCCGGTGCCTACGGGATATTCAAAAATACGCCGCGTTCGTGCACTTGCACACATTGTTGCACTGCACATCGAACACTGCTTTGCGTTCCAGGACCTAGTGCACAGCAGGTCAGGCGGAAGCTCCACGTGTTGGTTGCGGTGTGTAAACACTTCGTTTCCAATCATGCTGTGAATCTTGTTTTCCTAGACAAACAACAGCATTGAACTAGGTTCATGCACCGCTATGCCTGCTCTGCGTTTCCTGCGCTCTTTCTCGTCTCCTCCTCGTCTTTGGCGCGCAACGAAGTTGAATTCCGTGCGGATTGCATATTCATGTTCTGGATGATACATTTGCGAACCACCTTTGCGCCACGTTTTAAGGTTCGCTGCGTTGCACAAACGTTATGATACATGCATGAGTGCGAAACTGTTCTCCTCCACTCGCTGATTCCTTACCTAGCTAAATTCTTGTAGCGATCACGCCCCGAAGACTAGAAACTGAAACCGAAACGTTAAAGAGAAACATTTATAGATTTATTTTTCTTTGCTTGATACAACAGTGACATTTTTTCCCTTTATCTGCCTTGTGATAATTGTTCGAATTCGCATTGTCTCCCAGCCCGTTCCACTGGAACAAAAAAAACCTTTAGCGGATGTGACGGTCAATGGCCTTCCACTCCACGAACTCTTTCTCCATCGGCAAGATGATGTCCCCAGCCTTGATGTACTCCTGCACCGGGTTTTCCTCGCTGTCGAAGTCCATCATAGCCTTCATCTTGTCGTCATCCGCCTTCGGCCACGCGTTCACAACGAAGCACTTCTTCCCGTCATCACAGGAACCTGTAAAAATTGGTCTTGGTGGAAATTATCTCTTGCAAATTCTAGCACAATGCAAAAAAATCACTGTGCCTGGCTTTTATCCATCAAATAATGTCATTTTCTACGATCAGGACGTCGCTGTATGTAATGAAATGTGTAGCAAAAGAAATTCAAACTCTACCGACTAACATCGGCTTGACATCGATTCCGCCGATCTCCATGTCCTGGGCACCGTAGTACTTTGCGCGCCACTCTTTGTATTCCTTGATGCCGTGCGAAAAAGTGCCCATCATGTGCTCCTTCCGAAAGAGGTATCCGGGGGGAAATGCAAGAACATGATTTTTATTGCGATGGTGATTGGAAGTAGTAGAATTATTAATGCAATTATGCACACTCAGCCTTACAGTCACATAGACGTACAACTCGGTGATAATTCCTAGCATAGTCCGAGTTCTGCTTTTGCATGACAAACACGTCATCTGCACAAATCATGTTCATTCAACGCCGCGGCCTCTCATAACATCGCCGCAAAGTTGACATCGGTGATTTCGTAGTAGGCGGCATTGCACGGAGGGATGACGATACCTATGTAGTTGTGTTAGAAGTCATGGATGCTCATGCACTAAAAATTGGCATTATCGACCAGAAGTTGCAAGCTCCTTCGGTACAACTTACACCCGTACTCCACTTGAGCTTGACGTACGAACATGAAATCAAATAAGAACCGTTCTTGATGAAGTCCGGTCCGCCGACGAAGGGCGGGGCGTTGAAGTCCAGGATTTTCTGGCACAGCTCCTTGTTTTTCTTCGGCAGGACATGGATGACGTGGGTGCGCTGCTTGCCCTCCGCATCAGTGGAACAGCCCAGGAAGGTGATTTTTACGCCCAAGGGGATGTGGAAGTTCGACGTCGGGTCCGTGCCGGAGGTCATCTTCTGGTACTCCTCATACCTGTTCATCAAAACCAGCTTGTGCGAAAGAACGCGGATCTTGATGCACTTGTGTAGGTATGAAGATCGCGCCCGGAGGGCGATATTGGTAACCAAATGCGTGCGCGAAATTCTAACCAGCGCGAAAGCCTAACCAGCCGCGCGGCGAAAGCGCGGCCCTGCGGGCCGCGCTTTGGCGCTATTTCTTTTTGATTACAGTCCCACTCCTTCTTCTTCAAGCCCCCTGCATGAGAAACTGGCCCCCTGGCCAGGAAGGTATCTGGGTCATCGGGGGCTTCCGGATTCGCATTCAAAGCTTATCGAAGGGCCGCGGACAACTACTGTCGCCCGCGGCGGCCCGCAGGCTCCTGCGATAAGCATTGAAGGCGAAATCCGGTCTGCTATTTCGCAGCGGGGCATCCTCTCTAGCCCCCTGCATGACAAACTGGCCCCCTGGCCAGGAAGGTATGCGGAAAGCCGAAAACCCGCGAACCCTTCCGGGCAACCAAAATCGGCCACTTCAGACGCGGCGGAGGTCCCGAATTGGTGCCCACAACCCCGGCCAAGTCGGGATTTTGTGACATGCCTCCGCCCGCTTCTAGTGCGGCTTTTTTTTCACAATCTCAATGGTATGGCGCGACCACGCGCCCGCCGGACCGCCCTTGGCGGCCAGTTTGTAAGCCTGCCGAGGGTTCTCGGTTTTTTGCGATTTTCGCTCTTTTTTCAGGTTTTTAGGTGGCCGAAGGGCTCCGGACATTTTCACCGACCGCAGCTGACTGGCAGTTTTGAAGCCTGCGGAGGGATTGCGCTTTTGCGCAATTTTTCATCTTTTCCTGGTTTCCAAGTGGCCCGGGCGACCTGCACATTTTCACCGCCCACATTTGACTGGCAGTTTTGAAGCCTGCGGAGGGATTGCGCTTTTGCGCAATTTTTCGTCTTTTTTCATTTTCTAAGTGGCCTGGGCGACCTGCACATTTTCACCGCCCACAGCTGACTGGCAGTTTTGAAGCCTGCGGAGGGATTGCGCTTTTGCGCAATTTTTCATGTTTTTTCATTTTCCAAGTGGCCCGGGCGACCTGGACATTTTTACCGCCCGCATCTGACTTGCAGTTTTGAAGCCTGCGGAAGGATTGCGCTTTTGCGCAATTTCTCATCTTTTTTCATTTTTCAAGTGGCCCGGGTGATCTGCACAAAATCCGACGATTGCTTTCACCCACGTTATGAAGCAATTTTTTGTCATTTTTTTCCAACTTTTTCCAGTTACGAAGCGGCCCAAGGCTTCCGGACAGGTCGCGGGCCTGCTTCTCCAACGCAGCTGGCCACCGGGCGGAGCAAAAAATAGTCCGTCTCTTTTTCAGATATCAAGTGGGCCAAACCGCAAAAATGCTCTTTTTTCACCTTCTCCCGCTTGGTTTCTGCCATTTTTGCGACATTTTTGAGCTCCTGGCCATTTTCCCATCTGGTCCGCTTTTTTTCCCTTCCCCCGCTTCATTTCTGGCCATTTCCCTGACCTTCACGCCTCCCGGCGGTTGCCCTATATGGTAACGGCAACTGCCTTCGCGCTGCGTTTGCTAAGCAATATCGCAAGCGCGCAGAGCGCGCGCGCCGGCTTCGTGGGCCGGCGCGCGCTCTGCGCGCGCGCGCGCACGCATTTGGTTACCAGATCAGTACACACACTAACAGTCATGCCCGCGCAGCTTCAGCATCTTCACAAGTTTCGACTTATTTGCTCGGGCGAATGTCTGTCGCACATGAAGTAGGAAAAATTCATACCATTTGTCCCAGTCCGGAACGCCGTGGGAAGCGACGCAAGCGATCAGCTCCTCCGGCTTCTCGACTTCGACCGTCTTGCTATAGAGAAGAAAAAGACTACTTGGTCATGCATAAGCAGTAATACTTTGTTAGCAACTACATGATTTGCATTTGCTTCAGCTCTTGCGTATGCATGACAAAGTAGTTCTATTCCGCCTCATACTTCTCGACGATCTTCTCGACAATTTTTTCCTTCGCCGGTCTACCAAAGCACGCCATTTTCTGGAATAGTTCAGGCTGTATGTAAGACAAAACTCTGTCTTCCACTTATCTTAACGTAAAATCTAAACGAGAACGAGGATTTTTATCAGGAAGGAAAACCCAGAAGAAAGTCCTGGGAGTCTGGGTGAATGTTGGGACGACCCTCGTGTGACCCTTAGTCGCAAAACGCACACAAGGGCGTAAGTCCGCCGCTCGGTAGGACCACTGTAGCAGCGTCAGCGCTCGCATCCTTTTGGTTTTGCAACTCAAATCAAATTAGCATATTTTTCACGCTCGGGTGGCGTTGTTCTTTTTCAAGAGAAATCACATTGCTCTCTTGTTGCAGGTTTTCTATACGACTCAGCTGGTTAATCGACCATACGTTCGGCGGTCGTCTACTCCAGTTTTGGAGAAGAACCACACTCAGAGGTCAAGAAAAGAACAAACAGAGGCAGGAAAGCAGCCGCAAGAAAACAGACCGCATCGTAAGATGAAAATCGGCATAGTTCTGACATGTAGAGGAAACACTCTAAACTCTGCAGCTTGCGCACAGAATCAGGACGCCAACATCAACTTCCACAAAACTCGTTTGCGATCGGGAAATGGGAATCGTAGTACACTGATACCGTATGCCAAAAAACACGCGAACGCTTTCAGCTCACAGAACTTTGCGTCCAGGAAATAATGCCAATGTAAAAATGGCATTTTGCCGCATTTACGGGTGCATTTCATTCTTGATAGGCCATAGTCACTTTTGGGTCAGTCGGTTTTTCGCTGCAAAACAATGAAGTCGTCGCCCTCGGCCATTCGGTCCTGCCCCAAAGCCACAGGCCCTGCGGTGGCGCGATTTTCTCGCTTTCAGCTCGCGACGAGGCAGGCAAAAATCTTTTACCAGTTGAGGAAGGATGAAGTAGTACCGTGTCACGCAAGTAATTCGAAGCACCGGCCAAGCCCGCCTCTAGCAGGTGCCAAACCATTTTCCGGACCATGTGGCGCAAGAACCCTTCTCCAAAAAACCGGAATTCTAAGCACAGACTCTTCGTCTCGGCGTCTTCGTCTGCATCTCCAGAAGATTGCCGCTTGGATAGGACGCAAATTTCGTGCAGAGTGCGAGTCGTGTTCCTATCTGAGAGCTTACGCGAAGAACTCCCACCTTCGGCTGGCTCGTCGTGCATTCCCCTGCTTGCCACCCGATTACAATCTCTTCGCCGGCGACCCGCGTTTCCCGGCGTCGCAAATCGCGCAAAGTCCCGTTTCCCTATCAGATGCTCACGTGCATACTTCTCGATCGACATCGAGTCGAGGCAAAAGGGAGAAATACGAGAGGCATTTCTGGTGTCAGCTTCAAACAGCTCATCCCCGACCAGGTCCACGACCCACGCAACATCCTCAATAGTCGCAGAGGTAGAATTCGTGGGTTCGGGTAATTTATCTTTTTCACCAGCCACCTTCCACCATATCGACGCATCATCCGACTTTGTGCGCACGTCTCCTCGAGCGTCCCTGGTGACTTCCATGTCATCAAGAAAGGAAAGCGAATCCAATTCTGAAAGCGCCCCTTCTACTTTTTCGCAAGTCTCATTTTCAAAATTTTCAGTCAGCCTGCTGCCACGGGCCACGCCGGACCTTCTAGGGTAGTGTTCCTTAGAAAAAGAAGACGTCGCTGTACTAGTCTGCCGATCCATGTTTTCCTTGCCACTAGCGAAGCGAAAAAGCACATAGTATCGGTATTGCTTCAGAGCAGTCCTTGGGTTGTCTCGCGCTTCCAGGTCAGTCGAGACAACGCGAGCCGTCTGAACAGCAGCGCCCGGCTTTCTTCCAACATGTTGCGAATATATCCTAGGTTCAGGTAGAAGCGAACTACTGTGGCGCTCGTCCAGTGGCGATCGTTCCTCAAGCTTGAACACTTCCCGCAGTGGCTCTAGGGCTCGTTCCCTTTTCCGGGTTTGGTGCAACGGAGGTAACAGCATCTTTTCCTGCTCTGTGCCCTCTCGTACGCCATTCAGCCAAACATCCGCTGTAGAAAGGCCACCGGAATGGCTTACCAAAAGCTCCACAATTGTTGGCATCTTCTTGTCGCCTTCGCTGACGGCAGGCCCGGTTGCAGTTTCATTTGTTTTCCTGGTTTCAATGCTTGCTAGACCCTGCGGCTCAACACAGTACAGCGGAAAAGCGTTGATGACGTCGAAGTAGCACAACTGCGATAGTGCGTGGACCCCGCGATCCGTTCTGCTCAGACTGTGCACGATTGGGTCGCTTCTGTTGCCATGGACTTGGCGTGCCGTGGTGACACCGCTTGTTCCTGCTCGCAACGTCTCTCGGACCCACTGCGTCACCACTTCCTGCACGGACTGCAGCACACCAGTAGCTGGTTTCTTGACGCGCAGCGAGCAAGGGCTATGAGTTTGTGTACCTTTTTCAGCTGCTATATTGCAACCGCTTTCATTGGCGAAACTATCACGGAAACGAAACCTATCTTCTACTCTGCCGCTGCTCATCATTCGCTCCGGACACTCCCAAGCGCCGTGGTCGTCCGACCCGCAGAAGCTGCATAAATGCAACTTCGAGCAACGATCGAGCCGACATCCGCGACGCCGGTTGAAATTTCGACAGAGTTCTTCTCTTGAGGTGCTGTTCTCCTGCTCCCGTTGGTGACGCAGAGGTGAACGACTTGCAGTATTCCATTGTCGTAGTTCCTGTGCCTGCCATCCACAAAATCGCGTCCCCAGGTAGCCCACGTCAAGATAGATCCGAGTTGACGACCCGGTGGCGAAAGAGCGCATGCTTGCTTGTCGTGGCCGCCCATGCTCGCAGAAGGGTCGAGGCCCTGTGAATCTGCTTCTTACGCAACTGAGAGCTCTCCGCTTCGATGTAACGGGCAGGCGTATGGCCAATGAGCTCCTGTTGTTAAAAATAATAAGCATAATGTTGCTGGCATCGTTTTATGTTCTGTACCGTCTTCGAGCATTGACTTAGAAGCCGCCTAGGTTTTCATTTACACATGTCCACAGTTTGACACACTACACCTCGTTCACGAGCACACACTGCCGTGGTTGAAATAAATGATCTCGAGCGTGACGATGTCACTATGGTGCTCGTTTAGGTTGGCGACAGGGATATAACTCATATTAATACAAACAAAATCCCCTGGCCACAGAAAAACGGCAAAAAATTTCAAGACGCGCGCGCGCGCGGGCGTTACGCGCGCGCGGGTAACGCGTGCGCGAGCGCGCGTAATGCGCGCACGCGCGTAACGCGTACAGGCGGGCGCGTAACGCGCTGCGCATCGCGTAACGCGCGCGCGCGTAACGCGCGAGGCACGCGGGGGGGCCGGGCGGGGGCCGGGCGGGGGCCG